ATTCGTATGGAGAAGGGAGAGGGTTAGATAGCTCTAATATAAACCTATACAAACAAGAATTCAGGATCAATTTTCGTGGGGAGGGGGATCCCCTTAAGCCCCCCCTGTATACAAGTTTGTATATATGCATATATATATATGAATTATAAAATTAAGTTGGCTTATTATAGAAAATATACATTTTAAGGGGGGACTTAGGATAATTTGAGGAAGGGGCTAACCCCCCCAGGTTTCCACCTATATTAAATGGCATTATATATCGTGTTTATTGCAATCATTTCGTAATAATCGCGCTCGTAACTTTGATCAGTGGCTCATCGTAGTTGAATTTATATAGTAGTACAGATATGGGACAATATGACTCAACTATCATACAATGGTGTTGTGTATAATGAATTACGTTTTTAGTTTTGTTACCATTGCCGTCCAGTCAGCTACACTCTACAGCAGATTCTTTAGTTTTAACTTTACAAGTGCATTATTTAAATACCAGACAAACAAAAATACAAGTAAAACATCAATACTTGATACTATTATTGGTGCAAATTTGTCTGATTCTGATAATCTGTCCAGTGAAGATGAAGATAATACTAAGGAATATATATTCTATCAAAGTGCGTATCTATATTTTATTTTCTTCATTAAGTTTCAAATAACTAAAATGAAATATGATATAATATTTAGCTTATTTTATCTGATAGTTATACCTAACCCTCAAAATAATACTGTTATTATTAAGAATCTGAATGTCTACACGAATTAAATGTCAATAACAATAAATCACAATTATGTGTGGCTCTCTCAATCATAACCACTCTGTAAATCTTACATGATTAATGATATAAAAATTTGGTTTTTACCAAAATTTAAAAAAAAAACCAAATATGAACTGTTAAGTAGGTATGCATAGTTTCATAAATGTATATCAACAATTGAAAAAGCGCGATTGAACGTACAAGTCAAGAGTTAAAAGTAGAAAAAAATAAATCATTTTTTTTGTTAAACCTTTATTATTATTATTATTATTATTATATGAGGTCATCATATTATAGATGATGTAGGTACAGATCATAATATTGTAGGTAGGTGTTGAATATAAGTACATTTAGATACGGTTATTTTGTAATTATTTTATTATAATGTATAAACTAAATTAATATGGTACCTATTAAATATTATAATATTAAGCATTATTTTTAAATTATTATAATTTTGTAGTCATGCCTTATTACACACTTTATTTAAAAAATACAAGATAAGTCACTGAAATGTATTAGTCAATTAAATATAATATTATTTACCTATACTAACTACGTAAAATGTAGGAGGTATTTAATTATTGTATAGGTACATATTAATGACTCAAAATACCCAAGAACAAAACTTTTTCTAAAATAAAATAGTTCACACTTATGAAAATCTGTTTAACATAAAATATTAGATTAAAATCAGACTTAAAATTAACTAAAAATTAAAAAACCCAAATGTATTTTGCACCATGGGTAGGCAACTCTAGTAGAAAATTTGAAAAGTTTAGGATATACCGTAATTACATTTATGTACCAATAAATTATCGCAATCAAAAACCATTCTAAGCGGAATAGCGTATTAGTCTTGTTTTTTCCCTAGCATCCAAAGTAACTCAGATATCAACAAAAATAAAACCGAATTATCGACATTTATTGTCAATTCTTTTAAATTTAATAGGAAATCTGTTGGGAATCTGGAAAATCGTTTTCAAATAGAGTGCCGTCTGGCAAAAAACCATTATCTTTTTAAAAAAAATCGGAACATTTTTACTTACTGAAAAAGTGTTTCCGGGAAAAAAAATATCTTAGTAAAACTAATAGCTTTTTCGATTCAAAACAATCTAAACAAATACAAAAGAAGCAGTCATTTTTAATACATTCGGTATTTTATAAGCAACATAATTATTTTTATTTAGTTATTAAAAGGAAAAAAAACCATTAATAAATAAATTGGTTGGACTATAATAGACAATTGCTACTGTGTAAATATCAATTATTATTGTGATAAATGATGATTGTTATGATGTGCTGCTAATATCAACAACTATAAAAGCAGTAATATCGTTTATTTCAATGATTATATTATAATATTTTATCAGGCTTCGTTTAGTATAATTCGTATATTATATAAACATAATTATTAATAATCCATTGTCGGTAGAGTAATAATCATTTTTTTCTTTTTTGGATAATTATAATATAATATTAACAACACGTAAGCGATTTTTTTCTATTATATTATTATAATCGTTCATTCACGAGTTATAATATATTAATTTCATTTAATATTTCCCTTATCTAAATGTGTAAATCAATAATGTGAAATGTAAATAGATATCTAAACATTTGGATTTTGGAGGTATAACAATATTATTGCTTTTATTTCATTTATATATTTATTAACTTTAGGCGCAAACATCCTGGCGAACATGCTCTCCGTGTTATTTATTATTATTATTGACGGTCAATGAACATTTTTAAAAAAGATACGGACATACTTCGTACTATGGGTGAGCCACTACTGTAGATAAGAAGTTGGGAAGGTAGGATATAGAAAGGGATTTAATGTATTTCTATATGTAACGATTATCCTTTGCTAACGAAAAACGATTCTAAGCAGAGTTCGATTACACATGTTTTCAGAGTTCGTAATATTTACGATTTTAAAATAATAAATTTCGTAAATTTTTCCGTTTTTCCTATTTTTTCCCCCCACTTTTTTTTATTGATTATGATAAAAGCTGGGAAAATTTAAAAATGACTTCCCTTAAGTGCCACCCCAGTCAGATTTCTTTAGGATAGGACACTTGAAACTCTATAAAAAATAATCATTCTATTAAATTGTAATTTAAACTTTTATTTAGCTTACATTTTGAGAAATTTGTATACTCCTCCTTTCCTTGTAATTATATCTGTGGACGATCATGAATCCCTCCCCCAAACGAAAAAATTAGACTTGCCTATAATTACATTGTAATCAAAAGGAAATAAAGGAACACAGGGGCGTCATTTCAGTTTTCTTTTCGGATGTGCGAGATTTCAAGCTGACCATTTTTAAATTTCATCAGAGCATATTATAAATATACCTATGTACACATTATCTTGTTTTTTATTTGACCATTGACTATCAACATCAATAGTAAAAAGCAATTTAAAAACTAAACAGATTAAGTGCCTAGTTAATGACTTTAGCCGTGAAAACCAATAAGTAATACATTATGCAAAGCAAGCTTGAATAAGACAAATAAATACAAATGCTGAAATGCAGTATAAAAAGAAATAAAAAGCACTAAGCTTTTAATATTTACATTTATAAATTGTCATTTATATATCATATCTACAAATTTTTTACAAGCAAAACGCTTTAAAAATTTAATTACATTTCAAATAATCGGATACCGGTGATTTATATCTACCGTTAGCTAAGATTCGAATAATTTAACCTGTGGTTCAGTATGATTTTGATGATAGCACGAGATTAAATTTTTTATTATTTACCCATGTAATTTATAACCATGATTGACAGTAAAATTGTTATTATATAATAATACAATTTAATTTGAATTATATAAATAATGGTACAACATTTCAGCAGGCCAATTATTGGGACTTTATTAAATGTAAATGGTGCAACCACACACTCTGCCCCCCCCCCCATGTTGCTTATTAACTTTATGGTAAAACGTATTTGATTTTACTGCAAACACGCCTAATTTACAAAATTAAATTAAAAATTAAAATAATATACAATTATTTAGTATAGGTACCTAATATAAACCTACGAGTTATACGACTATACGGCTATACATATTAATTGCGTTTCTTTCCACTCCGTCGCATTTTACACTGTTCAATATTGTTTTACTAAATCGCCTAACTGCTATAATAACACACGAACAAAAATAGAAACGTTATTTTATCACATGGAGACAATATAATTTTATATTATACAATATGGTTTATAAAATACAACGAAATATAGAAATTATATATAAAAAAAAATATTTATCTGTGAAAACAATCATATTTCAATATCACTCGACTGGCATTCACGTTTTACTTTTTAAACATATAATAATAATTTTTATATTGTATGTGTCTGATTTATTTAAATTTATTTGAACCTATAGTAGCTTGGAATGTATTGCTTTCACTGCTAGGATGGGTTTTTATTATTTTTGTTTTTTCCATACAAATTTTGGACGAAAAAACACGGACAGTTGTAATTTATTTTGTAAATTTAAATTTATCATTTACACGTTTAACCGAATTTCGCTCCCAATCGGTTATTTTTTAAAATGAATATTATAGTTACGAACTAATACATTTTATTTTATTAATTTATTATTAACTATTCAATATTCATCTTATCTCAATATTAATAGCTTTTAAAGTTGTTCGCGTATTATTACCAAACAATAATTATTAACCTATGGTTATTATAATATTTCAAATGATTATCTGTAGGTACGCGAGTAAAATGATAAGAATGGGTACTAAACTTAATAATAAGTGAGAAAATAAAAATATAGGATTGTAAATAAAAATAATGACGTTTGTGTATGTAAGACTTAGGACAAATAAAGTATAAATTACCCACCTATTAGACAATATACTAAATCAAATTTTTTTAAAAAAAACTTAACATTTATAATATGTAAATAAGCCATTTTAGAATAAAAAAAAAATTTCATATTATACAGCAGTTTTTCCCGCACTGTCTTTTCCAAATAAATACCTAGGTACATACGGACAACCATGTTTACGTTATATTACTATAATGGCGATACGCGCAAACTATAAACTATGTATATTATAATGAAAATATAATGTATACACATTGCGCAAAATGTAGAATAATACACGGGCTGACGCGATGATGTGTGTGCGTGTATAATATCATATAAACATTCCGGGTGAATTCGGTTGAAAATGACGTAGACGTTTTTATTGATCGGGACGACAAAAAGGTCAATAAAAAGGATCCGATGAACGAAATCCCGGAAGTTCCGGTCGCATGATGCTGCTGTGCTGGGTGGGTAAAAATCCTAGTTCCGGTCTGGCGGATGTAATGACTTGCGGTGGACGCACCAAAGCTTTATAGATGACACGGTCCACTGAGGAGAAGCGACCAGGACGGGTCTCGGCAACGGCAGCGACAGCAGCAGCAGTTTCCCAAACCACTATATATATTTATATATATATAAACACACACACACATTTATATATATTATTCTATTATATATACAAGGAAATATCGCGGGCGGCGACGGCGGCGGCGGTTTTCGGTCCGGATTGTGTGGAAACGGCAGGCGGTGCGGAAGAAAGAATCTAATATATAGAAAATCTGGTATAAGAAATCCTCTTTCCTCCTTTTCCTCCTACCACCACCCCCCTTCCGAAAGCATCCTGTTTCGAGCGACGATGCTCGCACAAATGTACGTAGAAAAAAAAAAAAACAAAAATATAATCGATTTTCGTTCAGCTGTCTTACTATTTTTCAATATAATAATATTATATATTATACATACGATATTATAATACGAGTAAAATATTATATATTATACGACAGCGCACACACCCCATATTATTATTATTGTACCTATATATAAATATAATACACATTAACGTCAGTACCGGACTGGACCAGGTGGCTGTAGGGGTTTTGGAAGCAATCGCCGACTCTGAAAACCCAACCGGATTTTTCCGTTAACGAGAAGTTCGGGACTGTATGGAGATGATTTTATTTTTCACTAAAATCAAAAACCCGTGACATTTACTAAATAAACGTGAAACAGCTTTATATAAATATCAATACAAGCCTAGCCACTACGTTCGGTGTCTAAAAAGAAAAACACACTTTAAAGTTAATTCATTAATCTATATGCACATTTCTCTATCAGCCAGAACAAATTTAGCCTGCAGTAGTGTTATTATAAGTAGGGTTTTTTTCATAAATTATTAATCGCTGAATCACGTTTAAAAGCAAACGGACATACTTCGCACGATAGGTGGGCCACTGTTGTAGTTGGGAAAGTAGAGGGGAAATTTAATGTATATCTGTACGCAACGATTAATCATTTCTAACGAAAACCGATTCTGAGCGGAGTTCGGTTATACATGTTTTGAAAGGCCGTAATATTTACGATTTAAATATAATACATTTAGTAAATTTTTCCGTTTTTCCAAAATATTTTATCATTTATTATGAAAATCCCTGGAAAATCAAAAAAAAATTACCTTCCTAAAGTACCACCCTAATCAGATTTCTTTTCAAAAAATGTTTCTCGTGAAAATCGGAGCAAAATTTCTGATATTGTTCATAGAAAAAAATAAAATAAAATAAACAACATTGTAAAACCAATATATATTCCTCTCTCCGCTCAGAATCCAAACATATTTATCTATCATATTATTATTAGGACAGAAAAATTATGTTTGCCTTTCCTAGATATGATACAATTTTCAAAATATTTATGCCATTTTTTAGCTATCTGTAGACATTTTAATTTTACAAGTTTTCTACGTAATTTTTATTTGGTAGGTACTGTATGGTAAAATTGTTTGACTAAACAGAAATGCGTGAAAATTTAACAGGAGGTTCAGTAAAAGTCTTACTTTGTGGTCAAAAAAAGCAAATTTGATTTTATTGTAGTATATTTTTTTTTTTTTTTTTTTTTTTTTTTTTTTATAAAGGAATTTTAATATCAAATTTTAACGAAAATCTTTTGAGTAAAAAATCATGTACAATAAATGTAATTTTTAATTTTTTTTTTTTTTCGAACATGTATATTGTAGATTTAAGAACGATGGTGAAATCAGAATTAAGCGGACTGGTTAAGTTTCGAAATTTTAGCTTTTTGAGGTTCTGATATTATTAATCAAGCCATCGCTCGCTCGGACTATTTTAATCGCAAAATACCCCTCGATTTGTTGTGAAAATTTTTCTACCAGAAATTTTACTCCGATGTATCAAGTGTAACTTAAGATTATGCTAAATAATTATTTTCTGAAATGAAATTTTATTTCCATGGTAAGTGAGGGAGATCAATTTTATTTTTCAAGCGGTTTTCATAATATCTGGGAAAAACCAAGATAAAATGTCAGAAAAACGGAAAATATACGAAATGTAGGTATTTTAGTAAAAAATATTATGGCCTTTTTTTTTTCTGTAAACAACTTCTACTAGCAATTTTGTTCCGATTTACAATGATTTACGATTTACGATAGCACTTTTTCTAAAAGGAAACCAAACTGGGAAGGTATTTTAAGTAGGTCATTTTTCGATTTTTCAAGAGTTTTCCTAGCAAATGTAAAATACCGGGAAAAAACATAAGAAAACCAGGAAAAACGGTAAATTCGGTAAAATATTAAACAAATATTATTAAAGAAAATATATAATGTCTATTTAATTATTTTGATTATTTAATCTCTTCAATTATTTATCATAACATTCCATATCTATTATTGGCAAAGCAACACTATCAACTGAACTGCGTTCAGAATCGTTTTTTCATTAGCAATGGTTTATCATTGCTTACCGATATACATTAAATTACCTGTAACAGTGACTACACCCATCTCCATTATTTTACGACGTCTTTTTCATAATATGGTTATAATTGACGAAGATCACCGTTAAACGGGCTGTATGAAATAAGGTTAGGTCGTGTAATATTAAACAATAAATTAAAGTTTTTGATACGATATTTGTTTGAATATCGAATTCTATTCATACGCCATCTACAGAGTTCTCTGAAAAGGTGCATAAAAATAAAAAAAAAAACGTTCGCAAAATCAGGAATAACACTTTCTGGTCAGAAGAATACCTATCGAAAACCCTATATTTAATATTATGTTTGAATCCGAGATTAAGGCAAATGACTCATTATGTTGATACCATCCGAATTTGTAGATCGTATGATTTTGTTTAAATTTATCAATATATATATTTAATGGGGGTTGTTAAAAAAACAAAATATTTGACTGAATCCACGAATCTTGTTTTAATAAACACAGTAAGCTCAGAAATGAAATTTATATTTTCTTACTTTTTAATTCTTCTAAAATTGAGTTTAAAAATCAATAAATTGAAAATTATTCAAAACAATCGGTATTGGCGGGAATCAAATGTGTCTTACACGGTTTCTGATTTATTGCGTTACCACTGTGACTGAAATTATTTCTTATCATGTATATCAGATTAATAACGTTGTTAACACGTCCTTATCAGTATGATAACATTAGTATACCTGATGTTTGGTAAGACATATTTGAATTCGCGCCAAAACTGATCTTATTAAACTTGAAAATGTTTAAAAAATCATAAGTACTAAAATAATGAAAAGAAAAGCTATTTTTTCAATCCGAAAAAACTACAAAATTGGGGGAAAATGCATTTGAAAAATATTGACAACCCTCATTACTTATCATTTTAAAATTACTCAATTGTCCAATATTTATATATGTTTATAAATAAATATATATATTACTACGCCTTTATAGTTTAAATACTTTGTAATTTATTATTTATAATTATTAAGTATATTGGTTAGGTTAAATGCAAGTGTCAATTAAAACTGAGAACATAGCATGTAGATACTTAATGCATACAAATATATATTGCAATATTTTAGAGTTTTTAAAAATTGCGTTGTTGACAAAAATTCTTAGTATGTACTCTGCAACGATGCCTATTCATCAAGACATGCATTTATATGTGGTTGAAACCATTAATGAACTGTCATTAAGTCTGAGGAGATTATATTTTGTTTTATGTGATCAAAAAATAATAATTATTAACATCAAAACGGTTTTTTTTAATGCATTGTAACAAATTGAGTTCGTATTTCAATGTAAACCTGAGGGGTGTGGGTGTCAAATCCCCCCTTGGAAATGTGTTTGGACAATTATCTGGAACCTCTCCATGAAAAATTACTAAGTACGCCACTGTTGCCGGTTGGTACGTGCTTTCAATTTGTGTAAAATACGGTAGGTAAGTACCTACCTAGTTTGCAAAAAATATAACTCGGTATTGGTATGCTACTGGGGTGTGGTAAACCATTTTAATCGATTGGGCCAATTTTTTTTTTCATTTGATACCTATATACATACCACTCTTATTTTATATAAACCAAATGACCTTTTTTGTAGGGGTTGGGGAGAAAAGCTTAATCTCAAGGGGTTAAAATAATAAAATACCACAGTAATAATAACACAGATTGGAGCTCCAATCTGTTATTATTATTTTTTTTACTCTTCAGCTTTTGCTGAAAATGGTAAAGTTACTAAACCGGAACATATTACTTTTTTGAAAATACTTATATTATCTATGTAGTATGTGCTCGTTACACAATTTGTGTACCTATTTTTTTTATAGTGATAATGAAATATAGAATTATAATCGAATTCGACTGTGTTTTTTAAACCATAATAGGTGCGTATTAGTTTTGTTTTTTAAAATAATGAAATAACTTTATTTATTCGAAATTTTGAAATTAAATATTGTTATTAATGAGTATATTAATAAAAAGTATTAATGAAAATTGAATTTAAATATATATATATATTTTTTATTATCAATAAAGTTTTATCTATATAAATATATATATATATATAAGATTTTATTAGTTTCGAAACGATATGCTTTCAAGCCCTCTATGATTTACACGGAGAACAACTGTTCCCTCTGCCACTTCTACTCCGACTCTACTAATTAACTTTATAAAATTATTTCCTCATTCAACTGGCAATTTGACCGTCTCCAGTGCTTCATTCTTCAATCAACCACTGCCCTCTGAAATTTTCATATTTTGACGTACAAAATAATTGTTTTGTTTATAACGTCTTTGAATTTTTAGTCCCTCTTCCACAAAATATATGATAATAAACTGATAAGTCCTTATCTATAATTACAAGTAGCAGAGTTGTATCACAGTATTGTGTGTCGTATTTTAAATTATTATGTTTATAACATTATTGTCTGTGTACACCTTTCAGTTCATCAATGTATTGAATAATAATTTTGTGCCAACTGTTTAATTATCGATAAAACAATCTTGTGAGAATTTATATTATTGTACATAATTTAAAAAGCATCTAAAGAAATACTAATAAAGAGCATAAAATAAAATACTATAAATAATATTCAATTAAATTTTCTTAAATGTATTTTACAATATTTGAATGGTGTTTTATTAGTACATAATTTAAATAAATTTAAATTAAATTACGCATTTACTGATGGGTGAGTGAATACATATTTACCTGAATAATAATTGTATAATAATTACTTCATGTTTATTAATGTTTGTCATATAAATGTTTAGTTAGTAAATTAGATAGGTATGTGTTCAAAACAAATTTAAATGATTTCTGTTGCAAATTAAAAATTGTTCTCTATATTATTTTTGTTTTTTTAGTTTCTGTTAATTTCTTTTAATTCATTTTATGGAAGTCTAATCTAAATATATTCTGTTTGACAAAAATCATATTAATATCTACCATAAATATTAAACACAAAAATGTTACACTCAGACCATCATTATTGGCTGTGATCCAACATTCCTAACACTCATTTTCGTAACCTTGCCAAAATACATATTCTTAGGTATGCTTATTTATAACAAGCATTATGAAGTTCACCATAATTTTTATCAATGAATTTTTTTTGTTTTTGAGTAAAATGGTCCCATATTACCTTTTATTTTCAGTTTAAATGTTTAAACTTTAAATATTTTATTTCATTTTGTTATAGTTAATGAAGTTTTTATAGTGAATGGAAAATGACTTCGAACGAACCACTTCTAGTGCAAGCTGTATATTCCTTTAAAGGAAAAAATAATGATGAGGTAAAATAGTCCATTATTTTAGAGCTTGTGTTTAATCCAATTTCATTTTAATTACTGCTTGTTTAATCCTGATTTATATTTTTATAAATTATCTAATAATTATTAATTTGCTTAAATACCTACTCATTTTGTCATAATAATATATTTTCATGTCTTAAATCATTTTATATCCCTTAGAGGAGACCTTGAACAAACATTATGGTATGATTTTATATTATTTGTTTATAAATTGTATACTCATTTATTTTGTGCAGAGTTTAATGATGTACCTATATAAATGCATGCATGTATTGAAATATGAGTTTTAAATATGTTTATAATCAGGGCTCAGAAGTATTAGCATTTCCATATTATTATTTTTGATGACGCCTAAAACATTCTCAGTAAAAATCAGATTTATTTCATATTTCACTTACGTCATTTACAAAATTTGAGTTTACCATTTTTTGAATACTTATAAGTTTTAACTTATGAAGCTGTTTTGCTAATTTAGAATTTCAAGTTCTTTTAGATACATATTTTTGTACAATATAAAGAAAAACACATATTGTTGAACAAACTATAATGGTAAAGCAGTCATTCACTTTTTAAAAATAAAAGTCGGACCAAATAGTGTAAAATGTTAATAAAAACAAACTATTTTGTTTTTCAAATAATAAAACTAAAAAAATCTAAAGAGAACTATTGCATTGATTGTTATTACTGATCACATTTAAGAATTCCATTTGTTTCCATTAGTTTAGATATTTTTTAAATTGTATCATTAGTATCGCTTACTGTATTTACGTGGGGCACAGTATTATCTTTGTATTAATTATGCACTATAGTGAAAGATTTTTATTTCGCATATTTCCCAACTTTTAGTCCATTTATAGCCCCTTTTTTGTGTTTTAAGTACACATTAAAGCAATTAACTTTTTTAGAGCTATAACTTCTAAGCTCTATTTATAATATTTATTTAATTTTAATATTTTGCATTTGAATTATTATAATACTTATTCACTGATATAAATATGTATTCACTTTGATAGCTATGTTTGAAGAAAGGAGATATTGTAATTGTGACCCAAAAAGAAGCTGGTGGATGGTGGGAAGGCACACTCAATGACAAAACTGGGTGGTTCCCATCAAATTATGTCAGAGAATATAAACCTCAAGGTAAAACATAAATATTAAAATATGATTCAGAGCTAAATAATAATAATTAATTGTAATTCAGGAGAACACACTTCAAATATTAAAGTACCAACCATACCTGTGGATTTGACAGACCAATTAAGAGCTAATCGTGCTGTTGTTGTAATGGATATTATTGAATCAGAAAAAGCTTATGTCACTGAATTAATAACTCTTATTCAAAATTTTTTGATTCCTCTGAAACATTCAAACATGTAAGTATTATAATTTCAATTGTTATTCAAATTCTGCATCAATTAAAATTGGTTTCATTGTTGTAGAATGAATATTGATGAATATAATAAGTTAATAAACAATATCGAAGAAATCTCTAAAGTTCATGAAGGATTTTTACAAGCTTTGGAACAAATTTCTGCACTACCACAATCGGATCAAAGAATAGGAAAATTATTTCTTAACAAAGCATCTCATATACGGGGAGTACATTTAAAATATTGTGTTTCTCATCCAAGAGCAGTTAACATAATTGAAAAATATAAGTTAGTATAATCCATTGCTGCAAATATTACTTTGATTTTGTTTAATTTATGTATTTAATTATCTGGTTAAATTGTAGAGATGAATTAAATCAAATAATGGAAACTCAAGGAGCAGTCAGTCCAGGTATATTAGTATTGACAGTATCATTAAGTAAACCTTTCCGAAGACTAGAAAAATATAATGGAATGTTACAAGAACTTGAGAGACATTTAGAAGAAAATCATGTGGATCGAGGTGATACTCAACGATCTGTCAGCATTTATAAAGAAATTGCAGTATGTTGATTTTAAGTTCATTGATTATATATAATATACAAATATTATGTATAAGGTACAGAAATGATTAGTGGACATATTACCTGGATAATGTAAACCTTATTCATGTAGTATTATGTATACATTATCCTAGTAATATATATATATATATATATATATATTATATACATCTAATCAGTTTGTACATTAACCAATGTGCTTTAGCTAATTGGCTGAAATATTCATATTACAATAATATTGTAAATTGAAAATGTTAGTTGAACACTACCAACTTCAAATGGTTCAATTATACCTTTAGAGTCATTCTAATTGTAAAAACCAAACTATGTATTAGGGTAACATTTCCCAACCTGGAGGGAATTACTTCCCAATGGGTAAACCAGGATTTTTCGAGGAGTAAAGGCAAAATTAATTTTTATTATATGTAACATTCAGGAACGCTCAAACATTTAAGTTATTCATTCTTTATTATCAATAGTGAAGTGATTATAAAGTAGAAAATGTGCAAAAAGAATTAGAATTATTGCCTTTTATTAAAAAAAACACATACTTTAAATAATGGGTAGTTCACTGTTATAGGCGAAAAGGTAGGAAGGAAACTTACTGTATATCTATAAATAGCGATTAAACGTTGCTAACGAAATTAAAATGTCTAAATAGGTTAAAAATGGCTCACTTTTTTTGAAAATGTTACCATGTTTAGAAAAGGAAAATATGATTTTTTTTCTCCAAATTTCAAGTCTATGAATATTTTAACTGAATTGCAACAAAAAAACAAAATTGAAAATAATACATTTTGTAAATTTTCCATTTATTATGATAATTTCTGGTAGAAAAATTGTTCATAAAAAAAAAAATAAACATTGTAAAACAAATACATTCCTTGCCTCCCTCAGAATTTAAAAAAAACTTTTGAAATTTTATATTTGAACTTATATCATAACATAAACTTTTGTAGCGTTGGTCACATGATATTTTTTTTTTACATTTGGTCTTGCATGATAAACATTTTCCACAATACAAAATATTTTTAAATGTGATTACAATTAATTTTTCCTAATATGAAATATTAAAAAAAAAAAAAAAATTAACTTACCAATTGTATATAATATTTCCAGAAGTTATTTTATATTGCAACTGCTTGTCTTTCCTGATTATAATTAGGTCGAGCTTTTTTAATATAATTATTTGTCATTTTTACTATATTCTGTTTCACAAAGGTGAAAATCTGAGTGAGTGTTACATAGTTGTCATTAACAATGCTGTTGGAATGTTATGTTATATATGCGAATGGTCGACCACTTGCTGAATATTTAACTGAATGGGCTAAAGTTATGGGAGATGGCCTTTGTACCATCTCCTGTGTACGTGAACCTTCTCTCATGAAACTATGTATATATGTTTCTATTTTTTGTCTGAAAAAAAAAACATCATCCGTGACTCTAAAATTGTTTTCGTTCTTTTATTGAGTTTTACCTATAAGCTTAACTCCTGATTTTTTTGTTACTTTATCATAACTGCAGTTTCTTACACAAACATTTGGCCTCTATTCAATTTCAATGCCATATTTTCATTCTCATGCATGATAGGAATATTCAGAATCTGACCCATTAAAAATATTACTGTTAGTACTGTTAGAACTTGCACTTGAAATTTATTGTTCTATACCTGTATTTCCATCTGGTTCATTTATTTGAGTATTATTATCATTTAAACCACTTCCTAATAAATCATTTCTTTTGGTACTATCTAATGGATCTTTTAAATGTAAAATGAGTAATTAAATTTCAGACCTGCAAGGTAAATATTTTCCAAACTGTAAAATTGTTTTCCACAACGTTCACTGTAGGAAATTAAATTTTTTTCGATGAACTAAATGTCATAATCAAATAATGGTAGAATTTGATGTTATTCAAGAACTTATCTTACAGACAATGTCTGGAATAAACATATTTATAAACACACTGGAAGATTATTTACCTATTTACCCCAACCCAACAGTGAAGGGATAATGGAATACCAAAAAAATAAGCAAATGAACCCTAATCATTAGTTATTATTTTCCTCTCAAGTATTTGGAATTGACCACCTTAATTGAAAAAAACTGTTATAAAGTTGAACAGACACTTTCAAGAATCAAAAAGAATCACTATTTGGATTTGAATACTATATAAATTAATTCTACTATTTATTTGATTTTTCAGACTGTGTGTTTATCAACAAGAAAGCAGAAAGAATTAGAGTTATCAATTTTAAATGGTGTTATTCATGGATGGGAAGGATCAGATGCATGCAATTTAGGCGATGCAGTTAAAATTGGCTCTGTAGCATTTGGTTTAGAACATAAAGATAGATATCTCATTCTGTTTCATACACATCTTGTTATTTTATCTGTATCTCGAAGGCTTAGTTCATTTATATACGAAGTAAGTCAATCAAATAACTTTATATATTTTATGTGAAATATTAATTTTTATTTTCTTTAAGGGGAAACTCCCATTAAGTGGGATTTCTATTACAAAATTAGATAATGCTGGTTCCATAAAAAATGCTTTTGAAATATCTGGTAAGAAATATATAATATTTTATTATATAAATATTTATGAAATTAACTAATCATTATTATTTTTTATGTCAAGGCCCTTTAATAGATCGTATTTTGGTTATCTGTCAAACTAAAGAAGAGCAAATTGATTGGATACAAAAAATTAATAAGCAATTGGAAAATAATTGTCCTATAATTAATACTACAAATAATAAATCAGTAAGTCAAAATTCTAGTAGTCAACTGAGTGACTATTTTGCTCATTTAGTATGTAAAGGTGTTATTACTCGATCACTTATGAAATTAATTCTCTATAGTCATTATATTAATAATATTGATACATCTAAAGTGGTTAGGCGAAATGCTAATGTATCTAATACTTGTAAAAACAACCTTTCGGAAAGAATCCAGTTTGAAAATGGATCAGACATTTCAACTAATAATAATATTACACTTCCAAGACATTGTTCTTCAATAGTTATGAAAGAAGATGGAAAAATTGTTTATGGGAAAAAACTATTTTTCACTCCTACACAAGGAAAAGCCTGTCAAGATTTAACTATGTCATCATTATATAAAGAAGATATAAATGATAATAATTACCAAAATTGTTTGAATTATGAATCTGGTAATGAAAATCTAAAACCAAAATATTTAACGATTCCATTGTTAAATGTTGAAAATAGAAATGAAATACATTTCGCAGACAACCGAGATAGTACATTTTCTCTCTGTGATTTGAAAATATCTCACTGTTATGAAAGTTGTGATAACAACTGTGACAATGACAAAGATACAGAAATAAGTGAAGACTTTCAGTATTTTATGTTTAAAGACCATAATAGTTTACGGTCTTCTGATTCTGGTCTGGCTGATATTACAATTCCAGTAACTCAACAATCATTGTTACTCCCCACAGAAACATCTAGTAGCAATTCTGAAAATTTATGTAAATGTAATTTATCTTCACATGTCAACTCGTGTATTTTTGAAGATGAATCTTTATCATTAGACAAAACATCAACACCATATGAAAAAAATGTCACATTTCGATCTGAACTTTATGCACATTGGTGGCTGAAAAAAAAATTACTGGGCAGTTGTGATTCAGGCAAGATATAATTTTATGTGTGAATGGATACTAGCTGTATTACACAAATTATACACTTTGAGACTAACAACTCACAATTTTTAATATTTTTTTTTTGTTCGTTTACAAATATCCTTTTTCTTAATTATTTGTATATTATTAAAATAGTCTGTTTGTCTTTTTTTTTTTTTTTTTTTTTATAATATAACAAAATTTATGCTTATATGATCCAATTATTAATAACAACTAACAAAAGTAATGTGATTGTTCCCCAATTAGAGAAATATGTAAGGAATACAAATTATTTTAATTATACAAGTTTATAATTAAAATATTATAGTATTTTTTTTTTTTAAATATTATTTATATATGAAATGTGAGATGAAAACAGATGTAAAATGTTTATTTTATAGTAATTATTATGTTTGTTATATAATAAGTTGTGTAATTAAACATTCTTATTAATTATTTAAAATAATTATATTTTTTTTTTTATGGGATGTAAACTAAACTTAAAAACAAACCACATTTTTTTTTTTTTTTTATAATTCTGATTGTATATTGAAATCAGTTTTAAAAGAAAACTGATGGGGTACCGATAATTAACATACCCTTGTCTTACTATTATGATCTCTATTTAAAATTAATTAGTTTAGATAAACATTTTAAATACTTACTAATACTAAATAAACCAATAAATTAGAATCTATGTAATTAATAAATTTCAATCATTTCTATTTACAGATGATAAAAGGTAATATGATGGCTTGGGATGTAACAAAATTGAGACCAATTCCACCACAGCAGATTTTTCATCATGTTAATGAAAAAAATATTTCTGTTACACAAAAATGTTAGTATCTATTTTTAATGTTTTGTTATAATTTGTGGTTTTAAATTTTTCTATGTATTATATAAATATTGGTATATTATATTAATATTTATTATTTTACTAATTTATTTTAGTTATTATTATTATTATTATTATATTGGGAACATAGTTATTGTGATTAAAAGTCAACTGATTAAGTCAATTTAATATATAGTATTGTATAATTTTGTTTAGAAAAGTTCAACATTTTCTAAACTAAAGTATGTGTTTTTATATTTGTTTAGATGACAGAACATTTGAAGATGATGGAAAAGTATTAAGTGTGTTTGAAGCATTTTGCTCCATTAAAAAATCGCGACATATCAGTTCAAGTGATCATACCATATTATCATGATATTTTTTATTGTTATTTTAATCAAAATTAAATTTTATACTGTAACTAACTCTAAGATTATATATATATATATATATATATATATAATATCATTGTTTAATACAGAAAATATATTATAATTAGTTTGTTTAATTATGTATTTGTAAGGCTGAATATTGTTTATAATAAATTAATAAACGTTACATATTTACTATCAGAAATTGTATTTCCCTTATTTAAATACTTGGTTGTAAGAAACAGCAAAGTAAGCTGAATATTGAACCTGTGTTAAGAAGGAATATATAAAACATTATTTTGTAATTTAATTTTGAAATAATACAATTTATTATTTAACACATTTAATGTATTAACCTAAAACTAAGCTTAAAAATTAGTTTAATGTATAGACATTTTTATTTTGTGAGTTTCATAATTTTTATTTAGTAGTTATATTGTGGATAAAATTGTTATACTAGAAAGAAATGCTTTAAAATTTGACAGGAGGTTTCATTATAAGTTTTACTTAGTGGTCAAAACAAAATTGAGTGTAAAGTAGTATTATTGTAGTAGTATTTTAATTTTTATATACGAGTTGAAATAAAATTTTGTTGAAAAGCCATAAATATCATAATATGGCCTTTCTAAACATGTATAACCAAATTTATCTCAGAATCATTTTTCATTAACAATAGTTATTGTTAGTTACAGATTTAAATTAAATAACTTAATACTTTATGTACCCAGCCCCAGTATCAGCTGTGTCTTTTTTATAATTTATTTAGTTTGTAGGTAGGTATATTATTTATTTATAGATACCTAATAGTTTTTCTTTTACATAGAACTTGGAATTTCATACAAATTATTATAAATTACACATTTTTAAAAATGCTGCATTAATATTTTTAGAAGTTAAATTTATTTGTACCTATTTCGTTGTAATATTGAATCTCAAGTAAAATTATAATCACAATTTTTCTTGGTTTTTATTTATTTAAAATATTTTTAACATCAATACAAGTGTTTGTACTTTCATTCCTATCATTAAACATTTTAAAAATAATAGTGATAATTTCAAAATAACCAACTCTCAAAGCTTTAGTAGTATTAGCATTTGCTGACCAACATGTCTGAGATGATGATTTTAAAGTAGGCATTCCATTTTCTTAAGCTTTGATTCAACGATGGGTTAATAGTGAAAAAAAATTATATAAAGATTGCATAATATTAAAATATTTAATTGCATTATGTTAACTGTTAACAGTATGAATGCCAAACTAAATTAAAAGAATGTGCTGCACACGGTAAAAACTTGGCACCTGGTGCTAATTCTTTTATTTGCGCTTGTAATCCCATATATTTTCCAGCCATTGTTTGCATTATCGTACCACTGACTAACGCGATTTTCAATATTTAAACCTAATTATCTTATTGTTTCAATAACAGTTTATGTTAATATTAAGTTAATAGCTGTGTGACTATAAATATCTTGAAATTATATGAATTTTTCAATGGCTGACCATTAGAATTTACTTAGCGTAAACAACTATAACTATTTGATCAACATGTGTCACATCTAGCCTTGAACCAATAATAAGTCCAAAATATTTTGCTGTTTTTGCCTCTTGTATGATTTTTTTTTTAGACTATTTACCATAAGTAATAAAAGTTCCCTGTGTGAGATGAAGTATAATTAGTTGTCCCACTAACTTAATTTCCATAATTATTTAAATTTTCCTTAAGGAATAGGTCGAATTTCACTAATAATTCTATAATACATAAAAAATATCTGTTTTGAGAATTATTAAGAATTTCATTATCCTCAAAACAGGCTAAACCTCTGGCTTTTAAACTGAATTATAGCTACTGTACATTTTAAAATATTTCTCCAATGCTGGATTTTAGTTTTGTATTCTTTAACTAATTGGTAATCTATTTGGTTCAATTTTACAGATCCATTAGAATAATCACAAATTGTATTCCTATGACAAGTTGAATTCTCATGTTCAATAAGTAATATTTATGTTCAGTTACATGATGCCAATCACTAAAGTCTTGAAAAGTATTTGAAGTTTTAGCAATAAATAACAAATATAACAGAATAAATATACTTTTATAGGAAAATATATTAATCAGGTTCTTGGAACTATAATACCATTCCTTTTAGTTGTTTAAAAATGGCATGCTTTCAATTTTCAGTAAATGCTTCTGATCAATTTTTTGGACCCATCTATAGCATGTATATTTTATTTTGGAGGATGAAGAGTAAAAAACTCTTGAAAATTATCAGAAACTAATAATGGCAATAAAGCAATGTTTTTAGTGAATTTTTCGAAATTATCTTGTTGTTCATTATTAGTAGCTAGGTATTTAATTGCGTATTCGTTTGATTATTATTTTGTGGTACAAGTTTGTTATCACATAAAATTACCATGCGATTTGTGAATTCTTCATTATTTTTCGTTGTATCGGCTAATTGAATGTGGCTGGTAAGATTTTCTAAACTTGTGTTTTGAAAATTCGCTATACAAACATCAACAGCAAGTTGTTAAATACTTATATTTAAATAAAGTATAGCATATAGCACAAATTACTGTATAATATTTAAATATACATTATATATCTTAAATAACATTTGGTAATAAAATATTTTTAACTACTTACTTTCTACATTTTCAACAGTTAATAGTATTATTTTTTTGAAGATGGTTTATTAGTTCATCTTCCTTATTTTCTTTTAATTTTCTCTTAGCTGAGCCACTGAGATGTTTCAGGTAAAAATTTTCAAAAAACAACAATTAATAAATAAATTATAAAAAGACGTCCTAGAATAATGGAGAGGGGTGCAGCCATTGTTAGGGGTAATTTAATGTATATCTGTAAGCAATGATAAACTATTGCTAACGAAAAAACGATTTTAACCGCAGTTCAATTGATAGTGATGCTTTGTCAACAATATCAATGTCATATTATAGTAAAATATTTAAATATGCATTATTTATTTTCTTTATTAATATTTATTTAATATTAAAACTATTTTCCCGCTTTTTCACAGTTGCTGAGAAAATTTTTGGAAAAATCGAAAAAAAAACTTCCCATAAGTACCCCCTCCCCCGTCAGATTTTCTTTTAGAAAAGTGCTATCATTATAAATCGGAGCAAATTTGCTGGTAGAAAAATTGTCTCCAGAAAAAAAAATCGTAATATTTTGTTAAATATGTTAAATAACTCTATGGTACACCTATTCAACAATATTTGTCGTGATTTAATGGTTAGTAATTATGCCCATTGTCATCTTAGAAGGTTTGAGTTCAAATCAGTGTTTCGAAAAAAATTGATTGCATTTTATTTCTCTTTTACCTAAAAAATGGAAAAACAAATGTATTTTGGGTGTACCTAGAGACCCAAGCCATTGCCCGCTCGGACTATTTTAATCGCAAAATACTTCTCGATTTGTTATTTAATTTTTTCTACCACCAATTTTGCTTCGTTTTAAAATGACATCACTTTTTCTAAAAGGAAATCTGATTGGGGAGTTACTTTAGGGAGGTAATTTTTCGATTTTCCCAAGAGTTATCCCAGTAAATGTGAAAAACTATAAAAAAAAGTGAGAAAACCAGGAAAAGTGGGAAAATCGGTAAAAAAATAAAAAAATATTATTAAAGAAATAAATATAATGCTTATTTAATTATTTTAATATAATATGACTTTATATATTGTTGACAAAGCAACAATATCAACTGAACTGCATTCAGAATTGCATTTTCGTTAGCAATGGTTTATTGTTATTTAAAGATATACATTAAATTACCTATAACAGTGGCTCCGTTATCCTACGACCTCTTTTTATAATTAAGTTGAATAAACCGTATGCACTATCTGATTATACTACGCGGTCTTATAATTCATAAAATTATATATAATATACGGAAATAGGACCATAATTTATACAATCTGTCAACTGTCAAAATTACGTCCAATAAATAATATTAATACCTGTATTGTTAAATAATACACCATTTTATTATGAGTATTTCTTATCTTCTACCTAAATTTTGTACTATGTCAGTGAAAAATATAATTTATACTTAACGAGCATTTTTGTTTGTATATTTTGGCGTTTTTCAAATTAAAGAATCAATTAAAATTAATCTTTAATGTTTATCTGTACTACATATTTTTATGTTTCTATGTCCTGTACACAAGGATTTTACGATTAACCATTGCTAACGAAAAGCGATTCTCGAGCATGATCAATTTTAAGGAATAAGAATTAGACAACTCTTATGACAGTTACAAACAGGTCGTGACGGTGTGTGATAAGTAAATTAACATTAGTGTGAGTGCGGTCAACGCTAACAATCATTAATCTGTAATCAATTTATTTATTGCCATTTATTTTTAATTCGCCATTATTTCTTCTTTGATCTAGTTGTAAGACTATAGATTCAAATATATTGTGATTTAATCAATGGTGAGAATTTTTTTTTAAATAAATGTATCTTTAAAATTAAAACTATAAATTATTATTTAATAATATTTTACTTTAATTCATCTTTTATTAACAGTTTTAACAGAAAGTCCATATAAAATGTAGTGAACTGAGTAACCATTCTTTTATCTCAGAAAGTGTCATCGCTATCATCTTTTTTCATTTTGTAACTCTAAAATAATTATTATTATAGGACAACTCATATACATGTTCTTTACAAATTGAATTATGTACTAGTGTACGGCGTAATAGGTACGTACTAACGTTTTTTACGTTCTAAATGCCTCTTATCACATTGATGTTGTCTCTTCGTCCTATCTTCTAAAAACCAAATTTCATTTCAGAAGAATTGCTATCATTATAAATCGGAGCAGAATTACTGGTAGAAAAGTTGTTTCACAGGAAAAAAAAAGGACTGTAATAATATTTATTGTTCCTAAATTTCGTACATTTTTCCGATTTTCCTCTTTTTTTCCTCTAGTTTATCTCATTTATAGGGAAAACTCTTGGAAAAATCAAAAAATGACTTCACTTAAGTGCTTAAAGTACCTGTCCGATTTCCTATCAGAAAAAGTGCTATCATTGTAAATCGAAAATCGCTGGTAAAAAAGTTGTCCACAGAACAAAATAAACATCATTGTAAAACCTAAACATTCCTCACTCCGTTTAGAAATTAAAAAACGAATCAACTAATATTATTAAAGTTTGTTCATTACCTCACGAGTTATCTCAATATTTAATTACTCAAGTAAACAATTTTTACACAAACGATATCTTTTGGAAATTGTCAGTATTTCAGTATGATTATACTACGCTATAGTGAATTAATACAATAGATTTGTAATATATAAACTAAATTTTTTTAATCCATTTAGGGCATTAATATTTTCCTTATTTTTCTTTTTTTTTTGGATAAAAAAGATCTTTTTCCATATTACCAGTCTTTTTTACTGTCCGTAGCATCAATGATTACAAATATGTATGTATGTATGTATGTATGTATATTGTATGTGTTATACAAAAAAATATCTACTTTTTAATTTAAAACTTCAGCAGACCCCAGACTAATCGGAATTCGAAAATCAAAATAAGAATATTCCTTTTACTCGCCATAGAATAAATAAAAAGCCGGACCAAAATAGGTATGCCGGGCGATAGTTATTAATTATTATTATATTATGCCCAACGCTGGCACTTGTTTAAGTTTTCTCATATACAAGGAATCGAATGTTGACAGTTTATTTTCAGTTAGGGCCGCACCGATAAATTTCCGCACGCACAGGCACATGTCAATACAAATTTTATCAAAAATTACGCCATATATCATATTATGATAAAATAATTACATAAACATTAAACATTTTCTTTGATAATATTTGTCAAATATTGAATCTATTTTCCCGTTTATCCATGTTTTTTCCCGGTTTTTCCCATACATTAGGATATTAGCATATTTTGAATTTTAAGTTTAAACTGGCACGGTCACAGGCACGTATAGAAGGGGGGGGGGGGTTCCACCCTCCCCCGAAAATTAATAGTTGTTTTATTTATTTATATAAATTTGATATTTTTTTATAAATATTGATAATATTAATTGTTGTAGATTTTTTACGAATCCCCCTCCCACATTTTATTTTGTGCAAGTACCTGATTGCGGAAATTAAATAAATGATACTTTTGATTAATTAATCGAAATTTTATATTTTTCTGACTTTGATCTATTTCAATAGTTCTAGTTTTCCCATGACATACGTATGAAATTCCGAACAAGTTATTTTGAAATTAAATTTGCATTGAATAATACTTTCCACAGTTTCTACTTGAAGACGGTTACGTTCTTTGGTCCACCGGGGGACAATCATCAGTGAAAAACTCCTTTCAACGTTGGTATTATGACGAGGAGTGACATATAAGTATTGACACATCAAAATTAAATTACGTTTTCTTTCCAATATATCAATTTTATGAAAGAAATATAACCATTTGTCATGTATGTTTTTTGCCCTCCCATATTCACCGTAATAATACAGTTCAATGGTTATTATCAGTAAAGATAATCTTTTTATAGAATAAGTGAAGTGTCTGATGTGAAATTAAAGGTTTTAGAATACAAATTTTTAAATATAATTTATAATTGTTGGTACTTATTTTGTTTACACTTAACCGGGACTTTTAGAGGGTCTAATAGAACGACCGGGACCGAAGCCATAAACTGGTAACCGGGAAGAATGGCAACCCTACCGTTTAAGTTCTCTCGTGGTACGGCGTAGAAAAACGGAGTATGTAACATTATTGTAGGGATATTAATATTCTTTTCCTGTAGTAAATAAATGATGATGGTGTTTTACTATAATATTTTAATATTGTACATAATTTGTCTCCATATGTTATATGATACAATCGAAGGTCCGGGAGGTGATTGCTTCTTCGTTTCACTAACCAGTCAGTCCCCGCGCAATAATAATAACTTTTATAATAATAGTAATAATACGTTGATATCAAAAATTCAAAACTAGTGAACAGTGGTGGCCAAGAATTCTATTTTTTTTTTTTAGAGGACGTTTATAGAGAGTTTGTTCGAAGTGTTTATAGTCAGTGGCGCCGAAACCTAAGTTTTAAGGTCGGGTCTTGGCCTGGCATCTTACTTCATTACTTCATTATAAAAATGAAAACCTACATTAACCATAATTTTGGATATAAAATGGATGGTTGTATTTATTTATTGGGGCTTCTTACAATGTATTTCGTCCGATTACATTTTTAGGTCTTCGGCGCCACTGGGTAGACTCACAGTCTTTTTTGTGGAGCCGCCACTGCGTGGATGATTTTATAAAGTGGATATACTTATTATACATTAATTAAACATCCGTCGTCCAAGATTGTCATAATTACGCAACGATTATAATATAGACTAGTTGTTTGAATAAATGCCTAAAATGTATGTGCCTACCTAATTTGCTATTACACACATATCACCCTCTCCCCACTTAAAAAATATTGATCTGTTAATTCAATTACCAAGTATACCTACCTATATTTTATACATATATACCTGCAGGTGATCCATTTAAACGGGTACACCCATTATCTCGAAAAGTATAAACTTTTTCCGGGTTTATTTCTAGAACATTTAAAAAACAAGCTGCTCCACAGTTTTATATCTACATGTTATTTTTTGTCACCCTTATTTTTGGGGTAAAACCACTACCTACTTTTGATTTTCAAATGGTAACCTATATTTAGAAATCCGAAAATAGATGGAGTATTAGTTAAAATAAATGTTGGTGTTGAAATTTTTCATTTCCGTCAAGCCGTTGTTGAAGTATTCCACTTTTAAGTTTTAGTTGGAGGAGCTAGTATAGTGGAGTATCATTTGTGTGGCGGTACGGCGCGTGGCGTGTTAATAATGCACCACTACTCTCCTCCTCCAGCCCATACTTAAAAGCGGAATACCTCGTCAACGGCATGGCGGAAATCAAAAATTTATATCTAAATATAGGTTTCCATTTGAAAACCAAAAGTACTAATGAACTGTTGGGCATTATATTATATTATATCATTAAATCGCCAAATACGAAAAAAAAATATAATTTACAAAAACATCGGTCACATCGAAACAAAGATGGTTATAGCAGAGAATCTAAAAATACAGATGTACTCGGGGGAAGTCACCGAAGCCAGGGACCTACTGCTCTTGGACCCACCGTTGGCGCGCAGTATAAACAGTCCTGAATCTTTTTGATTAGACCATGCATGTCCTATAAACTTGTTTACGGCAAAAATCGTATTTAGCTACATTGATGACATTTATTACTTCATATGCGTCTGCATATTAACAAAACAATAATATAATACACACGACTAAGGCCTAAGGGCGTCTCTCTGATCTCTGAACCATAGTTATCTAATCAACGTTCCGCATACTTGGTGACCCATCCACCTACTTTAGTCATGAACCGATCGCCTCAAAAAACCTACTTCGGCACGCCACTGTACCTACTGATTATGAACTGCACACGATACAAATACATTATTGCTACTGCACGTTCCGAATTTGCCGCTGTACTCCGTGTGTGATACTTAATTATTTTAGACCCTGGTTTGAATAACGTTACCACATCATAGTAATTTAAAATCTAAAAATCCAGGATTCGTTAATAACGGAAATTAACGGTTGTTGGATATCAGGTATCTAATTATTATTTCAAATCTATTTCAACACTTGCAGTTTTACTTACAAAAACTGAAATTCAATTTTGTCCGTGCCTACCTAATTATAATTATGTAGGTACCTATACTATTGTTTAATTAAATTTCGTTTTGTTTTTCTGCGACACCGGATGTAGCTAGGCACGTTAGGCACGCCCGTAGTTGCGCCTGTGCATTTATCAGAAACAAATAACAGTTATAAATTATAACGATAATAATATAATCGGTAAAAACGTTAATCGTGTACATTTTATTAGGCAAGTACTTGTACTTTTGAGTAGGTGCCTAATTATATAGATATTTATTTTTGTATAAATAAAAATGTTCAGGAGGAAAAAAAAAATCGACGGGCTGTTATTACACTTATTGCGGGACGGGTATTATTCGGTATTAAGTGCTCGAACCATCAAATAGAACAGGTATCTCATGCCGCCACTGAACTGCATTGTGCAGATGGTACGTATTATAATACGTACGCGCGTGTACATAATAGGAACGAAACTCAGAAATAATCAGTAATCGTTGCGGGGCGATCCGGTGAATCATGAAAGAGGCGTACGCAGCCACATGCCCACACGGGACGCGCCGGACACGCAAACTTCCGGACAGTTCAATAATAGCATTGTAATGAACGACAAAATAACGACGAACGTGTTATCGTCCGGTCCGGCGGACGTCTGTCACGCACGCACTCGCGCCGCAATTTTTCCGCGACGTGACGTGGTTTTTATCGCCGCCCGTGAAACCGGTGGACGCGAAACGCTGTGGAAACGTTCCGCCTTCCACGACGGACGATCGAAAACCACGGCCGTCGGATGAATGAAACGGTGATAACACGTTCTGCCAGTCTGATAACAACACGCATTTCTCCGTAACCAAACGTACAGTACACAATAATCCCATTATAACAGTATGTACATATATATTAAATTATTACAACAACAACAACGATAATAATAATAATAATAATAATAATAATAATAATAACAATAATAGTTATCGTAGTTGTAGTAGGTAGTAGTAATAACAATAATAATAATAATAATAATAATAATAATAATAATAATAATAAATAATAACGAATTATTACGATGGCTAATAAAAGTGCAATTATGTTAATCGTGACGCGCTCGAACAATTAATTGACGGTAATCCGACTTTTCCGTTCTCGCGTCGCGCGTATCGGCAGCAGTCCATACCGATGGCATCCGAGTGACGTCCAGGCAGGTACGTACCTGCCCGTAGAAAGTGCGAACGGTTTTCGCGTTCATTCGCGCCCTACGCTCGCGCCCGGACGTCCTGCAATATGCGCGTTTCCTGACGGTACCCGTTTTCCGACCCAGCGATTTGCCAGCGGATCGCCGTCGCCGCCGTCTGTCCGGTGACCGTGGTATTATTGATGTGCTTTCACGGCATGATGTCGTCGAACACGAACCGCATAATACAGCCGAGGAACCTGGCGTCGATACTGATGAAACTGCACGGCGCGTTTGCTGAGGCGATCACGTCGCCAAAGGCGGCCATCGACAAGCGCACGCTGGAGAAGACGTGGAAACTGATGGACAAGGTGGTCAAATTGTGTCAACATTCCAAAATGAACCTGAAGAATTCCCCGCCGTTCATACTCGACATACTGCCGGACACCTATCAGCGACTCCGGTTCATATACACCCAGTACGAGAACGACCTGGGCGAACTGTTCGCCAACGAGCATTTCAACGTGTTCATATTAAACGTGATTCGAAAGTGCAAACAAGCAATAAAGCTGTTCAAAGAGGGCAAGGAAAAAATGTACGACGAAAATTCGCATTACAGGAGAAATTTGACCAAGTTGAGCCTGGTGTTTAGTCATATGCTCAGCGAACTCAAAGCGCTGTTTCCGAACCATAGGTTTGCGGGGGACAAGTTTAGGATAACCAAAAGTGACGCCGCCGAATTTTGGAGATCAAATTTCGGAATGAGGTAAATAAATACAATTATAATTATAATACATATATATGCAGTTTAATCATACCCCGTTTGAAGAGTAAAGACATCGAGTCTGTGAGTGATACGAATTTAGTGAGAATTTAAAGAGAGTTAAATAATAGAGAGTATAGAGATTTAATGGCAGTCGGGGTACCTATATTTAGGCGGGTTTATAATAGACATTGGTTTATTGTCTCGGAAAATATTTAATTACCTACATATTATATTACTTATGTAATATTTTTTTCATTAATTCATTCTTTAATTATCTAATCAACAAGTTGTATGCAAACGCTTTTACTTTGATCGAAATACACATTTAAAAATTATATCTTTTTAAACTATCTTATTCTTAGGTAGTATTTTAAGATCAGGTTGAAATCTCGAATCTAGCTGTAATTTAAATGTTCTATGGCCCAGTGTATCTTTAAGTGGCTACAGATTTAAAGAATTTGTTTACTAGTGACTTGCATTAAGTATAATTTTTCTAACAAATTTGATAGACTATATAAAAAAAGATTGATAGGCAGATAGCTAGGTAAGGGAATAGGTACTGCATAATAGAAACATCTTGTTACAGTCATGTTTGTAGTAAAATAAAATATTATTGTTATTTGTTGATTTCCTTGAAAAAGTGAATGGGTACAAAGTACCTACTAGGATTAGTACTGTGAACATCAATACTAAATTTATACTTTTACTCGGTGGTGGATCCAGGATAAGGAAAGTGAGAGGGGCGATTTTGAAAATGCATATAATTAAGGTTGCCAACTTTTCGTTTGCAAAATATCAACCCCTTGTCTGAAAAAAAAGTTCATCATTTTTATTTCAATATTTATATTATTATTATCTACATTAAAGAAATATTCTTGCAGGTAATTTTAAAATAATAATAAATTGATAATAAGTATAAAATAATAAAATTAATTTAAACCTTTTTATTAAAAATTATATTAAGGTGTATTTAGAGGTATTTTTTGCAGCTTATTCAGCTTTAACCGCGTAAATTCCCAAACAATTCCTCTCATTTATCCACAAACTAAAACACTGAAGACACTTACAACTAATGCATTCATATTTTTTAATGGTGCCAAAGATTATATACTTATTTATATTGATTTCTTGTCGAAACAACCTGCATCTAAGTCTTATCAAAGTGAAATACCGGCCTTTTTGGTAAAATCCTAGACGGTTGGCAACCTTATATAATAATGTACACAGGAAAATCAACTTAAAAGTATATTTGAGAACAAACTTTATGTGGTTGGGTGGGTTGGAGGAGGGGGGAGTCGATCACCCTTCTGGATTTGCTACTTATTATTTTTACCTAAGCATTATTACTGAAATAATGCTGAAATTGCTTATAATTAAATATAACTTATGCAATATACAATATACAAGTACATATTACATTATTACCTATTTATACAGTATCAAAAATATAAAATTTCTAATATCATTAAATACAAGTATTAAAAATAAATAGGTACATTACTACTATTAATTAAAAATATTATTTTTGTTTAATATCTTCTTATAAACTATAATAATGTCTAAAGTAGATAGTGGTAAACCTAAACAAATAATTTGTATTCAATTGACTACAATTATTATTTTTTATCATTTGTTTGAATATAGCTTGTTAGTTTGATAGTGATACCTTTTTTAAATTTACATTTAGTGAGAGTGTGAAACTATTTTAATAAAGTTTTGAATTTAATGAATGTCCTATTCCTACAACTCATAGGGTATCTAGGTAATTAAAAATTGTTTTGTTTTTTTTTTAATTTTTAGTAATTCGTTAATAACAATCGTCAGTGTAAGTATGGACAATGGATATATAAGTATTACCTACTTAATTTTATTCATAAAAAATTATATTGTTTTTGATTTATAGATGTTTGTAATAAATTATTTATTTAAGTCTTATATTATATTATTATTATTATTATTTAATTATAGTTAATCAGTAACATCAAAATGATAAGCAAAATGCATTTTTATTATTATTTTATAGTACAGTAGTTCCTTGGAAACTATTTCGAAATACCTTACATGATGTCCATCCAATTGTCAGTGGATTAGAAGCGATGGCTCTCAAATCAACTATTGATTTAACATGTAATGATTATATATCTAATTTTGAGTTTGATGTTTTTACCAGGTAAATACAAATAATATGTTACTTTACTAATCAATTTGTGGTGGATTTGAATTACAGTTATAAAATTAATTTCTATTAGTATTTCCAAATTACTTAATAACATGGGATTGTTTAGATTGTTTCAACCATGGCCGACATTGTTAAGAAATTGGAAAATATTAGCAGTTACTCATCCAGGATATGTTGCATTTTTAACTTATGATGAAGTGAAAGCTCGCTTAGAAAAATTCATCACCAGACCTGGAAGGTTGGTTATTTGTATACACTATATAGTTTGTAATGCACCCATATTGAAATACAATACCTATTACAAAATATGTGTTCAAATAAAATTTCATTGATTGTGAGTAGCAATTTCTCTGACTGCAGTTAATAAATTATTGGAATTTATAATATATTTTTTGTTAGCTTCCCATTTTATATAATATGTACACTGTACAGATATGTATAGATTCAAAACTACAAACATTAATCTAAGTATCAAAGAATAAAGTTAATAATTGTTCGAAAGTAATATTTACTTATGCTAAATTATATTCTGATTGTAAATTATTATTACAATTACACAAACAAATATATAAAAAACAAAAACTATTTGAAATGCAATTGTTGATCTTCAAACCTTTGTGAAAACTTGTTTACTTGTTTAACTTGTTTATTCAATTATTATTGTTGTTGTTTTCTAACTATTTTCCCACATCTTTCATAATTTGTATTATGTAATCTATTCTTAATCTACCTCTTCTAAGATGTATTCTCACAAACTATTATGACATAGTAGATGCTCTAACATTCTTTTCTTTCTGATTTGAATACCATGTTAAAATCATCCGGTTCCTTTATTTTGTTCAGTTATCCTGGTTTCTTTTTGTCCATGGAGTCTTAAGGGGATTGGAAGTGGTGATTTTCTGTATTTGTCTTACACACATGCAACATAGGGATTTTGATATATTCTACTGGAGTGATAAGAATTCTAAAAACAGATTTTAATTTTTTGTCAAACCTACTTAAAACGTCTCATATTTTTGATTTTATACCGCTAAATAAGAAAAAAGGCCATAATAAATAAGGAGTAATTTAAAAAAAAAAACCTGACAAACATACTTTGCATGTGGGTGCAGCCATTGTTGTAGGTGGGAAGTTGAGAAGGTAGGATACAAAGAGAATTTAATGTATATCTGTGAGTGAAGATAAATCATTGCTAACGAAAACACTGAGTAAAATTCAGTTAAGAGTAATGCTTTGTCAACACAAAGCATCCATGACAGAAATTATTGCTTAAAAAAACATTAAAATAATAAAAATTTAATGATAACAAAAAATAAATAAAAATAGTTAGGGTATGACTACCTTAGTTTTAATCTAAAAAACCAGGTTTTCCTCATTATCTCGAATATTTATGAGAATTTCAAAAAATAACTTCTTTAAAGAGAATATCCACATTCCACATTAGAATCTAAAATGAAATATTTGTTTTGGAGAAATTAAAATATAAAAATCAAAAAATGGGAAAATGGATCTCAAGTGGACTTGACATCAAATTCAAATTTGTTTTCATAATTGTTATCACTTCACTAGACTATTTGGTACATTGAGAAATATAACATAAATTCTTAAGTTGTTTTGTGTTGGACTAAGACAGAAAATTACTGCTTTAAATTCTAATCATTTTTTGATAGCATCACATTTTAAATTTTACTTGTATATTATGTAATAACAGTAACAAATTAATTAATGATTTTGTTAAAAATTAAGGTAAGGAAAAATAATTTCCTGTTATTGGAAGGATTTTCTATTTTATTACACTAGGTTTTAAGTATTTCGTTAATTCAAAGAACAGTACACAGTAACTATATTCAGTAAATAATATTTTTTTGTCAACTATAGTTATGTATTCCGTCTAAGCTGTACACGATTAGGGCAATGGGCAATCGGCTACGTTACAACAGAGGGTGAAATATTACAGACCATTCCTCAAAATAAATCATTATGTCAAGCATTGTTGGATGGTGCACGCGAAGGATTGTATGTATTTATTGTATTTTTTAGAAAATAGCTTATAAAATGTATTTATTTTTACACACAATTTAATTTTAAAAAGAAACATGCTTAACAAATAGAATTCCTTAATTTAAATGTAAGATTTTCTTTTTTTAAACAGTCAGTGAAATCAATTAAATAATACCTACATGCAAATTGAATGATATACATATAAAGTATCTATAGAATTAATCTTAAAGCTAATATGGATTACTTTTGGGTTATATTCAAATGGCATACATAAAAAAATGTTTTATATATATCAGGTCAAATTCGAGTTGCATTCATGTTTATCAGTGATATATCTAAGTAACATCCACAATATTAATTATTGTTATTTTATTTATTTTTGTTTGTCAATATACTTGAATATACTTGTAAATAATTGGAAACTGAAAACCATTGTAATTATAACTCAGTTTGAAACTAAGATTATATAGCGTGTTTCAAAAAGTATCACAAAATATATTAGTTGGATGGACTAAATTCGAAATTTTTTTTTTTTAAGCAAGATAGAGGATATTAAATATCTAAGTATATATTTAAGTAAATTTTAAAATTTTAACCATTGTGCTTTCGAAATAAAACTTATCTATTTTTCTTGTGAAAACACCTATTTTTAATACCAGATTATTAGCAAGTTATGATAAATAGTCTAAGATAAAACTGTATGAAGTTTTAAAATATGATTTTTTATTCTCAATTTGTACATAAATTAAAAATATATATTATAACGCAATTATTTTATGGTTTTACTACTAATTTTAGATTTTGAGTGGAGCAGGTTATATATATATACATATATTAGTTTTACAATGATGTTTATTTATTTATTTTTATTTTTTTGGGGACATCTTTTCTCGGAGGTTCCTTTAGGGAGGTAATTTTTTGATTATTTCGAGAGTTTTCGCAATAAATAGGAAAAACCTGAAAAAAATTGAGGAAAACTGGGAAAATCAATATTATTTTAAACAAATATTATTAAAGAAAATATATAATGCATATATAATAATATATATAAATTATATCAGGTGTAACAAAATTGAGTTTTATTTTTTTCATGAAAAAAAAATCTCCTATTAGTGAGTAGTGATTGTTAGGCTAATCTAAAATTTGCACGTTGCTAAGTAAAGAATGTAATAAGGAATAAATAAGGCCCTGTAGTTGATAAGAATAAAATCTATATTGACAATGTTGTTAGTTATGAAACACAAAAGGTTTTGTAAACAACTTATTTTTATGGTTTTATCTTCATTATGTACATTTTTACTTTTCGTGGCATAAAACTTTGTCAATATTAATTTTGTTCTTATTAACTATACAATAACAAATAAAGATACTACTAGTTAAAAATTTTAGTTTGTGTTAGTCTTTTTCAGTAAAATAATTTATTAAAATTGTAAAAATCGCAGTATTTAAAAATATATTTAGTATCCTATAGAATCGGTTTTTGTTAGCAATTATTCATTGTTAATAGATATAATTTAAATTACTTTATTTATTTATACTTCCAACTTCCCATCTATAATAGTGGCATACTCATTGTACAGATCATCCCAATTTTTTAAAAAAAAAATATCGGGACGCAACTCGGAATTGCCATTAAGAATACGTGTACACAACTCCCGAGAAAAATTATAATATCATTATTTTTGGACAAAAAAAAACAAATTTTTTTAGATTTTAGTACTAAAATAAAAAATATACATATTATATTACGTATTTACGATCTGTTATGATACTAAAAATAATCAGCAAAAAAGAAAACTAATACTGCTGATGAGATTGTTACTGTTGTAGGTGAGAGGTTGGATACGTATACATTTATTTAACTTATATCTGTGCGTCATAAACCATTGCTAACGAAAAACGATTCTTGGTCGAAGTTCTGTTTAACATATTTTGATTTCATCCTTATTGAATAAAGATTAAATATAGGTCCACCCTCCACGAAAACAATGCATTTTTTTCAGCGTTAACAGTTAAATAATGAATTAAAATCGTGCAAACCGTCGCATTTAAAAACATATTTATAACCGCGTAGAATCATTTTTCGTGGGCAATGATTTATTGTTACATACAGATATAATTTAAATCATTTTATATATTTACTTTCCCAACTTCTCACCTATCTTAGTTGTACACCAATTAGCAGATCGTTGTTTTTTTAAAAAAAAAATAATATCGGGATGCAACTCGGAATTACCGCGAGAAATCCGTGCACACAATTCTCTAATAGAAATGATATTATTTTTAGACAAAACAAAACTGATAAAAATTGTTTAAGTAGAATATTTACATTTAATTTATTTATTTCTGTAATTTATGATAAACTATTTCTAATGAAAAACGAGCCAAGTTTGGTTAAACATATTTTGATTTCATCCTTGTCGAATATAGAAGAAAATATAAAAATAGATCCACAAAATATACATTTTTTAGTATTTAAAGTTAAATAGTGAGTTAAAATCATTACTAAAAATTTCAAAATAACTCTTATTACATATTTTTAAATGCCGTAATTTTTACTATTTTTGTCAAAATTTGATATTAAAACGCTAATGGAAAAAAAAAATGCATTAAACTCAAATTTATTTTTTAGACTATTAAGTACATCTACTAAGTACAACTTATAATATACCTTGTGTTAAATTTTAAAGCATTATTCGTTGTCCTATAAATTAATATTGATAATAGTCATAGAATTTAATTTTACTAACCGATACCTACCGAATAAAATTACAGTACACATAAAAACAAGAACATATCAAATACCTATAAATAGCCTAAAAATTGCTAGAATTTTTTGAAAATTTGACCACATCTTTGTAATGCTAATTGCTAATATACAGGCCTACAATAATTTTTAATCAAATAATAACAAAACACCCAAATTCCGTGTTTCTTATGGTTTTTTCACCAGTTTTTCGTAATTATTAGGAATACTATACAGAAACTCAAACAATGACTTTCTTACTCACATAATTTTTGAAATATGAATAAAGATTTCTGATAGAAAAATTTAATCTAACAAATTTTAAATAATGAAATTGTTGCACTATAATTTGAAAATATTGAACTTTTCGTCTTTTTTAGTTTTTCTCATTTATTATGAAAATTACTTTAGATATCAAAAAATTACTTTCTTTATCAGTGGCTATACCTATATTACAAGGAACAAAATTGATCTTTTGTTATTTTTAGTTTGGAGCAATATTTCTAGTAGAAATATGGTTTGCAAAAAAAAGCAATGAAATCGGTTACGCCTCGGTGCGCAGTAAATATTTGCCGTTTTACTTGTAATTTTTATTCGGGGTTTTCCTAATCATTTTTAAAACCTCTAAGAAAATTAAAAAATGACTCCCGCTACGCACCAATTAGAGGAAATTACCTCTCAGAAAAAGTGCTCTATACACCGGAGCAAGATTACTTGTAGATGAGTAGTTTACAGACAGAAAAAAAATAAAAAAGACATGGTCATACTCCGCACTATGTGTGGGCCACTGTTGTGTGTGAGAAGTTAGGAAGGTAGGATATATAGTCTCTGAATAAAATAGGTCCACGAAAAAAAATAGTTTTTTTTTTATTTTTAACAATTAAATAATGAATTGAAATCGTGCAAACCCCAGTATTTAAAAATATATTTATCCGAATTTCGCTCAGAATCGTTTTTTTTTTTAGCAATGATTTATTGTTACATAAAGATATAATGTAAAATACTTAATATTCATTACTTTCCCAACTTCTCATCTACCTTAGTTGCACACCAGTTAATCGATCTTCGTTTTATTTAAAAAAAAAATATCGGGACTTAACTCGGAATTGCCGGGAAGAACCGTGCACATAATTCCGTAATAAAAATTATATCAATTTTGGACTAATCAAAATCAACGAAAAGAAACTGACATACTTTGTACTTGGGTGGGTTACTGTTGTAGGTGATAAGTTGGGAAAGTAAAGAGTAAAATTTAATTTATATCTGTACTCAATGATTAATTATTTCTAATGAATAATGTTTCTAAACGAAGTTCATTGAACATGTGTAAAACAATTTACAACGTTTATAAAACAAAATTTAACAATTAAATATTTTTTTGCACTCTAATACGAGGTATTAGAGAACCTCGTCTTAAATATACTTAAAAATGTCAAATGCCTATAAGTAGTTAAACATTTGCAGAATGTTAGAAAAATTTAACCACATCTAAAATTCACTAATATTAGTAGTATGTCAAAATTTCAGGTTTCCGCGATTATTTCTAACTGCATTACAAGAAAAAAATAAAATCGAAAATAACAATAGGTTATTGTGTAAATCTTTCCGTTTTGCCCAATTATTAAATTAACGACGAGGGAAATCTAAAACCGACTTTTTATGTACCAATAGAACCAAATTTTCTTTTATAAAAGATGCTACTATTGGTGGATAGAAGTATTTCTGGTAGATAAACGAAATCGAAAATATTTAAAATAATGGAATCGTTATCCCCGTAATTTATTCGTTTTTACCATATATACTTTTTTTCAAGTTTTTCCCTATTTTTATGATGTATTGAAATACTGATCGGAAAATCAAATACTTAGACCTCTCTAATGCAAAAATTACATCCAAGGCGCCATACAAAAAAAACTCTTGTCATTTTTTGATTGGAATAACGTTTCTGTTAGAAAAGTCGTTTGCATGCAGATAAAAAAGTAAAATTAAAAAATAGCTAATATTTTTGATGGGTATGCCACTGATGTAGATGGGAATTTGGGAAAGTAGAATACAGTTATTTAATTTAAATCTGTACGCTACGATAAACCACCGCTAATGAAAAATGATTTCTCGCATCGGAGTATGCAACCATGCAAGTCTTTAACGTAAATTACAACAAAATCTATATTAATTTATGAATAGTTAGTAGTACAGCAACGTGGCTCAAACTACCCTTCTATACCTCCATCGAATTTTTTCACGTAGCCCCGACTATTGCTGGTGCTGTACACGGCTCCCCAAATCACCCCATCCACATTACTACTGCAGCCGCCACTAAAATTTTATCGCCCCGTGTTGCATTGTTTTACAAATTGCTGAGATTCAAAAATTTAAAATGTATATAAATAGCTTAAAAGTTGTCAAAATGTTTGGAAAATTATCACGCCAAAAAATGCTAGTATAATATTCGGTTAAATTCTGATCTCTACGATTATTTTAAATTGAATTACATAGTTTCCTTTTTTTCTTTCCCAAATAATAGAAAAAACTACAAGGAAAATAAAAAAAACAAAAATGATCATTAGGTACCGTCTGGATTCCAAATTCAACAAAACGGGTTTCTTGTAATTTTTTAATTGAAGCAACGTTTATTAGTAGACAAGGTGCTCGTGGGCACAAAATCGAAATTACAAAAATCACACATAAAATCAATAGATAAATTTCTCGGTAGTCACTACGCTCAGAATCTAAAACGTGAACTGAATATAAAATCAAAATGAGGAATTTATAGACAATAGGCTCGTTGTCTGAGCGGCTTTTCGAGCCACGGCCGAAGTTGTGTAGCCGTCTTTATTAACAGAATTTGGCTAGTTTGGCCTCCGCTCAGGGCAATGCGAAAAACAAATGAACGGCGGGAAATCCTTATCGCCGCTCGTTATCTGCTGATTTTTCAAATGCGTTTTTTTGTAAAATGCAGATCGCATCGTTCAACAACTTTGAAATTAAATAATCCATTTCTATTGCTAATAAACTACTATGGAGAACACTTTTGTTCAGTTTCTAAGTGACAATATTACAATAATGTTATGTATGCATTTAAATTTCAAAAATCTGTGCTCCAAACCATTACATCAGTGGCATATAGCTTTTATATATATGGTTAATATTTTTATAGTAATATTGTTTCCATAAAGCACAGATTTACATTAATTATTGAGTTGAAAAATAAACATTTTCATTAGACTAAAGAACAACATCAAAGTCTCAAGATGTTCTTTGAAAACAAATATTGTATACTCCAAGAACAATAATTTCATCCTATTATTAAGTACCCATACGTTTAGATATTCTATTCTACGTGAGAATCTCTTTGATTTTAAATCCAGTCACATTTTATTTTTCGTCTATTATGTAACTGATGATTTTTTTTGAAATCTAAACTCGTTAATATACTCGACCCAAATTATAATACTTAAGACAAAGTTTTTTTTCCTAATTTATATTTTGTTTTGTTTTTATCATGCACATTATATATTTGTTCGTCAATATTGTTTTCATTTTTGGACACTATTCAGATGCACGGAGATTTGGGCTATACTATTATTATCATCATCTTATAACCGCTATAAGAAAAGTAATATAAAAACATCCTCTAGTTATAAAAATGAGTTTCTCAATAATACAAATAATAGAAATTCGTTCACAAAAAAATATGATAATGATAAGTGATAACCACGGTTGTAGTTATAATTTGGATGTGTGTACCTACCTGGAGGTGTAGTGAACTCTGATGTTTCGTAGTGTGAATTTAGATTAAGTAAAACATTAATGTAATAATGTGTTGTAATATTGACTTTGATTCATATTCTACGAAAATTATAAAAATGTAAAATATTAATGTCGCCTAGTTTTTTTTAAGTTAATAAATAATACCTATAATTAAATGTAAATATTGTGTTATTTAATTATAAATACAATAAATAACATAATAAACAATTAGTAATACGATACATCACCAAGTGAGTAGTGACTAATTGTGTTTAATCTAAAGTTTGTAATTTTGTTTTTTGTTGGTACCTATACATTTGTTGTTTACTTTTCAGTTATCTTTATCCAGATGGGCAAAAAGGAAATCCAGACCTATCGAATGCCGTGGAACAAAGTCCGGAGAATCACATCAGAGTTACCCACGAACAGTACGAAATGTATTGTGAAATGGGTTCGACTTTCCAGATTTGTAAAATATGCACAGAAAATGACAAAGATGTTCGTATTGAACCATGTGGTCATTTATTGTGCACTCCCTGTCTAAATTCTTGGATGGTAAGTTATCGTTCACTAACATTTTGTTTTTAATTTTTATCTAGATATTTTAAAACAATATACACATTTTTATTTTCTTTCATTAGGAGTCTGATGGTCAAGGTTGTCCGTATTGTCGGGCCGAAATTAAAGGCACAGAGCATGTGGTAGTGGATCCATTTGATCCGAAAAGAATTAAATATAAAACTGTTCCCACGCTGCCAATCTTATTGGAAAACTCTGAAGATGAAGAAGAATATAGTGAAGACGATCCAGTAGTTAAATAATACACTGTGTTGTCATATGGCGTGAGGTGTTTCTCCAGAATTAATAAATAAGTATTTATAATAAGAGTCGCTGAAGACCGTTTAACTGTGATATGACTGTGTAGGTATGTTTCAAACATTCAACATGTCTGCATTCATTATTTTGATTTCAAATAGTAGATAGGTAGGTAGGTAGGTAGATAGATGGATTGATAGATTGATTGAATAGAATAATTCTTATTGAACGATGATTCACAGTCAGTGTGTTGGTCTCATAGACATATTAAGAAATGGAATGTGCCTTGAGAGAGAAAACCAGTTTGATTATTAAGTTAGAGAGATAACTACAATTTACCCCAATATAGAAAAAAACAGTACCAATCACTAATTTTTCCAAGAAATTACTTTAATTTATGCATTTATTAATTAATAATAACATTTAACGTACTAAAATTAGTGGAACTTGCTGGATTATGTGTGTCATAATGCAATCGTCATCTAAACAACTCATTTTTAGCTTTGAGTGATGTTTCTTGTCGAAAATGTAAAAAAAATATAAGTATTCAAAATTCAACATAATATTTATAATTAAATAAAAATATTTGATTCCAAGATTTACAACCAAACATCAACCCAATCCAGAGGAACAACATATTTCTTTGGTATTTTTTTGTTGTTTACTAGGCTCAAAGTATAGTCATTTTCCCAAAAATTCAAAATACAAATTGTAGAATACTTTCAGTTTTTAAAATCGATGTCCAATATTCTGAAATCATGGAGCCACAATATACTAAGTTCTTCACTTTGAGGAGTACCAAAAATAATCCAGTAGTACAGACAAAATATTTTAAATTAATTAATAATATTAATTTGGAGTAACTAATTTATGTAATGAAACACTTTTAGGTGGACTTCCTTGAATGCTACATTTATTTACCATTTTTATTTTTATATTAATTTAATACTTAAACTCTTATTTACCACTCTTATAAATTAAAATAATTCATATCATGAGTGGAAATTAAATTATTTTATTATATTTTCCACAATTTGGGGTTAAAAATGAAACTGGTGTGACACATTTTTAAATGATTTTAGTACAACTAATTTTTTAAAACCACAGTAGTCTACTTTTTAAGAAATAATTTACACCCCTTTGCTCTGGCAAATTTGTGGATAGTCTCTCACTCAATGATTAGAGTGGCGAATCTTAGGCAAGGTATGGTAAACATGCAGTCAATTTTTTAATATGTCTATGGTTATTTTTTTCTTCCATTTTATGTGATAACACCAATATATTTTATAGTTGTAATGATAATAAGTGATAGGAAAAAAAAAGAATTTTAATATATTATATTATTAATTATATTTTTATAATTCCAGTAGCATATAATATAACTCAGTGATTTAATTAAGGTACATATAGTACATTGGTGGTATTTATTTTTTAATATTTAAATATTCCTCACATTTCTTTATATTATTTCCGGATCCAGTGAATGACCGTCCGATACATTTCAAGCAATAAAAATCATATATTTTTCGATAAATATAACTATAATAATATGTGATAGTTGAAATACTGTTGCTATATTGAGTTTTATTTTTTTATATAATTAAAATTAATGTAGCAGTAATAGGTACTGCTGCAGTCTTATATGACAATCGTAGGTAGTTAAATGTAAATTTTATTTTTTATTTTACCCATTATTATTGTTACCTATAGAATAAATTTGACTTTCATGTTAGTATCTCGTTTTTGGGGTTTGTGGTTAATTGCCGTAATTATTTATTTATTATTATTATTTTTATTCATCAGCGATTTTATATTTTTGAAAGTTAATTTCTAGTCTCCAAGCAATCTAGTCTAGTTAAGAATTTTTATTTTTCGTTTCTTTTATATACGCATATCTTTAAAAAAACAAAAATTTATTTTTAGACATTTCTTATGTAGAGATATTTTCTAATTTGTTTTATCAGAGGTATATTATATTATTGTAACATAAGGTGAAGCCTTTACATTGAATTGATACAAATATGTGTGCACCCATTGACATTATTGATCTTAATATTATTTTAATTTTAGTGCTAATCATTTATAATATCAGATATATAAATATATATATATTTATTTTTTATACATTTAATAATCAAAATCTCTGTCATCTATTGTACTCTATTGTGTTTAATTTTGATATGTCAAAATTCTTTGATATTTTTCTGTATAATTTTTATTAACAATCATCCATTTTATTCTAATGTACATTGTACACATTAAACATAATTTTATTGTTTTTTCAATGATTAATATTTCTATTTTTGACCATTCATTTATAAGTTATAATATTGTACTAAATATTAATTTTAAACAATCTACCTAATATTATATTTTAATATCAAAGAATGTTATATTTGTTAATAACATATTATTGTGTAATATTTATATGTATATCTATTATCTGTAACAACCTTGGCAATAATACACAGGTCTATAATTGTTTATTAATTTTAATTAGGTATATTTAATCAAATTCACTGTAACATTCGTTTATGGAATTTAAATATTATAAATATAATATTACTAATACAGGGTAATGTAGTCTGCGAAATTTAAATTTTAGAGGTAAATAATTCCAATATTAGATTTTTATTTTTATTATAGTATTATTGTGTATTACTATTATTAGTTTTAGAATAATTTGTTGATTATGTATTTTTTTTTTTTTTTTATAGCCAAAAATGACAATATTATTATTAATTTTTTTTTTTTAATTTTAAATTAAGATAAATAGATTTATGTGCGATTTCGTGCGATTTTGAGCTTGAAAATAATTGGAGGTATACGAAAAATTAATTTATTAATGTGTGATGTAAAACAGCAATAAGTGTGACATAACAGTATATATTCGTATCATGAATAGTATTTTAGTAGGTATTTTATTTATTTGTTCGTATTTACTTTATTATATTATGATAATTTTTGTAACATAGGTATACATATTTTTTTATGTGTAAATAAATCAAATAGCTAATTATACACGATACCAATTTTTATACTAGTAACACAATTTGTAATTTATTTTTACCTATTGATTATTGATTACTTGTGTATGTCCTAGTGGTGTATTAGGATATTACATACATTTTGATATATTTAATTGTCAAAAAAAAATGTTTCTGTCTGTTTAAAATCATTAATTGTTTTATCATACATGTTCTTGAGCTTTGGCCTGTACTGAATATAAAAATTAAATAAAATATAATCTATTTAAGTACTTAGTTTTGCGCCAGGAAGGGGCAGGGGGATTATGACCATCAGTTTATCAGTTTATCAGTTTATCAGTATTATAACTGTAAATTGTTAATTAAATCAAATGTAATTTCACTTTAAACAAAGTGAAAAAAGTTACATAATATGGTAACTACTCATGGGGTAGGTATAGATAAAAAATAGGCTTTAATCTATAATATAATATAATACGTTTCTACCGAGTAAAACATTTGTCGAAAACAGTGTAATAATAATTAATATTAATAATTTATAATCATAATGGCCAGCGACAGCCGATTATAATTATTATAATGGTGCGTAATGAACAAACAATAATAATAATAATATTGTGACACGAGAAAACAAAAAATAATACAAAAAAACCAAACAAATAATTCTGGACCGCTTTCGTATCGGTAAAAAATTATAGAAAACAACACACAGTTTTAGACGCCTCCTCCGCCACCAAGTTCCTCTTCGTACTGTTTTCGGAAACAGTCTCCCACCGGGAAGAAGTCCCAACACCGTTGCTGGTACATGTTCCATACGTACGTCTCTTGACCGGTGTATTCGGTGTCCGGTTTGTTGATCAAATGCATTAGGAAAAACCTGTACAAAATACAAGACGTTAGGTTTAATAATTTTGGCTTTATATTAATATTAAATGCTCAACAAAAAACGTACATGTAGTTGGCGAGATTGTGCTCTTCTTGGACATGCGTGTCGAAACCGTGTGGCACTTTGTCGAAATAATCTTTGCCGATGCCGCAGATGAAACAGTTGGATTCCATGTCTTCTTTAACGCTTTCGAGTTGATCACGCAATTCTCCAAATGCGTCGATGATCAAACCTATTTAATGACGATCGTCAGTACTATAATAATGTACGCTCACATCGTTATTAATTTACGTCCAATAGCGTTCAAATAATGGGAAATTAAAAAAAAAATATATATATTAAAATATTATTGGTACATGAGCAATAGATAATAGGTATTGAGTGATTAAAATTAAAATGTCGATAAAAATGCAATCCTTTCGTTTTTTAAGGCCTATGATCGTCCATGCACCGTATACACTCTGCAGTGACGAAAGATAACAACCAGTTAAATAAATACAAATTATACGTATCGCGTACCTTGAATGATGGCCAAAAGTATTACAATGACAAAGAAGAAAAACGTGATGTCAAACATTATTCTGTAAACTTCGTAGTCGTCACCATCGGGCGGTTCGATTTCGTCTCCGATACCGCCGCCGGCTCGCACGCCTTTGTACAAATGGAAGACAAAACACTGTAAATACGCGCAAAAAAAAAAAAAAAATTATAGTAATTAATTTCGCTAGTTTGGACGTGAGGTGTTTGTATTATATTGTCAACATAAAAATATCGTATAACATTACCGTCAACATATCGTGACATTTTTTATCGACTTCGTCGTCTTCTTCTTGTACGTAGAATTTCCTAAAGAAATTGAACGCAATGACCGTATATATGTACACGATGATCGTCAAAAGCATAACCGTCAACACCAACTAAATCCCGTGAAAAATGTAAAACAAAATTATGAAAAATTAAAAAAAATATACGTGTCCGCGTAGACATCAGTGCAACGTGCGGAAGTAATAACCACGATGGTTTGCACACCTGTTTTCCATTATGAGTTACAGACTGCAAAATTGTTCTTAACGTTTTAAAACCCACGGCCACGTCCAGTAGATGAGCGGCGAAAAAGAAATTGTTAAAGTTGCCCAGAATTGAAAATGTAAAATACCACAGACTGTAGAGGAATGCCTAAAAACAACGTAAAGATTCGTTTAAAATGTTGTTCTCGTGAACTGGGCGTACGATTCACAGATTGTAAATTATATTTTATCAATAATAATAATAATCCAACTTTTACTATTACGACGTACATTATCCGTTATCGTGACACCGGCTTTCCACACTTGGTACCTCCAGTCAATGTTGATTACACTGAAATGAAACATCGCAATTAATTACGGATTTTTGTTCGGTTCTAGGTCCAGACCATTTTTTTCACGAATATGAATTATCGGAAACATTATTAAATTCGAAACGTAACGAGGGATTTATTTGTTTTACAATGATGTGTGCTTTTTTTGTTTTCTGTTTGTAAACAACTTTTCGAAAAGAAATCGTTTGTACAGAGTGTAATGAGTATCACCTTTTCTGAAAGTTAATTTTCTCTAGTTTGTGCATTAAGTCATTTTTTTAATTTTCTACGGGGTTTTAAAAATAATTGAGAAAAACCTAAAAGAAAATTATTAGTAGAACGGTAAATATTTATGGCATGCTGCGCCTTGTTTTCTGTCAGAAATTAATATTTCTATTAGAATAGCTCTAATCGAAAAATGATAAGACAACATTTTTATTTCTTTTAATATATAGCCACTGATACAGAAAGTCGTTTTTTAATATTTTAAGTATTTTTCAAAATTATTCGGAAAAACCAAAAAGACGAAAAATACGATTTTTTTTCAATTTACGGCGTAAAGATTTCATTGTTTTAAATTTTTACGGCTTATGTTTTGTACCAGAAATATAGCTCCAATAGTAAAACAACTAAGTTTTTATTTTACTTGTTTTTTTTTTTACTCGATTTGATTCATTATATACTTATTATATCCGCGTTTGTTATACCAACAATAAGTATGGGCACCCGTTGGAAATTTATCAGGGGCATGATAAAATCAATCACCAAAAAGTACTTAAAATAAAATTACATATGAAATTTTGAAGTCAGAGGGGCAGATGCCCCTTCTTGTCCCCATCCGGGCTCCTATGAGTCGTCAATAAGTAATGTAAAAACATCTAACTATTGAGAAGTGCCCTATTAAAAGTTACCTATCTATTTGTTAAGTGAGGATATTTAAATGTGTGTTATTTTCAGTGTGTACTATCAAGGATGGGCAAGATACTTCAAACTAAGTATAAAAATATTTTTTTAAAGAAATTTGATACATTTTTTAAAGAGCCACAGATTGCATGTTAAGGAGCCGTATGCGGCTCCGGAGCTACAGGTTCCAACTAATGGTCTAGATAAAAAATAGGTGCTAGATATTAATGTAACAAGTATCACAAAACAAGATACTCAATATATTCATTTTATGTATTTAAATACTGCATACTCGATACATTAAACTAAAAATATTTATTAGCCGTGTTTTGGAGTTCTAATCGCAAGTAACATGTTTATTAATAACGTTTTCGTAATACAAGATGTTCGATACTGTCCAGAATTGTATCGTGATACAAGAATCTTTTATCATTTTGCTGAAATACTGTTTGTTTTAAAAATCGTTTTATATCACTATTAAAAATAAATTTAGTATTAGATACTATTAAATGCAATAATTAGAGCTTAATTAAGTTATATGAAGTTATATGAGATAAAAAAGTCAAGATATACACAAAAAAGTTGTAAAATAATGTTAAATATATAAAAAATATAATAGATATATAAAAAACTATTCAAAATTTATTATTAAAAAACATATAATGTCATTATATTAATATGCACAAAAAAGATAAAGATAAAAATATGCAAATCGCACCGTTGTTGTTAAATTAATAATAGACTGACACGATAAGATATAATAATAAATAACTACGTTAAATAATATTAAGTTTAATATTTAATATTATTTGAAATATATAGGTTATGAAAGAAAAACAAATTTTGTAGCGAATATTAAATATGTACCTATGTGTAAAAATCAACGAATATCGATGAAATATGAATTTTTTCTCTAATTTTGACAAAATATGCAAATATGCATTTTAAATTGTTGATTTTTAAACTCGTTGTTGTGTAGAAAAAATGTCTAGCTTAGTCTGCTATGAATTCAGTGCATACAGAAATATATGTAACTCCTATAACTTCCGAGCCCTAGCAATAATATTTATTGGAATCAAATTTTATGTTCCAAATACTTACAAATTGATTAAGCCGCTTCCTTCTTCATTTTCTTGGGTACTAAATGATGTTTTTTCCATACCCAACAAATTACTTATAGAATCAAAATCATATGTTTCGCTATACTTTTGACGAACTTTTTTTTTCGCAAATTTATCCCAATAGTTAACAGGAAATGATCTGTAATAATTTCGTACTATGTAAATATGATAGGTAGGTATTAAAATACAAACTAAATGATTAAATCTCTAAAAGACATACTTTGCAGAAATCACCAACTTATCCCAGTGGGACTTAATATCATCATCTTCGGGCTGTTCGACAATGTAAAGACCATCGAATTCTAATCTCCTGGCAATTTCTTTTTCCCGTTTAAATATGGCCAATGGAACCTTCAAATGATAATACGCTATTAACATAGCCAGTGAGGCCAATGAATGGAGCAGAGCCGCTAGTCGCATAACATGTTCCATGTAAAAAAAATCCTCATTCACGTGCACGAGTTCCAAAGCACCGTCATCGTCCATTATTTCTGTACTGTTTGAGTCGTCCATATCGTCGTTGCTGATTCCAGCAGCACCCAAAACAAAATCTTTAGCATCTTCATTATCTGCTAAATCTTCTGCCAATGTTGATACCTACAAGACAATATTATACAATTTGAAAATATATATCTGACATTTGATTTCGGTAGATTTTTTTTATACCTTGTAAAATAGTAATATGAAATTAATGCAGAATGCTAACACTAATGCGACGTATTTTAAATTATAAAAGTTTCTTGCCAAAAAACTCAAAGCACGATGAGTATATGCATTGATATCAATCTAAAAAAAAAAAAAAATATTTACATAAAATACTATACTTATTATAAATTCAAAGAACGTTAAGTTCTAAAGACAAAGGTATATAAAAAAAATGTATATAGTATATTATTATTAGTATTTATTTTTTTTATTAATAACATGATACTTTCGGAAATTAATAAAGTGTAGTGATTTATAGGTACCGTAGCAAATGCACTATGATTGTCAACTGAGTTCTTCTGTTTAATTTCTGCTTCCATGGCTGCCATTACAGCTTGTTGTTGAGCCAATACTTCAGGGCCGGCTATCGAATCTTTTCTTGCCGATTCACCTCTAAATTTAAAATATAATAAAATTGTCAAATATACACATTAAAACAACTGAATCAAATTAAAATATATTAAACTGTTATTTAGTTAATACTACCCACAAGCAGGCATTTAATTAGTTTCAAATGCCATTAGTTTTGTATAAGTACCTAGTTATATATTTTTTTTTTAATTCGGAACGTAGCGTATGCTATGTGTATTTTTTTATTATTTTTATACGTTTGTGAGCAACTTTTCTACCAGAAATCTTGCTCTGAATTTTATATAGTTGGTGCATTGAGGAGGTAATTTTTTGATTTTCCAAGTGGTTTTTAAAGCAATTGGGATAACCAGAAAAAAAATTATCGGAAAAATGCCAAGTACGAGTATATAATAATATAATGAAAACGCCGTGGCGTTACAGATTTATTTTTTTTTAATTTTTGCAAACTATGAACTATTTTCTACTAGAAATATTGCTTTAGTTAAAAAATGCCTTTAGGCCGTTCTTTGTAGAATTTTGGAATAGTTGCTGACGAAGTAAGTTATTTGATTTTCCAAGTAGTTATCATAATAATTAGAAAAACCGGAAAATAGCGAAAAATGAAAAACGAACGGCGTACGATTTAATTATTTAAAATTTGTACAGCTTATGTTTTCCACCATAAATATTGCTTCAATAAAAAAAACGATAAGAGATATTCTTAATCTTGTTGGTGAGTAAGTAATTCGTTTTATGATTTTCCCAGCAGTTTTTTTCAACAATTGAGCACAACTGAAAAAAAAACTTGGAAAGAACGGGAAAATTTATAAAAAAAATTATTATTTCATTATTTTCAATTTTATTTTTTAGTTGTAATTCAGCTTACATATTCATAAAAATCATGTTTGAAAATTTAATAGGAGATTCATTGTGCATCGTACTTAATGGTCAATAAAAATTGAGTATAATGTAGTATTTTTTTTATAGGAGTTAATATCTAATTTGATGAAAATCGTAAATATTTCGGTCTTTCAGGACATGTATTAAACCTACTAATTTCACTCTGAATCTTTTTTCATTAACAATGGTTGATCATTGCTTACAGATATAAGTTGTTAAATAACTTTATTTATTCTACCTTCCCAACTTCCCATCTACAACAGTGGCAAAATACCTGTCCCCAGTGTCTCCATGTGCTCTTTATTTACATTTACTCTTATAGTGTTAGGTACCTACTGAATTGTTTTTTTCCATTAGGCTTTAAACAGATTCAACTTTCAGTTCAAAATGTATCTATTTGTTTACGTTAAATTGTTATTTATTATCCCACATTTTTTTTTATGAACTTACACTAATAAATCAACAAATGAAGCTTGTGGTTCTGAGCTATCTTCTGATTTAAGACCATCTTCTTTTTCATTGTTTTCCACCAATAATTCGCCTTTATCATCTCCATTACGTTCTACGGCTGATTTTGAATCTGGTGAACCTGAGTTTTTTCTTCTGGTAAAAAATTATTGTCAATGTAATATTAAACATTAAATAGGTACTACTTAAATTATGACATTATTTTTGTGGGTTTAGATTTTAGGTTTTTTTTTTGTAAAAGTATTATACTATTGTTTAGGTATTATGAGAAAAAAAACGATTCTGTAATACACACATGTTGTTATTATCACTCGAAACCAGTGAAGTCTCTTCTATTCCCGAGGACGGCAGCGCAGGCAACATTCTAAATGATCCACTTTTTTCTTCTACCACTTCTACGACAGTTTCTTCCGATTGTGTACCACTCATTAATTGCATGAGTATACGAGAGATATATCTGTATAAAAAAATCAAAGTGTATCATTTTTTAGAAAGCACCTAAATATATTTTGTAGGTCTCAAAGTCATATATTCCTTAGACTATAATTAATAAACTCTATTAGACCAAATACCAATACATATAAAAATAAAATAAATGGTCAGTTGTCCACGAATAATAACAAAATAAAAATATTAAGTAAACTACTTTTTTTTTTTCAACCCGAAGGTTGGTTTACAACTCCAATTCTCCATTCTAACCGATTACTCGCCATTTTTTTAAGTTCCTTAAAGGTTTTGACTCTTGCACCACATTTAATTTGTCCTATAAGAGTTTCGGGAACGTCCTGCAGTTTTCTCTCCTCCTATCATGCCCTCTAATATTATATTATGCAAGTTTTCTGGGTGTCTCAAGGCATGCCCAACCATTTTTCAGCGTCTTGCTCTAATCGCATTTACGAGAGTATCTACATACTTAACGTTAATAAATTAAAATTTGACAATAAAACAAATTAAGAAAAATAAACCCTCCGAATATTTTAGATTTCCATATAAAGATATGCATATACCTACCTTACAAAATAAAATAAACAATATTTGTTCGTATTATATAATTAAAATAGTGGACAGGTAGGTGTGTAGGTAATTATTAATTAAATACAGAGTACCAAGTACCAACTTTATCTATTAACAAATGAAAATCGCTACATAATAAATATCTTTAAATAAATAAATAAGCAATTTCAGGCTACGTCCACACTGGTAAAAATTTACATTGTGCAATACATTCGACACAAGTTTGTTTGAGCGTTAAAAATGTATGCGGTTGTTTTCGCTATATAATAGTAACACAACATTTTTCGCCGTATTCCATACCCACGATCCGTCATGATCATTATCACGTATTTTTTCGTGTAGTTTTTCTTAATTTTTTGATTTGTAAAATTAATCAGTTTTTAAAAATAATCATAAATAACCAAACTATAAATTGTGTCATATAATGATGTTTGTTATAATGAAAAAAAAAAAAAAAAAAAAACGTGCGGCTTTCATTATTATCAATCATTTAATCCAGATAAAGAATCAGAAGCAACAAAAACAATCCATGCGCTATTAGATGAAACATTTCTATCAAAGCAGAAATCAATATGATAGTGGCAAATTATTGTATAAGTACTATCCATCGATGGAATTGCTGGGCATTTTAATAATTCTATTCGTTTGTCTGTGAATAATTTTGAGAACTTTAAAAAGTTATAACTATGATTGGAACTAACATTTAAGAAAAATGGATACAAATTTAAGGAAATTCATACCTTTAAAGGTTAGATTAGCAGTAACGCTGCGTTTTTTTTGCTTCGTGGGATTCAAGCAATTAATATCGTTAATTATTCCAAAATTATGCTGTGCTGAGCTAGATGCTTTTAAGGATTATGTTAAGGTAAGGTTCTGTTTTTTGTTGTATTAAAAGAATAACATCTTCCTGGTACAAATTCATTTTTTAATAGAATATGTATAAAATGTATGATATAAACCAATGGCAGAGAAACTAGTAGGTACACGATTAATCACGTACGTGTTGGTCTCGGACACAACGCACGATGTAAATGTTTGTTGCGTATTTTACATTAGACACACAACGTACATTTTAATTAGCGTGGACGCGGCTTTATACAAACAATTTACAATATAATATAAATTAAATTAATTTGTTAACATTAATATTGGTAACTGTGCAAAAAAATTATATGGACGGATGAATACGATAATTAAGTACCGAGCAAGTACCTACTGTATACCATATTGGTACAGAAAACCTACAATATAGATTATTTGTTTATGTTTCTAATAAAAATGGATTTCTTAATTTATCTAGTATTATTTATACTGTAAATTAAATGTATTAATACATAAATAACAAACCTTAATATGTAGAATCCACTATATCCAGTGTAAAACAATAAATAAAACCATAGTTTGAAAAACGAAGTAATTAATTCAATAGCACTCATTTGTTGAATTTCATTGATTTTGTTTTTAATGTTTGTAGGTGACAAAACGAAAAATAATAATTGGAATCCATATTTAATAGCATGCATACTTCTACGTATTGGATCTTTGGCCGTCCTGTTTAAACAATGAACATATTAGATTTTAGTATTTTAGTATTTTTTTGTTGTTAAAAGTTGAATAATGCGATCTAGGACAAACGGACGTAGCCATTTGGACGTGGCCGTTTGGACGTGGGGACAATTGAACGTAAAAAAAAAAATTATAAATCGGTCAATAATTTGTTTATCATAATAGGTACGCCAATAACTAAAATATAATATCAAAAATAGTTATTTATGCTAATTAAATGAATTATGAATACGTCAAAAATGTATAAAAATGTATAAACAATATTTAAAAAGTTTTTAATGTCAAAAATATTATACAAATGTAAAGAAATATTTTGATCGATTCCGTGTAAAAATGATATTTTAGTTCTATTTTGATAACTTTGCACAATTCTTAAAATTCATTCATTTGAATCAATAAATTGCTCTAATTTTTCGGTGGGGACTGTTACCTGCTTCAATTTGGCTGTAAAATATATCTCGCCTAGCTTATAGTTAGGAAATATGTATTATGAAGAAAATATCAGTGATTTTATAATTTATAAATATAGATAAACCAGCAGAACAGTACTACAATTATGTTTAATGATTGATAAATATACATATATATATTTTTTTTTTGACGTCCAATTGTCTTTACGTCCAAACGGCTACGTCCATTTGTCCATATTCGTGAATTTTGATATCCAGGGGCGGACTAGCCTGGTGGACAAGTGGACAAATACTCACTGGGCAGCTTCTCGCATTGAGATTGTGAGCTGGTATATTACATTATTAATTATGATAGTTATAATTAATTCGATTATTAAATAATGATACTACTGAAAATAAATTGGGTTGATATAAATTTTGTTGATGATGAGCATAAAGAAAAAACGTCAACATGATATAAATACAATTTGATGCAATATTTGTGTTTACCAGACATAGCTTGATATTGTTAAAAATAAATCTATTTTATTACATCATATATTTATATCATTTTTTGGTATTAATCACTTAGAAAATTGTTAAAACTCTAAGGGTTACCTTGCCTTTATGTGTGATAAAAAGGCAATAATAGAAAATGAAATAATAATACAAATTCATAGCAAAACGATTGATATTTTAAAAAATAGAAACAAATTTCGAAATTAATGATATTATATACTTTTGTATGTATTTTTTCTTACAAAAATAAATCCCTAAAGATTATTAAATAATATAATATGTTATACTTCAAATCATAATATAATATTGTATATGTTTTTCCGGCTCTGTCACTCTGGAACCAGCATATTGGAAATTTGACACAATACTTGTATCAGCGATTGTTATATCAGATGTAACCACACTTTCAATTGTAAAGCCCCTCAAAGCCGATAAAATTATCAAATTTATAATGCTGACGTGACGTCATGTTACCACCCGTATTTTTTTTTAAATATTTGCTCTATCGACTTGAAAACCATACTAACGATTTTTTTATCATTTGCACAAATTTGTAACCATAACATTTTAATTTGTACACCACCCTCCTCTCACTCAGAAACTTCACAAAATCGATTTAAAAATAAATTTTATGGGGTTCGGGAGATTTTACTAATGGAAATTGTATAGCTATAAATCTGAATCTGAACAACAAATGATTATATAACAATCGTTGGTATGGTTTTCGAGTCTGTAAGTCAAATATACAAAAATGCGGATGCCAGCGTGACAAAGCTTGTTTTCTTATCTACTTTTGAACACGTATAGCTGCTTTCTCATGGTTAAATAATTTTATACTCTGAATTTATTAATACCTACCAATAATTATTTTTTTTAATTCATTTTTTCATGAATGATACCATGCATATAACTGCATTTTTAACTACTTACTATGCATATTTGCTTAATATTCTATATTATTTTGACTGATTTCAAAATGCAATTGTAAACTCATAAATAAATTATAAATTCGATAAATTCGTTAGATTGTTTTATGAATGTAACGTTTGTAAGGAGTAACATTTCTGTGTTTAACCTAACTTAACCTAACCTTCGTGGCTAAAGTTCAAACTAATATCATTAGCCAAAATACATAGTTTAATTTAATATTAGGTAGTTTCTGAACATCCAAATATTACTCATTATACCTAATACGTATACGTACAAATAAATTACATTTTAAATAAATACATTTTAAAATTTTCAATTTGTAAATCATCTTACTGATTTTCTTCTTCATCGGCAAGATAAGTGTAAGAAGTTTTTCTAGATTTTCCACCACCAATCCCAGAACCGTCATCGACAGCCATAAGACCACTTGCGTGTTGCATTTCAAATATAGCATCTTCACAAAAATTAACAAATGCTTCTAATTTCTCTTTATCGCCACCTTCGGTAACAATTGAATAGAAGAATGCTCGTTTAGATTCCTAATTTATAATAAACATAAAATAATTAAATGCATTTATAAATAAATTCATTAAATAATAATTTATATAGCTTATATTTTCGAGAAGAAATGGATGGATTAAGTCTAAAATCAAATTATTTTAAAATAAATGATTAATCAATCTCTCTAAACTTTTTATCCGTTTGATGAAAAGTTATTGTTTTAGACTCAATTTCCATTAACTGGAAGCAATTGAACTACACTATACACGCACTCTAATTTGAGGTTTTAGCCATTGTTCGATATTTGATTCTTTAATTTCAAAATACACCCGTTCTATACGTTTACTTCCTCCAAGAATTTCAATCCTTCCGAGGAATGGTTGGAAATAGTTCAAAACACTGCTAGCTGTTTCAAGAAATCTAGTTAGCCTAAACATGAGAATGAGAAGAAAAATGTGATGTCATTTATTAAATGTAAGTATACAAAAGTAGATAGATAGATTAAAGAAATGTTTATAAATTATACCTTGGCTCATTTGGCATATGTTCTGATAAATTAGTCAACAACACCGCGAGATTAAATCCAATTTCTTTGGCTGGCTCATGGAACTGATCTGTGAAGCCAATGTAATCAATTTTACCGTCATGATTAGATTCACAACACTGAAGCATAAATTCGATTTCTTCCCTGGAAATATATAAAATAAAAACCTCAAATATTTGTAGAAGATACCTAGTTTTATTTTGTTTCACACAAATGCTAGAAACTTACGCAGTATAACTTTTTTGTTGTTCCATTTTTTCTTTAAAATCTTTTGGTTGTACCCAACCATCGTTATTGGGATCGATTTCCTAAAAATTACGTCGTAAAATAAAAAAAAAAAAATTAGTGAAAAAGATTTGGTAACATGAAAAATATATATAAATTTAAATAAATTTTAGAGCATTTTTACCCAACATAAACATTTTAAACTAGATTGTTTATATTATTTAACAAAGCATGTATCATTCAATTACCGTAAAACTGGTTGAACTTGTTAAATCTTTAAGTTTCAGGAACATATCGAAGTATTTCAATATCAACTAAAATTTAAAAAATGAGTTAATTTTACTAGTCGAATTTAAACTTTTAAAAAATAATTACCTCAACATTAGATGCTGATTCAACTAGTGTGTCAACCATTTGTTTACCGATTGTTCCATTAACAACGTTTCCTAAAATATGTATAAGGTAAATTACTATTATTTTTTATAAATCGTGTAATTATTTTAATAGTGTATTAATAGACTATAGTTTCTTTTACAATCGGTTTAGTAGTTTTTGAGTTTATTCCGTTCAAACATTTACAATTTTACAATTATATATATTAATAAAAAATACATAAATTATTATAAACAACTTAGATGTCACATAATAAATCATTACATACTAATTTGTTTGATTCATATACAAAAAATCGTATATAATAAAGAAACTAATAAAACTATAAAATCAACTGGTAAAATATATGGTCAAATCGTCCAATATTAAAAGTTTCTTTTTTTTTTGTTTTCTTGTAACTTATAAGTAATTTAGTAATGTGTATTAGTCTAAAATATTTTTAATTATGTGTGTTTATATTACCTTCTAACATGGACAGCATCATTGTAATCATATCTTTTTGTAAATTTAAAAGTTCTTTCAGCAAGTCTACTTGACTAGAATGTTTCGATAACTTGTCTTGCATGTGTGAAAACAAAAACAAAAATCCTCCAACTGCATCCCATAATCTAGAATGAGCTAGAGCTTGTTGATTTTGAGTGCACGGTCCTTGAATTACTTCAGATAGTGTATTGAAAACTTGACTGGCTACACCAATTGCTTTGAAAAAATTAGCTTTACCCGCTGGATCAATAAGCTCCTTACTCGAATAGTGCCAATAAAAGTCCATTATAGATTCCTGAAATAATAGCCAATTACACGCATTGTTGTTTATTTATTATTTTACACATCTTTATGTTGTATACCTGAAGTCTGAGTAAATAATCTACTGTGCAAATAACAACATTTACAGTAGTGGTATTTCCCGCTTGTGTCCTTAAGTAATTTTGCCATTCTAGAAAAATAAACCGTTGTGAAGTTTCAAAATCAAAATCCAATAATGATTATGTACCTAAATTATGTCCTTCACATGTTAATTGAATGAATCTAAATAATGTGCAAGTGAATTCAGCATCGTGCATATTTTTTTCACCAGCTGCACCTTCTGATCCAACACCCAAACCTTCAGCTTTAGTATTTCTCTCGAAAGCATCCAAATCGAGTACACTAAAATAAAATAAATTAAAAATGTTTCACTTTATAGATTTTATCTAAAATAGTAATAATAGTAATAATATAAATAAATAATAATACCTGCATGAGTTCATTAGACCAGCAACTGAAGTGAAAAATCCAACATCTTTCTTTTCTTTTAGATGATTTAACATACCCTATTAAAAAGTATTTTATGGTTGTAATATGTTAATTATATTTATTATAAAATAGTCATTATAATAATGTGAATAATACATATTTGTATTATAATAATAAAAAAAAATAAAGAATGAAAAAAAAAGTTCAATCACCATTTGAATGTCTAAGTTGCCGCCACGAAGAACTGCTATACCCAATTGAAGAGTTTTCATAACCATTTCGCTGGGAATACCTTTACAAGCTGATATATGTAACAAAACCATTTCTGCTACACCGCGATTTGCTAATCGAGCTTGATGGAACAAAAGTTTTTGTTTTTCCATTTCTTGTTCCTAATATATTTTTGAAAATCCATATTATTTTAAATATTTACATACAAAAATAATTATGTTATTTTTACATGAATAGAAGCACCGCCTTCTTCTTCTCCGTTGCCACTCGGACTTTCTTCTTCATCATTTCCTTCTTCTTCCTCTTCACCACAAGATCTATTATTATATACAAACAATTTTTGCGATGTATAAGGATGACAGTTATACAAATGAGACCATTATTTACAGATTTTACTTATTATTAACCTCTTATTTTAGCATCATATAAATATTATACATTACTTACTTTGCTAAAATGTCTGCATAAGACATGTAAAGAGGATCCTCTTGTAAAGCTCCACTTCTTTCAGTCATAGCACCTCGACAGAATGTGGTCACCATTTGATTTAAAGGATCTGCTTTTCCTTCCTCCTCTTCCTTGTCACGTTTTTTAAGTTCCGCTTCTTCGAATGATTGCTAAAAAAAATAATAGTTATTATAATTTTGTGGTTCGATATGATACGTAAGGAATAATGATGATTCACTAACTGTAAGATCCTCAATCATAACTTCTTGTCCAATATTTTCATCTTGGAGCCATAGTTCATAAAACGAACGAACGAATATATTTACTGCCCGGTGTCTAAAAATATGAGATTACCAAACGTGTAAAGTATAACAACAATTGTAACAGTAATAGTAAGTAGATCGAGTTAATACAAATATTGACAGGTAGGTACTTAATTAAAGTAATTTGTAGGTACAAGTATATAAAGCTAAACTAGTATTATATAGTTATATTATGTTATACATTTTACACAGTAGATTCCTGATAAATCGGCAAAAATAATATTGAAAAAATATAATATATTATATTTGTTCTGCTTAAAATACATCCATTATATCCTTATTAATGTAGTATCTATATTTATTCATAAAAATATATCTCTTAAGATTTTTATACATACTCTTAGTATGTTTTTCTTTTTTTTTTATTTTAGAACAAAAATTGCAGATTTTTCATAATCTACTGTGTAGACTTATGTATATGTATATTTCGTAAATTCAAAAAAATAGTAATAGTAGTAATAGGTACTAATAAAAGAAAAAAAAAACACAACATATTTTGTCAAAATACACATATACGTATATTGATGAATCTAAGCAAATTAATAACTTACAGTGGGTGTTTACCAAAAAAAAGCAAGTGTTAGAGGTACCTTTTTATGCAGTATAATGGAGTCATTCTAAGGCAGGCTATAGCGGCTCTTTTTCTGGCAACCGATAATATCGTTCTCCATCCCAGCCGATTCAATTGGTTATTATTGTGGGATAACTACATGTTGCATACAATTTCAAAAAAAAATGTTAGTAGGTACTTACACTTACACACAATTAGATATATTATATTTAAAATGACGTCACGGTTTAATAATGCTCTATATTGTACCTACTGGTAGTATTGTAGCCAGGATTGTGACCAGGAAAAAGCATGGAAGAGGAAGATTATACATTTGTATTATTATATCATAAGTATAGGTATCAAAATAATTTTTATGTTTATTTTATATCGATGAATTCATATATATTTTATTTGAAAAAAAAATTAATTTAATTTGAGTATTATCCTGGCTACAGGCCTACAGCACTGGCTAATATTGTTTGACGCATACATAGGGATAATCGAAAACAACAGGTAGGTCGGTGCCATAAAATAAACGACAGTACATTTTACAACAGTCATGTAGACGTGACACAATTAACATAAGTATAATAGCATACACATATTAACATAGAAGGATCTATAATAGAATATTGCATTAATATATCAGTGATTACTAATTGCATAAATTACAATGGACAACTTCGATAGGTAGGTAGCGTTAGTAGTAATAGGGTTTGCATGTTGTATCAGTGTCATAATATACTTGTACCTTATGGCTTATATCGTACATTATATGTATTGTATGAATGATTTATTAGTTGGTTATTAGTAACGAATAAGCTACAAAGTTAATGTAAGATAAGCATGTAGGTAAAAATAAAAGTGATTATCAATAGTTAAGAAAGCAAAGTACATATTAAGTACAAACAAAAATTGTAAACACAACTTGATGGATGAATATAAAACATTAAAAGCCTCTAAAAGACCTGGTCAAAGCGTGGAGTGAAAGTTGTCGGAAACAAGCAATTACGGCTCTCTTACGTTGCGTCGATACAACTGATCGATAAATCGCCTTGCTTTGAAGCTGAGGATGATCAATCTAGCAAAACAAAAAAAAAAAAAACATACTAACTATAGGTTATTGTGTCGAACTACTTTACTTTGAATCTACCTAAATATAAATATTTTAAAAGTTTATTTGTAATTAATTTTGAGGAATAAAAATGGACATGCGTTGTTTATACTTTATACTTTATACTTTACATAAATGTTTTAAAACAGGTAATATTATTATTTCGAAATAAAACATAAAAATATAAATACATTTTTTTTTTTAAATTTTAATTGATTTGTCAATTTTATTATTGATTTAGGTTATATGAAATAGTTATGTGTACTCTTGTAATAAAAGTTTATTTAAGTTTTAAGTATTATGTGTAAAATTATGAAAACTTAATTTAATAACTAACTGTGTTAGATAATCAATGTCCAAAATTTGTCAATACTATATATAAAAGTCATTAAAATAATTGGTTAAATTAGTAATAATCGGAAATAGCCACACCGATTGATTCTAGAGCCGTTATGGCGTTATAACAATAAAATATATTAGGTTATAATTAGTGGTGAGTATCGGTATAAACCGATATCGTATATCGGCCGATATTGAGTATCAGATATCAGGTTTTTTTTTTGTTTTAAACGGATATTGGACCCGATATTTTTGAAACAATTTTTTTTTAATAAAAAATAACATTTATTTTCGGTAAATGTCTAATTTCGATAATAATATTACAATATGAAAGAACCGTTTCAATCTTCAAATGTTAAATGTTACCTGCTGTTCAATAGAGAGTACCACTATTCAATTAAATTGATTGTAAGCACATTTGTGGCCATGGCATTGGTTCAATGAACATGAACAATATTGGTAACTATCTTGTATCGGGGTCTTTATTACATCAGTCAATCTCAATACCGGCTATCAGTTTTTGATTTCAAAAATAGGATCGATTATCGATTTTATATCGGTAACAAATATTTAATTATCAGATAAGTCTTATCGGCTCACCACTAGTTATAATGTATAATTATAATATTATTGTATGCATACAATGGCGTATTTTCAACTTTTTCCAGGGAGTATTTGTAGTTTATAACAGTTACGTACTTGGACATTTTTCGGAGTGGTTGAATATTAAATATGTATGTTAATTACAGTATTTCACCTAACTATCACTAACCATATCAACAGTCAACTACTATCAATAATAAATTTATTGCGATAGAGCCTTTATAATAAAGGTAATTTGCCATTATCGCACTTAACATATTTTAGTCACAGTTTGGAAACCAAAATATATCACAATGACACCACTAAAAGTATAATTTCTATGCTTATAATATAACTATGCTGCAGAAACATTTATCTGATTTGATATTTATTTTTTTTTCTGGCCATTGGGGGAGTCCAGTACCCCTAGGCCACCTCCGTAAATGCGCCACTGTATGCAAAAGTATTAGATTATTAATAATACAAATAGTGTGTTTAATGTGCATGTATGTATGAATATAATATATTATACATGCCGGAAAATATAAATATTATTAAATACAACCGAAAGAAAAAAATTACAGAAGTATACTTTCAAATATTTGTATGTTAAGATGCTGCAATATATTGTGATAGTTCAAAGGTTTAGCCATTAGATATTAAGTATCTTAATACTAGATTCTGAGCGGCGTAAGGAATATTTTTGTTATACTATGATGCATGTTGGTAATTTTTTTTTTTTTTGAGCGATTAAATTTAAATATAAATTTATTGAAAACACGAAAAATTGCAAATTATTATTAGTTAAGAATTAGTTTTTACGATTTAAAGTTATTAAAATATGTTAAACTCCGCTCAGAATCGTTCGTTTTCAATGATTTATTATTCCATATACAGTGTAATATAAATTAAATTATCATATGTATCCTACCTTCCCAACTTTCTACATACAACAGGAGCCTGATGTCCATGAGCAGGCTCGTATCTAGGGGGTAATTGTACTTTTTTTGCAGCAGCAAAATGTTTAGTTTATTAAAGGGGTGGTGCATATTTACGCCCGATACAAAAAATTATACATATAGAACTTAATTTTACAGAGATGTTTTTTTTTTTTATCTGTGCGCAACTTTTCTTCCAGGAGACTTCCTCGGGTTTCTACGTGTAACACGTTTTTTGAAATTAAATCGGTGTGGAGAGGTACTTTAAGAAGATCATTTTCGATTTTCTCTAGAGTTTTCACATCAAATGCGAAAAACCGAAAAAAAACGAAAAATTGTACGAAATATAATAAATATAATCTAACGATTTTGTTCTGAGGATAACTTTTTTATGAGCAACTTTTCAACTTTTAATGAAAGCAATGTTTCCAAAAGGAAATTTCACTAGGGAGGTACTTTAAAGAGGTCATTTTTCGATTTTCTCAGGAATTTTCTCATTAAATTTGAAAAACAAAAAAAAAAAATACGGGAAAATATAAGACGTCTTAGATAACGTATCTGTAATGATAATATGATATTAATATAAACTTTTCATCAAAAAATTATATTACTAAATAAATATTGATAGTTTATCAAATAAATATTTAAAGAATATTATGAATTTATTATTATTATTAATAACAAATTTTTAAATGATATAGATATATTAATATTAAATTATTATAAACAAACTGTTAAAATTATATTTTGAATATATTAATAATATGACGTCATTTATAAAACAATAAAATAAAATTCTGAATATATGATCATAATATTGTTAAAATGTAAATAATTATATTACGATTTAAAAATAATTCTATGTTTCTACGTGATATTCTACCATAGACACGATAATAATATAATTACATTATAATTGTCTAGATATATATTTTCTACGTTGGAACCTAGCATTTTATTATCAGGTTGTCCTAGGAAAATTGGGAAATACCCAAAATAAAATTATAGGTAAAACGGCATACGATCAGTGTCATCACCGAGATAAACAATTAATTATCTTTTATTTTATCTAGATAATAATTTTTTAAACAAAATTAGTTATCTGATGAATTATCTTAGATGAATAATTAGAATTATCTAACGTAATTCATCTAGATAAATAAATATATAAACCTATCTGACAAATTCAAAAAATTGAAGTTGAAAATTAAAACTCATGTTTCATTAGTAAACCAACCTTGTACAAATAGAGACAAAAATTAAAAACATAAAGTATTAGGTAATAATATTATCCGGGTCGCTCATTTGTGGTATTTCTAAATTCTAATAGAAATTGTAGAAATCTAATATAAAATAACAAAACAATTGTAGATTAATTAATAAAAATTGAAACTATTTAATTTTTTTTTTTATTCAAATAAATATTGTTTTACCTTTTATATTTATCTAGATAATTTAAATTTCAACTACCTTTTATCTCTATCTAGATAAATTGTATCTAATTATCTTTTATCTTTATCTAGATACATCTTTGCGTAACACTGCATATGATTACGGCACACCACAGTGTTACTGATTTCATTGTTTTTAATTTTTACAACTTATGTTTTCTGCGAGTAATTTTATTTCAATTGAAAATTGACAAAAGATCGATTTTATTTCTTTTAATATTATATAGCTACTGATAATGAAAGTCATTTTATGATATATAAATTATTTGTCATAACAATAGGAAAAAATAAAAAATATGATTATAAAATACAATTTTTTTTTTCAAATTACGACACGATTTCATTATTTTAAATTTGTAAGCTTTCTGTTTTCTACCAGAAATATTGGTTTAATAGAAAAACAAGAGATCTATTTTATTGAATTTTTTAATCTAGTTGGTGAGTAAGAAAATCGTTTTTTAATTTTCTCTGTTGTTTTTTTTAATAATTGCGTAAAACCAAAAAAAAAAAAAACGTAAAAATAACGGGTACAATTACAAAAATAATGCTTTTACTTTCAATTTTGTTATTTTATTGAAAACTTGAAATATTGCCTTTAAACTTATATTTATTTTTTCTTGACGTTGTAAACTATTCAAAACATTTGAACCATTTTTTATTCGTAATTTTTATTTTGCAAGTACTCTATGTATAAAATTACTAAACAGAAATGTTTGAAAATTTGTAGGAGGTTCATAATAAGTCATATATAGCAGTAAAAAAAAAGTTGAGTATAATATAGTAATTTTTTTTTTATAAGAATAATTTTAATATTTATATAAATTTTAATGAAAATCATAAATATTACAGCCTTTAAAAACATATTTTATAACCGAACTTCGCTTCGAATCGTTTTTTGTTAGCAATGGTATTTGTTGTTCACAGATATAAATTAAATAACTTTATGTATCCCACCTAAAAGGCTACAATATTGGCACAGGATTTTTTTTTAAAAATTTTTAAAATAAAAAATCACAGTTTAATGTAGTTTGTAAAATTTGTATCAATAATAAATAGAAAAGGTAGGAATATAGGTATTATATTGACTATGGATTATCCCTATTCTAGCGAAGTTATTTTGATCTGTAAAATGAATGGTTCTTTTTAATGATTATCAAGTAGTATAACAGTGGAAAAGTCTTATCTTTAGGCGTGCATGTGCAATTGTAAAAGTATTTACAAAGTATTTTTCAAATTTTACAATATTGGAGCACCAATCCCTTTGAGTATATCACATAGTATACAGATTATTCAGGATAAACATAGAATAATCTTTTATTTCAGACTCTGAATCATATTTATAGAGCATAAAATTACATTATTTGTATTAATTTTTCTTTTTTCAATTTACCTATTCTCCTAATAATTTGGGACCTCATATCACTCTAAATTATTTTTAAATTAATTATTTCATATCTATATAATATAAATCATTTATATTCTGCTAGGCAAAGATACAGTTTGTTTGCACTTATGACTTATGTTATTTTACACCTAATGGTATGAATTATGCTATTTACCATATGCAATCCATAAAGAACTTTTGCCATAGCGACAATCCTGTCTGCAACTTCGTCAACTTGTTGAGGTTTAATTTCTGTATTTCCTTTTTTGCTTCCTAATTTTGAGTATAAATAGTGTTGCCAAGACATTTCGTCAGCTGGGTCAAGTTTATCAGGTAATGTCAACTGAATTTTGACAAATTGGATAACATCATAATCTGGCATTTTCTAAAAAAAAATGATCAATAAATCAATCACAGATACTAGTATATTAATTTGTAAATATTTAATATAGTGTTTATACTTTTAAAAATCTATCTTTGCAGTGTTGAACTAATTCTTGTTCTCTCCCTGCAAACAAATTCAAACCAACTGGCAATAATCTTTTAAGACAAGCAACCATTAATGATGCTTGGATTTCCTTTTCTTTATCTCGTTTTTTATCCCTATTTTTTTTCTTTTTCTATAAATTAAATAGTATATTATGTTTATGAATTTGAATGAAAGTAAAATTTTCAATTATACCTTTCCCGTTGGCCCTCCTAATGATGTTTCTGATATAACAGCTGATCTCCGTGACGCGGTTGGCATAATAAGAATCATATTGTCAATTTCATTTGCAGAAACAAAATTCTGTTCTTCTCGTAGAAAGTATTGTGATTTAGACCAAATGTTAAATATTTCAGATACATGGTTATATAAATCTTCAGCATTTGAAATATTATTGCGTAGCCAGTGGTTACGTTGAAGGTCAACATACTTTATAAGCAAAGGATAGAAAGCATAAATATCCCTGACAACTAATTGCCAATCTTCTTGTATTTGTGCTTCAATCTACAAACAAAAATCCCATTTAAATTTATAGTTAGGAGATTAATTTGATCAGTTTAAAAAAATAATTAATATATTTATAATTATAAAGGTATAGTTATAATAGGTAGCACTATACTTGTGAAGTATCGTCGGTTGATGATTTTATAAATCCTCTTAATGATTCTTCTTTATGATACAATGATTCTGTACGTTTTTTAACTCGCTCGGCAAGTGGTAAGAATGGATCTTTTAATAATTCCTCTGAAGAGTTAATAATGATTTGTTGTGTATAAGCTGTAAGTTTATTAAAACCAAATTGTTGTACATTTTTTATTCAAATAAAAATAAAAATATTTAATTATCAAGTAAATCCGCTAACCAGCAATTTGTGTCATCCATGGTGCGTTGTCATTTCCTATATTTTTTTTTATTAGTTTCAATACATTTTTTAATAGGCAGTTCATGTGTTCACTAGTTACCATTGTGACATGATTTCTGAAATAAATAAATTAGTTAAATGTTAATAGGTTAAATACATTTAAAAAGATACTCTATATCTGTTACTATAATAAATATGGGGTGTGATTATTTAATAACAAAAGCTGTAATAAAAAAGTCATAATTAGGGCTAAGGACTTATAGCTTTTTCATATTTATCTAGAAAGGTCGCAGAACAATGTGAGTGATGTATAAATATGTTTTTTAACACAAGGAGGTTGTATTTAAAATTTTATTTTGCCTATGTTTGTATATTTTGTTGATATTGCATATAAATGCATATTTGAAAATTAGGTATATTAGACAAATTAAGAGTATACAGGTACACATCTGAAACATTTTGATAATTGATATAATGCTTTAACATATAACGGGCTGTAAAAATATTATTTTTATACAAACAATTTTTCTAAATGTGTACCATCATAACATAATATTAATACCATCATTAATTAGATAATTCATGATCTGGCAAATAACTCTGCGACGCGTGCATAAAACTAGTATATGAATTTCAGTTATTTAATTTTTAAAGAATTTATTAATTAATTGAAATATTATTTTTAGATTTTTTTAGGTTCTAAGTAGAGCGAAGAAGCTTATGGTTGTACATCGTTTTTTTTTCTTATTGACAACTTTTCTACAAACAGTTAGAATGATAGCAATTTTTCTAAAAAAAAAATTTTATTGGGGAGGTAATTTAGGAAGATCATTTTTCGATTTTCTCAAGAATTTTCCCAGCAAATGTCAAAAATCAGAAAAAACATGGGAAAATGGGAAAATCGGTACATTAAACAAATATTATTAAAGATAATATATAATGCATATTTAATTATTTTACAATAATATGATATAGATACTGTTGCAAAGCATCACTATCAACTGAACTCCACTTAGAATTGTTTTTTCATTATTAATGGTTAATCGTTGCTAATAAATATACATTAAATTACCTGTCACAGTGACTGCACCCGCCCCCATTATCCTAGGACGTCTTTTTTCTTATGAATATTATAAATTATAATATAATGAAAATACCATATATTATATACTATCTTTTTAGAGCATATTTTAAGTTCATAGTTTTTGATGTTTAAGTGTTTAAGTACATACATCTTTTGAAGTTTTTAAGTACTAAAAGTCCTCAGCACTCAGTCCTAGTCATAATTAATTAAAAATCGATAGATCAATTTATTATTGGATGGTGGTAATTCTTGTCAAGGTAATACATGTGCAATAAATGTAACCGACATCTTCATAGACGGGTAATTAATACGACATTGGTTTCTGTAAATTACTGTACAAATACTCGTTTATTATCTTAAAATAAAATGTTGAGTATAAGAAGGTAACAATTGCTAGTTTCCGTTGATAAATTTTACCTTAAATGACAGAAATTACGTCGCGATTTTTTGTCCTTGAGGTAAAAATTATAAGGGGGTAAAATTTGTTCATTACAATTTATACCTTATCCCACATACACAAAATGGTTTCTTACTTTCATGAAACGGATATACCTTATATATTTATATCTTTATGTATTATTTATGTATTTATACGGAACCTTTTTATATTTTTATATTGTGATTTAAATTTTAATAATAACATAGTTTAAATTAAGTGGACGACCGAAATGCATTAATTTTCGTCTATATTAATGGTTAATAATGGGCAATAAGGGGAAATAATATGACAATAATTGGTTTTTTTTAACATACAATAGTACTTTAGCTTCGTTGGTTGTATAAACTTGATTTTGTTGCCAAAATAAACATTATGAGTTGAATTACACGTTTAACAGTTTTTTTTTAATGTTTGGTTTAAACCTAATCTATTTCATTTAAAAATATTTTGATAAAATCATACAAAATCGGTAGATTAGAATTTCAAAAAACTGTTCAACAGACATTTATTAAAACTTTTCAAGGTTATTTTGGCTTTTAAATCAAGTTTATACAACATACAATCAATGATACAACCATGATTTATTTTCGAGAGGAAGATGGGGAGATAAACATTAAAAACGAAAAAGGATTCTCAGTAGAGTTTTAATATAGTATAATAATAATCATGATTTTTTTTTTTTATTGTCTAAAAAACAGTTAAAAAAAAAAAAAACTAATACTGGAAATATGTACGGCTACTGTGATAGATGGATAGCCGGGAAGATGGGAAACATAAAGTTATTGAATTTATATCTGTAATCAACGATAAACAATTACTAACGAAAAACAATGTGGAACGAAGTTCGGTTCTACTTTTTTTGATAGGTCATATGTTTACGTTTAAGGTACATTGTTTACGCATTTTGTCAAAATTTGATTTTAAAATTTAAAAAAAAATCCCAACATTTTTTTTGTCTTCTAAGTATGACTTATAATGAACCTCCTGACAAATTTTCAAGTATTTCTGTTAAGTCAAACAATGATATACTTAAAGTAATTACCCAGTAAAAACTATTAGCTAACATGTCTATAAATAGCTAAACATAAATCAAATATTTTAAAAATTAATCCATATTTTCTAGAAAAGAAATATATACTTTTTCTATCAAAATCAAGTTTATACGAATATTTTCAGCTTAATTACAACCAAAGAATAAAATTAAAAATAATAATAACACTATTTTTGTAAACTTTTTTGTCTTTTTCGGTTTTGCTTAATTATTAGGAAAATTACAAAGAAAATCTAAAAAACGATATTCTTGAACACTAATCAAATTAAAAATTTAACAAAAAAAAATGTCTTGTTTTTCTATTGCAGCAATATTTCTGATAGAAAACGGAAAGCGTAAATAGTTATGGCTGATATACAATTTTTAAATATACTTTTATTACCTAATTAAATAATAATATAAAAACACTCTTAAAATACTTCACACCACGGATAAACAATTATAGTTTGGTAGTTTCAAAAGTACAGGAAATATGTAATTTAGTTTACACTCGTATACCTACTAAAAGCAACGATAATTCATTATAATTAAAAAAATGATTTCAAGTGGAGTTCACTAATCTGGTTAAGTATTGGTCGTGTTTTTGTTTCGTGTGGTCAAGACAACTCAAAATTCAACAAAATAAAACCAATGAATCATCATTTGTTTTCAATTATTCAAATAATCTATTAGGAACCCAGACAAATCTTTCAAAGTACCGTATGATGAAAAATTCACATCTTTTAATCTACTAAGAAAATAATGAAAAAATTGAGTATTTTGACTGACAAAAAAATTTTTTTAGGAGAAAAAAATAATCTTCGTAATATTTATTGATTTTTTTTTACGCGTTTTAAATAAGTCTAAAACCCGTAACAAAAATGTTGTAGGTACGTAAATCTAGTTTTTAAGAAATACGCTATTTGATCTATCGAATATAAGTAATACTGTGTAGAATTATTAAACAAATTTCAAATTTTGCGAATGGGGTTACAACCTCCCCTCTGGAAGTATACAAACACATTTTTGTTATATTTCCCGTTAAATAGATAGAGACGTCAAATTCACGTCTGTCGTTTTTTTAAGATTAAAGTTAAGTAATATTTACCCTGTTGTTAGAGCAACGTTATCAGGACCTTGTGCCCACCAATACGGTAAATATGAACATAGCAATGGTAAAATTACATCGATAATGTGAGGAGCGTCAGCATATGTTTTTTCTGACTCAACAAACTGATCAACTTCATTTAATACAGCTTCTAGAGTTGGCATGGTACCTTCCATTCTTGACATTATATCTGTTTAAAAAAATATGGTTAAACAAATATTTATAGATATACTCGTATATTTTTTTTATTTGCAATTTTATTTATTTTTTATGCTTGATATTTTATTGATCTAAAAAAACAACTTTCGTTTTTTTACAAATACGTTGTTATAATAGGTTTCCTGGTGATTTACCTTGAGCTTCCAAAGAATGATCAGCAATTCGATTTAGTAGTGAATATTGATTATGCTTATTTAGATGAGGTTCCAAGAAAGCCACAGGAAATGTTGAACTAAATGCGCCTAGGCAGCTACCGAATGCTGGTCGATGCCTTTCCAATTGTACTTTTAAGTATTTTCTATATTTTAAATCAAATAGTAAGTAGTCAAAATTACATAATTTTTATGATGATGCTGATTACCGGTCATGGGTTAATGACGAATCTATGCCAAGAGTGTATAAACTACTCAACATCTTATAAGCCGCTACTTGAATTTCATCCACTATTTTAATCAAAATGTAAATATAAATATTTAGCCATCCAAATTATGTACGTACCTAATGTTTATTACTTACATAATAGATCATTTCCATATTCACATGCAGCTAAATGGTCAAAAAGTGATGATAGAACTGGCAAAATTACATCATTTACGTAGAATAATGATGTTGACGTTTTTAAATGGGTTCCTCGTAGATAACAATAACGACTCTAAAAAAAATGTGTATATACTTTTAATAAATTATCTAATATAATATATTATTTATACAAATTTAAAAATTCAAATTATACATCTTGTAAATTTTGTATTGTATGCTCTAAATCATCTGCTATATTATGAAAAAATGTTAACATTGAAGTTCTTATAAATTCTGGACAGTTTTTTACAAGAGACCTAAAAAATATATAATTCAATATTTAATAATATTTATTTTTATTTATGATAAAATTAAAAACAATACTTGGCATCAATAGCTTTGACGAGAACTTGTAGACATCGCACAGTTATACGGACATCAGCTCCAAAGGCCATTAATTTAGATCTCAAAAGATTGGCTAATTTACAAAATAAACTAAAACATAACATAATTGTAATGTTGTTCATATAATAATTTTGATATATAATGATATATACTTTACCTGGCGACCATTTCTTTTTCCTTTAAAGAAGCTGCACCTAAGACACTTGAAGCAGTTGCAATCGTTATGAAGTAATTTCTATGAGTACTGAAATATTTTTCTACTAATGGAAGTACAACCTAAAATCGATACCATATAATATTGTATACATTTATTTATAGCCATTAAAACATACCTTGGAGAAAAATTTAATATCTCTCGTACAAATTTTAAAACTTGACCTTCTACTAAATGTACCCGAAGGTTTTAAAAGTTTCATGTTGATTGATGCCCTATCAATATAATGAATCAGTTTTTCTAATAAACTATACGAAAATCGTAGCTCGCCCGTTGACGCAGCAGCTAATTGTTCAGCTTCTGTTGGTCCACCATTACGATTTGGTCTAAATAAATAAAAATAACAAATAAATATTTATTTAATACAATAATAAAAAAAGTATAACTTATTTATTTAACATAATTCTCATACCTATGTAGTTTATAACCTTGGTATTGCAAGTATTTTAAGAATTCTTGTGAACGTTCCCTGTCTTTCTTTTTTTCTTTGTCGGTCAACAAATCATATGGCACTAATTGATTATGAATACCACCTCCTGAATTTAAAACTTAATATAACTTTGGATTCCTTGGTATAAAATAATTAAACATTTACCACATATCATTAGTTCTTCTTTTTTCTTCTTTGCCCAAATATCATGAGAGTTTTCTGCTAATCTTTCAGCCATATTTTGCATTTCTCTTGTAAGTGTTAGATTTGTCATGTCTATAGGATTTGGGTGGTAGTCAAATGGCGTTACATTTTCCTATAAATAGATATAATGTTATATGAGCTACTAATTTAAACCTTAAAAGTACTCACATTTGATTTTGATTGTCGTCGAACTGATCCTCTATTGTTCAGTGGTGCATCATTTTCTGAATGTTCAATACTCCATCCTATAGCAAGTAAAGCTTTAAGAGATTCTCTAACTGGTTCTTTGTATAATTCTTTTTCCTGATATATTGTTAACATAAGATGAAAGGGAATTAATTTATTACAATTTTAATATTCTAAAAAAAAAAAATCAAAACTTACATAATCACTTAACATCATGTATGGTTTAAGACGAGGATGACTTTTATTGACATCGTTAAATTGCTCACCATATACCCACCCATTTTCTAATTTTCGATTTGCCCATGCATCGTGATAATGTTCCGAGAATTTTTGTACAATGGAATTCAAGTCATTATCAAGAACGATGCTAAATTAAATAATTGTCAAAATTAAAATGGTTTTTTATTTTTTTTTGATGAAGAATAAAAAATAATTACCTAGTAGTATTGATTGGTTGAGGATTGTAAGGCCCATCTGAAGGTCCTTGGATATTTTGTTTTGATCCATACCATTCATCATCATAATTTTTCGACAAAGAATAATCTGGAGGAAGTGCACAACCGATTGCTGATAAGCAAGGTAATGCTTTTCCAAACAGCTCTGGATCATAGTCCTACAAACGTATGTTATAGTAGAAAAATTAAAAATATACTTGTAAAATAATATAATATTTAAATAGAGTGTACCATTTTTGAAAGAGAATCGAATATATTGCTGAATAACATCATGGTTAATCGTTTTTCTTCGTCACTAGAAGCTCCATACAACCCCTGACCACCCGTTGATCCATAGTATTTCGCACACCGATCGTAATGTAATGTTAAAAGCTTTAACATATGGTTCAATTAATTAATAATAATAAATATTAATTCATAATGATATATCATATACAATATGTATAATACATATACAATGTGATTCAAAATTTATATTATAGCCATTCTATCATATAAATATTTAAAATGGAGATAAATAATAATACCAATATTTTGGGTTTATAATCATCTAAAGTGATTTATACATTTTTTGTTTATTTTTTAATCTTTTAGGGTGTTTGGGGGTCATCTTTGGAAATTCAAATGGCCTATACTACTTTGCAGACACAATGTGAAAATATTTTTGAAATAAATTCTAATGGTTAAACATAAGTCTATTTAAAACTTTATGATTGATAGTAATTTAAAGATAATACATAGTTATAATTGATTCCATAATTGGTTCGTGAAAGCAACTCGGTACATTGTGTGGTAAATGGGACTACTCGAATACTAAGTCCCTGGATGTATTATCGCTTAAATTAAACTCAGGTCTGTGATATTATTTGATTGTGTCCATGGATATAAAACTAATAATAATTGATGATAAGGATAAAACCGGTTATTGCCTGACAAAATAACCATTGAGGCTACAGGCTTACTGTTGGTTATCTTGTAATTATCAAACGGCACATGTCCAGGTCCTTTTTGTTATAACTACAATATAAGTAATAATTGAAGTGTTTTGTAGTAATAATAAGTCAAATTTAGTAAAATTATTAAAATATGGATTTCTTGACAAGTGGAAGAATGATATTAGAGAATGGATTTAAATTTCATTTCCACATAATGCTACTGAATGACATACAACGTTGGATATATTTTCTAAATACGTGTATTTTTTTAAAGTAACATCCATCTTACAAAAGATAGATAAATATAACCAGCCTAATCACAAAAAATGTAATACCAAGGCAAAAATTGAGTAATTCCGTTGAATGAAAAGCGGTAGGAAATATTTCTACATAACTTTTGAAGCTCATTAGGTCTTATTTTGAAAATATTATAATAAACCTATGATATATTATAGGAATGTTTTAAAATTAATAAAAAAACAACATTCATCATTAGTACTCTTAAAATACTGTATCGGAAATTTCCTAAAAGCGCACAAGAAACACAAAATGCCTTGTAAACAATAAACATAAGTATACCAACAGAAATGAACATTTTAGATTCTAAGTAGAGTGAAGAAGTTTGTGGTTTTAAAATTATGTTTTTTTTTTTTTTTTTTTATCTGTGAACAACTTTTCTACCGCAAATATTGCATCTACAAGTGTAGCACTTTTTCTGATAGGAAATTTGACTGGGGAGGTACTTTAAGGTAGTTATTTTTCGATTTTCTTAAGAATTTTCCCAATAAATATAAAAAGCCCCAAAAAGCATGGGAAAACAGGGAAATACGTAGCAAAACGGGAAAATAGGTGCAATATTAAATAAATATTATTAAAGAAAATATATAATGCATATGTAATTATTTTACCATAATACGATATATATATATATATATATATTGTTGACAAAGCATCACTATTAACCGAACTCCGCTCAGAATCGTTTATCATAAGCGATGGTTAATTGTTACTTACAGATATACATTAAATTACCTATAGCAGTGGCTGCACCTGTCCGCGTCCCTATTATCCTAGGACGTCTATTTTTATTTTGTAATAATTTGGTGGGCAATATCATAGGTTTTTCTATCTATACGAACTTGAAAGAATTGTGTGGTGTTACAAGAATATATATAGATAGAAAGTTTAAATATTGTCCAAAATACTTCTAACAACTTTTTACTATTTGTGGTTTTCATAATTGACTGTATGTACCATTGATTTTCTTGAACCCAATAAAATATTAGAATCTTATACAAAACTTTCCAGTATATTTTCTCATATATATATTGCTTTTCTTTCAATTGAATTTTCATTCTACCGAAATTTTAGTTGATTTTAAAGAGGTAATTTACACGTTTATCATGAAAATTTGGCCTGAAGCTATGGTTGAAGATTGCAGATTTCACATAGCACAAAGTTAGTGCGAAAAATTCAACAACTTGGACTTTCGAAGGAATATAAAGTACTGATACTGTTACTGATACTGATACTAAATGTGTTTTTGGTTTACCATTTTTGAAACCAGAATAGGTGTTTGATTGTTTTATCAATAATTTATCAACCATCAAACCAGTTAATACAGCTGTAGATAAATTTAATGTTTTTATCCTAGAAACATACGTTAAGTTAAGGTACATTATTTCCTTCTAATATTTTTGTTGAATTTACAGCGACCACAAATAAGTTGCGTAAGTTTTTATTCAAAATTAAATACCAGTTTCAAAGAAATTGAAAGTGAAATTTACACATCATTTCGGAGTTTAGCAACATAACCATGCAAAAACACAGCCAAAAATGAATAATTTTTAAGAGTGATGACTACCGGATTTCCTCGCCAACTCGTGTATAGTTTTCTGCATAAAAAGAGGGGAATAACCATTTATCTAATCTAAATACAAATATGATATTACCGCGAAGATAATAATATCTTAAATGTAAACTTAAACCTCGCTAACGCTTCATTAATTTCATTGAAATTTGAAATTCAAAAGTTTTACATTTCAGGTTTGTATGGCTCAATTTTTTATACTCGTAAAACCCTTGATTCCAAATTTGTATTACATTTTTACTTTCCCTAATATTTGTTCAAGACATTTCAACTATTAATTTACATTCTAACATAGATATTCGATATAATGATAAAATACATAAATGTACATATACACACATTTAAATCAAATAATAAAATGTACATACTCGAAGTGCTACAGTTGTATACTCCGATAAGTTTGAAACATCAACCGTAAGTTTTCTGAGTAATTTTAATAACATACTTGGTTGCATTTGACTAAAATTAATCAAAATTGATCCATGATTAATTATTAGTATTAATTAATAGTTAATAACAATTATAATGACACTCAATAAAAATATTATATATGGTCTACTTACCTAGTTAAAGCTACTAAAAAATCTGAAACAGCTTCTCGCTGTCCTTTTGTTAACATTCTATTTTTAGATAATCTATATACTGTATGTAGAGTGGCATCCAATAAATTAGCATAGTTATCAGACTCACTATAGAACTTTGAATGACCAATAAGTAATGGTAATACTGAATTTCCTATGTATCTGTTCATAGCCAATGCCATGTCTGATTCAAGTCCGTCATTCTAAATAATAAAATTTCTGTAAGTATATAATATAATTATATTTTACTAATAAATACTCTATCTAGCATTGTTGCAGTACGTAGATCTGGTAAAAATGCTTCCTCGAGCAATGTGAAAAATAACTCCTGTGTTTCGATACCATATACTCTTTCCAAGAACAGTACTATACTTTGTTTGTGTCCCGGTATTAATCCGGAGGGCATATCACTCTTGGGACGATCTTGACCAGCAGCTGGATTCTGCAGTGTAAATCTGAGACTAAGAACCCCATGTAGATCTTCAAGGGGTACCAACGAACGGAGAATAGCTCTAGCACGTAAAGATTCATTTTTACCCTTTACAAATAAAAAAATTGATATTGAATTCATCTAAAATAGTATTATATACATAAATCACATAGAGTATTTATGTCATATAACGGTTTATTTGAACTGAACAAATTTAAATTAAATAAGAAAATATACCATAAAGTATTTTATCTTACCAATGAAATTACTGAACTATCTGGTGCACATCTTCCTAATAAGTCTACCAGGGTACAATAAAAGTTTAAAATAGCAGCTCCCGTATCAATATAATCTTCATCTTCGTCGGATTCGGGAAGTGGATGATCTAGTTGAATATTCTCTTGATTTCCTGATTCATCTATGTACTTTTTCCGTTCCGCTATTCTCTCAGACATCTAAAATAATTTATTAACAATTTTAGTTTAATTATACAAATGATAACTTCATGCATCTGATTCTATTGTACTTTGTTAGCGTCAATTATGGCACGCAGAAGCCCTTCTCCTTCTCCTCTTAATGCAGGTCCCAAACATTCTGGTCGACGTATAAGTAATCGAATAACTAAATTGGCATTTTCCTCTACGCTTTCACCTGTTAGACAATTATTATTATACAAAATATTATGATATAGTATTAAAATTAATTTATAACTAAATACTAACCATTAACCCAAACGCAAAATCGTAAAAAATCTAAATATCTTTCGCCTTCTACTGGATCCCATCCTAGATCAGGGTAACCCTTTTCAATTAATTCAGAATTGGATTGTAAACCACAACGAGACAAATAAATTGCAATTTTTTCTAAATAATGCTCTCTAAAAAATAGTTTCAGTTAAATAAGTTTTAGAATTGTAGAAATTCAATTATTATACTCGTATTCTAAATTCTAATAATCTTTAAATATTAAAAATATACATATTCTGTTAATACCTTAACGCTAAAGCAAGCTCAGTATTTTCCATTAAAGAAGAATAGGCAACATCCAATGGTGTACTTCCTCTTAATGATGGTCTTGAAAGTAAAATGTTACTATTCTCTAATAAAAATGAGAAATGATCAAACATAGCTTTCTGATTTTGCCTCGATGTACGGCAAAAATAACATAAGAACCGACAACAAGCCACGACCATTTCATGTGATGTATCCTAATTTATACAATTTAATATTTATCATATTTTTAGTTTCTTGCACTAAATACTTTACTAAAATAAATAAAGTAAGTTCTTTAAAAATTACTTTTTCTTTTGGAACTATTTCACCATCCTGGCCTGTTACTGTTGTTCCACCGCTTGGTTGAGATTGTGCTTGAGCTCTTCGTCCCAATGTATTCATCATAACAGCCATTACATTCTCGTGCATGCGTAGAACTCTAATTAGATCCGGATGTTGGAAAAAGGTATGATTGTTAACCAATTTCCTAAATACACATATTTTTATTTCGATACATGCTATAATTTTGTTTTATTTTACGATTAAAAATTCAAGACATTATAAAGATAACAATTCTTCTTTAAATGATTAATTTTCATCAAAACATTATATGAGTAGTTTTTAGTTATGTAATAATAAGTAATATATTAAAAAGAATTCAAACCATAATCTTTCTCGCATTAGCTCTTCTTCTTCTTGGGACATTTGTACAGGCAACAATGATCGAATTTGACTAAGACCAACCCACATTTGAGCAACGTCTTCTTTTGTTTTAAAATTAATAACATATGTTTTCTCTAAAGCACGAATTAGTTCTCCAACGCTATCATATTGTCTAACTAATAAACTACAAAATAAAATAAATAAATATGAGTTCACAAATTTAAATAGTGTAGGTAATAGAGTAGTGTATATGAAGGAGGGATTTTTGTCCCTTGGACTTTTTAGATTCTAAGTGGAGCAAATAATGTATTAATTAAATTTTTTTAATCTGTAAACAATTTTGGTATCAGAAATCTTACATTGGTATTTAAATGTAACATCTGTTCCGAAAGAAAATTTTATCTGGGTGGTACTTAAAAAAAGTAATTTTTTGACTTGCTAAACGGCTTTCATAATAATTAGGAAAGACAAGGAAAAACGTAGGAAAAAAGAGAAGATTTACAAAATGTATTATTTTTTAGTTTTATTTTTTGTTGGAATTCAGTTAAACATTTTTTGAAAGACTTTAATTTTTGACAGAATACTAATATTTGCCTTTTCTAAAGGTGGTAACATGATCAAAACATTTTAACGATTTTTGAGCTATTTTTAACATTTTAATTTTGCGAGTTTTTTACATAATTTTTATTCGATAGGTACTCTGTGGAGACAATTATTAGACCAACCAGAGTATTAAAAAATTTAACAGAAAGTTTATATGCACTATGTGAAAAAAAAAGTAAGTGTAACATAGAAAAATTATTTTATAAGAACTTTAGTATTAAATTTCGGCGAAAGTCATAAATATTACGGCTTTTCAAAACATATATAACTTAATTCCGCTCAGAATCAATTTTCGTACACAAAGATTAATAGTTTTATTTTTATTCGTATCCTACATTTTCAACCTCTCTTTTATAGCAGTGGTCTACCCATCATATGAAGTATGTCTATATCTTTTTTTTTATATTGTTGTTTGAATTATATAGGTAACCAAGGCTGTGACTGAGAGGTAGTGGGTCCAATAGTGTGCGTTAGTACATACAAATATTAGTGTATAATATTTAATGTTTATACCTATAATATATAATCAAAGAACTTTGGACCCCACCCCTGAAATATGTTTTCAGTACCTATGATACCAGTTGTCTCCCCTTCAGATATGCCACTGAGGTAATAGGTGTATAATACACGAGTGATGTGTACATTACTTTATTAAAACCAATATAAAAATAAATTATACCTGAACATTTCTCTAACTAGTTTTGGTGTTTCGATTTGAGTTTCCTCGGCCCAGGCCACAATAGTTGTTATTAAAACTTTCCTAAATATTTCTAAAAAAAAAAAAAAAAAACAAACATTTTATAACTTAAATTACTAATAATTATTCAGTAATTCTGATTATATTTGTTGGGATTGAAGTGACGTATTTTGTTATAAAACTATAAAAATTGTCAATAGAAGCTTCTTTGCTTCTAATTTTTTTGTGATCTTGATTTTATAAAAACTATTTTAATTTAATTCATAAAGAAATTATTTCCCATAACTATTATTTATTACAAATAAATAGGTAGGTAAATACAAATATATATAAAATACATATATTTTGGTTTATTATATTTACTAACCTTCTGGTATTTTCTTTGCTTGTTCATCAAGTTCATCTTCATTTCCTTCATTTTTAACGGCATTAATAAAGTTATAAAACTGTTTTATTTTACCTTGTTTGTTTTCGTTATTTATGTCTGATTTCTATAATATAATAAAATAATTTTATGCTGTAAATATCAAAATATTTCGTACAAAAATAATACTTATGTATGGTTACATACACTTTTAGTGAACCACTAGAGCTTTAATGGATTATTAAATTATTAACCAATTTAATCAAACGATCATCAAAAGTAGGGGCCATTTAAATTGAAGGTAACTAGTTCCCTAATTAAAAGCTTGACTTAAATGTTTAATCATCGGTTTCCTTAAAACTTTGACAACTTTGATTGAATATTCAGTAGGTATAAGGTATTCATTCACTTTTCAATTGTGTGCAGATGATAACGTTATAATTGTAAATAAAAATGTTTTATCATATTACTCGTATTAAATCATAACTAGATAATTATTTAATAAACATTCGTAATTCAATTACGAATATGATTTTTCGTCATTTTTAAAAGAGTTAAGCTCAGTTTAAGCATTGATAGATTACATTTCTATGAATAAAAAAATACTTTAAGAATTGTTCATTAGAATATGATATTAATCAATGATCACTGATTATGATTGAAATATTTATATTTAAAAAAAAAAAATAAAAATTATAGTGATAGTTTGAAAAATATATGTGATTAAGGCCTATTATTATCTATTTAATGTAATATGCCTTGAAATATAGTGTATTTAATATAATTCATATAGTTACATCATCTTCTGATTCTTGAAGAGCTACTAAAGAAATTTGTTTCATGAGTTTTTCGTTAAATTCGTTCATTCTTTCCCGAAGTTCATCACCAATTAGACAATTTTCTTTATCAACACTATCCAAATTCTTAAAACCTAATATTGCGTTCATCTGTAAATAATAATCGTATATATTTTAATGTATTATAATAGAATATATTTTCAATGTATATTCATATATTTATAAAAATGAATTAATAATCATCTTGAATTTATACTTGTTCTCGTGGAGGACAACGGAACTCCCTAGTTTTTTTCGCAGCTACTGCAGATGGCAAATCTGATTGTTTTATTTCATTATATCGTCTTAATTGATCCTGAGTAAATATTAAAAATACATTGAGAACATTTAAAAAAATGTATATTGAAATATTAGCTTACAGTTTGTATATCATTAACAAATTGAAAACTAAATGAGATTATTGACTCGACTCTATGCCTGAGTTGAATGTCACATAAATGGTGTAATAAATAACACATTTGAAGTTTTGCGCCTTCAGCCATTTTCATATGTAGTAAACCTTTTCTATGTTCATCAGGACCATCTAAAATTAATAGTTGTATGATTATGAAATCCTAGAAACATTTTTTGAACGAATACCTTTTTGAAACTCAGGATCCCATGTTTCAGGATTAATCATTATTAATAGTTTTTCAACATCCTCATCACGTAACATACCGACAAGTAAAAGACGATCCACTAATTTTAATAGTGGTCTAATAACATTTTAAATTAATAATCAAACAAAAAATTTATATTAAACACGGATTTAACTTACAGAAATAAATTTTCATTTGAACCACCAATAGGATCTCTATTATGCACCTGATTAACTAACACCGCCTCTTCTAACGCAGCCATAACATATTCTCTAACTACTTGTAATGGAAAATAGGGACTGTATAAGTTTCGAACGTTGTCAATAACGTCTCTAAAAATAAATATTATAAAATTAATTTGGCACAAAAATCGTAAATTAAGATTCAATTTCACATACGAAATTTCAGTCATTTTCATTTGAGGACGAACAGATTCAGTTTGCAAAGACCGCAAACTGTGTCCCATTTGTGGATCTTCATATAAAGCAGTAAGTTCTTGTCCCAGTGGAATAATATATTCATTTTTACATACTTCCCTACAAACATTTAAATTTATTTAGTTTTTATTTTTACAGTTTTGGAAGTAGTAATTTTCTACGACAATAAACAATTTAATTACATTGTTGTGGCATGAGATTCCAAATGTAAAGCTATTAGGAGATCATAAAATCCTTGACGTAAAGGACCAGACATATATTCCGAACATATGGCATATAACAACTGTTTTTGATTTACATGAGTGCATAATATATGAGCTGCTCTATAATTGGCTTGATAACAAACGGCAGCGTACAAAGTTAATGTATGAGCATGAAAACTAGAAAATGAATTTGGGTTAATAAATGCTTGAATATCAATTTATTAAATTAAGAACATACGATAGCAGTTTTTCCATTTCAATCAATTCTAAAATATCTATACATCGGTCTTCTTCTGGAATGTGTAGAGCAATCATTGAAACTGGATCTTCACAAAGAATACTCCATCCTCTTATATCAGACAATTTCAGTGTATGAATGTGTAAAGAATCATTTGGAACTCTAGCCCATTGATAAGGTCTTAAACACTGGACTTTTAATCTAGGTGGGAACTAAAAAGGTATGTTATATTTTAATAATCTACAACGAACCCAAAAATATTTATTGGGAAACTTAAAATACCTGAGGAATAACATGACGTTCTGAATTCTGTAATACAGCAGCAGATAATGGAAGGGTTGTAGAAGTTCTCCCCAGTTCAATTTGTAAAATTTCTTTGCTACTTGCTTCAACAAATATTGCAGGGAAAAGTTTTATGTCTGGTTCCATCTAAGATATTTTTTTTTAGTTAAAGTTAATGTTCATTTTAATCATTATTGTAATAATTATTTTACTTTAAATTTAAAACTAGTTTCTTTTCCTTCGCATGTAAATGACATTATTCCAGTAGCTATATCAATAAAACAACCAATAGCCATGCCCTGAGAAGCTCCTTTCCCAGATGAATCATTGGTTACTTCATTATATAATTCATCAGATCGAACCATATAACAGCTTTGTCTGTCAATACTTTAAGAAATATTTTTTATAGATAATTTAGCACAATAGTTTAAACTACAATTATTTACCTTTCCAAAATTCTATTGTGTTCGTCAACTATTGTAACAGTACTTCTTCTAACATGGTCTTGTGTGAAATCTTTACTATGAAGATGATATTGAGTAGTAACCCATCCTACGTAAACGTGTGTTGGATCTTGACCTGGGAATATTCTCACCCCATAATAATACTCATTTATTAGTTTCAAACATTCCAAATCAAAAATCTCATTTCCCACGAATTCAATACCCGCAGCAGTAGTAGGTGTAAATGACATTGCTTTTGGGCCCCCTGGTCTATCTGGTATGGCTGGTGGAACTAATTTTAAATCCATCTTTGAAAAAAAAAAGGAATTAAACAATCTGGTTATATTAAGTTTAATTAGTGAATTTCAACTCTTACTTGTGAAACTCTTATTTGAGGAGTTACTCTTTCATTTAATGTATTAGTTCTTAGAGTATTGTGTGATCTATCTATATTCCTAACTGGATCAGGAGTTTTTGCTCTTTTAGGATTATCAGATGGTCCATCTTTTTTTCTCGAGAAAAATCTTGGGTGCACATTTAATACGAACATAAATTAATTTCAAAATTAACTTGTTAATTATAAATATAAATTTACCGAAATGGGGAACGACCTCTTTTTTTCTTGTCTTCTTTACTCATATCCTGATTGCCGCCGTTTTGATGATTATACATGTTAAAATTAAGTTCACTAGATGAACGATTTAACTTTCCTTCTAATCCTAATTATTCGGATAAAAAAATATGAATATAAATGATATATAAATAAATTAAGTATACAATACCATTTTCGACTATTAAATCGTCATGCCTGGATAATGATCCTTTTCGAGGGGGTCGAGGTGGTGGTGGTTGTTTTTTTCCTCTAGGTGGTAAAGGCGTAGCGTTTTGTATAATTTCATCATTTTCCACGACTTCATCTGAATATCCACGATGAAGACCTTTAAGTTATCAAATAATTACAAATTATGTTTAAAACTAGCATTTTGATTTTTAATTTTAAATAACCACCTTTTATATCACTCATTGAAAATCCAGATTTCATTATTTGTTCAATATGTGCAGGAGTAGCATGTTCTGATTGTGATAATAACCTATGTTGTCTAATTCGTATTTCTTGCCATCGCCTTTGCTTTTCTTGTTCACTAAATACAGGTAAGTATAAATATTTAATATAATATCCATATATATTATGCTTTTGAACTTATATAAAATATGTGCATTATTCTACCTATTATTATTAATGATAATCCAAATACTTAAAAAAAAATAATTAATAAAATTAATGTCTAATATAAATAAACTAAAAAAATACATAAAAAATATAACTAAAAATATACATATATTTAAAACAATGAATTAAATTAAAATGTATATTATACATAGAAACATAACAAAATTAAGCCTTGCGTATTATAAATAGGGTGCGGATTATAATGGAAATTGCATTTTTTTCTGAATGTGCTAAAACAAAATTCATTGCACATAGTAAAGAATTAAAATATGACATTTTTATTTTGTATTTATTTGCATTTTTAGAATTTTATTCATTTTTAGAACAATTTTTGATATTTTAAGTGCATTTTTAAGTTTTTATGGCATTTTTTTACAAACTACATAATGTTATTAAAAAATGTTGATATAATTTTATAAAATATTGATTTTCTCCTAAAATAAAAATAAATCATTTTTCTATTTTTATAATGTACTTATTATAGATTTACCAAAGGTATCATATGAGTATGGCAGCAATAAAGAAAACGATAAACTATTTATCGAGTTATCATGTTGAATTAAAATTGAATTATTTGCACTGTTATGTTTATTAAATTTATATAACTAATAACATTTTTTTTTTTTTTATCGTTTATAATAAATTTTAGTGCGTTTTTTACCTTTTTTTTTTTTTTATATGAATGCATTAAATTGTACACTTTTATGGCATTTTTCTTGTTTTTAGAGCATTTGAATCCGCACTCTAATCTATTATAAAGATTGTGTAATTACGGTTTAAATTTAAAAAATTTTCATCAGGTAATTAAACAGCTAACGTAGAAAAAATATACTCAAATGAATATATACGTATTATAATTAAAACGAAAAATAAATAAAAAAATAATTTTTTTTTACACAAGGAGTAAAACAATTTCATTAGAAGAAATAATTTAATTAAATAAAAATGCAATGAGTTAAAATAAATTTAAGAAATAAAATTCAATATCTAAAAAATGTTGTATTTAAAATCTATCTGTAATTTCAAGATGTTTTTAAATTTTTTTTCTTTAACTTTATCATAAATGTGCAAATTATTTTCGTCTGCTGTTTTTTCTTAATTATGATTTTTTAAATGGAATCCACAACATTTTTAAAACTTCAAACTTTTTTCTTCTTTTTCTATGTATAGATACGCATATATATATATATATTTATTTGTTTATCATACATACCTATAACCTATTTATATTTTGTTTGTATGAATATAAATACAAATATTTTTTTATTTGATATTTTATTGAGTATTAATCAAAATTTTTTTTTTAAATTAACAATCAAAATATGTTGTCAAATATGTTTACGTAGTTTTATACATAATAATAGTAAAAATAATAAATAACATTATTAACAAAATTGTATTTAAATTAAGTACGAACTCGATAAACGTAGGAAGACATATGACGGGTAAAGATAACCGCAAAAATTCCCAATTAGCTTTTTCCATTGTTTCAAAAGTGTTATGACTAATTTTGAGGCATGGTGGAGTATCGGAACCAGCAGGTATTCTTGTAACATCAATAACAGATGGAAAATCATCAGTATTCTCAAATATTGGTTGATCTTTAGTGTACCAATATGTTACAGGTCTCTTCATGTTTCTAAAATAAAAAAATAAAAATGCATTCATATTTGTTTAATATTAAACCACATTAATTTATTACATACACACAAAATGGTTCATATCCTTCTTGAAGACCACAAGTTGTGAAAAATTTTAAAGAATTTACATCTTGACCAAAAGTTAATTTTGCTTTTTGACCCAGTCCCAATGTAAATGCTGGAACAAATCCTTCACCTTGGACTTCAGAAAATGTAGTTTCCCCACCCAATGTATCCATTAGCAACTCGCCATTTAGTGAAAAACTGATCGTGTGGTCCATTAAATCTAAAAACACTCCAACAACATCTCCAATTTGCCATTGTCTTCCAAATGACTCTGCTGTCCCCGTATAAATTTTTTCTTCCTTTATAACAATATATAATGTAAAAATATTATTCATATAAATTAAATTTTTTAATATACAAACATTATAACCATCAAACGCCCAAGAATTTTCATCACTACCAATTTGATAACCCGGAGAACAGTTAAATCTTGCCCATCCAACTCGCATAGGTCCACTTGTTAAAATTTCAAACTCAAAATACCTTTAAAATAATATATTGATTAAATTTGTAAGTTACATTAGTTTATAAAAATTACAAATTTACTTACCACTTTCCACTTGAAACAGCATATGTTTTTTCAGCACGATATGTCCTGAACGTTAAATATCTGTTAGTACCGTCGTCTGTTAAGGGTGATGCTGTAAGAAATACATAGATAATAGATAGAAAATATTAAAAATTGTGAATATTATAAATATACCTTCATTAGTTTCACCTGTCGGAGGATCTAAATTGTAACCATATACTAAAAGCGTACGAACAGTTTCACTTGCAGTGTCTCTATAAATTGCATATTTTTTATAATTTCAATACATTTTTTTTTATGAATAATAATTATACTACATACCGATTAGCTTTTTTAATAGCATCATCTACTTTATTATATGGGACTAAATGAGGACTGCGTAACATTTGCAATTCCTAAAAATGAGTTATAGTTATTATTAAATTTAATTAAAATTACAAAAAAAAAATGTTAGCCAATACTATAATAGTACAATACACACACAATCTTAAACCGGATATTAAGTTGTTTCAATACGGAGACATTGTGCATATCAAAACAGAATATTTAAAGCAAAACTGAAAAGAACAAATTAAACGCTTAGGACAATTCTAGACTGGTCAATTTGACGTTAATTAGTTATATATATCTTTCATTATATGTAAGTTCTATCATCGATTACATTGACAGGTTTCTCGGTGATGCAAAATAAAATTACCGATAGATGGAAATATGATAACCAAAATATTAATTAAAATCAATTGGGATTTTATTTTTTAATAATTTACTTATTTTTAATTAAATTAAATACGTTATAATAATAAAGAGTTTATATGATATGAATACTAATAAGATATTAATATATGTTTAGTATCTGACTAAAAAAACTGTACTTATCTGTTTCTTATTTACAGCGAAAGTGTTTTTAACTTCTTTACTTTTGCTATTTTCATGTCTTCAATTGACTTATTTATTTATTTTTAATTTAGTAAAATATAATATTAGTTATTTAAAAATGTCTATTTTTTAAAGGTGTAGATTTCTAAGAATACTGTGTTTTTTTTTTTAATACCTAGTTAAAAATGTGTGAATGTTTGTATTTATCATAAACTAGTCTATCTAATAAGATACGAGTATTATTTTATCTCATAACATACCTGTATATATAAATTAAACTAACAGAAAACGAGTCATTTTTTTAAAGACAATTTTTTTTCAAACAAAATACAAATAATAATAAAATATATTCCTCGCTAAGCTAGAATCTAAAAACGAATGTGTACCATCCCTTGCTGTCATACTAATTATAATTATTCAAGTGTAATTAGATTTAATTAAATACGTTAGTGAATAAATTTCATTGACAATGACTTTCACGTATAGATATCAATTAACTATTGAAATGGGCTGTATGAATATATATGTTGAAAATAAACTAGTTAATTACTTATGTAATAACTATTTAAGATTTGTACACACTAGAAAAACAAATCAGCCACTCAATGGTGACATTTCACACGGTAATTTAGTTCGATTGACTTAAATAGTTTAATCAAGAATTTAAGGTTCTACATCAATTCCTCTTCAGTCTTCAAGGGGATTTCCATTGAGAGTGGAAACAATTGTACAGGATTCTAACAGTTTCTTCCATGGTATTTATTTTTGAATCTTAATCAAAGATGTGGTTTGAAACATAGACTGGGCATTTGTAGTTATACGAGAGTTATAGATTGAAAGGTTTGAATTTTATTTGTATTAGAGGTTTTGGCTGGACCCCATAGTCGGGTACTGTTTATTCAAATAGGCATTAAAATAGTTTTATAGTTATGATAGTAGTTTGGGTTTATTTGATTATAGATATCTACCAAAGAAATGATAAAGAGATTCCTCCTAAAGTTTAGAAAAAAACGTTTGCTTTTTTTATGATCTGTCCAAGTCAAACGTTGGTCTAGACTCTAGAATGAAGCCTAAATAGCGGGTGCTTGTGGATTTTGGTATAATTTGATTATTCAATGATGAAAAGTGGCACTATACTTCGTTTTAAGGTGAAAGTCAAATGTGAATATTTTCCATAATTTATTTATTAATAATTTTCCATTTAGTATATCAAGACAACATGAAATTCAAATAAATTTGTAGGTAATGGCCAGCAATTATTGGATCTTTGTGCAAGAATAGATAATTTTGATGTCAGCAAAATTCTTAATGAAAATGTGAGCCGTGAGGGGTTTTTGATTGATCCATTGAGTATAGATTAAAGAAAATATGAAAGGAATGTGAATCGAGAGAATATGCAATTATTTGTGGTCTACCTGTTGATATTGGAGTGAATGATGAAATTTTAATCAATAGTTTTACAAAATAACGCTCTTCAAAGTAAGATTTAAAAAATATATAGTAAGATGAGGGTAAGATTTTATTTTTAGTTTTTATAAAAGACTCGGGAGTCTAACCTTGTTAAATGCTTGAATCACATCAAGTAGGATAGCTGATCAGTATTTCTTTGTTTCAAAGTATTAACTAATAAGTCAGTCAACCCATGTATTTGGTGAATATTAAGTGGTTCTTACGAAAGCCAAATTGGGTATGTGAAATAATTAGTTTGTCGTTTATGTAAGGAAAAATAGTTTTAAGATTCATTTTTCGCTTAGTTTTGAAAAGAAAGGAAAAGACATAGTAGAGAACCATATGAAGATGAGATGTCTGGGGATTTCCCAAGTTTATAGATTAAGATGATGCTGAAAGTTTTCTATTGCAGTGGAAAATATGAAAGTCTTAAAATAGAATTTAAAATATGAGTCTGGTGTATAATTGTTTTTTTAAGAACCTGATAAGCCATTTGGCTGTTATTGAGTCAAATCGAAGAGATTTGTTGAGAAAAAGTGTTTTAAAGAATTTAATATAGAAGTTAATATAGAAATTCACCAGGCGTAAATGGTGGATTTACATTATTTAGGTATTTTTAACATAATCTTCGAATGTGTTATTGATAATATCCTGATGGGATTGAAAAACTTGAAACAAATAAGACTCTTCATATGTTTCGTAGTAATTGTCTTTTTTTTTTTTTTTTAAGGGAGAATTCATTGATTTTTGTTTTCAACAATTGTGAATTGCTTTCTAAAGAAACTCATTATTTGACGTAAGAGAGGAAACCCAAGAGCTAAAATTATCGTTTCATAATTAGCTTATAATTAATTTTAGAAAAAAGCAAGATTATTAAATATTTGTTTATCAGATGGAATATAGGTTCATTACCAGAGAGCTGTGATACATCTTTTCTTTGATATTTACCCGTGGACATGTGTAGGGATTGGGAAAAAGTTTTGGGCATTTAATGGTTTTTTAATAGAAGAGCTCCAAGCAGATTTTTGTATTATATCTTTGAAATTTAGAACGGTACGGCGTCTTCTATATAATGTGGGAACTTAAGTCGAGATTTTAGTTTAAATTTTTAATCAACGATTTCTTGGAATTTATCCCAATTCATAGTTCCATCCATGAGGTGAGCTTAATGGAGCTGAATAGAGGAATGGACTTCTAGAGATAGGAGAACTGAAGTGTATTCTGAGTTTGATTCGAGTAAATATGTAATAATATTATAAAATTGTAGAAATATGAACTACAAAATATATGTCTAATAATAATTGACATTAACCAATCAATCAAATTGATCAGTAAATTAGGAGGATCTAGTAATTAGTACAAACTATTTGTTTAGGTTAAATAATTGAAGTAAATTAAAGTGCGTCCTATAGGGTTAGTAGTATGGCAGCCTTTGGATCGGTTTTTTGCACTTAGGTTCTCCTCCTAATATGAAATAGTAACCTAATGAAATAATAAAGTGTTTATACTGTGCTAGTGAAATTTTATGTTTGGGTGAACAGTATACTGCTATGATAATAAATGACGTATGTTTCAATTTAATGGTTAAAATTTCGGCTTGAAAATATTTTTGTATATGAGGATAAAGAATAGAGGATAGGAGAGAAGATTTGTTGAGGATCAAGACACCAGCGTGTGAGGTGTTGTCCGGATGATGTTTATTGTGAAATATGTTTCTGAAATCAGAACTAAATCTATTGCCGTTGGTATTTCATATGAGCGTGGCTAAGGACTAAGAAGTAAATAAGATATTTGACATTTTATTTTAAAAGTCGATCATGAAACGTGGTGAGGAGATATAGTAATGGGTTTATATGTTATTTAAACTTATTAAGGAAGTTATGAATCGACTATTAACGATTACAAAGGAATTATCCAGAACAAATATCATGATTGTAGCAATCCGCAAAGGTGTTATCTAGAAAGCTAATACTATCTCTCAGATCTCTAGTGTTTTCATTAAAGCACGTAACCATAGATAATAAAATATTTTAAACACAAATATAGATAATAAACTAGATTACTAAGTTCCCTATAATAATCATATACATGTTTGAAGCCACATATTTACCATTATTAGATGATCATTTGTATCTTATCATGACATAATTTTGATAACACAATTTATCACACATAAAGATCAAATTTAATGTGAATATTTTATACTAAAAATGTATGAATACAATGTACAATCATAATTTATTGTGACAATAATGAATAACAATAAAAAAAATGTACATTAATTCGAATTTTGATGGAATTTCAACATGCATCTATTCAAAATGGCGGATAATAACTTTACGTCATATCACTATTTAACGATCTAGTTTATTATCTTTATCTATGATATAAATAAATTGATTACAAAAAAATATTGTGTTACGAAATTCTCAGTCAGATATATATATTTTTTAAAATATTACTTCATTTAGACCATAGGTCCATCCTTGTTGTATTCTTTCTTTTGCCCATAAATTATGAGTATTTTCAGCCAATTGATCAATTAATTGTTCCATTTTACTGGACAAAATAATTGCAGACAAGTCTAGAGGTGCGGGTTTGTAACCATTAGGTTGCATAAACGGTTCGTTGGGCAATCGCACAGTTTTTATTCGGGACGGTGGGTTATCAATAGATATATGATAACCCAATGCAATAACAGTTCTGTGAAATTATAAAAATTAAATAAGTATATAAAAAAAAATAATAACAATAAATTTAATTTAAATTTACTTAAGTGTTTGTACAGCTAATTGAGTATCATAGCGCTTCTCAGCAGCAGGCAACTTATCAAACTGTATTAAGCATGGATGAAATTTCATTGTATCATTTCTTTTATCACCATATTCCCAACCAGCTTCAATTTTATTCATTGCCCACATTTCATGAATATTTTCTGCTAATTTGTCTTTAATATTTTCAATATAAGTAGGTAAGGTGATCTAAAATAAATGTTAAGATCTTGAGTTTATATTAGTCTAAAGATAGTTTAAGATTATCTTAAATTATCTTAGTTCATAATTATTAATTTCATATCATTACCATAGATGTATCGACCGGATTTGGAACAAACGCTGTATCGTCTTCAACATACCATGGACCAGTTAGCACACATTTATTTAAATTTCCAAAATAAAAACATGGATCAATTGTCAATATTTGTTGTGGCAATAAACTTTCAAATAGCGGAGAAAATTCATCTGGTGGCGTAAATTTTAATCGACCATGATCTCCGCCAAGTAAAAACCGACAACTACATCGAATCCAATTAAATTAAAAATTATTATAAGGAAACAATAGTAAATGTATCACTTTATTTAAGAGACATACAAATAAATGCCTTATAAAAAGTACAATTATAGAAAAAAAGTCTATTTATTTTGGAGAATTTCTAGTAATTAGCTACTACTAAATTGTTTAATAGGTTTAATTTTAGATTTTTAGATTCCAAATAAAGCTATGAATGTATTCGTTTTACAATGATATTTATTTATTTATTTTATATACTAAGCGGAGCAAAGAAACCTATGGTTTTACAATAATCTTTATTTTTTTTCCTGTGGAAAACCTTTCTAGCAATTTTGTTTCGATTCAGTGACACCGAACTAGGGGGACAAGTCAAGCAACCACCCTACTAAATTTGTTGGTGGTAGATGAATGGGTGGTATTAGTGGTGAGAAATATTTAATAGTATAGTATATGGTCGTATTTATAGAAAATATAACTATACAAATAATACTATGAGTTATGTACAATATAAGAATATATTACACTCAAAAAAGTCCAGTATAATATAATATTGCACTTAAAGCATTTTGGTGGCACTGTTCCAATTTACAATGATAACACTGTTTCTGAAAAGAAATTGGACTAGGAAGGTACTTTTAACAGACTTTTTGTTTTAGATACTGTGTATGAAAATTCTACCAGAAATTTTTCTACGATGTATCAACTAATAATTATAACTAAAACCACAAATTACCTGACTTTTGAAGAACAACTTATTACTGGGAAAAACATTCCATCTAAATTGAAATCCCTAAAAGCACCATGGACTAATTGACCATTTAGTGTAAAAGTAATAATTGGAATAGTTAAATCTAATGCACAGCCAATTACATCACTTTTTCTAATATATGGCATTTCTGTTTCAGGTATAACTTCTGACTTACGTCCACCTAAATATACGTACACATATTTTTAATATATTTTAAATGAATATAAAAAAAATTACCCGTCCATAAATGTGATCCATCAAATCCAAAAGAATATAAATCATCCCCTACTCCATTTCCACCCCATTTTTCTCCTCCACCCGGATACGGAACATAACTATAAATAAAATTGTATAGTTTGTATTATTAACACATTTTTTTAAGTAGTATTATGGATAGTTTTTTAGTTATAAATAGTATTTTAATATTTTAATTTGTTAAAATTACCCTGCAGTATTTGCCCATCCAATACGAATATGTGGATTTAAATGAGTAGTTTGTTCTATATGATCTATAGCCACTTCATAATACCACTTTCTATAAACAGCAGATCCGGTTACATGACCGACAAAAATATTGGGGCGCACGCTATAAATCAATAGTTTGTATATTATTTTTTTCAATTTATTTTAAATTAAAATACATCAGAGTTTTTAAAAAAAGGATGTATCACGTACCTAGCTACATGATCAACAAGTAAAGTCTGAAGAAGTAAATTTTTTCCAGGTAATAAAAAATCACATATATTATTTTGTGAACTTCTTACAGCCACTCCATTACCAACACATAAAGAACATAACACATCTAAAACTTTTGGATCACGACCATGTTTTTCCAAAAGAGATATTATGACTTTGATGTGTTCATCCTAAATTGTATCATAATTTGATAAGTATTACATCATCGATTTATAGTACTTGCTATTTCTACACACCTTCATCATGTTCAAAGCTTCTGGAGAATCAATGAGAACGCAATGAAGTACGTCTAACATTCCCGTTCCTTCACTTGATGCTTGAGATCCCAATCGGCTAAATAGCCAATTTAATCGATTAGTGTTGGCAAACTGAGCACAATTAGTGTGATTTCCTTTTATAATAGCCGCTAAAAAAAAAATTATAATAACATAATATATTATCATAAAATGTATAAGAATTATTAGATATTACTAACCTAGCAATTGATATAAATATCCAGAGATTACATCCCAACTCTGTCCAGATTCATCGCCAGCTAAACTGACCATAAAACCTTGAGAAGTAATAATATTAACCTTATCAATAGCTTCTAAAATCAAATTTAATATTCCTTCTTCTTGAAATAAATCTTGTCTATTTCTTAATGCTCTGAATCTATTTTGTTTCTCTTCGTGTTCTTTAATAGAATATTAAAATTCATTAAAATGTATACAAGCTAATATTATTAATATAATGAATAATAATTAATTGTTCATACCCATATCTTCTTCTGGTTGTGCAAAATAATTGATTAAATCTTCTAGACACATGACCATCTCATTTAGATTAACAAACGAACAAAACAATGATGAACGTCGGTTACTTTGTAAATTCTCAAGTCCACTACATAATGTGTAATTATTATTAATATTATTATTATTATTATTATTGCATTGAAGAATTAAGACTAATTTCGGAAATTATTATAATGCTGATAATAACTAGCAGACCAATAGGTTTTATACTACACTGAGTGAGTGCCCCTATGGACACTAGGGAGGATAACATAAATGTTACTTTCTATGAAGATCTAGAAAGAAAATATGATAGGCTCCTGGGAAACGTTAGACAAATTGTGTTAGAGGATCTGAAGGCAAAGTGTGAAAAAGAAACGTATTTACTTCCAATAATGTAAAGTGAAAGCGTACATGGCATTACTAACAATAATGGGCATAGGGTCATATCATTTATAGCATCCAAGGATATGGTTATAAGTAGTACAGCCTCCTAAACATAAAGATACTTAAAGTAACCTGGTAATCACCAGATGGAAAGATAGACAACCAGATTGACAATGTATTTATACAGAACTGTTTCAGATCCTACATCAAAAGAAGTTTTAGGGGTGCTGATTGTGATACAAATTAATTACTGATAATCTTCAGAATAAGTTTATTAGATCACAAAAAATCAAAAGAAAAAAAAGCAACTATCAACATAAAAGCATATAAAGTCCCAGTAATTCAACGAAAGTTGATGGAAAAGTAGATACGAACATCAAAAACCTCAAGTTAAATGACATGGACTTGGACTGAACTATGGTTAGTAAACATCTAAAGTAAATTGCAGAATAATAAATTGGTGTTATAAAAAAATATAATGAATAAATGATATAATGAAATTTGTCGCAAAGTAGTTGAAAAATGAAAACTTTCTACAGATAAGTATCTGGTGCTGCAAGATTAAAACACAAAGGAGGTATATGAAAGGGGACCGAGAAATTTCAGACAAATATTGTGAAAAAAAGCGAAATTTCATAAATGAATTATTAGAGAAAGCAGAGATAGAAACCGTTTTCAAGGCAGCTCATGGAATTCCTTAAGGATTATCAAGAAACACCAACAGTTCAACCCAAGCTTAGAAGTAATAAAAAATACAGAATAATCTATTTTCATGGAACCCGAAATAAAGCCTGAAAGATAGAACGAATATTTCATAGAATTACTCAATAGATCACTATCACTATCACTATCCGATATACCAACTCACCCAGTGAGTTTGATAATATATCAAAAAGCTGAACATTTAAAAAGCGATATAACTCAAAAAGAAACTGGTAAACCAATAGACCAATAAGAATTGAAAAGCATCCGGGTCAGACAATATATAAATGGATATGATAAAATATGGTAGAAAAAAAATACGGTACCTCATATTTAAAGTCTGTCAAAAGACTTGGCACGAAAATCAGATGCCAAACAGTTGAAAAGAAAGGGAAAAAACAAATTGCTATAACTACAATGGTATAATATTCCTGTTAAATATAGCGTAAAAAGGGATTTCTAAAGTTTTATTGAGTCAGTTAATACTTGGTATACACAGAAGAGTGCCTAGGAGAATAAGAAAATGGTTTCCGTAAAGGGAAGTCAACAGTGGAACAACTCTTTATAATTTGACAAATTATTAATAAAAAAATTGAGTACCATCAAGATTTTTTCAGATATTTGTAGACTTTAGAAAAGCGTATGAAAGTATACATAGAGAGAGTCTGTATTACATTATGGAATAATTTGAAATACCTAATAAGCTTATTCAATCACTTACCAATACATGTATGGAAGGAACCAAATGTCAGATAAGGGTGGACAGTACATTATCTGAAGCTTTTGCAATAGGAACTGGCTTAAAACAAAACAACACTAACTCCGCTACTGTTTAATATAGCGCTAGAAAAAGCAATAAGAATGATGCAAAGTGAAGTAAGTGAGATAATCGTCAATGACACCTAGTGCAGATTTTAGGTTTTGCGGATGATTTGAATATCCTCTAATATCATTAGCAAAATTAGGGTTACGGATTGTGTAAAAAGAAAAAATAATGGAGCTTCTCGGTGGAGAACCATACCAAGACGACCTAACCTCAATGGTTTTTGAAAAAACTAAGAACTCCAATATTTAAAAGTACTAATTCAGTACAAAGAATAATTGGTCAAGTGAAATTAATGCTAGGATAGCAAAGGCAGAAAAATTCTCTTTTGTGCTCTTCAAATTTTTTAAACCCAAAGTGCTATCTAAGAAAAGAAAATTAAGATTGAAAATATATACAACAATAATTAGACCTACTATCACTTATAAATGTGAAGTATGGACAACGATAACTATCACAGTAAGACGATTGAGAACTTTCAAAAATAAAATATAGAGGATATGTAGACCAGTTCGTGACATAAGGATAAATTAATGGAAAGGAAATTCAACAAGGAATTTCAGAAAGAACTAGACTTAGCGTAAGACACTAGTTACATAAAATAAAATAATGGGGATATTTGTGACTATGCCAAAGCGTATGAAATAGAATTTGAATTTTGAAAATATTTTAAAATAGAAGTCTAATAAATGATTCAAATTACTGATATAAATCAAAATTAAATTCACTTATAATTTTATAAGTTATTAAATGTTTTATAAAAGCTTTAATTAGGTAAAATAGTTTTGAAAAACGTTGTATTTCTACTCACGAAATGAACTGTGTGAATAATGATGAACATTTACGTATCACTCTTGCAGTTCTAGACTCTTCTTCTTGACTTCTACTGAAGTCTAATCCATCATCCATCTTTCCTTCTTCATGTAACACGGCTTGTTTTTCTTCTACTTTGCCAAGGCCTTTTTTTTTTGTCTCATATGACTGTTAAATTATTAAAATTTAAAATATATTTAGTGAAATCATTTATTTACTATATTATTTACAAAGCTGGGCAGTAACAACCAGTTAAAAAATTAAAATTATTTGTTTTAGTTATTTTAAACTTAACCAGTCTAAAAAAAAATATGTTTATTTATTTATTTTTTTTTTTAGTAAATAATTTTGAGTTAACTTAATTTTTTTGTAAAAAATTTAAGTTATTTCTAAAAAATGGTTTTCATAAAAACTGTATACCCATTTTTTTTAAATTTATTTTTCGATAGAATTGCGTATTTTTACGTGAATATCATCATCACATAACAAGATAGACATGTGGTTTATGCAGAAATATGGAATACCTACAGGAATCTTGTTGGTATAATAAGTATATAAAAGTTTAAATATTAGGTTACGAAAGATTTTTATGAGTGTAAAATAAAGGGTTATAATTTCAAAATTTACTTTTAACTCAACTACGTTATAATTTTCTTAAAAATGTTTAACTCAAATTTATTATTTATTATTTAAAATTAATATTGACATACTTAAGTTATTTTTTTTTTTAGAATAACTTAATTTCTACTTGTTGAAAAAAAATTGTTCATCTTGCCCAGCTTTGAATATTTGTAATTAGAGAAAATTATTCGAAGGACTACTGAAAATATTTCATATTATTTTACTCAATAGTGAATCTACTCAACGTAATACATTACTACAGCTAAATAGTACTCTTCTATTACCAACAAATAAAATTGTATTGTTAACACATTTCAACTTCTTTCTTATTTCCTCCTAAAGTGATAACAGAAACTTTCTCAAGCAAAAAAAAACCTTCTGTTTGTGTCCTTTTATTTTACATAAATGGATTAACATACACCAAGCATTAGTAGAAATAATCATTAACTCTCTTTAACTCATTTCTTGTGTCTCAACAATTTTCTTTTTTTCTCTTTAGTTATTAATGTATCGGCATAACAATGGAACCAACCATATTTTCCATCATTTTTTTGTAGAAATTTAGATGTAAGATTAGAAATACACAAACCTTGTACGTCAACCATAAACCAGTATCAGAGTGTTGTACTAATACTGTACTGTCACCATACTTAATAATAGGCGCACCTATTACTTCTAAATCTTTGTCTTCCAAAATTGTTTTTTGATCATCTTTTTCTTGACGTAAAAAAAATGTAGATGAGGCGGTTGTTGCTTCTTCTCTATAATAAAATTATTAAAAAAAGACTAGGTATTCTACTTATATACTTATATAACACTAATATATTATATAATATAAACACAGTTTACCTGCAAACTAAATGTAATTCATTGTTTTCATTAACTCCTAAATATCTTCCAGTAGTCAGATGTCTAATTCTCATTGGGTGATACCAATTTATGAATCCACCGGCCCATTTAGTTCTAGCTAATTCCAAACGCCATAATGACCTTGCTTGGCTCATAACACTACCGCCTTCGTAAATTACTATACTAAATTACAATAAACACGTAATATAGTACAATTGTACATATACTAATATAAGTTGTAACTTATAACTAGGGGTGATAGATAAATTCCATAAAAACCAAAATCACGATACCTTTACGGCATATGTTTTCTACCATAAATATTGCTATTGCAGAAAAACGATGTAGAATCATTTTGGTTGAATTTGTAATCTTATTAATAAATATAAGTTCGGTTTTTTATATTCTTTGTAGTTTTATAAACAATTTATGAATAATTAGGAAAGAATATAAAATAAAAACTGACAAATTTACGACTTTACGATTTCATTGTTCTAAATTTGTACGTTTTCCGTTTTCTACCAGAAATATTGGTCTAATAGAAAAACAAAAAGTAATTGTTTTTGTTGAATTTTTAATCTAATATGTGAATAAAAAGGTCGTTTTTCGATTTAATTTATAGTTTTTTTAATACTTAAGAATAACCGAAAAAGAAAAATTAGAAATAATGGACAAAATTAAGAAAATGTTTTTATTTTAAATTTTGTTATTTTATTGTAATTCATCAGTTAAAAATATTTGTAGAAACTTTAATTATAAAGTTTACTTTATATTATTAAACAGTAAACTTATATTTGCTTTTTCTAGAAATGGTAAAATTTTCAAGGAATTTGAGTCATTTTTGGACTGTTTATAAAAATGTAGGGTTTTTTTTTTTTTTTTTTAGTAAGTACCTGTAGATCAAATTGTTATAATAAACAGAAATGCTTGAAAATTTAACAAGAGTTTTATTATAAACCGTAAGTTTAACAATTTTTTTTTTTTACACAGGGTTAATCACTAAGACACCAAAATTCACCAAATTTTTTTGGTTAAATTTTGCATAGGGAATATCTTTTGGCGATATCAACTTTGGCTTTTCAAATGGGAACCTATATTAAAAATTTTATAAATAGATAGAGTATTAATTTAAATAAATTTTAGTGTCAACATTTTTGATTTCTTGCAAATCGTTGACAAGATATTCAATTCTTAAGTTATGGTAGAAGGAGAGTAGTAGAGCACTATTAAAATGCCACGCACCGTGCCGCTAAACAAAAGATACTCAACCACTCTCGCCCTACAATTACTTAAAAGTCGTATATCTCGTTAACGGTTTGATGGAAATCAAAAATAGGATTACAGGATGCTCCTTAAATGTTGTAAAAAATCTAAATATACTGGCTTACAGTAAAATATTTCAAAAATCAGAATTTGAATATATCCGAAATTTAACCAAAAAAAAAAAAAAAATGAGGTAAGCACGCTTAGTGAATCACTGTATATATAAGAGTTTTAAAATCAAATTTTGATGAAAATTGTAAATATTACTGCCTTTTAGAACAAGTATAAGTGAAATTCGCTCCGAATCATTTTTCGTTAGTAATGGTTTATCGTTGGTTATAGGTATAAATTAAATAAACTATATGTATCCTACCTTTCTATCTACCAACAACAGTAGCCGCATCGGTCTCTAGTACCACCTTTTTTTTTATACTCACTTTTGACCAGAAACATCAGTCCACGATGACGGTATTGTCAAGCACTCGTCCCCACCATGAAAGAATCTAAGTACATCTCCTCCAAAAACATAACCTACATACTTCATTCTGCTAATGCCAGTACCATATGGCTGAACAGACCAATGTGTTACATGAAAAGACGCATTAACTACTGATAATTCATTTTCTTTAGCAGTATGCTAAAAAACAAAAAAAAAATAACATTTTTAACAGACTTTTAAGATTTTATTTCATAAAATATATTTCAACATACCAAATAACGCTCAGTTGCAACAGACACTAAAATTAAATCATCACCAACTCGAACTTTTTCACCTTCCGATCGTTGTTTTGAAGCTGGATGTACTGTCCACCAACAAGCTTCACCTTGTGAGTGCTCTTGTAGACCAACATCAAAAGATAATTTATCATTTGATGAACTTGTGGATAAACATGCTAAATACTATATTTAAAATAAATAGAGTTAATTCTTTATAAATAGATATCCATTTATTTTTAATTTTTATGACCGAACCATATCGCTATTTTGATGACGCAATAAGATGGCGTTTCCGTAAAGCAATGTTCGATGTCCTGATCCAGTTCCACCTTTTCCCTGAAAAAAAAAAAATATATATATATATATATATAATAGGATATTTAATAATAGTTAATTAGTGATTACTTCTTGAGAACTGGCTGCAGTCACCAGTTCTTGTAATGCCCTCACAGACAACGCTTGTTCAATAACAAAAACACATTGTGACAAATCTGGTGGAATATTCTGAAAAATTATTTTAAAAAATAATATGCTAGTAATATTCGTTTAAATTTGTCAATAATTAATATTACTTTATCGGCAATATTTTCCAAATAACAATGTCGGTTACCAAATCCTTCTGCGGCCAGACAAACTCTCTCTCCAGTTGCAGTGCATGATAAACACACCATATCTTCCTATAAAATACATTCATTTTTAAGAAAATTTGAATGATACAATATTATCAATGAACATCTACAATTTGGCTACAACTAGTTTGCGCACATTTTAAAATGTCTTATTTAAAACCTGAAACTCATATTTTGCGTTCAAAATATTATTAAAGGAACCACCCTTTTGAACAATAATATACTATGCGTATATATGCGCATGTTATATATTATTTATATTATATAAGTAAAAAATCTAAAATAATGATTACCTTAAACACTCAGTGAAAAATAATTATAAGCACAGCTCGAATTTTCAAGCACTAAAAAGAGTTGAAATATGCACTATAATATGATCAAACAAAACCTTAAAACATGGGCTATAATATGTCATAAAAACTTAAAAATGGAAAGAAAAATGAAACCATATTATATTATTGTATATTTTATTAAAAATATGGGCTGGTACTTCTAGCCCAATGTTACATTACAAGAAAAATTTAAGTACATAGTTGAAATATTGACATACAGTTAAAAGATATAGTAAAAAACAAAAACCTCAAGAATTTATATTGAACAAAAAAGAGAAAAAAAATATACATATCAAGATGCAGCAAGTTAATTAGAAGAGTGAGATGATTCAATATTGGCAATCATCGTCATTCTTTCAAGTGGCTTATTAGTGACATAGTTTGTATTACAATCACAAATATACAACGGATAGTTATTACATGTGGTCGAAGTAGGGATTTTGAAGTTTTTGCAAGGAAGGAGATTTGGGAAGTCAATTTTCCCTGGGAGTAAATTATTAAGAAAATTTGAATTCACTTGTATTCTCCTATAAGCCAACGAGGATGATTGCAGAGAAAAAAGGACTGGAGAATAATCATGATGTTAGTGTTCAATATTTGCCACTAAAGTATAAATATTTAAACTGTATGCACTCCAAAAAATAGCTTTGATTAATTGCATGCGGATCTCACAATACAGATCCATATTCTAGCAAAATATAAGCGTATATATATTAAGCAGCACAATATAATAATTTGATCGGGGCAACAAATTTGAACTGAGTTTGAAAACTTCATGAATTTTTAATACCCACTTTAAACTTGAAGATTCTATATGCCGAAAAAATATTAATTTTGTGTCATAAAATAAACCCAAGTCTTTAACTGTGTTTCTACACTTTTAAGCTTATATCCGTTGATATTATGATCAAAGACTATCCAGAAAATCCGGTAAAATGGCATAGAGCTGCATTTTTGCATATTAAGCGAGAAACTTATGGTTGAAGTCCATGGTACAATTGCATTAAGGAAATCATTCAAATGTATACAATTTATAAAATTATATACAAAATTTAAATTTAAAAATCGCACCGGATCTATGAACCAATAGAAATAATCACATTCACAACTCTATAATAGGTATAGAAATTACACTATCGAACCTATAGACCTTAACTATAGTTAGAAAGTTAGAATATTTATAGTAACAAGTGACCCAGTCAGTGACATTACTACCAATAAAAACAAACGGACATACTTCGCACGATGACTGAGTCATAGTTGTATGTAAAAAGTTGGAATGGTAAGATATAAAGAAGAATTAATGTACACCTGTACATTGTAAACCTGTAAATCATTACTAACGAAAAAGGATTCTGAGCGGAGTTCGGTTGTATAAATATTTTGAAAGACCTTAATATTCACGATTTGAAAATAATACATGTCATACATTTTTCCTGTTGACCCACAGAAGGTCAAAACTTAACTTTTAAAACCAAGGACTTAATAGTTTCTCAACCTCTCGGGACACCCCGTCTTTTCAACATCGCTTGCCTATGAATATTAGAAAGTGGCCCAGTCCAGTAACATATAAACTATTTCAACTATATACAATTCAAATATAATTTTTCAGGAAATATTCTCTTGAAAATATTTACAAAATAAAGTTTTGACTTTTAGGAAAATTTAATCTATTATTAATCCAGTTCCAATTCAATTTTATTATAGAGAGATATGACTGAATTTAACAAATTATTTATTAAGCTCAATAAAATATTAGGAATTTATCATTGAAATGCCTATATTAGCAAAGTATCAAATTAACTGAGATAATATTCAAATAAAAATAAATTAATATTAGCAATGACTAGGCATTTTAAGATTAATTAATTTAAACAATAATTAGATAATCGGTTTGCTAATCATAAAAATATGTTTGAATTTCAAATAATATTAAAAAAAAATACGGACATACTTTTCATGGGGATAGGCCACTATTTTAGATGAGAAGCTGGGAAGGTAAAGGGGAAATTTAATGTATATCTGTATGCAACAATTAGTCATTGCTAACGAAAAATGATTCTGATCACAAGTCTGTTACACATGTTTTAAAAAGCCATAATATTTAGGATTTGAAAATAATACATTTCCTGAATTTTTTAGTTTTCTACGTTTTTTCCCAATTTTTCTCGTTTGTTAAAAAAACCCTGGGAAAAATCAAAGTACAAAATACAAAGTATCAAAGTACTTAAAGTACCACCCAAGTTAAATTTCCTTTCAGAAAAAGTACTACACTTGAAAATTGGAGAAAATGTCTGGTATAAAAGTTGTTCACAAAGAAATAAAACTGATACTGTGGACAAGTGCGGCCACTGCTGTAGGTGAGTAGTTGGGATTTGGGAAGGTAGAATACATAAGATTATTTCATTGATATCTGTAACCAACGATAAACTGTTGCTAACGAAAAACGATTAGGAGCGAAATTCAGTTACACATATTTTGAAAAGCCAAAGTAGTTACGATTATCTTGAAAATTTGATCATAAGACTAATCAAAACAAAAAATATTGAAAAATTTGCATGGAACAGTAGTTAGATTTGTTCCACGTAATTTTTTACTCAAATGATTTTCGTCTAAGTTCGATATTAAAATTCTTTTATAAAAATGCATAAAACTCAAATTGACCACAAAGTACAACGTTCAAGGAACCTTCTGTTAAATTTTCAAGAATTTCTGTTTAATCTTAACAGTTTTATCCACAGAGTAGGTACCTACCGAAAATAAATTATGTACACAACTCGTAAAATTAAAATATCTATAAATAGCTAAAAAATAGATCAAATGTTTTGAAAATTGTACGTCTGAAAAAAGCAATTATAAGTTTTTTGTAAAAATATCAAGTCATTATAAATATATTAAACTAAATTACATTAAAAAACAAAATTGAAAATAATAAAAGAATTATTTTCGTACATTTTCCCGTACTTTCTATATTTTTTCGGGTTTGCTCAAAATTATAAAAAAAAAAAACTACAAAGAAAATCAAAAACCGAATTTTTTATTCACTAACGAGATTAAAAAGATCTTTTGATGTTTTTTTATAGGAGCAATATTTGTGGTAGAAAACGTATAAGACGTAATAATTTACAATAATGAAATCGTTGTAATTTGAAAAAAAACGTCTTGTTAGGTTTTTAGCAATTAATATGAATTTACTTTGGATATCGAAAAATGACTTACTTTATCAATAGGGAAATATTATAAGAAACAAAATCGATCTTCTGTCATTTTTTAATTTGAGCAATTACTCTGGTAGAAAATATCGTGTTAACAAAATAAAAACAATGAAAACGGTAACGCTACCGTAAATATTTACCATTTTACCAATACTTTTATTCCCGTTTATTTTGAAAACCTCTAAGAAAATCAAAAAATGACCTCCTCAGTGCACAAAATGAGATAAAATTTCCTTTCAGAAAAGTTGCTATGATCTATTGGTGCCCACACCCCAAGTAGTGCAATTGCACGGGTGCTCAGGAGAGGGGGTAGGCATATTGTTAGTTGACATATACAAATTACAAATTATAACCTCAATCCATACTAAAATAATACAATTTATAAGTTTGTTAGTTATCTGTGAACCTGTTATTTTAATGTTCATTATTATCTACTGCACGGATTAGCAAGACATGTTTGAGCGCCATTGCTATGGTCTAAACTTTGGAGTAAGTTTTCTGGTATAAAAGACAAAAAAATAATACAAAAACACACAACATAGTAAAACCAATATAGATATCCCTTACTACGTTCCGAATCTAAAATAATACGGATATACTTTGCACGTGGTTGGGCCATTGTTTTGAGTGAAACGTTGGAAAGGTAGTAGAGGGGTAATTCAATATATATCTGCACGCAACGATTAACCATTCCTAACGAAAAAATAATTCTAAGCCGAATTCGATTGTTAGTTTTGCTTTCTCAACAATACAGTGTGTCCCATGATGTTCGATGGATTTTTCTAGAGCTGTTAATACAGAATATTTTATAATCAGTGTTTCATTGAGAGGGAAAAAAATTTTATTTTTATTTTATCACCTGAACACAAAAAAAAAAAATTTTAACTTTTTATTTATTCATTATTGATTCATTTAAGTGGGTACACTCATTATTTCGGAAAGTATTAATTTTTTTCGGAATTTATTTTCTAGAACATTCAAGAAATAAACAGCTCTAAAATTTTATATGTATGTTAATTTTTGTCACCCTTAGTTCTGAGGGTAAAACCACTATCTACTTTTGATTTTCAAATGACAACCTAAATTAAAAAGACCATAAAGAGAAGTATTATTGAAAATAAATTTTAGTGTTTACATTTTTGATTTCTCTAAAATCGTTTACAAGATATTTCGCTTTTAATTTTAGATTGGAGTGAAGAAGTGGTGCATTATTAACACGTCGCGTGCCGTACCACCACACAAATGATACACCACTACTCTCCTCCAACCCATATTTAAAAGTGGAATACTCCGTCAACGGATTGATGGAAAACAAAAATTTCAACACTAAAATTTATTTTAACTCCTGCTCTATCTATTTATAAACTTTTTAATTTAGGTTGCCATTTGAAAATCAAAAGTAGGTAATGGTTTTACCCTCAGAACTAAGGGTGACAAAAATTAACAAACATATAAAATTGTAGAGCTGTTTATTTCTTGAATGTTCTAGAAAACAAAATCCGAAAAAAATTAAAACTTTCCGAGATAATCAGTGTACCCATTTAAATGAATCACCCGCTATGTATTAAACATTTTCTTTAATAATAATTGTTTAATACTATAGATACCTATTTTCCCGTTTTTCCTACGTTTTTACCAATTGTTTGCCCATTTATTGAGAAAACTCTAGGAAAATCAAAAAATAACCTCTTTGATGTACGTTTTCAGTCAGATTTCCTTTCAGAAAAAGTGTTTTTATTGTAAATCAGAGATAAGTTGCTTAATATATTAATTTATTATTCAAAATGCATTATATCAATTGTGTTGCCTGTAAATTTTAATATTTCTGACAGTTATCTGTGGATGCATAATTATAATTTTGCCTCTGCAGAAAACTTCTCTGTCGTGTAAGTGCACCCTCGTCCCTCATACCATCATACCCCCGCTCCAAAATGCACTGTTGGTAGGTTAAATTGTTATTTAATTTTTATCTGGACGTAACGATAAATCATTTTCAATGAAATACGCTATGTTCAGTTAAACATATTTTTAAATGCCGTAATTTTTTAAAATATTCGTCAAAATTTAAATATTTAAAATATCAAACTAAATTGTGCCTAAATTCCAATTATTTCTAAAATCCAATTATTTATTAGAAAAACGACAAATCAACAAGACAAAATATTCTTTGGAATAAATGCTACTCTTGAAATTTGGATCAAAATTTTTGATAAAAAATCAAAATCGAAAATATTAAAACTAATTACACTAAATTTGATAATTTTTTCGCTCGTACATTTTTCTTAACTATTATAAAATCTTCTTGTAATAAATCAAAAATTGAACTCCTTATTATATCAACTACAATCCGAATGCTTCAAAAAAGTTTTTTTGTCATATTCCCAAAATAAAAATGCACAAGGGTATTAGAAAAAAATTAGTATATTTCTCGCTACGCTCAGAATCTAAAATGTGTTGTTTTATAATTACATACGAATTTAAAATTGAACACATTGTAGTGGATATAATAAGCGGGTGTTTGGATCAAGGGAGAGGGGGTGGACAAAGCTTCATGGTGAAAGATCCATATTAATGGATGCAACAATACTTACCAGGTAGCCGGTAAGCAGTGCACTATTGTAGGTTAATTATTTAATTTATATACTAAAAACAACGAGAAATTATTGTAATCAAAAAAACGCTTCTGAGCTTGCTCGGTTAACTTTTTTGTTAGCAATGGTTTATTGTTGCTCACAGATTCGTTTTACCATTGATTTTATAAATTATCTATTATATAATAAGTTCTAATATTACACAGATATAATTTTTAGAATTTACTAGTTGATGCTTAAGAAATTAAAAAAATTACTAAGTTTTTGGTTGTTTTAATGTTGAGTTCCATTTAAAATATTTTTACAAATGTGGCAATTGTGGCATTCAAATTTAAAATAATAATACACCACTATCCTGTATAAGCTGAACGAATCGATTCGATGAGTGTTCAACAGGCAACAGCGATTACACTGTTCTACTTATAATTATTTCACGTTATATTTTTAAATAGGTAATATTTTTTGTTTTTAAATTTTTTTCCAATATACGTTTTTAATATTCATATAATGATATAATATGTGTTTATATAAAAAATATTATTATAAAATAATATAAGTAACTATATAATAAATATCAGATAATAATACGTTTAAATAAATAGTAATAAGTACTAACGTGAGAAGTATAATTTTTCAAATAATTTCTAAATTTAAAATGCCATCGAGAAACTATAACATGATAATTTTTTAGTGAGACGAAACAAAATGTTAATATTTAAAATACCTGTATCAATTTAAAACTTTGATCCGTTATATTAATAATACGAGTTGTCACGTTTATATTATAAATATCGAAAAAAATAATAATATACCAAATATTAGCTACTCTGAACTAAACGGTGCTAAAGGAATTCCTATCTAATAATCATTGTCCTATAATTGCTTATTTTTATATTAATAAAAAGTAGTGTTCGTTTGTCTGTAAATCGCACACAATGAAAACTAACATAGAGAAGCGGATAAACGGATCCATGTGTCCGGATATCCGATTATGAAACTAAATTTTGACTTACACGGTGTTTATGGTATTTTTAGTAGAAAAATTGAATGTCGTACAACAACGAATAATTGTGATGAAGTGAGAATGGAAACGCCGATAGACAGGGACGTAGCTAGTAGATAGGCAGATACCCAGATTTAAAAAAAAACAAAATCATACAAAATAATAGAGAGTAATAATTTAATAAATTACAAATGTATATATATATTTATAGATGGTTGAAATGAAAATAAATAAATAATATACTCGTATTTAGAACAATATTAGGACAGAGATCAAATGTATTAATAACCGGAGAGAAAATAATTTTTATACTGTGTAAAGTTATGTTATTTTGCAAAAACTTTTTTATTTTATCATTCCAATGAATTTTGTATTAAACTAAAATATCAATGTGCATTGGATAAAACATTTTTTTCATCTAGTTTTGGTCTTTCTGAACTTTTTCACCAAGTACAAAATTATCAAGTTGAATTTGAAGAATTAAAAAAAGTAATTGGATTATTTATTGTAATTCCTGTATCTGGGGCTTTAATAAAAGGTTCTAGACTAAATGATTTGACGTTCCATTCCATAGAAAGGGAAAAGTGGACAATTTATTAATAATCCATCGACTGTTATTAACGAGTTTGCTGTCATAAAGAAAAAATGATTGACATTTTTACTTTTAAAATATTTTATAAATAGCCAATACATGTATTATAAGTTACAATTAGTATAGTAATAATTATAATTATTTTATTTTGTACAATTCTATTGTATTCAAATAAATAAAACTAGTATCCTTTAAACTATTTACTTATTTGTTGGTTCAATTTGTTTTAAGCTATTAATTATTAATAAGAAAAATCATTGATACATTTTAAATGATGGGAATCTAATACAGAAATTGGGATAAGTCTCCATTTCCATCTGTGAGTAGAAGGTTTATAGTGAGCCTAACCAGAAAAAAATTTCAAGCTACGCCCCTGAGGATAGACATTCAATTTAATTTAATTTATTGATTTTGGTTTTGAAAGAATTTGTTAAAAAGTCTACTTTTAAATAGTTAAAAAAATTAACATGAACAATTTAGTATTAGTAGATAATTATTATTTTAATACGAACTCCCTGTTTACTATTACGTAATGTGATGTAATATTCACGTTTTAATTCTAGGTATAGTTATATGTGAGCCCAATTTGGACTAAAACATACTTTTGCCGCTGATTAAATTTTAATATTATATTATAACATTAATTAAGCAAGTTAGACGACAAGAGATATTACCTACAAGTAAAAATAAAAACAACCGGTATCGGTACCTATACGTTAAAAGTATAATAAGTAATTATTTTACATTTTTATTACATTGGCACAAATAAGTTGGGATGTTTAATACTCTTCCTTCCAAAACTCAATTAAGTCTCTTTATCGATACTAAGTATACATTATAAATATTATAAGAACTGAACCAGCCCCCCCCCCAAAAAAAAAAAAAAAATAAAACAAAAATTATTTGTGCCAATGCATATGATGAATATTATATAATTTATTATGTATAATAATATTGTAACAACTTACAGTCCGGAGAAATGATACATCATCCTGTTCCGAACTTCCTTCGCTGTCGGCCATTATGATGGATCGTGAAGTTTACCTACTGTAGGTTTTTTCGCTTGACCTTTGTTTTAGTGGTGATATTTTAATAGCACACCGCTAACGACATCGTTACTATACATTTTAATGCATATTTCGGTTCCGTCTGTCCGTTTATTCTGATTATATTAAACGCGAACGGCCAAATTTAATCGCACCTACAAACAGAAATACAGGACCAGCAACATTGAACTGCAACGTGTAACGTATTGAAATGAATTTCTATTATTATACTAAGTGCCGCTGCGGCGTTTTGCTGTATATTCGAGATCGTCGGCGACCGGCCGCAGGATGTACATCGCACGCGGAGCTAAGGTGTACGGTTATAATTATTTTTAAAATACATCACATACGTCGGTCACAGGCGGTTTTCTTTTTTTTTCCTATTATTATTGTACATATATAATATGTGCGTGTGTACGTGTATGTGTGTGTTACATCTATATAGGTATACAGCGAGTTTATCATGTTTAGAAACCATTTTAACATGCATTAACTGTACCAAAAACATATTTATGTTTATACATTTCATGCATGCTGTATAATACGTATAGAATTCAGATATAATATATATATATATGCATATGTATACATTATAATATTAAATTATAAATTAATATATTATGTATTTTTAAGTAACGAGAAAATGTAATTATACAATCTATATTAAGTTGCACAAAAAATGAATTAAACGATCGCCGTGTTCGCTTATAACTTTTAAGTATACCTAACTCGATGAACAAATAACAAATAAGACAGAAAACGATCCGTCAAATGGAAGCGTAAAAATGAAAAGGGTGTCGAATGCAGTCCAATGTATCGTGATTGAATACATGCATTAATTGTGTCGAACACCCGTAGCAATATGTTATAGTACCTACGAACAGTGGCGTACCCAGGATTTCTCAAATGCAGGGATGTTGCTAAGCATAAATGGCGAATGAAATGTATAATAGTATTACGTACATATAACGATGTAAGCAAAATATGTCAAAAATCGATATTATATAAAGCCTTTTTCTTGAAGTTACTATTAATTAATTACCTACTATTAATCGTGTAGACATAGTACACTATTATTTTCACCATTATTATTAATGCGCAAAGATTGTACGATTTTATTAGTAATAATTGTTTATTGCTAAATAGTTTACAATATTTTCGTATTTTAAAATGACCAACGAAGGGGGGGGGGGTGAGTTCACTTACCCAACCCCCCTCTCCATCAGATACGCCAATGCCCACGTAAGTACGGTTTTTATAGTTCTGGATTAATTATAAATATCGCGCGAACATCATGCTGGACGAGATAATTATTTGTTCGAATTGTACCAAGTACGTACCCATATCTTTATATTATACAAACCTACCGTTCAAAACGTTCGATGACGACAATAGGTAGGCACGTTAAAATATTGACAGCGGCGTTCCCACTCGCGTATTATAGGTATAAACTGTACACTTGGACGGCGAGCGAACCTAATATGAACGAAATAGACAGATATAGGTATATTATAAAATACATGCGACGGCCAGATAGTGACGGCGACACCGGAGACGAAATGAAAATGAGAAAAAAAAAACAAAAAAAAAAAAAAAAACGTTCACCGCACCGCCGTCCGAGTAGTATATCTGTACACGTATTTGTATATAATATATGTATATTATTATATATTTTTATTAATAATAATACGCGGTCCCCGGGCCCGGTCTTCCGTCGGAAGAGGACGGCTGTAGTTCTATTTATAACACGAAGCTTACACGGCTAGAGGTGGGTGGGGCACGATGTTCGAGAATAAATATATACGTGATGGGTGTGCGCGTGTGTGTGCGTACGTGTGTGTGAGAGTGCACTTACACCGTGTGTGTGCGGTCATATTGTACGGTGCAAGCGCGAATTTGACGCGACAGAGCCGGGACGCCCGCAGCAGTATTATTACGCGCCGGCCGACTCGGCGACGACAACCCCGCGCGCGTATTGCTCTACCGTATACCACCTACCCGTTATAATAATACCGCAGCTACATAATTTATTATAGTCCGTCGACGCAGAACCCTCGAATAAGTCGTTCGCAGTGCCCAGGGGCGTCGATTTTTAAACGCCCCACTCCACCCACTTAAGGTCTAAGACGATTTGGGAGTTAATCCCTCCTCCCAATTATTTTGGTTTTTTTTGCAACAATTTTATTAAGTTCACATTTAAATGTCAACGTTTTTCTTCCACCATATAATATTCTTCCTTACTCCTGAATTTTTTTCTATATGCACATATAACGTTACTATAACTATAGGTAGGTTATATACTTACTCTCTTATAACAACCAAATAATATTCACTATTACTCTAAACAAAGCGTTTGAAAATAAAACAAATAACAAGTGACATAATAACGCCCCATAGTTAAAACTAACCTAAATGATTTGGCACCCCGTAACAAATGACCCCATTGCCCCCCCACCATTTTTAACACAACCCTGTTCATTGAGCACTACAGTGGCATTTCGAAGGGAGTTTTCAATACGCCTAGACGTCATGGTTAAAATTTGTTGGCTATGTAGATGGGTGTAGATCGGTAATAACATCGACAATATATAGACGGAACAACGGCCCATTGGACCCAATTTGGCTTAGACCTCGTATTAATGTATACAATAGTGGTTCCCAAATTGTAAGGTGCGCCTCACTTGGGAGTCACGAATACTTAATAGAGGAGGTAAAATTTGATAGTTTTAGGTCAACAATAATTTCGTTGAAACGTGATTTTGTGATCAAATTAGCATATTTATATATGACATTTTTGAAAAACTTAATTTATTTAATACATCTTTACAAGATAAAGATATATATTCTCTATATTAATCTATAGTGGTCTATAATAATTATAGTTTCTCTTCCACAACTGAGTTCTGATATTCATTGAATAAATTTAGAAAATTATCAGTATGTTTAATAGGTTAGTTTCTGTTTTAAGTACATTAATATCAATATCAAATGTTTCTTTTAACAAACTAATATTTTTATTACTAATTTAAATTGAAAAATTGAAAAATTACTGAATCGGTGACTAAAAATAAATATTAACAATACTTATTTGAATAAACAATATTTCTGTAATATAATCCAATACAGCGGAAACATAATACAATATTCTTTAATATAAGCTACCACGAACTAAAATATTCTTTAAAGTCAAATTATGCACTCATATGCAAAAAAAAAAAAAAATTTTCAATAGATTCTACAGATTATGAAACGCAAATAATTTTTACTCCCAACAAATAGCATACGTTCGTTAAAAATATGTTTTTGCATAAAAATCCGGAATTTAGTCACAATAATATATTCATTATAACAATATAACCATTCAGTCGTCGATAGTTGCATAAATACGATACCGTCATAGTTACAGTCAAAATATTCCTGTGTGTCGTGAGAAATTAAAAATTGCTGATTGGTGAGAAATTGGGAATGTTTTTAGGATAAAGTTTAAATGATTCTATTCGCCAGATCATTAAATAAAAAAAATATGTACATTATATTTTATAGTTATAATTTTTTTATACATTATAAATATAGGTATACACACAGAATAATAACAAAAAAAAATCCCACATTCCAGACTTTTCTTTGTAAAATAGGTGATTATCATAAAACAAAAATGTTACTTAGGTATTAATAATTATCTTGTTTGTAAAACAGATAAAAAAAAAAGAAGATGTATGTTTCGTTTATTATAAAATTAAGAATTGTTGAAATTGAAAGTAAAATTATTATTTGTTGAATTGATTAGTTTTAAAATCGATAGATTAAAGAGATTATAAAATAAAATATTGTGAAATTTAAAATTTGGATTGAATTTATTAGTGTATTTTAAAAAACAATTGTATTTTCATCCTTTTTATTGTACTAAATTTTTGTAAGTAAATTTTCTATACAAAATCTATCATAAACAAAATATTAGGCAGGTACCTATTAATAATTGTTTTGTTTGTAAAACGGATAAAAAAAGAAAAAGAAAAGATATATAAATGAATTGTCACATTTAGGTATACAAAAATTGTTCCGACTTGCTGTAAGGTCATTGTTATTATTTTCTGTTTTGTTTAATGTTATACCGTTTTTCCCGGTTTTCCCATGTTTTATCCCGGCTTTTCACTGTTGCTTAGAAAACTCCGGAGAAAATCGAAAAACGACCTCTCTCTTTAAAGTACCTCTTCAGTGAATTTTCTTTCAGAAACATTGCTATCTTTAAAATTTGGAGCAAAATCGTAATTTATATTTATTATATTTCGTAAATGTTCCCATTTTTTGCATTTGATAAGAAAACTCTTGAGAAAATCGAAAAATGACCTTTTTAAAGTACCTCCTCACGCCGATTTCCTTTTGAAAAAAGTGCTACACATAGAAATCCGAAAAAGTCTTCTGGTAGAATAGTTGTTAACAGAAAAAAAAAATAAAAATAAAACATCTTTGTAAAACCATAAGCTTCTTCGCTTCACTCAAAATCTAAAAAACACACGCCATAATAATACTAATACGCTACTCTACGAATCTAAAACTAAAATTTGTTATCTTATTAGTAATAATACTAATTAATCTCAACATATTTAATTCAAATATATTTTTCATACAAATTATTATTTAACTTACTAAAATATCTTTCATTTAAAATGTTAAAACAAATTGAAATAATACAATTCAGAGAAAATCATTAATGTTAATTTATTAAACTTGTTACTTTTCCCTTAAGTTTCTTCAGAAAAAATAAAAATATCGCTCAACCAAAGTTGGGAGCTATCCGCTTTTAGCTCTTTCTTCATAAAACCAACACAAGAAAACATACACAAAATGAAAAGAAAATTTATGATTTTTTGACCAATTACAGTTTTAGGACTGACAACAAATATTTTATAATGTTCACTTGATTAAAGATTATAATTTCTTTACCATGATAATAATAGATATGCTATACAGTCAGTAAAAAATAAATTGTAACAAATTATTATTAATTCTTTTCTAAAATTATTTTTTCTATATACTTATATTAAAATATATCAATAATTATTAAACATTAATTCGTTATAGTTAACAAATCATTTACCTACATAAATTAAAGTGCATATAACTTTTTACTACAAAAACTTGGTCCCAAAGTTAAAAAATAAATTTTCAATAATTATTTTTTATTTTTTTATTTTTCACAGGTATAAATGTGATATTTGTATGATTACCTAAAGGAAACAAATTAAAACATTTGAATTGTGGATTTTGTTTTTATTCCGTTTATATACAAATATTATGTGTTTAGTATACAAATAATAATTAGTTATTAGTCTATGTATGAAAAATGGTTTATTGAAATATAAAAAAACATATACCTACAGGTTACATGCATAACAGCATATCAGAAGATACTTATTAGGTATCACAGAACGTATTAATTTTGTCTGAATTTTTTTTTCGAAAATTGAAAAATATATTCAGCTCTAAAATTGTTCATTGCTGCAATTTTAGTTTGAATACATTTTAGTGTTCATGTGTTTAATTTCCGTCAAACATGGTATATGGTGTAGGGTATAGTTGGTTATCATTTGTGTAATAGTGCTGTGTGTGGTGTTAGAAAAGTGCTGCACAACTGTCCATGGGAGTACAGCCTTCTTTTGGACGAATATGACATTTTAAAACTAAACGAAACGGGTGCCAGTTAAAATCGGGAAAAGAAAACCGCGAAAATAAAAATCGCGAAATGTTTTAACAGCGAAAACAATAATAGCAATTTACATATAATAACAATAACAACAACAGAAATATTTTTTTCGGTTTATTTTTCTTAAACTTACAACATGAAAAAACATAATCACGTAAAAAAATTAAAATCAAAATACAAAATAAAATAAAATTTAAATTTGATATTTTTTCCAAACTAAAAATTTAAATTTGATGTGACAAATTATAGGCAACACCTCTTAGGTATTCAAGTCTGTCCTTATTTTCGTAGTCATTGGCTAATTCTTTAAATGTATCCCTTTTTCGTTTTCTGGATACCCACTATGTACTGATTTATTTTCATGTTGTTTAAACTCTGTTCCTTCAATAAATTTCCATATTGTTGGATGATATAAACTCAATAAATTATTAAAGCCTCTATGTCACCCTTCAACATCAGTCATTATTATTTTGGGATTTAAATGAATATTATGTGTTTTTATTGCCGAAAATAACCTTTCATACGAACTTAGTGTTTTATCTGGCATTAAAGCGAAAACTTGGTATTATCAAATTATGCTTTATAACATATATTGTGTATACTTGTGTAAATAATAGAAGACATGATTTGAAAGTTCCATCTGCAAACCAATGATCAGATTTAGACAGTAAATCTAAATTCTCTTTCGTAGCAAATACTAAAATTGACCATCAATAGTTTGGGAATAATTATTGGGTATTGTAATATCTGTTATTGTTAATGGGTTAGATAGAACAAAACTATTAATTTGTCGTATTCAATACAAAGTGTATTTGATATAACTTACTGGAGGGAGAGCTCTGTGAACTGCTTGCGAACACAATGTTTATGCTTCTGAAACAATTTGATGTGGATTATCTTGAGATAACAGTTAAAATTTTCATTTTGTCTATACAAATTGTCTTCGATTTATAAATTCGATATGGTATGGTTATGTTCACTAGGTCCTTTCACAATTTCTTCGTTTTTAAATTAAGGTGTGATTCACATAGGCTTACATTACATTTCCAATACATAGTAGATTTATATTTTTTGTCAAACCTATACAAATAACCATTATATTTTAAAAAATGTTTGTTTTTTTGACTTTGAATAAACTCCATTACGAATGAATAAACCGCACTTTGAAACGTTTGAATATGGCAACGGATGACTTGGTAATGGTATTATTATTTACTATGATAAAGTTTGACAGTGCTCATCTTTATTACGTGATCCAAGATGCAAAAGTACAAAATTAAATTGATATACCCTTACAATAAAATAACCTTGATTATCTAGTATTATTATTACTTATATTATAAAGGAATACCCACTAACGAAAATAATTTCTTACTTTTCGCTGTTAAAACATTTCGCAATTTACACATGGAAACAAGCGAAACAGAACTATAATAATTATTTTATGCATACTGATTTGACTCAGAATCACAATTGGTTAACAATGATTTATCAATGTGTAATTAAATTAGTTAAATTAATTATAAAACCTTTCATTAATTCCACCTACAACTGTAGCCCGAACCAGATATCCTGATACAGTGGTCCATAAAATAGTGTGCTATACAAGAAGTATATGATGACTGATGACATACAAAGTACACATAATGTACCGATTTAATTTTGTTTTTATTAATTGTCAAAATCATGGCAAGAAATTTAGCTAGGGTTGAAAGGATATCTAGGAAAATAGATGGATATCATATGGTTAATGTTTCCAAAGTTGTAAAATGTAATTGAATAATTAAATACATTTAATTAAAAATTATAATGATAATTTTCATTTGTAATTTTTAAATTGAAAAAAAAATATATTAACATAAGATAACCTAATTGGTAATTGGGAATTCAATGTATTGATAGACAGAAGTAAAAAATAAAATATTGGAACTATTATTTTTGGTTTTTAGGACATTAATGATAAACCAATAACCATTGATCTACTATAGCATAGTTCATAAGTGTAATTATACATAAATATTAAGTATAAATTAAAATATTACATATTGCAGTGTAGAAAAATAAAAAAAAAACTGTATAAAATAAATGTTCGAAATAAGTTTTAAATAACCTTGATTTATTAATATTTAATTAAAACAAATTTTTATAAACATTCAATTATTTTGATTTTTTAGACTTTACTAGTACTGGCTAAAGTATTAATCATTGAATCCATTGGAGGAGGATTAACATTAATTAATGAAGAATCCCTTATCTCTGAAGACTTTTTGGATGAAATGGAGTTATCTCCAAAAGGCAGTGTATAAGAGAAAAAAACATCTGCTGCTTGTGGGGTATGTTCATCATTATCAAATTGAACACGTACTATAAAATCAAATTCTAAAGGTATACATTTATCACCATCTTCACAAACACTAGTCTGACATCTTAATATAATAACTTCTTCGTCTTCATCTAATTCACTATCAGAAGTATCAGAATCATCTTCAGTTTGCCAATACTTATTGTTTCGTTGTTTATCTTTAGATTCAAAATCATTAGCAGTTTCGGTGTTTTCCAATACTTGTTTTGGAATACGAATTAAATATTTAAAATCAGCAGCTGCTCCTAAAGCAGGAATTATGGTATTAGATTTGATTTCTTTTGATTCCCATTTAGAATCTATAAAAAAAAAAAAAACAAATACGTATGCTTAAAAATATGTTATAATCAATTATAAATTTTAATTAAACCAATTATTATTGTGTTATGTCATAATTTAAAAATGCAATATATTTAAATCCAGTTTAATAACAAATTGATTTTCTTATAATTTGAACAAAAATTAAATATAAATTTATTTATCATAAATTACATAAAATAATGTTATTCTTACCTGGAAGTTGTAGAATCCAATGCAATTGTGGTTGCTCTTTAAGTGGTTCGTTCAAAGGTTTTGACCCATCTGTTGTAGAACTACTACCTAAAATGACACGACCACGTACCATTATTTGTCCATCTGTCTTTCTATTTAATCTGATTTGAGTTGTTCCAACAATATTAGATGGTGATGATTCCAGAATTTTAGGGAACTCCAATTGTAACTAGGTATAAAGAAATAAATTATTATATAGAACGATAAACTGTTTCTAAAATAAAAATAATTGTATTAATGATACCTTTTTGATGGCATAAGTGTCAAAATTGTACACCCAAACAACATGATTATTTGTGTCCGCAATCAACAATAAACTAGATCTATCTTGAAGATTTTCGATAAAATGTAATCCATTAGGTTCATTTAACTACAGACATTTTTAAAATACTTTTATAGTATTATTAAAACTAAACAATAATTCCCTAACTAATTAACTTAATTTTGCTCTCTTGATCATTTGTAAAAAGTGAGTAACAGTTTTTGGGAGGAGTTAATGTATTGAAAAAATATGTTATAAACATGTTTATCTACTAAGGTTAGAGCTTGGCTTATTATCACATATAAAAATATGTGGTTTCAACAAATATCATAGAAACAGTTGTCTTTATGAAAAAAAACATAAAGATCAAAAGTTGTTCAAATAATTTTTTTTTAATATTAATCATTTTATTAAACACTACTTATTTGAATAACATTAGGACTATTACTACTATTAAGTACAATCATCATTTAACTTATTCTCAACTATTTAAGTAATGCATTATATTATTAGTTAACATAGTACTGTTAATACAGTTTTACTTATAAGCAAAATTATAAGCTGTACTATATATACATAATATAAATACATTACATACAGTATTCATAGTATTAATTAATACTAATGTTAGGCAATTGCACCCCGGTTGGCTCAAGAGCACACTGTAAAAAAGTGAATATAGAACTCAACCAGACCATGCAAATCATAACCAGTGAGATCCACCTAAGTACATTGATTGCCAGTGTTTGCAAATATAGCTCCACTTATGTAGAATAATGCATACAGATCGATAAAAAAAAGAGAAACACAAACCTAACCTCCCATTACACAGTGACATTGATATGTATCCCCAAAAGCGACTTAAGTCAAGATATCCAATATTTATGAAGTTTTGGAAGAAAAAGCCAGCAATGAATTGGATAGTGGGTCTGGAAAAGTTATTAAAAATGAATGGTTACATATCATATTCACATAGTTTTTTTTTTTTAACATTTTAATGCTTACATGTTTTGTTTTCACTTTATGTTATTTATCTTTGTTAATTCAGACAATTATGGTATGCAAACAAAAATAATAAATACAGGTAATTGCATAATATTATGTTATTATAGTTTTAACTCTAATTTCTAAGCTTAGTAAAACAACATTCATTTAAACATTAGAAAACCACCTTTTTTTTTTACATTAATGCACATTGTACTCAACACATATGTTAAATACCACTTTACAGAAAACAATTAAAATAAAATGTGTAGAATGATGACTACTGTGATGATAACTGTTAGGTAACCATGCTACTTATTTATTTGTAGCCAATTAAGACAAACTACAACATTGTACCCATATTTTACACGTTAAAACTTCTATTACTAGTAGCCCAAATACTACTAGCGCTATTAGTCACACCATTTTTAAAGGACAATAGCACACAGCATCAAACTCCAACCCCTTAGTAGATAATTGTGGTTATAAATCAAAGTATTTTCTCATTTATAAAACTTGATACATTAAATTAAGTATATTTGTCTTAATTTAAAAATGTATACTCTTCTTAATTTTAAAACAGTCCTCTATAAGTATCTATATTATAAATGTTATAGTATAGTATATATATATTATAATTCACATACTTTAACTGGTAATGGTAAATTATGTACCATACCACTTGCAGGTCCATTAATACCACCAGAAGCTGAATTACTACTGTTATTATAGTAAGATTGTTTATTATCAGACAAACCAGTAACATATTTAATTTTGTGATTGTATGAATCAGCTATGTATAATACATTGCGCTTATAATTCCAAGCTACATCCATAGGATGCTGTAAACGAGAATTGACTCCTGTACCTCCACTAATATCACCATAAGTAAACAGGTCCTATTAAGATAATTGTTATTGGTTAACATAAATTTTGATATGGAAATCGGACTTATTAATAATGTTTAATACTTATTATCAAAAAGTAATATAACATTTATGTATATGTTATTCTAACTGAGTATGAAAGCATAGAATTTATGAAGTACTTAACAGTTGGATCAGGACTTCCTCCAGCCACATTTATAACTCTATACTTTCCCAATGAGTCCAAAAACAAGCGTCTAATTGATGAACTTTCACTATCAGCTATATATAATGATGGATCACCGTGTACAGATCCAGCCCGAGATTTGGTTAAACATAATCCAGAAGGCTGTGCAAATGAAGCACGCTGCCCATTATAAGAATTATTTCTATTTTCTTCTTTGCCTGTACCTGCGATCATGGTACATAAGCCCTTTGAACACCATCTAAAATAGATAAAGTATTACTATTAGAAATATATAATATACTTATATTATATATGATACCTATATTTACACATATTAAAAAAAAAAGCTAATTCTGCAGATGGGCGTGTTTACTGTTGTATGTGGGAAATTAGAAAGGTAGAATTAGAGATGAGCACAACCAATTCCTACCAACCAAGTCAGTAGTAACTATGTAACTATTTTAGTCAAATAACGAAACAATTTGTTCAACTAACAACTACACTATTTTTTTTTTTTTGTTTACCACTAAGTACAACTTATAATGAACCTCCTACCAAATTAAAATTGCATAAAAGAATTCTAAAATATCAAAGGTCTATTAATAGCTCAAAAAGGGCTTAAATATTTTTAAAATGTTATCATCTAGAAAAGTAAACATAAATATTCTGTCAGTAAAAACAGCTGTTCACCTATTGTGCAAAGTATGTGCTGTTTAAAAAATATATTACTATCCCTAAACATCTGTCACAACTGATACCACTGTTCACTGCAGTACCCCAAAGATTGACAACAAGCCATTTAGTTAAAAATATTCAACTAATACAGTTATCCAATAGAGAAGAGTTGACTAATTTACTCAATTAATTACTAATAACTAATTTAGTTGACTACAGAATAATTAATAGATTTATTTCAAAGATTTTTATATTAGTTGGTTGTGTAAATTTTAAGTCAACTAATTAATCAATAGTATTCAATGAAAATCAACTAATAATCGGTAGTAATTAATAGTCAGTTGTATCTATCACTAGGTAGGATAAATAAAGATATTTAATTTAAATCCATACATTATGATAAATCATTAGTGACGAAATAGAATTCTGAGCAAAGCTATAAATGTTTTAAAATGCTGTAATTTTTAATATTTTCATCAAATTTGAACTTAGACAACTTATAGAAAAAAATTGTTACTTAAGAATCAACTTTTTTTCAAACCACATAGTACAAAGGTTACAGCACAGTACTAGTCATGCGGCTAGTAAGTTTGTTGTGTTCATACATTTCTTGTAAAGTTTAATCATTTATAAACCTAATATATAATTATCAGTATGATTTCCTGTAATCCTGAGGGAATTCAGTTTTCCATTATCTGTTTCATAGTATTGCATTATCGCCCAGTAAGTTTATTTCTAGTTGATGTTGATTTTTGATAAGTGAATTAATCAGTCTACTAACAAGTTCATGGCTATCATATCTATTTTCTGTTCTTCTGCACTCTTTTATTATAAGTAATTTGTGCTACCTATTCCTACTTCATTTTTTTTTTTATCGTGGCTAACAAAGCAGATTCATCAGTTTTGCAGCTTAAGAAAAAGAAGGTTACTCTAAATGATGTTTGTTTAGAGTTCTTTACTGCAAATTCAAGAAAGAAATTTTTCTCCTGCCAATAAACTCAAGTCAATTGTTAATAATATCAAAAGTCTTGAAAGCAGACTTTTACCTCAGTGGTTGAGAATCTTTCTGTTGAGTTGATTGAAGTTAAAAAAGAAAAAGACATCCTAGGATAGTGAGGACGGATGTAGCCACTGTTATAGATAATTTAATGTATACCAGTAAGCAACGATAAACCATTGCTTATGATAAAAAGATTCTGACCAGTGTTCAGTTGATAGTAATGCTTTGGCAACAATATATATATATATATGTCATATTATAGTAAAATAATTAAATAGGCTCTATATATTTTCTTTAATAATATTTGTATAATATTATTATATTATATTTAATTATCCCAGTTTCCCTATATTTTCCCATGTTTTTTCCGGTTTTTCACATTTGCTATGGAAAATCTTGGGAAAATCAAAAAATCTCTAAAGTACCATCTTAGTTAAATATCCTTATAGAAACAGTGCTACCAATAAAAGTTGGAGAAAAATTGTTAATAGAAAAGTTGTGTACAGAAAAAAGAAAGAAGTAATATATTTTAACTAATACCTACATTTCTAATGTTTTCCTGTTTTTCTTTCGGTTTTTTAAATTTGATGAAAAAACTCCTGAGAAAATCAAAATGACCTCTCTATAGTACCTTTTTACGCCTATTTCCTTTCAGAAAAGGTGCTACACATAGAAATCCAAGAAAGTCTTCTGGTAAAAAAGTTGCAAACATATAAAAGAAAAAAAAGAAATATCTTTGTAAAACTTTAAGCTTCTTCACTCCACTCAGAATCTAAAGCAGCTCTTAATTCCTCAATGCAAATACTCTAAGAGTAGGTCATCTAAAAAATCACCTGTGGTGGGGATCTTTATCTGAACTCGTGAAAAAGAAAATTCCTAATGAATCAGCAAAAAACCGGCTGTGGCAGAAGTAAAAGTAATATTAACTCTAGTAATTTATCTTTTGGTTTTTATCAAATTTGTGGAGGGCTTAGGTCCAAATTAATTAATTTTAAATTTAATACTACATGTTTTGATAATATATTTCTTATCTTGACTAAGACCTAACTTTATGATGGGATTGCTGATTCTGAATTAAACTTAAGTAATTGCAACATTTTTAGATGCGATAGGAATAGTTCTACTAGTCTTTGCTCAAGAAATCATGGAGTCCTTGTTGGTATATGTGCTAATATTCCTGTTCAAGTTATCTCTGACATTACTATAAATATTGAATACTTATTTTTAAGTTGTAATATTAATGGTAATAAATTTATTCCTATTGTTAATACATTAATAATACATTTTTAATTTTTTTTAACTTTAATAGTATTAATTAAACATTAAAATAATAATTATAAATATTAATACATTCCTCACTTTGCTCAGAATCTAAAATTCAAACCAGAATTAATTCTGTATAAACTAACAAACTGTTTTCTTTAACAATTTAGGATTATACTGAATATTATTATAATTATAATAAATAGACAATTAACAATTGATAATTATTGGTTTTTAATCTATCAGAATAAAGTAATTCAATAAATTAAATACCGAATAAGTTTTTTTTTCTAGGAAATAAGATCTTATCTGACAAACAAGTATCAAAAATTGATAACTGTATTTTCCATACATAAACCGGTTAATTTAACAGATTAATTAACCATCTGTAATTTTCATAGATCATATTTGTAAATATTATTATCATTATAAAAATATAGTATTGTTTAACTGCCCATTAATTTAATATTTATTTTGTTGGTGGAATATGCAATGTACAAACTTTTATCCATAAGAGATAGTTACTAAAGAAAAATTAATTTCCAGGATCAAAAATATTCAAAATAATTTAAATAAATTAGATGAAGCCTAGGTAAAAGAAGATAAATCCATTTATACAATTTTTTTTTTTTCATCAACATTCTTATAAATTATTATAATCCATATAAATTAGCATTAAAAAATGAAACAAATTGTATTATTTATTACAATTATATACATAATTGTAATATTATTTGCTTCATTTTTGAATGTCAATCAATGTGGATTATAATAATATATAAGCATATTATTTTTAAAAAAAAATGTATATAAATAAACTTATTCCCTTTTACCTAGGCCTCATCATTTTAATAACAATCTTTATAGAATTCAGTTTGTTCTATGTGTATAATCATTAAAAAGTGAAAAAGCCAACTGATAAAATCCTCAACTAATAAACTATTACTGATATATATAAATCATTATGAAAATGTACAGAAAAAAATTTGCAAGATTTTAAAAGCCACTAGAGGTATTAGATCAAATTGATCTTTAGGTCTTTTGATTATTTTGAATGAAACTGTTATTTTTGCATAAGTGTATCATTGATTGACTAATTGAAAACATTTTGGGATTTGGATATTAATTTACTCCTACTAGCAGTCCTAGTCTATTTCCAAATGATGACCAGGTTCTATTCTCATTTAAAATTAACCTAAAAATGATTACAATCTATATCAACTAAAATATATCCATATTTATATCTATAGCCATGCTGATAAAAGATCTAAAGGAAAACAGATTCACTGAATCATATAAGTAATTTTTGATTCACAAAATGACCAAATCACTTAACTGATATGATTCAAATCATTCAAAAGACTGAAAATTCTCACCTCTAAAAGGCACAAGCTGATTAATATCAAAAAAATAACAAAATATGATAAGATTTATTAACAAACATGAGTTGTTTTGAAAATGATAGAGATATCACTGTAGTAATGGACCTTATACTTGTATTACAATACTTAATATAAGATCTATAACTATAGTATCCACTAAATATAGATCTACACCAAACCTTGGTTAATTATTCACGATTGAAAGGAACTATAGGTGACATTCTTATGTACACTAATGATAAAGAATGGACACTAGGATAGCATAAGAATAATATTAAGCTAAAATAATCCATTTATTCATAATTTTTTTTTTAAATTTTCTTATTAAAACTTATTTTGTTTACAAATTGTAATAATAAAAGTACATAATATTTAATTCTGTAATAAAAATCACAGACATAATTGAATATATTGGTTATTTTAAAATCGAAGGTTCAAAAATAGTTAAATACGACCATATTATTAAAATAGATTTAAGAGCAAAACTGGATAATAGAATAACAGGAACAGGTACAGCCACTGTTATGGTAGGTTATAATATTGTACCAGTTTTCCTGTGTTTTTTTCAGGTTTTTCAGATTTTCTAGGAAAACTCTTTGAAAAATCAAAAAATCACATCTCTAAAATACCTTCCCAGTCAAATTTTCTTTTATAAAAAGTGCTATCATTGGAGCAAAATTGCTTGTAGAAAATTTGTTTACATGAAAAAATCTTAATATTTTAGTAATATATTTTGAATACAATTTTTTTTTTATTTTTCATAAGTTTTTTCTCGGTTTTTCACATTTGATAAAAACTCTTGAGAAAATAGAAAAATACCTTCCCACAACGATTTCCTATCAGAATAGGTGCTACACTTGAAAATCAGAGCAACCTTGTGAAGTAAGTACGTTTTAAACACTATATTGTATATTATATATTATATAAGTTCAATACAAGTTGGTATTTAATTTATGTATTTTTATTATACATTTAGCTAAAATATTAATTATGGTCATCCATAATATAACAAATAAAGCTATATTTATAATTATTACAAGGAAACTCAGAAGTCAATATTATCAAATGTACATCTTGATAGAACAGTTTTAATAAATTCAACCAAGTAGGACTCTTACACTTTCAATCGCGAATAAGTTGAGCTATTTTAAAATCATGATAATGGAATAATTACAATTGTGATTATAATTTATACTACCTCAATTATGCTTATTGTTAAAAAAAATTATAGAATGATTGATTCTATTTGATATTTTTTATAAAGTTAAATTAATTTCATACATACATATATATATATATTATATGTTTATTCTATATATTACATTATATACTATACATTATGTTGAGAATTCTTACTTAGATTTCATGCCAGATGAATAAGTACTAGTACTTGTTTTGTCTAAATAAAGAGCCCATATTTGATGTAAACCTGCCATAGCAATTAACAAACAGCGGACTGGAGATGGTGTTTGTACAGGTGCTGATGGCACATATTGCTGGGATGTGTGATATTGATTTTGATTATGTGGATATACTTTACGTTTATAATACACAACATCCCAAGGAGTATTTAGGATTTGAGAGCTCCACATTTGACCACCATATTTATCTCTACCTTTTTTACCATTTCCAGCAACAGTTTTGACACACTTTTCTTTTAAATCTATCTGTATACAAATTTATTTAAAAATTATTAAATATACAATCATATTGTAAAATTATAAAACAAAATATGTGTTATGATAAATCACAATGTATAATAATAACTGGTTACTTATCACAAAAAATTAATATTTTCATAGTTGTCATTAATGACTAATAAAATATCTTAATTTTCTAATGTCATTATTTACCAATATAATATAATACCACATTATATACATTAGGCTACTTTAACTTTTAACTTTTTTTTAACCTTACCCAAACAATTTTTTTAGAATTTGCTCATCAAATATTTAGTTTTTCTATTTAAATAACATAGAAAAGTAATGATACTTTAAATAAAATCACATTTATTCTTTAAGTTTGAAAGTTACAAGATTTACCATAGTTTTGTCTTAAAGATAACAAAAACAAAGACATAAGATTCACTTGAAATCAAGTGAAATTTTACTATGTTCTTATGTTCCCATTTTACTAATTTTCCTGTTATTTAAATGGAAAAACTAAATATACAATGATGAAGTTCAAAAAAAAATTGTATAGGCTCAAATTTCTTTTGGAAGTTTGAGACCACAAGAGAGTAATTTACAGTCTTAATTTTAAAAAAAATGTTAAAAATCAAAACAGCCTAATATACATTTATGGAATTTTTTTTTTAAATTAAGGAAATAATACAAACAATAATCAAATGAATAATACTAAAATTAATTTACCATACGGATAGCATGATTTTCAGTATCACAAACATAGAGAGTATTTGAATTTTGAAAACATATGCCTTGGGGTGAATGAAATAAAGCTTCAAAAAAATTTCCATCCTTGAAACCTTTTTTTGTCGTTGATGGATAGAGACCTTGGCCCCCACCTCCAATAACATGCTGTAAAATCATAAAAAAAGAAAAATGTAATATTAATATATTTGATCAATAATAATATTATAAATAGTTATAATAAGTTATTATAAATATATTAAAATACTTTTTAGATACCTTTACACGACCTTGCAATGTACAAATCAAAATTCTGTGATGCCCACTGTCAGAAATTGCAATTAACATTTTCCCGCATTGTTGTTGATCAGCCTTATTCTCATTATTCTTTTTTTTCAATTTCTTTATATAAGCTGTCACTTTACCCGGATAAAGAAGATTTTGCTTGGGAAGAGTTAATTGTTTACCTAATGTTAATGTAGTTTTGCCTAAAACTATTTCTGGTATTTTATGAGAACTAATCATAGATGCTTGACGTAAAATTTGTAATGATGTTTCAATAAATCTTGGCAATAATTCTGAATGAAAATCTTCACCCTGAACCACAAGCATAGGCTCACCATTGGGCCCTGATTAACAAATTAAATTAGTACAATGTGACCTATTTAAATGAAAACACTCTTTATCTTGAAAAATATCAACTTTTTTCAAAATTTAAGAAACTAGCAGCTATAAAATGCAGAGCTTCAATACATTTTATTTATAACAGTGTAAAAGAAAACTAAATTAACAAAATTAATAAACAGAAAAAATTGAATAATATTGAACAATAGATATCATTAATAGAGCAGGGATTTGTATGCAATAAAAAAGTCAAAATATATAATAGAAAACATGAAATAATTGCATACTTGATAAATGCAGATGATAAAACTTCAATATCCATTAATGATTTTTCAGTTTTATTCAGAAAAATATTTTGAATTATTTTTAATATAATAATGGTTAGTGTCAATATTTCTGTAACTTACTAGGTTATATATGAATATGCAAATATTTACTAAGTATAAGTAAATATAGGTTATATAGATAGGTATTAGTAAAATATAACCTAACCTTAAAAATATGTGGAAATATGATGTCATATTTTATTCAGGGTATTATGAAACATGTTTATTTTTAATCAAAATTAAAAAATCCGTATTCAATAAAACTATATATGTACAAAAATATAGGAGCTTTAATCTTCAAAAGAATTTATTAACAAAAAATTACACAATTTAAAATGTATTTATAATGTAACTGTCTTGGGAGAAAACAAAAAATTTAAATTAGCTTTGAACATATAATAACAATCAAATAATTAATTTAAATTTGAATGTAAAAGTGGTTACTATATTATTCAACATTAATAATTTAAAAATGTACAAAATAAATAACCTAAACAAATAAATATAAAAAAACTACCAATTAGTTATCATAAACTTTTACTCAAAATATCTATTAAATTTTAACAGAAATGTAGTACCCAAGTAATACTCAAGTAGATGTTATGAATAAAATTTGTGGTCTCATGACTATTTATGTCTTTATTATTATGATAAATTAGTTTTTATCTGTGAATATATTTTTTTTTCTTATAACATTAAATGTTTTTCTACATTCTCTAGTTACTCTTAAATCTACAAACTTATAATATTTTAAACTGAAAACAGGTAATAAATAAAATATTTTTCTGGGTAATATAAAAATTCAAAATTAACTGAATTGGGAATAATAAAAAAAAATATAAGTTGATTTCAAGTTAACATAGAAGTGCATGAAGTTAGGTTAATGTTGAGTTAATTAAAATATCAAATTAGTAAGTTAAGTTAATAAGTTGAAATTAACTTAAATTTTAGCCAATGAACTCATGAATGAATTAATACCTATCCTTGCTTAAATGAATCACATTGTATGTGTTGTTCAGCACTATATACAATTCAATCAAAAAATAAATTGAATACTAGCATTGTCTATAATAAACAAGTAATTACAAATTAAGTACATACAAATTAGTTATGAAAACAAAAATGTATTTTCTCTGTTGTATGTAACAACCAAAGAATAGGTACCAGAAATAAATAAAAATTTAATTTTCGTATTTTAAATCCATAATTGAAAAATACAGTTTCAAAGTCTTGTCAAATAAATATCTCTCTCCTGTTCAACATTTTAGATATCTTTATGCCCTACATTTTGTTCTACATTAAGTTTCTAAAAAAATGGCATTATTATATTTGAGTAAAATATTAAAATATTAAATCATTTAAATAACTTGATGTTAAATAAATAATGCAGTAACCTAACTAAATTATTTAATAACTACTCATACATATAAAAAAAAAAATTAGATTATCTAAATTATACAAATGAATCTTAAAATATATTTACCAATAAGTATTAAAGTAGGCCAACAACATACAGCTAAATCATTCCACATTGTGCTGTCTGTGTCATTCACAACACAATGATCAATTGCATATTTTTCTATTGCCTGTTGAACATTCACTGATTGTTGCTCATTTGGAAATTTTGCACTGTGTACACCAATCTATCCAGATAAATACCATAATTATTTATATGTATATGTACAACAAATTTAACAGATGTACAATCAGCAATTCAAATTTAAAATCAAATAAAGCAACAAGTAGTTCATAATCAGCAGAGTAAATTTAAAGTTGGTAACTATTTTACCAATAATTTTTTTGTAGACTTATGTATTTTAACAAGAATCAGTACAATCAGAATTTATTTTGAAGTTTTGGTGTTTTATATTTTAAATGTTAAAATAAAATGTTCAATCACTGTTATGATGTATCTTTTTTTATTTATTATTATTATTTTTGTTTTTTTTGCAAAAATATATATATAAATTTTCATTTATGAGTTAAATAAGTACTATTACTTGTGTACAAGTTCATAATAATTTAACAAAAATAATAATATATAAGTGACGAATATAATATTCTATTATTAAAGGTTGTTATATAAAATACATTTGATACTCATATTAACATTATGTATTCTAAAAAGTATATACTCAATACAGAAATAATGAAATGTGTTTTGAAGGAAGTATAACACAGTATAACTACTACATTACCACCTATGCCTCTATATGGCATTACTGTGTTAATATACATAATAAATTAAGTAAATTGACTAACTTCAAAACCTATATATTCTGATTGTACCATTATTTGTAACTAGCTAATAAGTTAAAATATAATAGTTAAAAAAAAAACAGAATAGCATATGATTGCATAATAGTTTAACAACTTACAATAACTAACCCATCTTCACATGTAAACTGTTTTTGCAGTTTATGAAGAATAGGTAATATATGCAAACAATTCACACAACAGTATGTAAAGAAATCTAGTAATACAAGTTTCCCTTTTAAGTGTTTACCAAATAATAAAGGTTTTGTGCAATTGAACCAATCAAGATCTGAAAAAAATTTATAAAAATAAAGTTTAATAGGTATCTAGGAATTTACAAAATTAATATAAATTGATCAAAATAAATGTAGGAGAAAATAGGGGAAAAGGAAGACTAAAAAAATGAGTGGTTATATGCAATATGAGGAAAGCCAGTGTAGGCAAGGATGATGTGGGAGCAGTGGCACTGACTAAGGGAGTCAGGTTTAGTCAAACAAACTGTATTTTTGAAACAATGGTTAGAATTTTCCTGCCGTGTATAAATATTATTTAAGTAAGCAATAGTAATAATATTTTGCAAATTGTTTGAGTTTTTACTAATATTTTAGCACTATTAATAACAATAGTATAATGGAATAATCATAATATATTTAATATAATTGTATTAGTGGTAATCTTAATTTTAAGAAAAAAACAGTTTAAAAATCACTATTTATGAACTGGGAATTTAATTTTATAGTTCATTAAAATCGATAAATATGTGCTAGGTAGTAATGTCAAAAAAAAAAAAAAACGAAATAATTAAAGCTCACAATAATTGTGTAATTAACTATTCTTAATAGTAATAAATTATGATAAATATTAATAGTAGGTAAAACCACTATATAACTATTGACCAGACCATTTCTAAACTTATTCAGCACCACTGTGTGGAGGATCAGGTCAAGAGAAAGTTCAGGATGAGGATAAACTAGCCCAAATAATATGTTGAAGGATAAAGGTGAAGGAGAAAAATATAGGACAATAGTTATTAACCTATGATACACATACCACTAAAAGTGCTCGGAAAACATGTAGGTCGTACATAGGACATTTTTTGATAAGTGAAAAAAATAAATAAAAATAAAACCAATAGCTAATAGGTTTGTCTTCTTCAAAAAAAATAAGGGAACTCTACACCATCCCTTACGGGTTTTTTTTTTGACATCTGAAAATGACTTAGTTCTTATTATTGTTGAAACAAAATTTTGCAAAAAAAATAAACCCGAATGGAACAGATGTAATGTTTTGTATCGGTAGACCAGTGGTTCCCAATCTTTTTAGTTGTGCAGATCACCAGTTTTGTAAAAAAAAAAAACCTTCCGAGGCCTACTAAACTAATATGCTGGTAAAAATAAAACCACCTATATATACATGTATGATCAATATATGTAAATATAATGTGCATACTGCACATACGTCAGTAATTGGAAAAATATACTATACAAGAAAATTAAAAAAAAAAGTTTATTATTGTATTCAACTTATAAACAAGTGGTTAAAGTTAAATTTTGATTAATGTGATTTTTGACATTGTGTTTCTCCCACGAAAGAGTCAATATTGAAATTAAGTTTATCATATTATGTTCACACTCTACACCAAACACGACGAAATATTATAAAAATAACAAAACTAATCTAGAATACTAGATATGAAAACGATAATAAATACAATTGTCTCAATCAAAATATAGATGATTATATTATAATAATACCATATATGTACATAACTACACCTACGACATAAGAACACAGTCAATGTCCGACCCACATTTATCATCCGATAACATACAATAACATATGATGCGAGTTCCTTTTACTTTTGTGCGTTAAATGTTTATGATAATGTTGTTTAGGTATAAATGTAGTTTATGTCTCAAGCTCGGTTATTAAATTTTTTTTTCAAAATGTGTTTTTCCCTGTACATTAAGAATCTAAAAGAAAGTTGTACAAACTTTGTTTGGAAGTTGTGGAGGAAAACTTCATGAAGTTCAGGTTTTCTGTTTCACGTATTTCTTGGTTAGAATTTAACATTTTCCAATTTTTTTTTTCCAAAATATGTTTTTAATGCTATAATCAAAACACACCTATCATCTAAAATGCTTTTTTACTTTACCTTGTTACCTTTTCAACGTGGGTTTTACATAATAAATATCAAAGGTTATTTTTGATTAAAATTGTCCAAATGAGTGCAGCAAAACACGGAGTATTTAAACGTTTGCAACTCTAAATCTAAGCCAGATATACTTATTCTGACTTAAATGAAAAAACTTTGTTATCAAAATACCAATAACTACAAACAATAATAATAAAAAAATTATGATGAAATTTTGAATTAATTCTAAAAATGTTATTTTACAAGATTTATGTACAATAACTTTAAAAATAAGTATGATAAGTGTGTTTTGATTTTACAAATGGATGAAGCATTAAAAAACACCCATTTTGGAAAAAAAATTGAAAATGTTAAATTCTAACAAAGAAATATGCAAAACAGAAAATCTGAACTTCATGAAATTTTTCCCCATAACTTTCAAACGAAGGTTATCAGACTTTTTTTTAGATTCTTAATATACAAGCAAAAACACATATTTTGGAAAAAAAATTTTGAAAACAAGCTTAGGTCGTAAATTAAATTTTTACCATTCTAGGTTAAGAGGTAGGTGAACAATTTCAAAATGTAAATGGTACACGGATATTAAAAGATTGGGATCCATTGCATTATGGATAATATAATTCAATAAATACTTACTGGGTTTAAACTCGTTAACTCGTAAGCCTGATGAAGCAAAATTAAATCCACTTTGAAGTCCAGGAATACTAGGGGCTGGTTGACTGCAGCAGGCAGTCAAAATTTTCTGAATATAATCTTCCATAGTTTCTTGAAGTTTTACTGGAAATGACATATTCGAACCATTTATTGAAGCTGGATTGATAGCCGAATTGTTAAATAGTTCAACAAATACCGATGATATCTCAATAATCCTGTCCATATTTTATCTGTTAAACAACTAAGAGTGAAAAAAATAATTAGATGTTTAATAAAATACATAGAATCAATTAGAAAATTATACAGTAGACAGACACCTACCAAAAAGTGACGATAATTGTGGATTTATTCAACAAAAATTTGTTCAGGTAATTAAATAATTGATTTACAAATGAGTCAGAATTTGAATAACAATAATTAACAAAATAATTCAATATTTTAATGAACACACACACAGCCACACAAAATAGAATGTGCCGAACTATCGACCGGTCAACGCTAGTATCAAACGCGTCTGCGCGCTGACGCTGGCTGGGTTGTTGCACCATGGTCATGGTACAACGTTACAACACCAAAGAGGAAGAAAACTGTTTTGTTGTGTTATTTCATATTAATAGGTTGGTATTGAAATATCAGACAACGATAATTATTTAATTATGATTCTTAGTTCTTACTATAAGAATATAATCTAAAATAAATCAAAATTCAGCAGCAATAAGACTATTATAATCTATAATAAATATATAATATATTTTTTTTTATATCTATGGTTGCGTAGAGGTGGGAATTTTCGGTTAAAAAATGTTTGGGACTTTAGACTATCTTATCAAAAATATCAACAGTGATAAAAAGTATAATCAATAAAATAATATTAAAAAAAAAAATGGTTGCAAACATTTTAGTTCATTGTCCGTAGTTTGTACCAAACACTTGTCTGTAATAATAACTGTATTGTTAATTTTTTATAGTTAATGATGTACTTTATTTTACAACAATAAATATGTCTTCAGACGACGAATGTGATGAATACATTATTTATGGAAATTTATTAGATGTTATAAAAGAAGGTAAGCCATATTGTATACAAAATTATGGAATTGGAAGTGGTGATTTTCTATCTGTCTTACACACGTGCAACATAAGAATTTAGAAATATTTTTTTTCTAGCGTACCTATTTGCGATATGTAAATAGATTTGAATTTGTCAACGAGTTTACCTGAAATCGATCTTTTCAAATTTTGATTTTATTCCTCTGATCATAAAAAAATAATAATAAAAAATTGAATATTTTAATTTTGGAAAAATTTTAAAAGTTAGTTCTAGTCTACTTGACCCCCGACAAGAAAGTGTTCCCTGACATATAGGTTTAGTTGACACTTGCTGTTTAATGTACGGTTTCCAAGGCGCGACCGGTCTCCGCGATCTGTCATTGGTGTGTACTGGTTTCCTAGGCGCGACCGGTCGCCATGACCAGTCTCCGGTGATGTAAAGAAAACCATCAAATTCTGTATCTGTATTCAGTATCATTGTTGTTTTCGTGCAGTGAGGGCTAGTATTTTAAAGTTAAATTGTATATTTACTACTATGAGTATGAATACAATTATTAATAACATTAATAAAATAATGTTACTTCTTCTTGAAGAAGAGCAAGAGGATGATGATTTATTAATTACAACACAATGCAATCAGAGAGAAAAAGTTGATGCACTTTTTCNCTGCATTTTTATATTTGTTGTGCAACAGATCAAACAGCTCAACATTTCTTCGAATCAATTTCGATCAGTTGTTCTTCTTCTTCTCCCGAAAAATTTAATTTAGCCATATTGCTGTACAGGACAGTCGAAATACACTAATCAAAAGCTGGTTTGTGAATGAAATAAATCAACGTTCGCGCGCGACAGTCGTAATACACTGCTTTCGGACCGGTAGTGTTGCCGGTTGCGCCTTGGAAACCGTACCTTTACATTTCTCCTGTTTTCAACGTTCTAATCATTTGTTATAAAATGTATACACCTACTGCAGATAAAAAAGATACGACAATTATATAAGTTAGGTATTCATTATATATATGGTACTCACTGTTATACCTATCTTATATCGTTAATTTTACCAAACATTATTCTTAAAATATCTATAACTGAATTTCACACAAATACGTAATGTATATAATTTCCATACCTCTTTTTTTATCTGTGTTAGGTCTATACAATTTATAACATAAATTATGAGAACATCAAAAACACGAGAAATATTAAAGTATCATCTACTAAACCATAGCGGCAGAATAATACTTCCATGGCGGGTGTCAACTAGACCAGTACTAAAAAATCAAAAAGTGGGAAAATCAATCTCATGTAAACTTGACAACAAAGTTAAATTTGCTTTCAGAATTCTTATCACTTACTAGACCAATCGGTATGCTAGAAATATAACACGTCTAAATTTCTATGTTGCGCATGAGTAAGACATACAGAAAATTACTGCTTCCAATATCCTTAATATATATATATTAAATTTTTTGACACCTATGATTGGTTGAAGATTTATACCCATTTTTATTACCTACAAAGTTTAATATTAGGTGCATTTTATTACATTACTTGATATACTTTGTAGGTATATTTTTTTTAAGTGATACGATTGCAAGTGCTATTTTATCAAAAATGCGTAGTTACAATTGAATTGTATTTAAACAAATTATAAGTTTCATACATTTTATTCATTATTGTTAATACATTGCATTAATTTTGTTTATACTTTCGTAATAGGTATATATTATTTTAAATATTATTTAATTGACCATTTCTTTCATAGATGAAATTGTGAAAAGAATAGATGCGGAACAACAATTTGTTAGAGATGAAAATGGAAGAAGAAGATTTCATGGAGCATTTACTGGTGGTTTTTCAGCTGGATTTTATAACACAGTTGGTTCTTCAGAAGGATGGACACCAAGCACATTTAAATCATCTAGAAGTTCCAAATCTACTCAAAGAGTTCAACATGCTCATGATTTTATGGATGAAGAAGTATACAAGCTTAATATTAACTAACTTAATCATACCTACCTATTAAATCAATATAAATCTTTATTGCATTTTAGGATAAAAAAGATTTAGGAATTGATTCATCAAGCTTAAAAATAAAGTCAGAGTATAGTCATTATACTTCAAGAAAACGCCAATTTCCTGAAGTTAATGTAGGCCCTATTCCAGGAAGACCAGCCCTTGGAGATATTTTAAAACCAATAAAGTAAGACAATTTTATTGACTATCATAAATTCAATAGCATGGTTTTGTTACAATAAATCTGTACCAAATTTAAATACTTTAATTTATTTTTTCTACTGACCATCAAATGGATACTGTATGAAGTTTTGTTTAAATTAGTATAAACAATTATATTTATTTTGAACAAACTTTTGATAGAATTGATCATTTCTTATAATGCAAACATTTTAAAATATTAGTTTTTTGAAATCTTTCTTATTTTGGCTTAATTCATTCTTGAATCCTGGAGAAGCATTCTTCACTATTTTTTTTAAATTTTAAATCAATCTCTAAGAGTAAAAAATAGGATTTTATGGGTATGACTTGGTATTATCATTATAATAACATTCAGTCAGCCAAACAGTTACTTTTGTATTTATAATATTATTATTAATTTTATTTAAGGAATACATGGGGTATAGAATTACTTAAAAGTATGGGCTGGAAGCCAGGCCAGGGAGTTGGGCCACGGCTCACACAACAAGAAAAATTACAATCACAAAGGGAATTGGCGAATGTTGGAATGAAATTTAATAATTATGAAAACCAAGAAGATTTTAATGAATTATTAAAAAATATTAAAGTTTCGCCATATGAATATGAAACTAAGATTATGAAACCAAAAGTAGATACTTTTGGCCTTGGTTATGAAGGTCTGAAGGCATATAATATGCCGACAAAATCTAACAGTTATAGTAAACTTACTGTTGGTGGAAAATCTATTCATGGACAAGTAATTAGTTAACATGAATTATATATTTGTATGTGGGGTATTCTTATAGTGTGTAACCAAAAAGTTTAATTTGTTTAATCTTTTATCTCTATAATTGTTAAAATGGTATGGATCCTAAATTCATACAAATAATTTATTTATTTTTACATTTTTTGGATATCCACTCAAAATTTATTATAAATTTAATAGAAATTAAAATGTACTATTTAGTATTCAAATATATTTAAAATGTACCTATTATTTTGTATTTATTACAAGTTGGTGTTGATACATAACTGTGGTTTACCATTGATTTGTAGGTCACACAGTATAAGAATATCCTATGTGGGTATTACCTATAATGATTATATAATTCTGTATTGAAATTATTTTCTTTTTAATATCCAGGCTTTTGGAGTTGGAGCTTATGAAGAAGATGATGACGATATTTATAAAACTGATGATATGTCAAATTATGACTTTTCCTTAGAAGAAAAAAGTCAAAAATTAAAAGAAAAATTAAAATCAAAAAATTTGGATGTTGAATGTATTGATGGATTCATTAAAAGTGAAACAGGACAAAGATTGTTTGATAAATTTCCCCCTAATCCTGAAATTCCACCAGGTAAACTATTTTTATTGTACAGAATTATATATATATATATATTTTAAATAATTTAAATTCATTTTATTAGAATGGAATCCACAAGGAATGTTTGACAGAATTTTTGGAAATTGTACACCAGATTTCCATACCCAATCCAATTTTTCTACTTGCAATGTGAATTCTAGACAACGAGAAATGAAAAAGCTTATTCCGCCTCCAGTTGAGCAGTGTATAAAAAAAGGTTAATATAATAATACAACAATTATTTTTGAAATATTAAAATATTATACATAAAATATTTTTATAGAGATACCTAATTTAGGTTCAGACTTAATGTTTGATCGGTTTACAAAAGCCATATTACCAGATGATTCTACTAATGCATTAATACCAGTAATTCGAACCACTGATCCAATGTTAAAAGAGTTACAAACTTATGTTGACAAGAAAATGTATGGATCTGGGACTCGTAAATCAGAAAACTGGATTCCTGATAAATTACTTTGTAAACGATTCAATGTTCCTATACCCAAGCAGTCTATGTAATTTTTATACATACATATATATATATATTTATATTTTTTTTTTAATTTAATTTAATTTTAATTGTATATTTTTACTTTTTTAAAAGTTTCTCTCTACATAACTTTAACTCAAAAAGTTCCATTCAATATAGTTTAATTTTTACAGACTAATAAAATAATTTTAGGATCAACAATGCAGATGATGATCAAAAGCTATTCAAGTCATTGCAATTGGAACCACATGACTGTGAATCTAATTTTGTGAATCTACTAAAAATTAACGGTTCTACTGTAGTAAGTATTTTACTATGGCTTAAGATATTATCTGGAGTTATATATAGTAGTTTAATAATAAATGAAACTGAACCATTATTATTTATGGTAATTTTTATTTTTCAACATCATTTATTTAAAATAATAATTAGTACTCATACAATTATAACAATCTGATCAGTAGCTTAGTTTTATTAATGTAATAAATTATTCTTTCAGAAAAAAACTAAAGTTGAAGTTGTGGAAAGTCCAATTGAAATAAAACCAACTATTGATTTTTTTAAAGATATATTTTTAACTGATAGTGATGAGGAAAATTCAGTGGATAATACATCTACTACAACTAATCCTGAAAATAATAATCCTGCAGCCAGTATTTTATCCAATGCCCCAAGTACATCTACGTATATTTGCCCTCCCAGTGGAATATTTGCTAATCTTAATTTTGATGATTTGATACCACTAAAGAAAAGTGATGAATCGGAAATAGAAAAAAATGACAAGAATCAAACTGATACCGAAAATAAGGTATATGGTCCTTTGCCAGAACAGAAACCATTATACTTAAATCCTATACGGTTCAATCCTATAGAGAATACATCTACAGACGATGAATGGACTGAGAAAATAAAATCTCCCAACCGTGTATCACACCATAAAAAACACAAAAAACACAAGCTTAAAAAAAAAAAAAAAAAATCTCATAAATAAAATGTAATAATATTTAAAGGTAAGTAATTTTCTTCATTCTTATATTAAACTAATGTTCATTTTATTCAAAGAATGTATTTTTTAAATAATTATTTTTTTTGGTTTTCAAATTTATTTCTTTATTATTCCTTGAAGTATCGGAATTATTATCATATTATTGTAAGATACATAGCTTCTGTTCTATTTTTTTTTTTTTTTAAATTTTACTGTTCTTGAAAAGCCTTTTGATAATACATTCCTTAACCTATCTATATACTATCTTCTATCATTATTTGGGAACTTGTTTAAATAAATTTTAATTCTGTATTCATAATGGTATTCTATTTTTCTTTCTTACCAAGGTTTTCTTCTCAATATCTTTTGATCTTTGAACATGGCCTGCTCACTTAAGTCTCTATTTTTTATTTTTTTCTACCCATATAGCCACTTTTCTAAATATATATAAAATATATTCAACATATTAAAATAAAAAACTAAATTACTGGATGAGTTAAATTATATGATATTATATTATAACAAAGGTTTGAGAAAATGTTCTTTAAATACTACAATCAAATTTTTGATTACTACAAGTCTACCAAACAATTGCTTGTTCTATGTATATTATAAATATTTTATGGTTTACAAAACAATACAAAGAGTGACTTACAGCTATATTTATATTAAATGATATTTAGATACTGCTTACCAAATGCTTACCTAATAAACAAATGTAAGAATGTAATATGGTTAATATATGTAGTTATTAATATCAAATAATGTATAATATACAATGGAATTTGCTGTATTATTATGATAATTGTATGTGTTGTTCTATTCCCAAGAACATAATAAAACAATAATTTAAAACATTTTATACAAGGAAGCATTAAAGCACTGATCCCCTATGTAATCTGATATTTCCACCATTCACACGTTTGCTGCATTTAAAATTATAAAAATACTAATTTTGCTGAAAAAAAGTTTGAACTTTTTACCTAGTAAAGTTGTTTTCATAAACAGCACAATTATACCTATGTTTTTGAGTTTCTTACTTTACTTAACAATAAAATAAAAATTCCTGAAAAAAGTAAAATAAAATGCAAACTGTGCAATTGATTATAATCAATTTAAGCAATTGAAATAAACCCTTTAAAAAAGTTAACATTGTATAGTGCTAACAAAAAAAATTGGAATAATTATATTCTAAATAAATTATAATATCATCACTGATAAGAATTATAATTTATACTATCTGTGATATAGGTCAAAATGTATAAGTAATACATTTTATGCACTCCCACAGATGGGAGTTATACATTATACAGTTTTCTTCTTTTTAAATTTGATATAGTAAAATAGCATTTTTTTTTTTTTTAGTTTAAAACAAAAAGAATAATAATAATAAGCCAATGCTCTTCTGGACAATCCACCCAGACACCTGAAACGTGAATGGCCCAGAGATCTTCTCAACATACATCACACTTAATGTTTATTATTATTTCTCTCTAAATTATCAGTAGTTTGCTAGTAAAACTAGCAGTAGTTTCTAATGTGTAATGCTTATTTATTCTTCTCACCACTTCATTTTATATTCATTAATTTTCACATATACTTAATGTACCATTTATTATATAAATTGTAAATAAACTACATTTAAATATAAATGGCACACATTTCAATAATAAACTTTCAAGATATCTACTCTTTGTAATATTTATTTATTTGTATCTTTCCTTCTAACCTAAAGTTCCTTGTTTGTGTTTCACATGTAATATTTTTTAAATCATTATAGCTTCCGTCATTTTAATCTTGGTAATTTGGCAAATAATTATTATCTTTGCACTTATTTGTTGAACTTTTAATAGCAAGTATCATTGTACTGGTCTTTTTTTGAGATAATAATATAACTGAAAACACAGTAAACCAATATACAATGTCTTGTATTCTGTTGATATTAAACATCAAACATAACCAATTGACTATGTAATTGATTTTTTTTTTCTCTGCACCCTTAACAATGTCACTATCAAACTTAAAGTTTAAATTTACATGATTTGCTATTATCTCTGACATACTATATCAAATATAAATTTTTATTCTTTTAATGCCAGAAAACATATTTTCTGTTATACTTGTTAAAATGGAAAATATGCATAGTGTTTTAAAAATAAATTTTTTTAAATAGATTTTTAATGCTTCAATTCCAGTTTTTGGAATATTGTTTGTTTGTTCAAGTTTTGCTTTCCACATTTATATTTAACAATTTTTCACATTCAAAGTATGTAGATGAATAAAATTTGAGTAATATTCTAACTGATGCTTCTGTATTAAAGGTTAAAGTATTGGAAAACAAACTTTAAAATCCTATAAAATATAACATATACCTATATGTTAAATCATCATCATGTACCTATACATTGTACATAAATAATTAAATTTTGAATTTTAATAATATAAGTAGATAGATACAAATCTTTTTGGTTTATGATTGTGGGAAAATAAATGCAGAAAATGAATCCACACTATAAGGTTCGAACCACCATTATTCATCCTTATATTTCATTATCTAGCAGCTAGCTAGTCATTACTTAGATAGGTTGTAAGTACCTAATTTAAACTATAACCGATTTATAGTGGTGAATCAGACTTAGTTTCATAAGGGGGGTAACATTAAAATTATTATACACAAGGTTATATTCTACCCTAATTATCTCATCATTATGTATTTTTATTTTTATTGTTGTGTCATCATGATAACACTTTTCTAGTAGTATTAAATTTATGTGTACACCATGTATATAGCAAAGCTATACAGCAATTACCTACACAAATTAAATGGTGGGGGAGGTGATCGCCACCATCGACCCCTTTTGCCGATTTACCTATACCTAACTAACAAATTTAATGATTTGTGTAAGCGGATACAACTGATACAAGAAATTAACAATGGATGAGGATATTATTCACATAGGTAGGTACCTACTTATTTTATGGTTATGACACATATTCATATACTTATCTATACCGCTATTATTTCTCCCTATACTATTGTTTATTAATTTTAAAGTGTCTTCACATTTTACTCGTAAAACTGTTTTTCATATTCTTTTCTGCTCAATCAATTATATCTATATCTAATGAATCAATTAATGTAATAATAAAATTAGAAACTTAGGACCCCTCTTTCCTCAACATATAAATCTTGAATAAGAAAGTTTTTAAACATCACTTATTCTTACATTGTTATCCAGTGGCGGCGCGATAGGATATTTCATGGAGCGATGGCTTCATGACCAATTGGGTATCCCCAGGCTAAAAAAATGAATTATTGCCAACTGGTACTTTATATTTAATACTTTATTGTTTAATTAAAGGTTTATTGTTATTAATACAAAGTAAATATATATTTACATATATTATTAAATTAATATATTATATTTCACGAATTAATAACTTATTATCTTTACCTAGAATCCTATACGTCAAGGCGCATTGGCATAAAAATATTATTTGAGGGGAAGTTGAAGTTTTAAGGTTAAACCATTTATATTTCATTAATCTTAAAAGAAAAAATAACTGGTTAACGGCCACCTATATCCCGAGTCAACTAGACTCACATACAATGAATTGTATACTTTATTGTGAGTATAATAATTAATAATTAGGATTAGGGATTTCTAGCATTTGCATATTATTTTTAAAATATTAAAAAAATAACAGAGTGAAACATAAATAGGTGCTGTTCATTATATAATAAATCTAGATCTTAAATTTTATTTAGCATACATTTACATATTTTAGTTTTTGGTTTTTAGAGAATACTTAGGTATATTAGCTCCTATATTGTGATTTTAAATGTTATAAAAGGACAACACTAATATCTAATATTATTGTATGTCTCGTATTGTACACGTTTTTTTCAATTTTAATCGTTATAATTCATACACATTGATGTACGATAGCATATACTTAGTCGATTAGATTGTCGTAAAATAGTGAAGTAAATTAGTTAACATCGAGTTTGATCAATGACTCTCAAATTATTAATCTCAAAACATAAATGTTTTGGGTAAATATCATAAATAATAAAAAATAATAATAATAACAAATAAGTTATACGTCAAATTTTTAGTACCTATACAATTTTAATAAAAACAATTTTTCAGAACATATTTTAGTGCATATTTGATTGATTTTGAAAGCATATTTGTATGGTTTTAAGAGCTAGAAGTCCCTGGAGTCTTATATATCCATAATATCTTTAATAGTTAATAGATGTTCTTCCATAAATACCTTTAAGTATTAATAAATAAAATGTTTATTTGGTGTTGAGACATTTTGGTCTCCTCGGAGAACTATTAAATTTATTTTTTTTAAAAAAATTGTTGTTAAAATTGCATAGTTTTTGAAGCTTGATAAGTTCATTTTTCTCAAATCTAGTATGCAACCTACAAAAAAAAAAAATTTGAAATGTTTGATTACCTAACAAAATGTAAGATCATTTGCTAGAGGGCCCCGAAATCCCCATTGCCTTGGACTCATAAATACAACTAACCTGCACCAAGGACGTGCTTAAAGGAGGGCTTCATGGGAATTAAACTTAGCCTCTCAAAACAAACAACTGATAATTTAAATTCACATAATCAAAAACAAAGGTTTTTATCGACCGTGGGGAGAGGGTTTGGAATACTCCTATAAGTACGCCTAGACACTATATGATTTTATTCCACTACTATTTTTTTTTTCTAAAAGGAACAAAATTTCCTCTTATTTTCGTAAAAATATTTTAAAAAATCATAATGTGATCACAGTGCAATAAGAAATTCCAAAATGGAACAAATTGCCCCCGTGGAGCAAAATGTTTGTGAAACAAGATAACACCTTACCACGATTCCGTAATTACCTACGTTGATTTTGTGCATGTTTCCACGCTAAGTGTGGATCGCATACCTAAGTACCTTTTGTACGCGGATAGAATACGACTGTGTTTGCTGCTAATCGACAATAAATTGTATAGACTTATCTGCTGAATCACATAATATTACCATGTTACATGTTACATATGAATTTAATATTAAGTATAGACGGGTCTGGTAACGAGATATAAAATGATTATTGTGTAATAATTAAAATTTAAACAAATATCGTTTTATATGCTAACGAAAATACAAGCAAATGAAATAAGGGAATCAAAATCGAAACGATTGCGAAGATACCTAATAATTGACCATAGTCAATTTATAAAAATTATCAGTACACATATGGCTGGGTACCTTAGGTATATCTGATTTAAAACGGTTTCAATTTTCTATTTAGATGTAATCTAAGGTAAGTATAAAATTGACAAAATTACAATATGTAGCTATGCCTATTTAAACATATTGTTTTATAATTGGCTATAGTTATACCAAGAAAACGTTTATTTTAATCTAGCGTATGTCAACAAAGAAAACTAGTAATATTTAACTGACATTATAATATACAGATAAGAGAGTGCGTCACTCGTCAAATATCACAGCCCGCGGATAAATTTCACCCATTCAAGCTCCGAAAAAAAAAAGTAATAGAAACTAATTTTATGTTGAACGTTTTATCAATTAGGTATATTTTTGTGATTAAAATATAAAACAAACAGTTTCAATGGCAATTTCATTAAACTTAAAAATCGCACATAAAATCCAAGACAGCGGACACTTTCAGACCATTGGTTAATCAGGATCCTAACTCTCAAAGCTCTCCGAATTAATTTCGGAAAAAATCCTTAAATTACTTTCCTATCGTTTGAATTTTAAAATGATTTCTCAAATTGTCACTGTTCAGGTAGGTAGGTAGGTGTTAAACAAATCAATACACATCAAACTTATTATGAAATAATAAATGATAACAAAAAATTTTCACATAGGTAATTAAAAAATAAAAAAGTAGGAAAACAAATAAATTTGTAATGTCACCTAAAAATCTTAGTAACTCCGAATGTAAGTATGTGTACAAATATCGAATGTCGTTTGATTAATAATTATTGTTAATTTGATATTAAAATTCCGTGACATCGTTGATATAGAAAATTATTATTATTACAAGGGTGAAACCGGTAAACTTATTGGGAGGTCCCAAAAAAATTAAAAATGATTGAACAGACTGGTAGGTAGATTACGTTGTTCATTTGTAAATAAATTGGAGAATAAAATCAAGTTTACGCAATGAAGTGAAAATTATTGATTTTTTTTTTTTTTTTATAAAACAGAAATTCCGGAAATTGCTCTAGGACAAAATATTATAGGTAGATATCGACCGCATCTACTCAAATAACGTTATGTATCGATATTTTATTACATTACGGCCAAATGGGTATGTCGTATGCCACCAAACCCTAACCGATCAATAGAGATAGACGGCGCATGTCCGTTGCGGTGCGACAGGCGAGTTGAGTGGTCGACGGACAAACAAATTTGTAATGTGTATGAAGTGGCGGCGGCGGCGGCGGCGTACTCGTCGAGCAAAAAAAACCACGTAGGTATGTACGCGGTGCGCACCGTGTGATAAACACACCGTTATCATTTGTTCGCCGACAACGTTACGTTTCTATTCCAACAGCGGCCTATCTGTGCCATACTCCAAACAGGAATTTCCATTTGCACGCTCAGAAGGGCCGGCTCTAGCCGTCAGTGGTTGGTTTTCTGTGCTCATTCGTTCGGTTTCCAGCGTAAGTTCGGCTACCGTGTCATTCATCGTATTTACATTTATTTCCTTCCCGTCCCTTCCGGACATGAAACCCGAGGCGATCGTATGGCTAGTGGGGCTACTGTGTTCCGTGCCCGCGTCCGCCTTTTACCTACCCGGTTTGGCGCCCGTCAATTATTGCAAGGAACTCGCCGCGACGTGCTTGGTAAATATTTTTGAGACAAAAGTACCATTATTATTACCTATTGTTAATTGCCTATCAATGTTAATTGTTATACCTATTATTGTAACCGTACAACGATAGGTAGGTAACCACGTCTCGCGTGTGCCGCCTACGGATGATGAATCGATGGCGATGACGCTGTGGCGTCCGTTAGGTCTTAGACTGTGCGTCTCGAGTTGTATTTTTTCGTCTGTTCCCCTGTAGTTCGTCGATCGCCGAACACTTGTCTATGCACCGAGTACTGCGTTTTGTCAGCGTCTGCCCTCCCTCCACTTGCACTCGCGTTAGTCGCGTCAAAAATTCACGATATTATTTACCGGCCGACGGCTACAGCGATTATCGTGTACCGTTTAACGCCGTTTGACCGTTTTTCTAAACTTCAATGATAATCGGCGTCCTAACCGTCACACGTCAGATTGTATTAGTAATACCGTTGATTATAAATTGTAATATAAGTAAACGGACAATTCCCCCTCCTACCGAATAATTTCGTTGGATTAGACATTTTCTCCTGGGGTACATTTATTATGCAGACGTTTTCCTAAGTTCTTACGATATTTGTACACATTGTATGTTATAGGTATTCAAAGCAATTGGTGGCAAAATTAGACATTAGACAACAATATTAATTTTCAAATTAATTTTTTTTTTTTATATTAGGAGTGTATAAGAGGGGGGGGGGGTTTGCATTAAGTCAAGCGCTGGGTTTATCTAGTCTTGCTAGTCGCCACCTCAAGGCTTATTGTAAATTTTTAGTTTAACTACATTCAAATGTTATTGGTTTTCCTTGTCTACTTGTTGAAGTTTGTTTTATAGTTTGTGCACAATTAACTAGAACCACCACTCCTTTTAATATTCCTATGTCTTCTTCTAACTTCCAGTCAAATACTCCCTTTATTTATTGGTTGAATTTTGCCAATGAGGACCCATCCTTATCTGTCTAACATACTTTCATTTAGCACTTGTTCTGTTCTTATTGTTATTACTTTATAAAATAGAAACATGTGGTACATTTTGTATTACCGTATATCAATTGTATTACAATTAGGATTAAGTGATGAATAAAGTGAAGAAAGGTATCTGGTATGTTTTATGTGACAAGACAATTTCAATGAGACTTAAAGTTAAGTTTTACAAAAGTGTAGTGAGATTGAATATGCTGTATGATTCAGAATGTTGGATAGTAGACCGAAAAATAGAACAGAGAATGTGTGTATTTGATTGATTTAATTGAAAATTAAAAAATTGTTTTCAAGTAGATCAGATTTCATATTAAAACAAAATATTATCTTTAAATAAATGGTTTTTTTTTTTTGGATATCTATATATTAGAATTATTGAAGTTAGGTAATGAGAATATTAGAAGAAATAGATTATTTTGTATTATTGCTAGGATGGTTAAATAATTTTAAAATGTATTGTATTAAAATACAAAATGTACAAATTTGCATTGAATAAAATACAAGTTTCAAATATTGTTAAGTTAAACTTCGATAAATTGAAATAAATTACTGAAACTGATTATTTGAAAGATAAACTATAGATAACTTGAACATTTTATGTTTTGAATAAATATTGAATTATTGAATTATTATTATTACTTGGAAAATTGTAACACTACATTATTATGTTTTATTTTTGTAGTCAAAACTTAATTTTAAAGAATCGAAATAATGACTAATAAACTTTACTTCTTATAACTATAATATATTTAAAAAAAACTATAATGGAAATGTTAATTAGAGCTTACTGAGTAATTTAAAAAATTGTATTTGGGAAGCCAGCTTTTTAAACAAATTGGAAACCCTTAGGGTAAATTTGTTCAATACTTGTTTTTCAAAAAACGTATTTTTGTAAATGACATTTCATAAATGTATGTTAAATTAATCGTATATGAAATATTTTTAACCGACAATTTTTCAGTTAATGCATTTCTGTAAATTTTCAAGAAAACAACTACCTAAAAATTGATTAATTCCATTTGAAGTTTTGACTTTTAAAGTTAAACAATTTTTTAGCTACATCAGCCCATTATTCTTACAAAAGAACATCAAAAGAAACATTTAAAAGTTGAGATGGTTTTTCTATTTCAGAACAGTCTTTGAATATTGCTTTGAATTCCTACACAAGACCTCTCACAAAACTTAAAAATATTTCTATGTTTACAGTTTTAGAAAAATAATGCTTCTGTAAGAAATGTATGTTAATTTTTCTTTATAAATTTTATGCGATATTTGTTTTGGGAATTTTACACGAGTCACTTAACCACCTTTGAATTAGAAAATACAAATCTTCCCACTACCTAACAAATGTTCTATTGTCATTATACAGTAGATATTTGAATAAATAATCAGAAGACTAATGCCCAGTTGTATAATTTCCAGGGTTAAATAAATATTAGTAAATCAATGATCAAATTTTAATCATTGATTAAATCTATATCTGTTGTATGATGGACGATTAGGTTATGATTAGTTAATTAATGATTAAAACATAATGTGGTTGTTTTTATATAATATTTGAATTTTGTTGTATTACACTCTGTACTCATACATGTGATACTCTTATCACCAAATATATTATTTTACCCAAATAATAATTATTCATATATTTTATTTCATTAAAAATTTTCTACATTATTAATTAGTTTTTAATAATTTATTTTTAATCATTAATATTTTCTATTAGGACTTGTGTGTATGTGTATACAGAAATCAGTATGGATTCATTATTATATTAGTAGAGATTTGAAAATATAACAGAAACCTTATATTTTCCTTTTACAGACTGGTCAAATTTTCAAAACATTTGAGCCATTTCAAAACTATTTATAGTTATACATTTTTTGGTAATATTTATTTAATAGGTACTTTGTAGATAAAATTGTTACACCAATTAAAAATGCTTTAAAATTTAACAGAAGATTACCATGAGTTATACTTAGTGGTCAACAAGTTGAGTTTTATATAGTATTTTGTTTATTGTAAGAATTTTAATTTCAAATTTTGACATATATTATGGAATTTTAAAACATGTATAACCGAACTCTGCTCAGAATCATTTTTAATTAGTAATGATTAATGGTTGCATATACAAATTAAATTCTTCTCTATATTCTAACTTCCCAACTTCTCACTACAGTGGCCCTTCCATCGAGCAAAGTATGTCAGTCTCTTATTTTTTTCAAAATGTGTGTTTTAAGTCACTGAATCCATAGTATAATCGAAAAGCTGTGATTTAATTTACTTTTAAAGTTATAGAATTTTGAAATTGGCTATTATAATGTAGTCAGCAACAGGATAGTAAAAATTATAAGTTATGATAGAGTTTTTTCACTTTTTTTTTTGAAACTACTTTAAAATTACTAGACATAAATAATGGTGCAGCTTCATGCAGTTCTAAAATTATGTAGGGGATGGCGCACTATGATGCCACTCTTGATAGTTTTCTGTATAAAAACTTAAACTTTTGGCTTTTGGTTTACTTCCTTCAGGAGTCCATGTCAACACACTTCAAATAATTATAACATTAAATTATCATTATACAATTGTTTTTGTGTAGTAATTTTATGTAGATTTATTTAAAATAATAACAGTGAATCTAAGTAATATTTTTTATTATCACATTACATCATAATATCCAACTATGAAGTGTTATTAGTACCTTTAAATGTTCCTTTAAAAATAAATACAACAGTATAATTTGATTTCATATTCAATGCCTTAAAATACACATTCTGAAGATAAAAACCCAAGCATTGGGATTATACCTTTTAAAACCCTTAATATATTTACTGTGAACTCGTAAAATTATTTTTTACATTTGTTAACAATAAATGTTTTAAATATTGTTACAGAAAAAAATTGAAGTTTTTGTGAACCGACTCAATTCTGATGAATCAGTTATACCATACGAATATCATTAGTAAGTTCTATAAATATTTTGGATTAATTATTTTTAAGAAAATATTTTATAATTAATGTATTATTTGGTTGTGGTTAAGTATCTATCTATGATTTTTGCTCTACTTAATATGTGTAACCTATATTTTATTATTAGTGTTCATTATAACCAGGTTGTTACACTTTGCATTAAATAATATCAATCAAGTTTAATATACTTTCAATTAAAATTCACTGTGAAATTTTTGTATTTTTAGTTCTGAGTGTAGAGTGTAACTACTATTACATAAGATTAAAAATTATATTGCATTACAAAGATCAATTTTGATTAATAATATTAGGAACTGTTACAGGTAAATATTAAGTAGGTTATATTTTACCAATTTTGTACCATAATATAATCTTAGTTAATTTCAAGTTATAATGCATACAGACATTTCTTAATAGTTTAATTTTAATCATGATCATAGATTTTTTTTTTTTTATGTTCAGAGTAGATATTAAAATGTCTACAACAAATAAATGTGTGTATTGTCTAAATTATACACTTTCCTCAGAGTACACAATTATTAAAAATGATTCTCATGGTACTCTCATTCTGAGGGAAGAAAAACCAATACCTAAAGTAAAAACACAAAATTTAAGTTTTCGTTTTTTATAGAGCTTTCAATAGTTTCCAATATCTTAATTTACAAATTATTAATTGTATATATAATACTAAATTTTTGTCTGAGTTTATTTAATTTGTCAACCTTTTTTTATTAGTTTTGACTTCTGTACATCTGACGAAAGTAAATCACCAACTGAAAATCTTGGACAAGTTTTATTCGGTGAAAGAATCCGACCATCTGGATATAATGTAAGTACTTAAAGTACATAACTCTATTGTATTAAATCATAACTTTAAAAAATATGCATTATTTATTGAACTTCTTTAAGTTTACTGACTATCTAGTTCAAATAATACAAAAAATTAATTGAATTATGTTGTATACTAAATATTCTTATTTAATTTCTTGTTTCTTTTAAATTACAGATGCAACTTCATTTTTAATTATTAACATATTATGTGTATGCTTATTAAATTTCTCATAGTTTTAAGTTGTAAAAAGATTAATTAATTATGTGATTTGTTTTTCATTGTTATTAATTTATAGATATCATTTTTAAATGATGAAACTTGTAAAGTATTATGTACCAAAAAATATGTTCCTAATGATTCAATTAGCTCTATGAAGTTATTTGTTCTTAAGCGAGGAATGAGCCTGAACTATCAACATCATTTTATTGTTGGCAAGTTACCTTTTAGTATAATATAGACATTACCAACATCTAGGTTTTGGTTTATTGATTTAAATAAATCTAAAAAATTAGAATCTTGACAATTAGTTATCATGTGACTTGTATTAATTTATGTTACTATGTATTGTATATTTATTTAAATTTAAATATTATACATATTTAGTGTAAAAAATAGAATACTGAGATAATAAGTTTAATTTTGTATTTTTTTTTTTAGATAATATGCCAGTTACTTGGTGTTATGATTTGGATGATAATTTACAATATTGTAGTACAGGCTTTCCAATGGGTTGCTACAAGCCATCCTTGAATCACGATAATAATTTATGTGCAACAATTCTTAATGCAAGTCTAAATTATTAAGATAAATTATATTATATTTAAACAATCAATTATACTTCAGATATTTATGTATTATCCATTTATACTTTATAGGACCATTAATTTATTAAGTGTTAATTACTTAATAATAAGTTTTAATTTTATGTATTTCATATACCATATACTTATTTATTTATTCTAAATTATTGTGTATATTATAAATAATTTTATGTTGTTTTAGGCACCTCCACAGCTTATGAAACAAAATACATATTATATATTCAATCATTTAGATTTTACAATCACTTATCATAGTGGAAAGAATGAAGAGTGGGGCTCATCATTTAATTCTGAAGGTGGCAGAATTATAGGTTTGTTTCCAAACATTTTTATAGTACATTGTAAATTAATTATTTAGTTAAAAATTTTAATTTTTCATACAATTTTAATGGTATATATTTATACATAATTATGTTTATTTTAAAGCTGTTAAAGTTAAACCAAGAAGTGTGAAGCATAAATATCCAATTACAGTTACGGGGTGTGAACTGCCGGGAAATTTCATGGAAATTCCTGCTGATAAAATAACCAGTGAATTAAACATAACATATACTTACTCTGTTAAATTTGAGGTTGGTATTAAGTATGTTATCATTTTAAACTTTACTATTTATTTAATGACATATTTTAGATGAATAATACTGTTAAATGGTCATCCCGGTGGGATTATATATTGGATTCTGTTCCACCAACTAACATACAGTGGTTCAGTATATTTAATTCTTTAATGATAGTAATTTTTCTATCTGGGATGGTAGCAATGATTATTTTGCGTACATTACATAAAGATATTGCTAGATATAATCAGGTAATACTGTTATTAAATGTATCATATTATACATTTAATATTGAATATTAACAGGTTTTTGTGATTAGATTGATGCTGGTGATGATATCAAAGAGGAATTTGGTTGGAAACTAGTTCATGGGGATGTTTTTAGGCCTCCAAGAAGAGGAATGTTACTTTCAGTTTTCGTTGGTTCTGGAGTACAAGTGCTGTGTATGACTGTTGTAACACTAGGTAATTGTCTACTTGTGAAATTTAATTATTATTTTGCTTTTTAAATGATGTTATGATTGTTTTTCAGCATTTGCATGTTTGGGATTTTTGTCACCAGCAAATCGTGGTTCATTAATGACTTGTTCTTTAGTATTATATGTTTGTTTGGGAACACCCGCTGGTTATGTTTCATCAAGAATTTATAAAAGTTTTGGTGGTGAAAAGTGGAAAACCAATATAATTTTGACTTCCATGTTTTGTCCAGGGTCAGATATTTTTAATATTTCATAAGTTGTGTTGATAAATATAATTACTTTTGGGAAAAAATTAAATCTGCAATAAGTAACTTATTTATAATTTTTTGTTTCTTCTTGAACTCTTAACAAATACAAATTTTATTACTGATCAGTGGACCAGATATTAATAAACAGACAAACCTACTCTACTTCACACATTGGGTGGGCCATTGTTGTAGGTGAAAAGTTGGGAGGATAGTATTTAGAAGGGAATTGAATGCATATCTGTATGCCACTTTAAATTACTGCTAACAAAAAAAGATTCTGAGCAGTTTAGTTATACATTTTGAAATTTGATTTTATGAATTTGATAATGATTTTTGTAAAAATTTGATATTGATTCTGTATTAAAAACAAATTCTATTTAATTTAATTTTTTTTTTTACCACAGTAAAATTTATTATGAACCTCCTGTAAAATTTTCAATAATTTCTGTTTAGTTTAATAATTTTATCCACAGAGTACCTACTGAATAAAAATTCCATAATAAAAACAAATTAAATGCCTATAAATAGCTTAAATGGCTAAAATGCTTTTAAAAATGTAACCACATCTAGAAAAGGCAAATATAAGTTTTTATTCAAATTTCAAGTCCCTATGAATAGTTTTAACTGAATTTCACCAAAACAAAAATTTAATACACATTTTTCTATGAAAGGAAAATTAGTGACTTCCTTAAAGTACCACTTAGTTAAAATTAGTGTTAGTGTATTAATATACAGGCTGTCCCGCAAAGATTTACCCCTTGAATATCTCTGAAGATAATAAAGATAATCAAATTATGTTTTTTTTTTTTTTTTTTTTTTTTTTTTTTATATTACTCAAAAGGAATGAAGAGTACTAATATTTTTATATGGATTAATTTTTTTTGTTATTATGAAAAAATAACTTATTATTTTCAGAAAAATTTTAAAATAGACAATCTGTAGTTTTTTCCTGAACTTTTCAATGTATCACAAATTATATCTGATGAATAGTATCTAAGTAACAACCAATTTAAATTTCACTAATCCATGTGAAGCCTGGTGTTATTTAGAAAATATCCTAACTGTGTTCACAAAAATATTGGTTTTCACATAGATTAATAGAATTTAAAATGGCTGTTACTTAGAAACATCAGATATAAATTTATAATACTTTCACATTTTCAAAAAAAACCTACAGAATGGTTATCTTAAAATTTTCTTAAAATAAAAAATTCATATATAAATATTTGTACTACTAGTTCCTGTAAGTAAAATAATAAAAAACATAATGTGATTATCTTTATTATCTCTGGAAATATCAAGGGGTATATCTTTATAGGACAGCCTGTATATACTTTATATATTATATTATTATATATTCATATGTAGTTATAAATGCATGGTTTTAATACACGTTTACCAGTGTACTTGTGTATTTTAAATACCCATAGCAAATTGTAAGCCTTAGTTTGAATTAACAAACTGTTGTTTCCAAAACTAATTTTCAACTTCCTAATCTTCCCTCTCCAAATATTTTTGGTAGACCTCAAGTGTTATTTTTAGTAATTTTTTTCTTGTGTCTCATTACATGTATAATATAATTTAAATTTCTGACAAACAATAAATTAAATTATTTTAAATTTGTTTTTTTTTTACTTAATGTAAGCCAATTAAAGGCATGTAAATCAATAAGTAACAACAATTTTTCTGATTAAAAAAAGTACCCCTTAACCTCATAAAAAGGTTTGCATATTTAAAGTAGAATTAAATTTGGATTTAATAATTTCAAGAACATAGATTTAGATGCATGAACTGATGGTTTTGTGCAAAATTTGAGTAATATTAATTTAAGTTGTTTTTGGGGGGGAGCTAGAACGCCTCTAGCTCACTGTGTACTAGTATTAAATTTTTAATTAAGGATCTATTAATAAATTAATAATGTGTTTATTTTAACAATTGAAAAAATAAATCTTTTTTATTTATGTTGTACTATAATTCTTGACTTGTCAATTTTAATTATTTAACAGTGTTTATTCAAATGTTTTTCATACATTTTAATATAAGGAGTGAGGGGGGATAATTAAATTCATATAGCTATTTTATTAAATTTATAATTTGGAGATTCACATTTAATTAGTTATAAAAAAAAGTTGAGTTCCACTGATTAAAGATTATCTGAACATAATATATAATGTAGTATATTAAAATAAGTAAAATAATATTAATTCATGTGTTTTTCAGAGTGGTATTTTGTTTATTTTTTATTATGAATTTGGTTCTTTGGGCTAAAGAAAGTTCAGCTGCTATTCCATTTTCAACATTGCTAGCATTGTTAGTCTTATGGTTTTGTGTATCTGTCCCACTGACATTTGTAGGTGCATTATTTGGTTTCCGTAAACGAGTAAGTATTTTAACATTATCATTTCATTTTTACTATGAAACTTGTGTATAATTCTTCTATCATTATAATATTAGTATTAGTAGTTAACATAATGTTAATTTTATGAAATTAATATAATTTATAAGTTTATTTAAACAACTTTTACATTTTTATTCTTGACCATAATATGTTAATCCTCTTCACTTAAATTGTCTATTTCTGTGGCTTCATTGAGTTTTAATTATTTTTATGAAAGTGCAAATTTTCTATACAAATAGATGGATTTAGTTAAATATAATTCTATTTCATTTATGATTATTATTATTTTAGCCTTATTGTTATTATTATTATTTTAGCCTTATGATTATTATTATTTTAGCCCATTGAACATCCTGTAAGAACAAATCAAATTCCACGTCAAATTCCAGAACAAACTATTTATACTCAATCCTTCCCAGGAATAATAATGGGTGGAGTTTTACCTTTTGGATGTATTTTTATTCAACTTTATTTCATCCTTAACTCTTTGTGGTATGCTATTTAATTTAATATATAATGTTTTTAATATTTAATTAAATAATTTATAGTTTGCAAAACAAAAAGAAACAATTTAATTTACTTATTCTGTTTTTATGTAACTTTATATATTTCAGGTCTAACCAGATGTATTATATGTTCGGATTCCTTCTTCTTGTGTTTATAATACTCATCATAACATGTTCAGAAACCACTGTACTCTTATGTTATTTTCATTTATGTGCTGAAGTAATTAAACAATTGATATAGTGATCATTCAATTTTTACAATAATTATGATTTATTTAAAATATTTTTTTTATATTCAGGATTACCATTGGTGGTGGCGTAGTTTTTTAACTAGTGCATTCACATCTTTTTACCTATTTTTGTACTGTGTTCATTATTTCAAAACCAGACTTAATATTGAAGGAGTGGCATCAACTTTTCTTTATTTTGGATACACATTTATAATGGTTTTCCTATTTTTCTTGATGACTGGTAAGTTAATTGTTTTTAACAATACATAAGGTGATTTGTTTGTGATAATATGCCACCATTATTATGATACATTTATTATTCCTTTGTTCTAAATTTTAAACTGTTACAACTCTAAATTATGTAACTTATTATAGTATTAAGAATAACAATTTTTTTTTTCATATATATTGAAAAAGAAGGGGGTCATATTTCCTCTTAAGTCACCCATTTTGTTTAATCTTGTGTTAGAAAAGATGATAGAGAGATAAAAATTGAGGTTCAAGAAGGCATAAAACTTCAATAATCTATGATTTCTTTTATTTCATATTTTAGAGACATAATAGAAATTTTTTCCAAATATATATTTTGAAAAATAAAACTGTAAAAAATCAGCCTCTAAAAATTATGTTTCTTAAAATAAATTATGGTCTTAAGGTTAAAAATTATACACTTCTTTGCATTCACCCTAACTATTTGAAATTAGAACACAAAATACAAAAAACAAAATTTTAAGAAATTTTATTTTTTTATTTTCACCAACGAAAACCGATTCTGAGTGGAGTTCAGTTATACTTATTTTGAAAGGCTATAATATTTACGATTATCATTAAAATTTTTATAAAAAAAATCTACATCACTCTTATTTTATTTAACAACTTAGTACCACTTATAATGTACCTCCTGTTAAATTTTTAAGCATTTTTGTTTAGTATAACAATTTTATCCATTTTACCCAGTAAGTATTAAGTAAAAAACTCTCAAAAATTATGATGTCTTTAAATAGCTAAAATATTTTGAAAATTTGACCATGTCTAGAAAAGACAAATATAAGTTCCGTCTAAACTTCAAATCTATACAATTAATATTTTAAACTAAATCTTAAAAAAAAAAAAAAAATGAAAAGAAAATAATCCTTTTTCCGGATTTTCCCATTTATTATGAAACCCCTGAGAAAATCAAAAAACGTCCTACCTAAACTACCACCTTAGACCAATTTTCTTTCAGGAAATATTCTACATTTGAATATTGCAGCAAAATATCAAGTAGAAAAGTTGTTCACAGATTAAAAAACCCAAATAAACATGATTATAAAATCAATAAATTCCTTGTGTTTAGAATCTAAAATAACTAAAATTAGACTACTTTACAAAGTTTTCTCTTTAAGCGAAGAATTTTTGCTAAAAAATTTACTAGGCCCTCTTGTATTATGCAAAGTATGACACATTTTGCAACACTAATATTGTTAAGTTAGCATTAAAAAAATAAGAAGCATTTAAAAAATAGATCAAGTTATTGATATTGTAAATTCATAAGAATTAAATGCGTAAAAAAAAAATAGTCAGAAAGTCTGACCAGTTAGTTCTTGGGGTTTTTAATAATGTTTTTTATTTTATTTTGCACATTGATCATATTATGGAAATATGAGATCAGATAGGTATGATCACATCAATAAGTGTTTTTGTGGAATTTAGGCTCTACATTTACTGCAGTTCTTGCATTTCATTACTCATGATAAGTTTTATACTTGCATAATTAACATTGATTAATTAGGTATACAATTTAATCATAGACAACAATAAAGAACATTAAAATAATAGAATATTTAACATATTGTGTTTATAAACTTATAAGCTCCATACAAATTTGTATTAAGAAAATAGATAATATGAATAATAAGATGCTAAACTAAAGTAAGAATGTTGATAATATCTATTTTCTTATAGCTAATCTAACAAAGTAGTACCAAAATTTATATAATTATATTATATTATATTTAATTATAAGTCACATGCTCATGCGACCAACTAAGCTATGACAACCACTTATGTGATAATGTCAATAAAACATTCATAACTATTTCTTTACAAAACCTTCTATTGTTAGTAAAGAATACTTGAATTACAATATTCATTTTAAATTATCATAATATAAATCTGTTCATGATAATCATTTATTACTTAAATAAATTCAGGTGATTGGCCACTGAATTTTTAAGTTATTTTATGTAATTGTTGCCATCTAATTTCTGATTGTGCGATGTAATTTTTCAAATATGCTTAAGTGATACTCAATTTTAGGAAATATTTAAACTATGTGTACAGAATTTTTCTTTAAACCATAGTAAATGATGATAATTGTTTTCAATAAGTATGTTCTAATAGATATAAATCTTTTCAGGTACTATTGGATTTTTCGCAACATTTTGGTTTGTTCGAAAAATATACAGTGTAGTTAAAGTGGATTAGTTTGAAAACATATTCTTTTTTTAAATTAAGTCAATAATTTCATTATTATTAAAACTAAATAATCAATTATTGTAATTACATTTTTTTTTACATATATATATATATATATATATATATATATATATATTTATATACATACCATAATATTGTGTTTGAATATTATTCAAATTTTCTTATGTGTAAATAATAAATAAATCAATCCATTACTTATTCATAATACATAATTCAAAATATTTAAGGTATTTTAATTACTTATATTATAGACTCACATAATACAAATTTCAAATTATTTAAATAATTTTGCTTCCTATAGAATTTTATTATTATTACTTATTTTAAATTGTTTTGTAATGTTTGGTCTTTGTCTCCTCATCTCACATTTCCTATAAAATTTGTATTGATGCACAACCTATAATTTTATAATTAATGCATTAGTTATATATACATATGGAACTTAAATAACACTGTTTTTATCAATTATTTCATGTAATTTCAACTGTTAATTTTATTGTAATTCATATTAAGTTTGTATTTAAGTTAGAATATACATATATTTTTAGTTTACAAGAAAGCTTATGCTTTGAATAAAACAAAAATTAGTTTTAATTATTATTTATCATTATTACGGGACTTAAAATTATAAATACTTATATTTATGTTAATCAATAAAATAAGTGAAATGCTTAAATATATTTATATAATGTCTTATATTTGTCTATATTTTAGTTGTTATATATTTGACAATACTCAGTCGGGCCACTAATTTATTGAAAGTAAGAAATAAGTCAGTTAGATTTTCACTAACTATTAACTGAATAATTTTTTTAATTTTATTAGTTTTTTTTTTTATAGAATAAAGTGCCACAAGTACTTAAGTAAATATTTCTTTAATAAATCAAAATGTTATCATTTTTCTAATGAATAAGAAATAATACAATTTAAGTTGTCAATTAGAATTATAATATTTTTTAGTAGTTAAATATAGAATCAAATGTAATAAATCTATCCCGTAAAGGAACAACCTTTGTGCATTCAATTTATTCCTAATCTATTTTATTCTTAGATATGAATTGGATTTTTGATATTTTATTAGACAAAATATAAGGTGTAAATTGAATGTGTTTTAATTATATTGATACACTAAGTAATGCTAATTTACTGCTCTTAACATGGTGGTGACTTGTGTGGGCACATAGCATGTGTGTAGTCTTAACATGACCTCACAAATTTATTTCCAAATGTGTATCTAAACTATTGCAACTACAAATTATCTGTCTAATCAGGTACATTATTCCATTTACATCATCATAATGTGTAAATATAATCATATCATAATATGTGAAGCTGAGAAGTCATTCATGAACCATTAAAATAATTTGTTGAGTAGGACTAGAATAATTTGTTGTGGTAATCAAATAAGTAAAAATGACAACTTCTTTTCTTACTTTAGGTGTAAAATTGTCAAGCTTCTTTGGAAAATAATGTTAAAGTAACATTTTATATTATAGCAGCTTGTTTCTTAAATTGTCAAAAAAAAAAAAATTAACACTATGAAAAATGAAAGTCTTATCTAACCCCCCCCCCCTCCACATAGAATTGAAGAACGACACTGAAAAAAAATATTATTTCCTATAGGTAATTGAAATAAAGTACAATGTATTTATTATTATTGTATTTGGGCCTGGTAAAAATATGTCTACGAAATGGAAAAAATTCCAAAACTTTTGTAACCACGGAGTCCTTTTGGGACCTTTCCCCACAACCAGCCGCTGGGGTATTGCGAAGGGCAGGGGTGGATGACGTTCACATAGGTATAGTCCACGGACATCGTTGACCCCAGTGCCCATTGACTTACATAAACTTCACCATTACACCAGTATGCTATGGATGCCATTGGCGGCTGAAGCTGCCTGAAGTTGTAAAATTTAAACTAAAATTACAGAATTATCTTTATTTTCAATTAAAAGGCTAACATAAGCCAGATAATGCAGTTGGCCGAAGACTCGAAGAAGACCCGTAGATGAAAATATTTTAGAATTAAAATATAGTAGTATTCAAATATTCAAAATTTATATTTCATTAGTGATATTAGTACTAATAAAAACAGACACATTTTGCACGATGGCTGAACCACTAGCTGTTGTACATAAGAAGTTGGAAAAGTAGGATATAGAGAGGAATTTTAGTGCTGAAGAACATGAAGAGCGTTAATCGCGCGTTGACATTGTCACGACTGTTCATATGGTTACCGATTTTACACATATTTTATGCATTTTAAGCACTCGTTTTTACTGTAATCAGTCGAATGTTGACTGTTGAACGTCAAACATGGACGTTACAGATGCAATTTTTATATGGATGCTATATCGTAAAAGATAGCGTCATAGACAAACGAAAAGAAAATAATGGGTTTATCCTATTTTACAAAATAGACTTACTTCAAGCCTTTACTTCACTCTTGATAAAATTACAAACTTTTTCGAAAAAATAATTGCACAAACGGAACGTATCGCTACGAAATACGCGTTGCAACTGAACACTTCAATGCTTATCTGTATATATTTCAGACATGTTCTAAAGAGCGTAGACAGGGTAATCGCGTTTAACGCCTTTCATGTGAACTAGCTCTAATGTACGTAACGATTAATTTTTGCTAACGAAAAAGGATTCTGAGTGAATTTCGGTTAAATACATATTTTGACAGGCCGTAATATTCACGATTTGAAAATAATAAATTACCTATATTTTCCCGTTTTTCTTACGTTTTTATTCGATTTTTCAAATTTATTAAAAAAACCCTTAGGTAAATAAAAAAAAGCAACTATAGTCAAATTACCTTTCAGAAAAAATGCTACACTTAAAAATCAAAATTTCTGATAGAAAATTTGCAAACAGAAAAATATAAAAAATAAATAAATAAACATCATTTCAAAACCAATACACTCCCCTGCTACGTTCCGAATCTAAAATAATGCGATTTTCTTCAGGACTACTCAACAACTATGCTAGTGCGATATTAAATAAAATATTCTGGCAAGATTCTGGGCTAGGAAAATTTAATTGATTAATATATCTATACTAACTGACAATTATCTTATCTTAATTTTACTAATTTAGCCTTTAAATTATTTTATTTATTTATTACTTATTACACCTATATACAGCCTTTCAAAATATGTATAACCGAACTCCGGTTGTCTTAAGTTGTGTTTGGATCTACCTACTCTCATTCCAAGCCTGTTGAGGGATCTGCGGGTTGACCAGTCGAGTTGTAGCTTATAGTTATCTGATTGTAGGGATTCTAATAGCTTGAACTGTAGCTTATAGTTTTCCTGGGAATGAGATAATTTCCATTCTTCTATACTTGTGACGGGCTTTACAAGTGGTTTAATCATTTTGATGTGTATTTTGTATCTTGGTCAGGGCTTAGAAAATTCAGTCCATGCAGAGGGTGACTTGTGTCTGTTACTACTTGAGATCTTTCCCAATCCATTATAACTTTCCTGCGGATCTTCGCAGGAATGATGTCCGCGAGTTGGTATATTTTGGGGTGTTCTTAAGATAGCCCGTTAAAATTCAACATGACTCATTTAGTGCGGTATCTATTTGTTTAGCACGGACAGACTTGCATAATACGGGACTTGCGCACTCATCAACGGAAAATTAGAGAAACAAGACAAATATTCCTAAAGTATGGGTGTATATCCCCCATGTAGAGTCTGTAAGTTTCTACAGGCATTGTTTCTTGTGTGCACTTTATATTTGGTATTTCCGCAATGCTCAAGTTCAACTCATTGTCATTAAATTTTGAGTTTCCTATCTGCCGGTTTGTTCCGAAAATATAAGGCGTAGACTTTTGTCTTAGCCTTTTTAGACCTGACATCCAGGGAAAAGGACTTTATTTTAAATGTTATTTATAAAAATTATTATTAATCATTTTAATCCATAAATAATAAAGAATGAGTCTAGGAAAAAATAGACCCAGACAAAAAAACATAGAAAAAAAAAAGACAATAATAATATAGAAAATACATTTATTTTCAATTAATACTTATAAAAGTATTAATTGGTCCTACCCTTATGTTATATAGGTACCCATGTAATAATATAGTACTATATTTTATATGTGTTTAATAATATAGAAAACCAAAATTATTAGTATTATGTACCTATTTACCTCTAGTATTTTCCAATTTATATATTACCTTTAAAAAAATATATAGATATATACGTTAGATTTGGAAGTTTGTGTGATCTAAAGACCTAGGTTTTTAGTTAAAGTAAACAACACGACTATATTATCACTATGTATAATATAAGTATAATATATAAGTAACATACAACTAGACTCCATCAGGGACTGTGTGTGCATAGTATGACGTTCTGTAAGAGAATAAAAACACTTATCTAAAAGATCCTATTTATATGCTACATTTGATGTAATATCTAGGTCTTGTTTAACAGCCGAAAGTTATGTCCTAATAGTAATATTAGTAGCCAAGGTTGATATAATGAAATACACGTAGATAAGTACACACACGTGCTCACAGTAATAAAATATTAATTGTATAATTCAACAACCCCCTTCAATTAATAATTTCTTTGATTGTAGTCACTCCTATAGCTGCCCATAATTTCTCGAAGCGGTCTTTAACTAAAGACTTGGTTAAGATATCTACACTCTAATCCTCTGTCCCAATGTACTATAGTTGAAATAGCCCTTGTCATATTTTTCCCGAATGAAATGATAACGCACATCTATGTGTTTTGTCCTCTTGTGAAATTCTGGGTTATTCACTAAACGTATAAGCACTTTGATTATCCATGTATAAATGTGGTAGTTTACCTTCTGTTGTCGATAAACTCTTGATCAAATGAGTTAACCACATGGATCATTTTACGGTCTCGCTTGCCGCAATATATTCCGCCTCAGTTGATGACAACGACATTTTTATCTCTGTGATGTCCAAGGAATTGAGGAGATGACCTGTACTTTAATAGGTATCCCGATGTTGATCGCTGTGTTTCAATGTCACCTGCGTAATTTGCATCACTAAATATTTCTAAAGATAATTGTGAAAGTGTTTTAAAATACAGCCGATAATTAAATGTTTTTTTATAACATATAATTAATTAAATTTAATTCCAATGTGCCTTTGATGGGTTTGCTAAAAAATGACTAGCAAAGTTGACTGCATATGCAATATCCGGTTTCGATAGCTAATATAAAAACAATAAACTGCCCACTGATGGCCGATAAAGGGTTTTTTCACTCAACTTTTCAGTTTCATTTTGGTTATTAAGTGTATGTGATTTGTCAATCGGAATTGAAAGTTCCTTTGCATTCAATAAAAAAAATTTCTCAATTATACGACACGAGTAATTTGTTTGATGTACCAATAAAGACCCATTCTTCATAGTATTTATTTGCATACCTAAACATATTCTTAATTACCCTTCTTTACCGTAAACTCTTTTTCCAAGCTTGTTAAAAGTTCTTTAATTATATCTTCATTGTTGGCAGCAATTAATCCATCACCTACAAATATTGCAAAAATTATTTGATTACTATTTGTTTTAAATACACATGCATCAGTGCCTAGTGAGATCGTAAATCAAATGTATTTAAAAAATCTTTAAATCATTTGTTCCAACATATTGGCACTTATTTAAGCCCATAAAGATTTTTGTAATTTATAAACTTTATTTGAGTCGTCTTTGTAACTTGCTGATTGTATCATGCAGTGGCGTAAATAGGGGGGGATATGGGGGATAGATCTCCTCTTGGGTTTTTTTTTTTTATAATTTTTTTCTTTTATAGTGTTTTTGTAATGAAAATATTTTGTATTAATTATATTTTTTTTTGATGATAACTGTATTTAATTTAGATGCATTAAATTCCGAATCTAATCATTCAAATGAAGGAAATGTCTGTGCTATTCTGAAATATAAAGCTGAAGACTTGGATTATTTAAAGAACATTTTGAATATGACTCTCGGAACAAATATATAAGTCCTAGAATACAGAATAAAATTATTACCATATGTGGTGATATAATTCTTCATACACTAATGAAAATGGTAATTTAATTAAAGGGGATAATTCATCAAAAGAAAATGAAATAAGAAGTTCTAATCTTTTGTGTAAGGGTTCTATATACATTAGAGCACATACAGACTTACGAGATAATTACTCACCAGGTTGGAAGTTCAACTATTGGGAGCTAAAGGTATTTTTTTACTTTTAATTGTGCTATAATTGATGTAAATTTAATATATAATTACAAATAGAAAAATGAAAATTGTTATATTTGCTTAATTAAATTAATTTTTCAGTGTGTTCCTTTAAGTGTCACATTAATGATTCATTTTTTCTTAATCCAATTGAACCAATTGAAATAATAACCTTATTAAAAATATTACAGATGTTTATTCATTTAGCAAACATAGTATAACATATGTATGATATACATGGTATAACAAATCTAATTTAAAAAAATACTGTATTCTAATCTATACCATTATCCATAATTTTGAATTATTCTCTAGCATCAATGAATTAATAGAAATACGAAAATTTGATAGCTACAATACTAAAATAACTGTTTGAGAATTTGGCAACCCTGCTCTTAACGTGTTCCTCAATTTATAACTGTCGAACCCTCTGAATGTCGTAATTTTCCGACGTGTACACAACTTCATTTCGAATCATTAACTAACCTCAAACTTTAATCGTGAATTGTTTGCGACTTTACTTTCTTCTTTGTTGCAGATCTTGTGTCGAAAGAGTAGTGTTGTGTTTTCAATTTTTGTACAAATTTCAGTCGTTATTATAAGATCCAGGTAAAACACTGTCGCTAATTCATTAATCATTTATCTAAACAAAAGAAATAATAATGGAGGTTAATAGTAAGCCTGTTGCCATGAAGCATACTATTACTATGACTGAACTTGATGAAAATTGTGTTAAAAAAGTAAAAAAAGAACATTTAACTATTGTTCAAGAAGAGGCACATTCGAAGAAAAAGGTATTTATTTTTTGATTGAATAAGATAAATTATTAAAATACATAGGTTATTATTATTAGATAATTATTATTTTATCAAATTAAAGAAATGATTTTAAACGCCCAAAAAATTTTAAAATATAATATAAATATATATTAAGATAATAATATTATAACCAATCGAATAATTATTATTTTGTTTATCAAACACTTTAGTTAGTCAACACTAATCACCTCACTACACCATTACTAGTTCATTAATACATTTAACTGTTCACTCAAATAATAATTGTACAAGTATTTATAATATAATGATAATTAATAGGATGTGGATTTCAATGCAAAATTCATGATTTTCTGAGTGAAATGAAACTCCAATTTTCAAATACATATTTTAATTCATGTAAGAGACAGGCACTTTAAAATTGAAACTTTTAATTAAAATTTTTTTGGATACTAGGTATGCTAAAATAAACCGTTATTATACACATGTTAATTGAAAATAAAATAATGTTATCAGATTATAAAAAGTTGGAACTTTGTTAGTATTTAATTATAATTTTTTAATGATTGTATATTAAATATGATAATACTCAATCATAACCAGAATTTTGTGGCCGTTCAACTTTGAATTTAAAAGACAGAAAACAATTTTGAATGGCTTTGGTATCTGTGTTTATACAAATTTAATTAGAGTACCAAATAAGAGAAGTATATTCTAATTGAGTTCTAACAAATGCAAAATATAAACTTCTTAAAGCATTCATATTATTTCAATTAGTACATGTTTGAGTAATGAAACAAAGATTTAAAAAAGTTTTATTTGTTATTCTTTCAATACGACTATTGAAACATAACTTAAAGTTAAAATTAATTCCCAAGTCCTTAAATGATTCAACTGACTTCAAAGATGTATTATTCAGTTTGTTGTTAAATTTAATATGAGATTTTTTAAAACTAAACATTAAAATTTTGTGTTTATTGTTTATTGGAGGTGTATCTAGTACCTTATTAGTTATACAGATAAATTATATTATGAAATATTAGAAGAAAAAAATCTATTATTAATATTGTCATACATATTATTATTATTTATTAAAAATTTCATTGTATCATTGTGAATTATACAGGCTCAAAAAAAAATAAAAACAGCTACAAGTATCAAAAAGACAGTTTCAAGAATACCCAAGAAACTAAATTCATCTGCAGGAATACCAGCTCCTATAATTCTTGATTTTGAAGGCCAAAAAATGGATATTACTGGCAAAAAAGTCAAGTTAACACAAGTTAAACTTACTTTAAAACCTAATTTTATCGCTGAAACCAGAAAAGAACTCACACAAATGATTAATATGAAATCTATTGATGTCTCCTCTGGAATTAAATTTCCTAATCAATTTGTTGATGAAATTCTAGATATGAAGGTATTATACTAAGTATTTATATTAATGAATTAATTTTATTTAGATAGAATTTGTTGTGTCCATAATATACCAGTTATATTTATTTTGAAATTTAATATTATTATATTTTAGGTTCTATTGGAAGAAATGGAAAGTAAAATGCCAAAAATGACACCTAATTTTTCATCTATTCAAAAAATGGTATCGTTAATGCCTCTTGAACAATTAACTAAATACTGTCCTCGCTGGGCTTCGTAAGTTTTTTATTGGATTATTATCAATAAAATGGTTTTAATATATTAAATATATATATTTGTTTTTTTAAATTATAGTTATTTAAATGAGGCTGGAGAAGTTCAATTTGAAAGAAGTAATATATCACATTTAGTTGAGCATCCATTGCAAATAAGTCCACCGAGTAAGCAAAGTATAAAATAAAAATTGAGCTCTTGATTTAAATTAAATTTTAATAAAAAATTGTATGCATTGTCTTACAAAAACATTATTTTCATTATAAATATAATTTAAACATTAATTAGATAGTAAAACATAAGTAATATTCAAAAAAATATTATTTTTGATAATTTTAAATTCTATGGGAAACAAGGAATGTATTGATTTTACAATGATGTTTATTTTTATGTATTTTTTTTTCTGTTAACCAATTTTCTACTAGAAATTTTATTCCAGTTTTCAAGTGTAACACTTTTTGAATGGAAATTTGACTGTAGTGATGCTTTGAAGAGGTCATATTTTTGATTTTCACAAGGGTTTTCATAATAAATGAAAAACCCAGAATATTTACACAATATATTATTTTTGCATTGTAAATATTTTGGCATTTCAAAACATATTAGATCTGTAAATATGAAACTAGAATTTTCCTATAAATACCTCAATATAGTTATTTTTAAAACTAACAATTGATGTGATTTACATGTTCACATCTGGTAAAATATATTCAACTCATAACTAAACAAGTTTCATACCACTGCATAGTTTGTAATAGCATTGATTGAATATATCAAATTGTGTGCTCGAAATTATGATTTGCAAAATTAATTTTCTATTACCATTTGAAAAAAACTACTGTAGAATCACATTGAATGGTTGTCAAAGTTTACGGTAAGCATGCTCTTGAAAAATCACAGAGCTTTGAGTGGTTTAAAAAAATTAAAAGTTGGCATTTTGACAAGATATATGAAGAATATGGAAAACCACCTAAAATGTTTGAAGACAGCGAATTGCAAGAAATGTTGGATGAAGATGGCTCTTAAATGCAACAAAACCTCGCAGATTAATTAAATGTGACATAAGAAGCCATATTCATATACTTGAATGCCATGAGAAAGATCCAGAAGATGGGAATATGGATTCATATAAATCACAATCATGGTTAACTCCAGACAAACCATCGACATCCACTGCAAGGCCAAATCGCTATGGAGGATATTGCTCTGTGTTTGGTGGGATTAGAAGTTTGTTATTTATTATAAGCTGCTTAAACTTAGCAAAACTGTTAATATTGAGTGCTACTTATAACAAATGATCCATTTGAATCAAGCATTTGTATGAAACATGACAAGATAACAAAAAGGCAACATAGATGTGATTTTGCTTCATCATAATGCACACAGCAAAACTGGTCAAAGAAAGTTGATTTAGAAACTTGTTTAGTTCAGAAATACTTTCACATTCGCCAGACTTGGTTCTATCCCGTTACTACTTATTTTCATCAAAGGGTTGCACACTTACTGAGTAGCACTTTACTTCTTACAAAAATGTAAGAAATTGACTGGGTCACCTCAAAGAGCAATAGATTTTTATCATAGCATCCATAAATTACTAGAATGGTTGGACAAATATATAGCTAAGGATGGGCAATACTTTGAATAAAATATTTGTTATCTTTTTCATACAATAAGCATCTATTTTTTGTATAATAATTCTGGATTCATATTTATAGACCTGGTATTGGTATAGTTGTACTTCTCTCAAAATCGTTTTTTGTTAGCAATGATTAATTTTTGCGTACAGGTATATAATAAAATTTCTTCATTACCTACCTAACTTCTCACTTAAAACAGTGGTTCACCCATCATACAAAGTATGTTCATTTATTTTTTTAAAGTATTCATATATGTAGTTAAAATTAAGACTTCTTTATATTTTTACTAAAGAATTGTAATGATTATAAATATCAGCTTTAATATATTCTATTTCTTTAAGTACTGTTGGTGGTGTCAATTATTTTGATAATTTATCCAGGAAATAACCATTCAAATTATACATTCAAAATAATTTGTTGACAATGTTTAATGTTTATTTTGATTATCATTTGATGCTTTTTAAATTTTAAAAAAATTCTCTAAATGTTAAAAAACAATATCTTTGTATGATATACTTTCAATAACTTTTCTTGTTATTTATATTAATTAATACAAATTAAATAATTTTTAGCTGACCCCTTAAAACCAGTTGCCATGTCTGTATCCTTCACTAAAAAAGAAAGGAATGATTTGTTGACAGAAATATGGCAAACCGAATTCGACAAATTTTTTCTAAAATGTGAGATAGACAAATCTGAGGTATTAAAATACAAGTTAATATTCAAGTGTTTTTTATTTAAAATAATTTTCTTATTACTTATTTTATATTTATAAATATTTTGTTTATTAATTAGGTACTTCAGACCCGATGAGAGTATTGGGTTACAGCAGCCCAACATCCAACTAAAATAGAATCTCATCTAAGAGCACAAATCTCGCAAAGAAGTGAAGTTTTAAACAGTATTTTTTAATTGGGCTTTTATTGGTATTTACAATCTACACATTATGTGTCTTATCTCACAATATGAGTCTTTGCAAATATTATTTTTATTCAATTTACTCTTATTCAAATTTCAAACTGAATGTCTGCAGACATCTAAATTCACACTTTTAAAATTAGATTTTAGAAATGTAGAATATTATAGATAAGAACATACCATAGACCTTAGACTACTAGACTGGTTTTGTCCATTTACATATTATATGAGTAAGGGCTAGCCCCTAAATTATAAATGTGAAATCTTTCTGTTACATTATTAAAGGTAGCCAGATCACCATTTTGTTCAACTTTTGCTTTGTATTTCTTTAAGAAATAGATCAATTTTATTTTTTGTCATGGTAATTTCTATAATTATTATTTATTAATATTTTTAATAAACGTACACATTAAATACAAATTTATATTATGTAATTAATTTATAACTTGCTACGAATAGTATCCATTTTGCTATCTTTTTTTTTTTAATTGTCATATCTTTTTTAAACTTTGTATTCTGCTATATTAGAAAACTGCTTTATCTATATATTAATTTACTTTTTAATACTAAGTGAAATTGTTTCCTAATTGTGTTCAAAATATGAGAAATAAAGTGTTAATCTCTAATAATTCAACCTAAGGCCAATTTTATTCACACACGTCATCCATCATAAAATGTTTAAATATAATATAAATCCTCTAAATGTCATATTTTTAAGGTTAGCAACAGATTCAGGTAAAAAAAATGTTTTATCACTGAATGACAAACAACACATTTAACATTTAACATTTAAAATTTGATTGTATAAATGTCAAGTAACAATTATAAAATCAACTATCAGTGTCAAAAAGCAATCATGATCACTATTTCTAACTACTTCATCCAATCATATTGTTCAATGGCAACATATAACTTTTCACTAATGGTTTGTAATAAGTACTGCTTTTTTTTTTTGTTGGGGGAAGGATTTTTATTTATTTAATTTTGTAATGCCTAAACAGGCGATATATTAAGTTCAAGCAATGGACACAATGATTTTTGTGGCAATAAATACATTAAAACAGAAAGACAATTTACCACATGGTAATATAAGAAAAAATTTAATCAGAGCTGAACATATTGAGTTGCCCTAGCATTCTATGCAGGAAATGGTTTTGGCCAAATGAAGTATGATAATAAGGAATTAAGAAAAGAGAGTGGTTTCTTGTGCAATGAGAGGGAAGTAGATGTTATCTACACTGACTGCTAAATCAGGGTAAGCTAACTTCATTAACCATGTAACACTAGTCAATGTTTTTTAAAAATAGGTAATTAGGTACCTATTACAAAATTCTAACTTCATTCATCTAGTAGTTTCCCTTCTATTAACACCTTATTGAAAAAAAATATTTTAACCAGCCTATGCTTTAATATTTTCCACTCGTCCACTATAATACACTGTCTAAACTACCATTTTTTTATACATACATTATACAAACACTCGATCATTTAAATCACGAGACACGGATTTAGATAAGTACGATTTAAATTTTAAATACAAACATTTTTTTATGTTTAATATCTTTGCTCATTATCTCAAAATCCTAGTAAATTAAATACCTATCTAGTAAGTATAAGTAAAACTAAAAGTAATTGTCGAGATTTTGCCAAAATTGGTATATGCATATGAAACAGACTGTGTGTTGGAAGTTGAAACCTTCTAAAGGCAACAATCCTTGGTAATATTGTATATATACAAATTTGTATCCCATTACTTAGGTACTTTGAGTCTACAAAGGTAGGTAGGAATTTAAAATCCAGTTTTTTCTGTGTAAAAAATAATCCTACTCCCGTAAAAACATGGTAAACTTCATATTGAAATTCAATCAAAATATTGTATCACTTCAATTTGTCTATAAAAAAAACTCGAATTCCCGAGTTTGAGCTCATTTGGTACATACCTACAGAGGGAATTCCTAAGTTTTGACGCAAAACTGTCCAAATGTACTGGGAAAAACAAATTTATATAAATATCTACCTATTTATTATAGTATGATTAATCCTCAATAAGACATTGCAAAATACCTATTTACCTATAGTGTAACATTTTAGAGCTGCTCGCTCAGAGGCGTATACAAGGGAGGGCGAAAGTGCCGATCGTCCCCCCTCCTGGGCATTATTGAATTTGTTTCATGTATAAGTACTTACTTATTTTATTATTATTAATCAAAAATTTAATTTTTTTTGTGCAGAAATGGTTATCAAAAACTTGTTAAGAGATTGGTAAGATCTCAAGATCTTAAGATAAATTTACTACAAACAATATACTAAAATTATTATTTAAAAACTCTGAGTCCAAATATACAATATAACATAATATATTTGTTAGGTTTTACCAAATACCTATACCTACCTAGGGGTTTTCAAGCAATAATATACGTAAAACATTTTTTTTGAGTAACTACCTACCTAATTATTTATTTATATCCAAGCCTTCTTTTCAATACTTATAAAAACATTTTCTTAAGACGCCAATAATTGTATTTTTTCCCTGGGAATTTTTTTTCCTTTTGTGGTTTTTGGTCAAGGGCTTTATTGTTCTCAATTGCAAATAATAGTTATCAAAAGTGGGTAGAAATAATTATTCAAGTTTTAACTTTTAAGCTAGCGAAACGATCGGAATATATTGAACTGCCAATCTATTTATAATAAGTAACACTGCCGTTTATAGACATATATTTTCATAACCAATAATTTATAAGTATAATTAAAGTTCGAATTTGCCCCCTCCCCGGAAGATGAGCTGAATACGTTCCTGAGCTCGCTTCATACATTTTCAAAAAAAAAAATATGTCAAAAAATAGGTAGGTAAGTACCTATAGGCGGTAGGTAGGTGCCTAATACTTTAAGAGGTAATGATTATCCTAAAGAGTATAGAAGATTGATCACCCTTGTACAGTTGTATACATTTAATACACAAAAGTACAATAGTCTTTATTTTTGGGGAAAATTCAAGAACAAGATTGTATAATAATTTAATTAGATATAACCTTCACGAGCGGGTAGGTATAGGTATCTAAGTACCTACCAATTATTTTACTTAAAGGACTTGATATGTCATATAATAATAACTAAACCTAATAACGATCGGTTATGAAAGCGATACAACGGGGTAATATCATTATTCGTGTAATTATTATTTTGGTAATTAATAGAGCAATCTTTGACAAACTGTCCATCAATTGTGTTGTGAATAGATAACCATGGTAGATACATTAATACTGTTTTATATTTCCTACCGACTGCACCATGTTTTATATTTAGTTATCTTTTAAGATGATGTGACACATATAACATATTTAATAACTTATGTGATGTCTCATGCTTATCACAATCTTATGATAATCTCATCATAGTCTTATCATTACAACAAATACATCAAATACCATTAAACTAGAGAAAATTGTTAATAAACTATAGGTAGGGGACTACTTATTAATCGGCAGTGCTCGAATTGGAACAATGAAATAAGAGAACTGTGTGAATCGGGACAGTAGGTATTTCGCTGGAAAATATTTTTCAGAATCTGTATCAATTAGGAATTCAGGATAGTAGGTATTTCATTATTGGATTATATGTATACCTATTATGATCTAAGATTTCAGTGGGAAATTATATTGTGATAAAATACAATTTAAAATGTATAGTAGTCTATTTTTTTATTAATACCTAATTAATTTTCGTACGGAGCGGTTTGTCCCAGAAAATATGTAAGCAGTAACCACAGATTATGTTATATGTATATGACCACATTTATTATACTTGTATATAGTTTATATATATCTGTGTCAGTGACGTACCCAGGAAACAAGTCTAAAACCCAGAGAGGTTTTAGTCATGTAATCCTCATATTCACTTAAAAAAAGGTCATTTTCCAAATATTAATACTTAGGTTTAAGTAATCACAATTTTCAATAAACATAATTGCGCGCGCTCCCGACATTATCTATATTATCGCGTACGATGTGATAACTGCATATTGATGCTTTTTTCTTTTTTTGATGCCGCGCGCCCGCGCGATCGACCAATGGAGTTTTTCTTTTCTTATCGTTGTTTAAGCGTCCTGCGTCCGTTCTTCGTTCTTGTATTTTCGAACTGTTTGGAACACTCTTTACAATTGTATTGTAAAAACAATCACTTTTTCAAGTGTGAGTTAGGTATGTATACCAAGTTTTATATTTTAGAGTTCGGTAGATATTTTGTACTATGTTAATTTGTTGCGTTGTAAACAAATTATGTATCTATTGACTGTTGTTTAGCAACTTGCAGGTATGTATTATTTTTTATTTTTATTCTATATAATAAATGATACTTAACAAAATTCTAAGAAATATGTTTAGAATTGCTAATTTACATTGAATAATAGTTGCCATGAATTGTTGTTTCTTTTATTTCAAATTTTAATATTGGCACATGGGCACTTGGGTGATAAATATTATGTGATCACTTAGCAGGTCTCCCATATAAATAATAATAATAATTATAAAATGATGGAGTTCTACTATATCAATAAGTAGTTGAAATATTACTTTTTGATGTATCAATATTACTTTTTTCATTAAGTACTCAAAAGCAGTGATGGGAAGGAATGTTTTCCTTTTCAAATGTAGGAACAAATAATGGGAAGAAATCCTATTTATGGGGAATAAGTAATCAAATTTTTGTTCCTCCTATTATGAAAATAAAATAAAATTGAAACTCGTTTATTTTAAAGAAGTAGGTATTATCTAGAAATTATTTAGTGTTGATATCATTTCCTCAGTTACTAATAAATTATCACAGTATATTATTGTAATAATGCAATTCCAACTTTACATTTTTATTAACGTACAAGATACTTAATATGATAATATATAGTGGATGCTCCCTCTCTTCATTTTCTAATAAATTTTAAAGTTCCTTCTCACCAAACTAGGTCTAATTTTTCTTTTGTTGTTTCATTCCCCAACACCAACTATGGTAGAAATAATCCATTCACTGTATGATGTGCATGGCTAACGAGCACTTAAGCCTTTCTTAAATTGTTTTGTTTAGTATTAAGGATTGCAATTTGTTATTACTATTGTTTCATTTGTTTTCACAAATCTATTCTATTGTTTGCTTACTTTAATAATTATGCTATATTGATCAAATTTATTTATTACTGTAAACTTTATTGTTATATTAGGCTCCAAGCCCGTTAATAAATAAATAAATAAACGAAAGTTGTTGTTACAAGCATGAATTAAGATATTCAGGATACACAAAGAAACCCTGTTATCAGCAAACCATTGATTCCAATGGTAATTATTTATCGAATATACATAGAGCTTTAATAATTAATAGCAACGAGAAGGGGTATTACTGTATTTATAAATAAGAAAAAAAATTTTAAAATTAAAAGCTTATTTAGACACTATCATAGAAGATTGTTGATGGAATATTAATGCCCACTCACCACTAATATATCCAGTGGTTATACAGTGGATGTATCAACTATCCATAATATTAATTATTAAATATTTATGACTTCCAACAGATATCTAAAAGATATCCAAATGTCGGTTTTTTTGGCATTTTTGGATATGTTATTTCAATATACATTGGTTATTTGTTGAAGTTATTCATGAGATGTCTTATATTATTTAATCCTTATGGATAATCACAAGTTATTATTTATATATTTCAGTGTATGCAGTATATATCCAGTGGATGATAACTTGAGATATTTCTTTAGGTATACAGGAACAAATAATAGATAATGTTTATTTAGTTATGTTAAATTATTATTTTTATGAACAACCAATTTAACATACTATATTTATTTATTTTTTATACAATTTAGCTTCTGCATGTCTCATTCAGTTTTTGATACAAGTAATAATGTCAAACTTTTGAATGTTTGGCATTTTTGAATACAGTATCTATATAAAAATATGAATGATTATAATAAATTGTAAAAAAGCTGTTAAAAAAATTAGCATCAATAAAATTATCTTACCATTTATTATCTTAGACAGGTATAAATATGATAAAAGTTTTTTCTTTTTGCTCCAGTCCAATTGTATGATATAGCAAATTGATTAGTAAAGAGTTTTTTCATGTCATCACATCTTTCAGGAACATAATTTTAATGATAATGCTACTTTTGATTGTTTAGTGTAATTTGTATTGTGTTAAAATATTTTATGCTGATAAATAATGTAGATTTATTTCAAGTTAACTAAATGATATCATTGTTTTATTTTAATAGATAACCAAAAATTAATAAAAAAACAAATTGTGAAATTTGTTTATCGAGAATACAAAAACTAAAAAACAGTTGTAATACAGTAACAGCTTAATTAGTCAATTTAAAATCTATAGGTTTTTTGATTCACCCTCAGAACAATTATTTTTATACTTTTTAGATAAATTTATTGAGATATCATTTTCCAAACATGCTAATATTCAAAATGTATTTGAAGACATTGGTGACTTTTTTTAAATTTAATTATTTTATTTTATTTCCGTGTTTTAAACACAAAAGTGATATGGTTGCGTATATATTCACTACTTATATTACAAAGAGAATGATACAACATACTTATTATTCTAACCATCAACTAAAAAGCAAAAACAAGGTTAAAAAAAAACTATCCAAATCAGTGACTAATTAGAAATACCTAAAATATAGGTACATATATTATTTATTGTTTTATATAAGAATACTACTTATACGTATTTCTTGTGTTGAAAAATATAATAAAAATAAGAGTATTATACCATTACCTAATTTGTTACGATTTTATTGATAATGGATATGTTATTACTACAAAACTCTCTACCTTTAAGTGCTACCTGTCAATTCAAGAAGTTCTCATAACAACTGATAAGTACTCAGTGTGTATCCTGTATATCTTAAATCATGGTTACAAGTAGTATAACTGTGATATAAATAGTGTCTCCATGGTTATGGTTTAAAATGATTAAAATGACTAAAAATAAAATAAAAAAGAACTGTTTTTTAGAATCTACTTCCTTTTGTTGGAGTAGGAACAATAAACTGAAACTAATTCCTTTTTAAAAGTAACTTTCCCAACACCGCTCAAAAGTCAGAATTGAATATTTTAAAATTGTCCTATTAGCAATTGAGTTTAATAGTATTTACTAAATAACCTAATATGGTATTACTTATTAGTCTCATGACCTTTTTTGAATATTATTATTTTTGTTTTTTGACCAGAATGTAAATTATTGGTTATAATTTCACAGACTTATCAAAAGTGACCAAATGATTTAAACCATAAAATAAGGCATTTAAATATGGTTTTACCTATGGTTACTTTTTACAGGATTACAATAATATTTTAGTTTAGTTTATCAACGTATCATTTGTATTTTAATTATTTAGTTATAACTTAGTTGTTACTTCTTATTAATAGATACAGTTTCATGTTATAGTGGATTAATATCTTTAGCACTCATTTCTTATACTGTAGTTCTGAACTAGTCATCTGTTTACAGGTGCTGGATCCCTACAATAACATTTCAAAACAATCAATAGCTATCTATCAAACTTATAGACTTTAATATATAATATTATTGTGAAAGATACAGTTTTCTGGAAAAAAAATTGAAAATAAAAATAACTTTTAGTCAAGATAGTACAAGTTTAAGTGCAATTTGCTTTATATTAAGCATTAAATGTAATACTATTTTCACCCGAGGTAAAAGTATTACACAATATCAATGGTTCACTAAATTAACCAAAAAGAATTTTGAAGAAAATATATTTATTCAAAAAATAGGAATAAAAACATTGTTATCGTCAACAATATTAATAGATTATCCATAATGTCAACAATTAGTGAAGTATTTAATGATGAATCTATACAGGGAGCTTCCAGTAGTTTAAATAAGTTGCACTTGATGACTGCCATAGATTTTCACCATGATAGATATGCTCGCTATTCTGTGCACGAATCAGAAATAAAAGACACTGTGCGTACAAATACATTTAAAAAATGTATTGAACTTTGTGCTGAAAATTACATCAAGGTAAATATTTAAGTATACAATTTACAACTTGAATTATTATTATCTTACTTGTGTTTTATTTTTCAGAAAAAAGTTGTATTAGTTATTAGATGTGGTATTGGCTTATTACCATTGTTATGTGTTCGAAACGGATCTGCCCGAAAAGTAATAGCTTTGGAAGAATCAGCTTGTATTGATTATGCTCGTCAAGTAGTTAAAGATAATTTGTTAACTGAAAAAATCACATTAATTCAAAGCAATGTAATGAGATATTTTTAAATGTATTAAATTTTAATGTGTATATTAATATATTTTATATTTAACAGGTTCATGATTTACAAGAATTACCTCATAAACTTATTGAAGTGGATGTTATAATATCTGATTTTATGGGGGATTGTGTCTTAAGTCAAGGGGATCTAATGGAGCAAGTTATTGAAGCTAGAGATCGGTTTCTTAAACCAAATGGTAAAATTCATAATAATAAATAATACATAAATAAGTATAATTGTTGCTAATCTATTTTGCTAACATCTTAAATCTTTCTATCTATTTTAATATTCACTGATCTTTTATTATATAAAAAAAAAGAGCCACTGTTCATAGGTGAGTCACTATTGTATTTTATTAGTTACAAAGGTAGATACATAAAGTTATATAATTTATATCTAAACAATAATGAACTATTTTTAATGAAATCTGTTTCTGAGGAAAGTTTCCTTTGTACATGATTTGAAAGGCAGTAATATTTATAATTTTACGCTTATAAAAAACTTTTTCAACTTTTTTTTATCACTAAGTACAACTTATAATGAACTTCCTGTTAAATTTACAAGCTCTTTTGTTTGGTATGGTAATGATATGACATGTTTTTGATTTAAGTATTATTTCTGGTAGAAGACATAAATTAAAAACAATGAAATCAATAACAGTGCCCTGTAAATATCCATTTTAAATTCTGAGTGGAGCGAAGAAACTTATGGTTTTACAATGACGTTATTTTTTTTTCTTTAACATTTGTACCAGAAATTCTATTTCGTTTTTTAAGTATAACAGCTTTTCTGAAAGGAAATTGAACTGGAAAAGTATTTTAGGGAAGTCATTTTTGATTTTCCCAAGAGTTTTCAGCATGAAATAATTTTTGAACCAAACTATTGGGTATTTGGTTTAGTTTGATTTTCGATTTCATTTCGTCATATCTTTAGTTAATAGTTGTATTTTATTATAAACATTATGTATAAAAAATTGTGTTCTTAATGATTTCCATTTATAATAATAATGAGTATAATAATAATATAATAATATAATCAATAATGAGCTTTTATTGAAATAGTTTAATATTCAGGCTTGAATAAATCATGAATCAATGAACTATACAAAATAATAATACTGTTTGTTATATAAAATAAAGTTGTAATGAATGTATTAACACAATTTAATTTTAGTTAATAATTCAATGACAAGTATAATGGGTATGACTTATATTAATGTATTTTTTTTTCTGAACAACCTTATAATTCTAAATAATTATTTATCACTACATATATGTATTATGTCTAAAAATACTAATACCCTATTTTTTATAGGTATAATGATACCTAAGTGTGTCACTCTTTATGCCCAGCTTTCAGAACAAAGATATAATTTTGAAAATCAAAGAATATGCAAAAATAAAAAAAAGGAATCTTTAGCTGAAGATGATGATTCTAGTAGTTCATCTGATTCAACAAATTGTTCTTGGTGGAGTAATGTTTATGGTTTTGATATGAGGTCTAAGAGAGAATTTATAGTAGATAATAAAACAAATTCATCTGGTTCAAAATGGTGTATAATGCCAGCACCTATTGTGTCATACTTTAGTTCACGTAAGGTAAAGTGTATTCAAATTCTCCATAATTTACAAAAGAAGTGTGTCATACTAAATATGTTTCACTGCATTTATTACTATGGATGAAATCCTTGTTTTGATAGACAATAGTTTCTTAAATAAAATATTTAACAATGGTAATAATGATAATAAGATTAATAAAAAATTAAGAATAAACATGATATAATTTGTAGTTCTGTGAAAATTATTTTAAAAAATCAGTTTATTGTCCAATAACAATTTCTTTAATATAAATTATAAATTGACACACTTTTGCCTTTTTTGATATGATGAATCATAATTATATTATAGAAATATTTCTTACAACTTTAATCCAGTTACTAAATTTATTTTGAGAAATATTAGAATTTAAGATCCCATGTTATATTATTTGCTAATATATAAAATATGTAATAATTATTTTTAAATTGTTGATTGTTGTTTGTTTATAAATAGGTTGTGTCTTATGCATCTTTGCTGAAGAAATTTGATATGCACAAGTGCACTATTGCTGAAACACGACATGTGGAATGTAAAGAATTGAAATTAAAGGTTTTTGTTAACCATTCAAGGATCCGTGGAAAGGGCTATGGACACATGCTAGAACTGTTCATGGTAGTTGATTTTCCTAATGGAAGAGAAAATGGTATTGTTTTCATTATTTTTTAAATTAAATGTTTTAGATCCTGAGTAAAGCGAGGAAATGGTTTTACAGCGGTTTTTTTTTTATCTGTAAACAACTTTTCTACCAGAAATCTTACTTCCCAATTTTCAAACGTAGTTTTTGAAAGAAAATTTTGTCTGGTGGTACCTAAAGGAAGTTATTTTTTAATTTTTATAATAGGATAAAATCAGAAAATTTACAAAATATGATATTTTCAATTTTTTTTTTTTTTTGTTATAATTTAAATATTAGTAGAGACTTGTAATTTGAATAGAAAACTTATATTTTCTTTTTTTAGACTTGGTAAAATGTTTAAAACATTTTAGCCATTCCAGAACTATTGTGATATTTATAGACATTTTTACTTTATTTTTATATGGTCTTTTCTCTGTGGCTAAAACTGCAACCAAACAAAAATGCTTGAAAAGATAACTGGAGGTACAAGTCTTAATTTGTGATAAAAAAAAAATTTGAGTTATGCAAAATTTTGTTATAAGTATTTTAATATCAAATTCTGATGAAAATCATAAATATTAGGGCTTTTCAAAACATGATCTCATGAACTCTGACCAGATTCTTTTATTGTGAATGGTTGTGTACAGATATATATTAAATTCCTCTCTATAACCTACTTTCCCAACTTTGCAACTATCTTTTCAACTTATCACTTACAGTGCCCCACCCATGGAAGTATTTCAACTAAATTTTTTTTACTTTATTAACCACCAAGGTATATATTTATTTATATATATTTATCAATTTGTACATTATTATATTAATATACTTAACAGTTTTTAAAATATGTTTTATTTGTATATTAGGTGGAGAAAAAGTAGGATTTTCAACGTCCTCTTACTCATCATATACTAAATACAAACAAACTGGATTGTTATTACGGGATCAATTACTTGTTGAAAATAAAAACAAGTTCATTTTAAATGAATTCTGTATGTGGCGTGGCCCCCAACAAAATGGAAAAAATGAGCTGTTTGAAAGGTTTACTGAAGGTGATAATTTGCGTAATAGGTCTAGATATGAGCAAAATTTGAAATTGAGATTAAGTTATTCATTTGAAAATCAGTATATGAAAGTGGTGAACAGGCGTTGTGTTTATACCTTATCTAACCATTAGACATGGAAATTTCTTATTATTAATAATTTATTAAATAATTATATTAAGATATGTGGTTTTCATAATTTGTCTTGATTAAGAATAATAATAAACATTTTTTTTTTAAATGCATGATTCTTAGTTTATTTATTTGTGTTTGTAAAAAAGCGGTTAAAATAGTTGTTATCTGGAATAGTTGTCTGAGAATGAATATTTGGTCCATTGTGGATCTTGCTGATCTAAAGTCTCCTTGATAATCACCTCTGACTTTATTTTTAACCTTGATAAGTTTACAAAAACTTTGTATGCTACATTTAACAAGGGTAATTTCTCTACACTTATTATAATCCTGTTAGTTATCTTTTTCATGAATCGGCATAATATTGCCAGTTTTCAATATTCAAGTATCTATTTGGTTCTCCATATTTGGTTAATCATATTCCATAACCTGAATATCATTTCTTCTCCTCTAACTATATACCTAATCAATTATTCAATAATTATTATTAACAACTCAAAAAATAAGTACTAATTACTTATGATTATTACTTATGACTATATGATTATTATTAAGTACTTATAGTATGGTTTAGATTCTTGTACAATTAAATTAAATGTAAAAATGCTCTGAATTGCTATTGTTATTTGAATAAAGAAATAAATTGTAAGTTTCAATGTTCTTTGACTATGTAAAATAAAGTAAATTTGTATAATTAATTAAAACCGAAATTTTGGTTTAAAAAAATGACAAATTTGCATTTATTTTTTTTCCTATATTTTTATTGTACATTATTACGTTATTTTATGTACGTATCACTTGTTTAATGAGTTTAATACTCTAATAATAATGTATCAAAAAATTAAAAGTATGCAGTTAAATGTGTATAAAAAATAATAAATGTATACCTAATTATTACAATTAAAAGATATTTTATTTACCCATATAATACTATTTAATTAATACATTTTTTACTATTTATTTTAAATTACTATTTAATAAATGTTTGTAAATATTTTTGTGTATAATTGTTTGATATGAATATATTATAATGCATACCTATTATATTATGGGTGAACACCGAAATCTGGCAAAACGCGAAATATCCATGATACTTGGACAAAAACGTTTTTTAGTTGTTTTTCCTGGCCAAATCTATATAGTAGTGACTAACATCATTTAGGCAAAACTGTAATGTCCATAAATTTCAATTTTTCATATTTCTGAAATTTGCAGATTTCAGCTTTTGATCGTAACATATTTATTATATACTCATCATTTTTTTTTCTGTATATCATTAACTATAGTTTATACCTATAAACTATTTTTTTAAATTACCAAGGAGAGGAATTATAAAAATAAAATTGCTTTTTTGTGGATCGAGGAAATTCCTCTCAATATTTTGTGGTGTATTACAATTTTTAAACTACCCCCTCCTTGATTGAGCTCCAGATACTCCACTGACCTCAAGTAAACAAATATTCATTGTATGATTGTTGTTTTGGTTTAAATTTATCAAAAATCATAAAATTATAGTTGTTCCAAATTATTGCAGCCAGTATAAATATTTTAATTAGGTACCGACACGGGTATATTTATGGGTCGTGGCGTAGTGTTATAATTATCTGGGTTGTTAATATTTTTATATTATTTGTATGTAGATAACAGGGATATAGATATAGTGTCCGTGGTTGGTAGTCACCTTTTTTTATCGAACACAGAATTTTTGTAATTAATTATCGAAAACAAAATATTAATAATTTAATATAAAATATAAAATTATCATTCATTTTTTGGAATATTACTGGAGAACAACAATTATTATTATCAATAATGGTGTTACATGAATGGTGTCCGATTTTAGTTATTTAGTTTATCATTAAAGTGCATAGGTGACCAAAACGTCTTAGGAGCATAGTCTCTATGCTTCACTTGTAAATGATGCCACTGGTAGATACGTTTTATTAATAACGATTTGTACGAAAAAGGAAATTTTAATACATCATAATAATATAATAATAACTAATAAGGTACAGCTTTTGATGGATATATTCAAATAAAATTAGTAGATCAGTAAACCAGATACCAGTAAATTTTGACTTCCTAGGTAAATATTTTAACTTTAAAGTTACTACAGTAAAGGTAGAATTATCTAGTCAAGACGCTTACTTATTTTTAGATTCTGAGTGTATTGAGGAATGTATTGGTTTTCCAAAGGTGTTTATTTTTTTATACTGAGACAAAAATGCTTACTAGAAATCTTGATTCCACATTATGTAATTTTGGCATCATTTCTGAATTTTTTTTTTTTTGTCTAGATGGTATTTTAAAAGGTCATTTTTAGATCAGAATCGTTTTAGTTAACAATGGTTAATCGTTAAATGTTCATTAAATTTCTCTTCTATCTTCCCAACTTCTCTCTTACAACAGTGGCCCAACCACGTGTGAAATATGTCCGTCTTTTTTATTTTAAAAGCCTTCTAAAACTTTAATAAGTCCAACATGTTTAACATAATATGGAATAACTTAATCATGATAAAATAACAATAATAAAAAAAAATGAAAAAAACAATTTTTAAGTATATAGGACACCAATAATTAATATTTGCTGGAGAAAAGGACTGATATCTCTGAAAAAATAACTTTAAAAGAATATTTTTTATAACCATGCTTTTAAACGAACTTATAGGTAAATAATAAATGAAAAATGAAAAATATTTTACATTTTAAATGGTTGGACTTGAACATGTCCCTTTTCTGCATTTAACCATTTTAAATGCATTTAAAACACAGAGATGGTAATAAAAACATATTTATTTTTTTTACGTATTTTCATACACGTATGAAAAAAAAAAAATTAAACATCATTGTAAAATCTATACGTTCTAATAACATTTATAATAACTGCTTATTAAGTATTTAAAATATATAAATTTAAAAACAATAAATTATACAAATTATAAATTAAATTGTTAATTTTAATTTTATAGGTTTTAGCTATTTACCCGTATACAATATACCTATTGTTGACAAAGCAACACAACCAAGTACCAACTGAACTTCACTCAGAATCGTTTTTTCGTTTGCAATGGTTAATCGTTGCTTACAGATATACATTAAACTCCCCTCTGTCAGGTGGGTACACAAAAGGGAGAGGGGGTTAAGGGTTCAACCCCTTCCCCGAAATTTCATGAAAATTATGATGAAAATAGATTTTTGATATAGTCTCAAACGTGGTTTCTGACAATGAGGAAGATATATACAATTTTGGTATTATTTTAATTTTATTACTAGAAATAGTAGGTATATATTATTATTATTATTGTCAATTCTAATTTGTTATAGTTTTCCTGCTTTTAGAAAATTATAACTGATAAAGCGATATCGCGTAGTGAACATTATCAATAATATAAATTACGTTATTTTTTTTTTTTTACCTGTGGCGCAACTTTTCTACCAACAATTTTGTTCTGATTTACAATGGCAGCACTTTTTTGAAAGAAATCAGTGTGAGGAGGTATTTTACAGGAATCATTTTTCGATTTTCTTAAGAGTTTTCTCATCAAATATGAAAAAAACAGGAAAATGTACGAAATGTAGGTATTAGTTGAAACATATTACGGTATTTTTTTTCCTTGTGTTCAACTTTTCTACCAGCAATTTTGCTCCGATATACAATGTAGCTCTTTTTCAGAAAGAAAATTTGACTAAGAAGGTACTTTAAGCAGGTCCTCTTTTGATTTTCCCAGGAGTTTTCTCAACAAACATGAAAAACTGGGACAAAACGGAGGAAAACGGGAAAAACGTAGAAAAAACAAGAAAATCGATACAGCATTAAACAAATATTATTATAGAAACAATAATATAATGCCTATTTAATTATTTTACCATATATATTGTTGACAAAATATCATAAAAATTCTGGATTCATATTTATACACCTGATATTCGCGATAGAAAGCAAATACAGGAGCACTATAGTTATTTTTACTTGCCACTGTTTATGCTAATAATAACTAATAATCAATTTTACAATGCCAATTATTAATTTAATTTTTTATTTTATGAATAATTGGATTTATTTTATTCGATTTCATAATACCTATCTTATCAAATAGAAAAAAAAAAAATGTTTGCTTCGGTTGTTGAGCTAATTGACATTTTAAGTTTTATTGGTGACTTTAAGTAACCATTGATTGGGGTTACGTAAATAATGAAATGTAACCACATTGTTGAATTTGGATGTGTGGAAAATAATAACAAAATATTAAAAATCGCTGCTATGTGTTTTAACCCTTTGAGACATTGTGGTATTATAGTGAATCCACCTAAATTTGTTTTTTTTTTCATATGTAATATGAGTGCTAATTTTTAATATTTTCCAAGAAAAAAAATTGTCAAAACTAATGTGTGCCCCAAAGTGTTAAAATTAGTGATCTCAGTGGAAAACCTATGTTTCTATGCTCCTATGAAGTCTATGGAATTGTTAAAATCACACCCATTATATAAAAACTATATTAAAGTACCTATCTATGTTACTTCACATTAATTTAACAGTTGGTAGGTATTCTATATAATTTGAGCATTATTTCTAAATTATAATAATAACTTGTAAATTGTAAGAATCATATTTAATAAAATGTTTGCTGCACACATTAATATTATTTGTAGAAGAATTAGTAATATTCATTTTTTTAGCACGCTCCCATTTCTTTTTTAGGAAAAATGTGGAAAGACACATCCTTTTGTTATTGACTAATGAATGAAAATCAAATAATTGTTTTGAATATGTTTATATAGAGAATATTGTTTTACATTCTGGAACATGACAATATTTATGTTTTTTTGCAAGTTTTTGGTGTTGTGGCACAATAGGCATGACCCATAATTATGGGTTGGAGGCTTCCAAATGCGAAAGTGTAATCAGAATTAAAACACGATGTGTGGTTAATAAATTATGACAAATCGGGTAAATCAATTCCCAATATTTTGTGTTTCATATTTTCATCAATAATATTCAGTTTTCATGTCGGCCCCGTTACGTTTCATGCTACCACCAGATGTCAGCCACTTTGCTTTCTATCGCGAATAAGTATAACTTAACTTCGCTCAAAATCGTTTTTCGTTAACAATGGTTAATCGTTGCTTACAGGTGTATATTAAACTCCCGTTTATATCTTACCTTCTCAACCTATCACCTACAACAGTAATTGTACCCGTCCCCATTTTTTTAACAAATTTGAGCGCAGCGAATGTATTAGTTTTACCATGTGGATGTTTTCTTTTTTTAGGTTTTTTTGTAAACAACTTTTCGACCACAAATCTTACTTGAATTATAAAATAAAAAATTACCTTTTTTATTTTATTTTGGATTCAGTTGGTGCATTAAATGATAAAATTCACAATAAATGTGAAAAACTGAAAAAAAAAAACGGAGGAAAAACGGGAGAATGTAAGAAACGTAGGTATTGGTTAAAACATTACGGCCTTTTTTTTCCTGTGAACAACTTTTCTACCATCAATTTTGCTCCGATTTATAATAAAATCACTTATTCTGAAAGGAAATCTGAATGGGAAGATACTTTCAAAATATTATTTTTCGATTTTCTAATACTTTTCCCAGCAAATATGAAAAACCGGAAAAAACATGGGAAAACCGAGAAAAACGTAGGAATAAGGGGAAAATCAGTACAGTATTAAATAAATATTATTAAAGAAAATATATTATGATTTACTCTGTCAAAATCTTTACTGAATTCTGTATATATTGTATCAATTTGAAGGCCGTTTTCAATACAGGAAATTAAATTAGTATGTTAAGTGAGTAAATTTGTGATAACAGATTTTTAGGTCGAAACCCATGTTAGTTAGGTGAAATTTAATTAGACAATAATTTGAATAGTTTTTTAGTAATAATAGATTCAACGATTTTTTCCAATATATTGGAAAGGAGCCCGTTTACAAAGATAATTAATTAAATAATTTAAGCAGAGGTTTTGTAAAGACATTTTTGCATTTCTTTAAGATAATAGGCAGTACGCCATCAGGACCAACCCTACTATAAACGTAATGTGTATGTAAAGTGTAAAGCATCGTAAATTTCATCTATCATAAAGATAGATTTAAGTTAAAATTTATATTTAGTGTGCCATAATTTGTAATTATATTAGTATTTGAGGTCTGAGGTGAGTATACACTGGAAAAAATTGAGCAAATAATTCAGTGGACCCATCGAAACTGCTGGCAGTAATATTATTGTACGATATTTCAGGAATAAGAGATTTATTAGATTTAAGCTGTTTAATGTACTCGCTCATTTGATTATTTTATCTATATTAATAAAGACTATAACAATATTATACAATTATTATATGCGTACATACATTTATTGCACTAAAAGGTGCTTATGATAAATACAATTTTTTTTTTGTGGGGGGGAGTGGGGGTATATGGGGGTAATAGGTAAAATATAAAAACATTTCATCTTCCCCCCCCACAAACATCACTAAATTACACCACTGTTCATAACAAATACAATAATGATAATCCTCATGAAGCCTGCAAGCCGAAGCCAGCGTACAATATTTTTGTTGTATCGCCCCCAATGAGGGTTTTAACCTGTATGTACGCAGAGGGGTGAGTTCTTATGTTTTTGACATGCCCTCACTTTTTTTTATCCACTAACAGAGTTCCAACACACCCCGACTCGGTTAATAATCATAATCGTCGTTTATTTTTATTTTTCGTTTTGTGCCGCCATTCCATTATTATTTAATATTATATTTATACTCACCCGCCCATATTACCTACACATGAACGTAGGTATTATATTATTATATATTTTGTTTTATTCATTATGGCCGCCTCGTAAGCCTATTATACCTTTAAAAACTGTACAGTATCTCCTCACTTATGAATACCTACCTACTACTTTAATTTCTCCGTTATTTTTTGTTAATTAGTTCCATAATTTACCAATCAAATCAATATAAAACCTGCTACTACTGCTTTATATATTTATAAATTTAATCACTATCCCTATGGCCCTATATATTAAAAAATTGGTATTGGAAGTTAAAACAATTGCATTTTGTCATCTATGTCTGTTCTAGATTAAGCTATTAAACAAATAAATTAAAAATTAATGTACCTATAATTTAATGAGTTTACATATAGCGTGATTCAAAATGTATGTTACAACCATGGTACGTCTGCTATTAGGAGGTGTCCTATACTTTCGTCTAGTTTCCCACCTATAACAGTGGCACACTCGGTTTTATTACATTTTGTTCGCACATTTTTAAACGCATATTTGCACGTATATACTGGGTTTTATCATAAACCAGGAGGATTTTAAGTGAATTTGAGTTTTGTTTTTTTTTTTTTGTTATCATTGTAGAATAAGCTCTATTTTAAAACCATTTTAAATTTTTTACGCTTACTTCATAAACCTTAAGTAACTACATAGGTACTTTTGTTTTTCAAATAGGAACCTTCTTTTTGAACACAGATTTGAATAGAAAATATTTTTTTAGAGACATTTTGGTGAGCATAACACTAATATCAGATTTACCGTTTGAGAGTTATAACTTATAACCATGTTTAGACTGGAATTGAAGGGAAGGGTAAAAATTGTATATCTATTTTTGAATGATAAATTGATAACTTTTCCCCACTCCTCTAAACTTAAAACGGTTATTAATCGTAAACGGTAATTCTGATATTAGTGTTATGCACACCAAAGTCTCAAAAAAAATATTCTCTATTAAAATCTGTGTTCAAAAAGGGGGTTCCTATTTGAAAAGCAAAAGTATGTAGTTATTTAAGATACATGGAGTAGCCGAAAAAATTTAAAATAAAGCTTAACTGATTTCACAATGATTAAAAAAAATATAAATCAAATTCACTTATAATCCTCTAAAAAAATTGCTGGTTCGTGATAAAAATCACCCTGTACACACGGAATATTTTGAATTTTTTTTTCCTTATAACTTCTCCCCCCTAATGATTATACGTCGCCATTCTACTGATAATGATGAGGAGGGGTAGAACACGACGTGCTGATGTTTTCAGTATTTTTCCTGTACTTAAATAATAATAATAAAGACAGTTTCTTTTTTAAACCAAGTCCCCTCTTCGCTCACTGCAATCCTCGTAAACGTTACAATATAATAAAAGGTGGATTGCATATATATATATATAAAATATTATTTTATTATGTTGTAAAACGAGATTTCGAGAAAACGACGAATAGCCGATTATATTTGAGAGTTATTATTATTATCTCGATCTAATACATAATAGCCAGGGTGACAGCGTGTTATCAATCCTCAGCTCTGTCTTCCTCTCTTTCTTGAGTATCGTCCGCTGCAATAGTGCGTCCCCGGGTGCCAACGTATATATATATAATAATATAATAATAAAATAATATATAATACTTTAATCCGTGCACTTCTGTTTTTGTCATATTATTATTAAATATATATATCGTTCGGTGACGGTGGGATAGAAGGGGAGAGTGGAGAGAGGCGGTGGGAGGGAAGGTAAGGGCGAAGGAAAACGCAGTCGAGAATTTTCACCTCTATTATGTTTTCTCAACGGAGGAGGAGACGAGTTTTTTCCCCTTTCTATACTCCTACACACACACACACACACACACACACACACACACACACACATACTCCGTTCGTTTGTTTGTCAGTCGACTCGACGGTTTTTATTCGCCCCGCTATACATTATATACGTGTATACCTATTATCGGGTATTTTTCCGCCCATTTTTTCGCATTTCCATCATATATTTACGCCCGTGTTTTCCGTTATCCGAGTTTAATAATACATAATATAATAATACCTCATATTATTATATTACCCCGGTAGTACACTACACTGCACTTAAATAATATCACGGGGGTTTTTAGAATAATAATAAAAAAAAAAAACCACCGGTAATAGGTATACCGGATAAAAATAATTTATATATTATGAAGAGAAAAACGCATAATAGGTGTATATAATACCCTGTTATGGAAAGTGAGGAATACATAATATATTATATTATAATACCGACGCCATAATATAATTAATTTTTCCTTTATTCGATTTAATATTTTTTTTTTCGGTTGTTATTGCTCCGGGCTGTGACGTTATTTATTGCATTTAGATTATTTATAATATAGGTATTGAAGGAGAAAAAAATACCGCACAAAGCGTTCAAACAAATATAATATATACCTATAATAAATTGTATACGTAATATGGGAATGTTTATTTATTCGTTATGGCGTGTTTATTATTATTATTATTATTACATTTTATTATATTATTAAGTACGTAGTTACATATAGATAATATATAAATTTGTTTCTATATAATATGTACAAACGTTACTATAACCTAAATTTATGTATAGTGTATACAGTGTATATAAATATTCGTATGTTAGGTGTCATTATTGCGACTATTACAACACTTGCTGTTGCCTAGTTACTAGAGATCCGCCGCCGCCACCTCTGTTCAACAGCATTTGGTCCACTGCCACGTTAATTTTTTTCTGTTGTATATGTTTTTGTTGGAACGGATTCTGATGGTTTTTTATACCGTTCGGGTTTTTTTTGTCTTGTTGGCCGGCGGCCGGGGCCGTGTCTCCAGCCGGCGGCACATGCGGCATTTGCGGCGTCCCGGCCGAGGATGACATAGTATTACTATTGTTGTTATTGTTATGGTTATTGTTGTTGTTATTGTTGATAATGTTGTTGTTATTGGACACTGCAGACGTTGCCGTCGTGACGTCGCTCAAATCTGGATTCGGGTTATTTTTTGTCGGCAAAGTTTGTTCGCGGCATCCCGTCCCGGCGGCCAACAGCTCTCGTTCCTTCGTATTGCGCCATTTCATCCGGCGGTTTTGGAACCATATTTTCACCTATGGTCGTGAAACGAACAACAACAAAACCAACCGATCAAAATATATGTAGTTAGGTATAAATATAATAAAATATATTGGTATATAGCCATAGGCGTGCGCATGATTTTTTCGCGAAATATGCCATAAATAAAATGGGCTGTTACACTTTAAATAGGTAATACAAATCCCCCTCTCCTGAAATAATAAGTGAATGTAAAGTATAAATTCATTATAAAAATCATAATATTTATTTACTTCCTAAGTTTCACGAAAACGTTGTTATGCATCTCAACATATAAATAACCATAAAAAAAATTACCCGTTATTTTTTTATATTAAATTATTACATCACTAAAAATTTAAAAAAACTTAATATTATTATTTATTAATATTACAATAAACCTCGAACTCAAATAAGGCAATTGATAAGTAATATCAGTTTAGTGGTTGACAGTTGGTTTGATTGATTTACTTGGTTGATTGGTTACTTGATGAAAATATTGTTCATATCTCATGAGTTAAAATTTAATTAAATAAAAATCAGAATGAGTAAATTTAATTTTCAGCCTACGGACCACGAGATATGCCATGACACGTATTTGATGGGAGGTGATGGAAACAATCCCTTTCCCCCAAAGCCCGTATCATAGTTAACCTTTTGATAACCATTGCAAACGAAAAATGATTTTGAATAGAGTTTGGTGCAAATAAAGTAAAGGATAAAAGCAATAAAGTGGTGATGTATGGAGTAAATTAAAACATGTCTATTTAAAGTGAAGAAAATTGACTACTGCAGTTTTTTGAGGGGAAAAATATAAATAAAGATGATCATAAAGTTACACATACATCAAATATGAGTATTATCTTTTTTTTAAAGTCAAGAAAAAATCATACTTTTAAATTATCCTGGTAATTGTTGAGATAAACAAAATAAGTATTGATTATTCGAAACTATACATATAGAAATACAAATATGTGTTGCTATTAAAAAAAATCATTTGTGTAGTACCGTGTGCAAAATTCGTAAAAAAAATCCTAAGATGTGTATTTTGATGTACCTTCTATCTGTTACAGAAAACCAAATTTCAATCCACAAGGTTATCAGGCTGAGATATTTAGTAATATATATAAGATGGAACGGATCGTTATTTTGTTTGCACCCTTGTGGTACTAAGGACAACTCAAAAAAACAGAAAATTTTAAGAAAATTCAATTTTAAAATCAATGACGATGTCAGGATTTGTTATCTGGGTGGACCAAACTGGGGCCATTGATTTATAGAGAAGGCTAGTGGCGTAAAAAGAATCGTTTTACTTATTTTATGTATATATATATTAATCAATAATTATACACCTAGTATTCTATTGTAGCAGCACAAGTTCGAATATATATTATACTTGTACCATTAATGTAACCATTAGTTAATGGTGCGAATAGTATAGTGCTATATTTATCATTGGTACTTTAAGGCAATGTTGAATACCTAAAGTTAATATGCATTTAAAATAGCGCACCCTATAAATTTGTGGTGAGTTCAGTGAAAGTTGTCATTTCCTTGTATCACGGCCCTGGGTACGAATTTTTAACATTCAAAAGTAGGCAAGTACTTATCGCGGAAATATGATTTTTACATAGCGCCCACACACGAACTTGTTTAGTCGAGCCCATTATCTTTTCGAAGAAATAAACAATAATAATAATAATAATTATAGTAGTAAACGCGTAGACGTGTTAATTTTATTTATTTGATAATAAAAAAAAATGATTTATTTATTTTTTTGCTAAATATAAATGTCACTGTAAAATGTAAATGTTTATATACCGATCCATACAATCTAAAATATAAGATTACTACTTGCAATATAATACAAATAGTAAGATTTGAGTAAGACAACATATTTTTCGTGTTTTATATGTATAGAAGATAAGTTTTTTTTAAGTCATTTAGATTCGATAGGTGCTCTATGAATACAATTGTTGGACCAATTAGAAATAAATAAATTAAACAGGAGGTTCATTATAAGTTGTCCTTTGTGGTCAACAAGAAAAAATTAAGTTTTATATAGTATTCTTTTTTATACGAATTTTAATGTAAAATGTTTACGAAAATCGTAAATATTACAGGCTACGGTCTTTGAAAATATATATAACCGAACTCCAATCAGTTTTGTTTTTTGTTAGCAACGATTAATCATTGAATACAGATATACATTAAATTTCGTTGTATATTCTATCCTCCAAAGTTCTCACCTACAACAGTGGCCCAACCTTTGTGTGAAATGTGTCAGTTTTTTAATCATATAAATAATAAACTACTATTATTTGCAATACTAATAATACAATTCGTATGCATATGTATAGTGTATACATAAATCGAAATCTGTTTGTATTCATAGGTGCAATTAGAGTAAAACATTTAGGAGGTTCCTGCATTTCTCCCATGATTTTTTTATCGGTGTCCCTCAGAAGCTTTCCTTTCCTTTTAATTTCTTCTATTTAAAAATGTGTTTGTTGGAAAGAATATAAAACTCATAAAAAACATAAATAATATGTATACACATATAATATGTATAATTGTTTACGTTCTACCTATAACTTTATTTTGATTTTTTGTTTAGTGAATGTATCTATTAAAAATAATTTCAGTATCAAAAACAATAATAGTGTCTCCCTTAATATTAAGTATTATGTAAGTATTGCCAATTTTTAAATTCTAAATTCATTTTAAATCATTAAGGATGATAAGCCTATACATACTCGAATGACCGTATTACAAATACAGTTAAACGAAAATTATGTCTTTTGTAATTTTTCAGTAGTTATAGCATAGTTTTTTGTATAAATAAATATATTTTTGAAATTAAAGTTTAATTTTAAATACATTTCTCGATTTACAAATCAGCATGATTTTTGGGAGATTTTAGTCCCCCGGCCCCCCTCTGATTGCTCCTATGTTTGTATTTAAAAAAAATTGTTTACAACATTATGACGTGATAAACACATTCAGATCGTAAAGGAAATGATAACAAATAATTTGTTATGGTGCGATTTTGAAAAAATAATTAAAGCAAATGCTTTTATTATTATATAGTGATGATTGAAAATACCGATCTATAATTTGTATTCAAGTTACTCACGGTCATGCACATTATTAATATTACGTTTTATTGGTTAAAATGTTTTTTTTAAAATTTTAAATTACCTGTGAATCTTTCAACGATAGCTTATCGGCCAATCGTTTTCTATCTGGCTTGCTAATGTACTTTTGCACCTGAAACCGACGTTCCAAACCTTTTCGTTGTGCATCAGAGAACACGGCCCGCCGCATCATACCCCTTCGCGGTTTCCCTCTGTTATTTCCGCCGACAACTACACCATTCATCACGTTTAATGTGTTGTTGTTGTTACTCATTAGTAGCATGGTTGCCGCAGACGGGTGATGTAAAGGCGTAATTCTATGATGATGTGAAGTACCGGTTAAAGACCCCGCTCCATTCGCGCTAGACCCCGTGCCATAAGGCCACGCGCTGGAAGACGAAAAAGGTACTGGAGGAGCTGTAGCTATTGAGGATGAAGTTCCGTTAGAATTAGACACTCCACCGGTTCCATTTGATCGAGATTGCATCATGAGAATTTCATGATGTGGGTGAGGATGTGAATGACTTTGACCTATATGCCGATAGTTGTACTGAGGATGTACTATTGGGAACCTGCTTGCTCCAGTGCCATTCAGTCGAACGGAGCCTTAAGTATTCGTAAAAAAAATAAAAATAAAAATAAATTAGTAAAATATCTCACTATGTGATATAAATTGTTAACATAAGCACATCATAACTCATATGTAATAAAAGAATATGAAGTATACTGGCACTATCCCAATTTATTTTCCAAAAGATACATTAATTGTGTGAATTTGATATGCTTATTTTCGTTTTTGATTTTCCCTGTAATTTAATTAATAATTAAACAAAACCGGAAAAAAAAGTAGAATAAATTTACAGAAAAAATTTTATTATTTTTAATTTTGTTTTTTTGTTTTTTTTTGTAATTCAGTTTAAAATATTCATAGAGACTTGAAATTTTAACAGAAAACTGATATTTACTTTTTCTAGACGTGGTAACATTTTCAAAACATTTAAACCATTTTTAAGGTATCAATAGACATTTTAATTTTGTTAGTTGTTTACGTAATTTTTATTTGGTAGATACTCTGTGAATATAATTGTTAGGCTAAATAGAAATGATTGAAAATTTAACAGAAAGTTTATTTTGTCGTACAATGTCATACAAAAAACATTGTGTAATGTAGTATTTTTTTTTTTTATCAAATTTTAATGAAAATGGTAAATATTACGGCCTTTCACAACATGTATAATCGAACTTCACTTTGAATCATTCTTCGTTAACAATAGGTTATCGTTTCTTATACAGATATAAATTAAATCAATTTATGTACCCTACCTTCCCCATCTTTACAACCTACAACAGTGACATACCCGTCCCCAGTATGTCAACTCATATGTTTTTTATTTGCTATGCAAAAATAATATTTACAATTTTAGTTTTCATACATTGAATGTTCATGATATAGGTTTTTTCAATTAGGCACGCAAGTGTAGTGCAGCAAAGAAGCTTATGGTTTTACAATGATTTTTACTTTTTTGTTTTATCTGTTTGCAACTTTTATACCAAAAATATTGCTCCAATTTTTAACTACAGCAATTTTTCTAAAATGAAATCGGACTGATTTTTTCGGAAATATCTTAGGGAGGTCATTATTCTCAACAAATGTGAAAAACATGGGACAACCGAGAAAAACATAGAAAAAACGGTAAAATCGGTATAATATTAAACAAATATTATTAAATAAAACATATAATGCCTATTTAATTATTATTTTACTATAATATGACATACATATTGTTAAAAAATCATCACTATCAACTGAACTCCGATCAGAATCGTTTTTTCGTTAGCAATTGTTTATCGTTGCTTACAGATATACATTAAATTGCCTTTTGTAACCTATCAATGGCTTAGTTGCCGTGGGTTATTTATTGTAAATTATAATAAACAAATAACAATAATAATGCTACCTAACAATATTGGTATTCGAAAATGTAATACCTATTTAATGAAAATTTGAAATTTATATAAGTTGTTATGTTCAATAGTCAATAATAATAAATTAAGCCTTCGCTTAAACTACATTTGTATCAGTTGAATATATGTAGCTATAGTTGGCTTCAGAACATCGCACAGTGCATAAGAATATCAGACACATAAATGTATTGTACTCGGCGATCTGTGGGTCGTCTAGTTTCGAGTAGTGTTGACCCTCTCGGCCCTTTGGCCGAGAGGTTAGTAAACGTTAATTTTACTGAAGGTTTTGGTAATCTGTTTGGCGTTTAGTACCGCATATGGATAGCCCCGGGCGTATACGCCCAGTGATGTCTATACCTAATAGTTATGGTTTTTATTAAAAATATTTCAGTCGTTTAGTCCGTTTAGGTACCTATATTATAATATTATGATAAATAGCTCCTGGGGCCGCACCGGTAAATTTCCCGAATTATTATTATTATTGTTTGTAATCTGAGAAGACGTTCGAGTATAAATAAATAAATACTAATATAAGCGACCGCAGCTGTTACCTTCTCTCGTCTTATTATGATTATTATTATACTGCACGTTACGTCAACGCCACATTGCGAAAAGCGAGGCGACAATATTCGCGCCGCTATATAGTACAGCAGCACGTGTTGCAATAATAATAATAATAACTATAATAATAACAATAATAATAATAATAATAATAATAATTTTTATCCTTAAAATAACTCGACCGTAATACGCGTTTTAGTCACGGGCCTATAACATTATGTTACATGATATATTGTTATTATTTAATGCTCGACAGTATGTTGCACTGCGGCCATCGTCCGCGCATTATGTTATTATGTCTAGTAGACGATTTTATTTATTTTTCTAATTATTTAATATCGTTATTATTTTTATTATATATATATATAGTGAATTTAGGGGACGGAAAAAATATAATAATAATAATAAAAAAATAAAAAACAGAAATGCAATCCGGTGCAACAGACGCTAATAACGACAACAACACTAATCGGCGCGAGCGGTATGAGCGAGTGTGTGTGTCTGTGTGTGTGTGCAACTGACTTCAATAGTAAGAAGAATACGCGGCTGCGGCGGTGGTGCGGAAGGGTCCCTTTTTTGCGGCCGGATTGGATTATTAAATATATTATAATAAGTGAGTGGAAAAGAGAGCCGGGAACAAGGGTAGCGCCGCTGCAGATGGGGATGGTGTGTAGCGCGTGCGTTTGACAGGTTCGGCCGAGGGGGTTGGCGGCGAATGAGTATGCCTTCGGCGGCGGCGCGACGCGCGGAGAGGTGTAATAGAACAACGGAGCGGACCGAGTGACGATAGGAAAAGAGGGACGGGAATCGCCGTGCAGCATTCGATTACACTGCGCCCCGTGCGGCCGTACGGGCGGGGTTCACAAGTCGGTTATTTCTCTTGTTCACGCGTTCTTTTCCTTATGCATTTCCATTCTTCTTAAATAAATTCGTCTCGATTTATTAATCTCTTATAACAATAAAATAATAATATAAATAATACTACAAAAGTTGACGTTTTAATTTTATCGATTATTATTTATTAGCACTCCGGTATAATACTTATTGAATCTGAATATTACATTGTTCGATAATAAAGATCCGAATATCGCCCGATAAGATATTATTATTATTATTATTTTATGTATAATGCGATTTTAGTTTTGACATAAAATCTCAACGAAAATAGCAAATGTTTTTGCATAATAACCATTTGCTGGATAGCCAGCAAAAACTGGAGCAAGTAAACTGTTATTAAAAAAAACAACATTAAACATCGAAAAATGACTTCGCCAATGTCCCCATTAATAAAAAATGCTACAAAAAAGTTCTTTTAAAGTTGTTTTTTGAAACAAGATTTCTGGTAGAAAAGTTGTTTACAGAAACAAACAAAAACAACTTAAGTTTTTTTTTGGCTAGCCAAAGATACATAAATATATAAATTATAAATAATATTATTTTTCTCCAAAGATAGGTATATTGTTTGTCAAAGAAAAAATTATTTTTTGTAACTCGTTCATACAATTCAATTGAAAAAAAAAAAACTAAAAAGTCGAAAATTCTAAATAGCTACAAAAATACTCGAACAATATCAATATGTTACAAATTGTACAGCGTTTAAAATTATATATATATAATATAATATATATATAAATATCTAGTGGAAGTTTCATTTCTCTATGATTGATTTTTACTGAATTATAAAAAATAAAAAGCTACAAATGGGGACGGGTGCAGCCACTATTTTAGGTGAATAGTTAAGAAGGTAGGATACATAAAGTTATTTATTATACCTGTAATCAACGATAAACCATTGCCAACGAAAAACGATTCGAAGTGAAGTTTGGTTATATATGTTTTGAAAGGCGGTAATAGGCTTATAATGAACTTCCTGTCATATTTACAAGCATTTTTGTTTAATATAACAATTTTATACATATAGTACCTACCGAATAAAAGTTACGTATAAAATGCCATAATTTTTGTCAAATTTTGAAATTTAAAAGCGTAAAAAAAACTACTTTGGTTCGCTAAACATTATTTTAGATGATGAAACTCAAGTAAAAGCTCCTAAAACTGAAATAAAACCTATCCTAATCATAGATAATGTTAAATGTCTATCAATAACTCAAAAATCTTACCACGATTAGAAAAAGCTAATATAAGTGTTCTTTGAAAACTTTACATTTGTATGCGATTAATTGACACCTAATTACAAAAAAAAAAAAAAATCAAAAATAATGAAATAGTTATTTCCGTGTTTCCTATCTTTTTCCCCCGGTTTTTCCCAAACATCATGAAAACTAAAATAATTTTGAACAAATACCTTGAAATGCATCAAATGCAATTAGATCAAAAATTTAAAAAACATATTTCTATCGTTTTTTGATTGGAGCAAGATTTTTGATAAAAGTTGTTCACAAACACACATAAAAAAAATCCGCACATACGAGTATTATAGTAAAATCAATAAATTCCTCACTTCTTACAACATCTCAAACAAAATCGAAATGAACAGAAACTATTATTGTGTAAATATTTTAGTTTTTCCGTAGTTATTTACATTACTAAGGCTTGGAAATTGTGACTATTAGAAAGCATAAAAAAAACTCAAAAATACCAAAAATGAACTTAAAAATATTTAAAATTCTCAAAATAATAGAGGAGTTTTAAAGTTTCTTCTCTAGCGGTTCTAACGTTTTAAATACTATTATCTCACATTAAAATGCTTACTTAAAAAATGTCCTGTTGTTTTTCGATTGGAAAAATATTACTAGTAGAAAACATAAATATTTAAATAATGAAATCGTTTGCCAAAAATATTCATTCGTTTTCATTTTTCGCCTTTTTTCGGTATTCCTCAATTATTATGAAAGCTGCTGGAAAATTAAAACAAGACTTACTTCTTCAGCAACTAGATGTAAAATTTAATAAAAATAGTCTCTTGGCATTTTCTGATTAAAGCCATATTTCTAGTAGCAAACATAGCGCACACAAATTAAAATCCCGTGGTATGCCACAAATATTACTTTTTTTTCCGAAAAAATATTTTCCAGTTTTCCTATGCTCACAAATACAAAACACGTTTTAGTAAAATCAATAGATTCTTTAGTACGCTAAAAGTACACTTGACACATTATTTATTACAAACCAAAATCGTTCAGAATCTAAAATATTAATTTGAACGTCTTTAATTCGTTTATTGTCTTTTTTATAAAGACAGAAAAATTAATTGTGTTCCAAAATCTAAAACAAAAGTTCTATCAGTTTGTATTATATCACCTGCAGTACCGGAAAGTATTGATATTTGTCAGTGATGCTGCACCATACAAGTTCGAAATTGTTGAATGAATCAATAACTATTATTTGCTAAACAATTTTTAATTTCACCTTTAGTATAAGAATTTTACTGCAGACTATTACGAAAATGATACGTTTAAAATAAAATAAAAGTTTTCATAAAGCCCTCTCTAAAAATCTAATTTTCAATTTTTACCAAATTTAATTTTAAAACTTTAAAAATATAAAGAATTCCCGAATTAATGACATTTTTTAACTGTCGAAGAAGCACAACAATCAGGCTCACAGTTTAAAATTAATCAAATAAAATGAGAAAAAGTTTAAAAATTCAATTTATTAGATCTGACCGAAGTTGTTTTTATAAAAAAAAAAAATCAATATGTTACCAAACACTAAATAAAAAATATAACAGTGTTAGATAACCGGCAGGTAAATTGAGTACAAATGATGATCAAATATGATTTTAAAAACCTTTAGGTCAGGTTTCACTATACTGATGTTAGCTGTTTATGTAAACGTTTTCATTATTTAAATGAAAACGGACATACTTAGTTTATGGGTACAGCCACTGTTGTAAGTGGAAAGCTGAGGAGATAGGATATAGAGGAAAATTTAATGTATATCAGTAAGCAACGATAAACCATTGCTAATCAAAAAACAATTCTGAGCGGAGTTCAGTTGATAGTGATGCTTTTTTAACAATATATATGTTATAGGATGGTAAAATAATTAAATAGGCATTATATATTTTCATTAATAATATTTGTTTAATATTGTACTGATTTTCCCGTTTTTCCTACGTTTTTCCCGGTTTTCCCGATTTTTTACATTCGCTGGGAAAACTTTTGCGAAAATCGAAAAATGACCTCCTAAAGTACCATGTAAATATAATTTTCTTTCAGAAAATAAGCTACACTTGTTACATCGGAGCAAGATTTCTGGTAGAAAAGTTAGCATAACAAATCAAGGGGTATTTTGCGATTAAAATAGTCCGAGCGAGCGATTACTTGGGACTCTAGGTACATCCAAAATGCATTGGTTTTTTCCTTATTTTAGTAAAAGGGAGAAAAAAATGTAAAGAGCTGTTTTGAAACTTGGGTTTGAACTTACGATCTCTAGGATGTCAATAGGAATGTGTTACCATTAGACTACGACAAACATATTTAAGTTTGACAATATATAGTTATTTAACAGTTTTTTAACCTCACAGTAAGGCCTAATGAACTTTTTTGAAATTCTCAAACATTTCTGTAAACTCTAACAATTTTACAACAGAATACCGATCGAATAAAAATTACGTACAAAACTCGCAAAATTTAAATGTCTATAAATTGCTCAAAAAATGGCATAAATTATTTGAAAACTTTACCACGTCTAAGCAAGTATACATTTTTGTCCAAATTTTAAGTTCATAAAGTCGGTACGAATATTTTAACTGAATTTCTTCAAAAATATTAAAAATTTTATAAAAAGCTTAAAAATAGCTTAAATATTTTAAAAATTTTACCATATCTAGAAAAGGCAAACATAAGTTTTCTGTCCAAATTTCAAGTCTTAACGAATATTTTTTACTGACTTACAATAAATAACACAATTGAAATAATAATAAATATATTATTTTCGTAAACTTCCCATTTTCTTACGTTTTATTCTGGTTTTTCCCATATATTATGAAAACCACTTGGAAAATTAAAAAAATCACCTCCTAAAAGTACCAAATGGACAATATTTCCTTTCAGAAATGGTGCCGAGTGTACATATTGGAGTAAGATTCTTGGTAGATTTTTGTACACAGTATAAAAAAATAAATAAAAAGGAAAAAAAAATAAACATCTTTGTAAAACTAATACACTCTTTGAGACATTCGCTATGACTTCTAATGATACGATTTATGAAACCAATAATAATTTCGATCGAAATCACCACGAAATTAATTTATTTGAATAAATCAGGTGAAAGTTGTGAGATCTTGTTACATATCCAGAACGATCTTCACCTCCTGATCGCCGCGCATTAGTTTTTGTAAATAATCCTCAAATAATAGTACCTATAGGTACCTACTTTTAATATAAAACGCCCGGATCAACGATTAAAATGCAATGTAATAAAATATTATAATAATATGGTTATGAATTGTTAGTTGGTGCATACCGCACCAACTGCTGCTGCGTGTGCTGCCAATGACATTTCAGCCGAACGGAGGTCGGAGGCACGTGTCGGCCAGTGCGCTATAGACGCAACGAGTACGAGTATGTTTACGACGTATACGCGAATGCGTTTAACGATCTATTTTAACGCACGGTATCATTCGTCAAAAACATATTCTCGCGTGATCATATATTGCAAGTCTGTTTCTGATTTAGGGGCCTTATAAACTTTACGGTAATAAGTGTAATCAAATTTATAGCGTATAGAAAATTGTAATTACAACAAGAGGGTATTGCAATAATATACGCAACGCGATAACGGTTTCTTTTTTCCCCGGACTAATAATATAATATTAACAAAAATACGCGGTTATTAGATATATGGACTTTATAGAAAAAACAGTATCTACTTAGTTTTTTCGGACCAAAATAGGCCGACCCGACTGGAGTTATTGATAGTTTAGGTAATGTATATATAACTCAAGGTGCTACACATAACGCACTATCACAGTACTCAATCGTGTTTTACAGGATAGCATAGGATTCTATACTATATAGGAAGGTATATGGATGATCATCGTGTGAAAATGAGTTCGCAAAATTACATTGACGATACCTTGAAATGGGATTAAGTATAAACATGTGTGCAAACGAACGGAATGATTTTGGAATTTTGAAGTTGAGGGTCGGGAACATCCCCCAAGCCGACTATAAACAACAATTATTATTTTATAATTAATTGTTCACCAGATTTTTTTTTTTTAAATCCGAGCGCATTATACCATTTGAGAGAAAATTTCTTCCGGGTCACTGGCTAATAATATGTATATTATAAAGTTTATTAACAAACTAACAGAAAACAACAAACTTTGGCTAACGTTATTAATACCTATTACTACTATATTAATACTAACTAAAACTGCTATAATATACTAAACGATTAACGGTGAAGATTACAAATTACTTTAAACAAAATTGAAGCAATTAATCATTTCATGGTCTGGCGTTGTTTTTGGTAACAACGCCAATTTTATATGAGCAGATGAATATAATATTACGTATAATTAATCTCTATATTATAAGGAAAATATTAAAAACTCAAAAACCAAACGAATGGGACAGCGATTAATTTAATTAACAGTACGGAAAGAATATCTGGAAAATTAGGTGTTTATATAGTCACAATAATATGATTGTAAAAACTATAGAAAAGTTGCATTGATTGAAATTTCGAGCCTAACGGATGGAGAATGACCAATAGAGTCAAATATATGTCATATATTTGGTTCAAAATTAGATCAAGATGTATAACCACTCGAACGATAAATGTTGCAGATGTAGCGATCCTATGTTAAGGGGATTGGAAGCGACGAATTTCTGTCTTTGTCTTACATACGTGAGATATAGGGATTTAGACGTTTTTTATTTCCAACGTACCCATTTATCTAGTGAAGCGATAAGAATTCTGAAAGCAAATTTGAATTTGCCGTGAAGTCTACTTGAGATCGACTTTCTTATTTTTTTGATTTTTGAATTAAATTTCTCAAAAAATTAAAATATTCCAATTTTTCAATTACTCTTTTATTAGTATATATTTTTTTAGAATTTAAGTAGATAGATTTAATAAATAGTAAATTTGATTTCAAGTACACTTCACGTAAATTCAAATCTACTTGCAGAATTCTTATCGCTTCACTAGATAAATCGGAACGTTGGAAATAAAAAATATCTAAATCCCTATATCTCACGTGTGAAGGATAAAGACAGAAAATTGTCACTTCCTAATTAAAAATAAACCAAACTAAAAATTAATTACCGGTCGGTGTAGAGGAAGACGACATGGCTGGGTTTCCCAACGTGGGTGAAATGCACATACCGCCGCTACAATTGTCGTTGACGCTGTTCGTTAATCCGTCGCCCCCGCTGGCAGGTATATTGGACGCAGAGTTTACCGCAGCCGCGGCAGCCGTAGCCAACGCCAGTAATGTCGAATTATGAAGATTCCCGTTGGGCCCACTCGTGTTTCCCGCGTTTGTTAGCCGACGTGCAATGGGCTTGGCAATGGTGCGCAATGTTTGTTGCTGAGAACACGTCGTCGGTGTCCTGGTCGTGTCCGTCAAAAAGGTAGACGTAGACGGCGTGATAGAAGTACTCGACGGTAGACAAAACATTGGGCCTAAACATATTACGATTGGAAAATATACATATTATGTTTTTGTATAATAGGTATATTATAAGAATTGTGACATAAATTTAATATTTTATTGGTTATTTGGTTATAATTTTCTGATTTAACTTACATGCACCTTGGCCAAGCCGATCCGCCAGCCGAACCGAGTGAATACTTAAAGGTAATACTTAAAGAACACTTAAAGGTTACATTAAAATAACTCAAGGAAAAAGAATGTTCAAATTTAATTTCGTATAAATTTAAAAACCGTCCGTATCCTGGTTATAAGTATTTATTGTTATACCTATCATGAAATTTGTTTAAAAAAATGTTTACGTAAGCCGGAAAAATGTATCTTTTAAAGAGATTTTATAATTTTCAATCATTATGATAATTAAAGACAACGAAATTTTCTAGGGATCGATGATATATTGATTTTAAATTTACTTGAATGAGACGTTAGATATTTAAGATTAAAAGTGGCTTTTATACAACTAAAAAAAAAAACTCGTAACTTTTTTAGGTATGACATTTTTTTAATTTTCATCATAAACTGTTTTCCACTAAATAATATTAATTTTGAAATAAAACGATTTTTTTAACATGAAGTTTTGTATTAAAACTGTTTAAAGCCATTCATACTAATATTCTGGTTTTTAATAGAACAGTTGTTAAGTTGAAAGGAAATATTAATAAATTACAGTTTTAACCGTTATTGTAAACGATCAAGTAATTGTAATTATTCTATGAATAAATATCCACGTTTTGTATAAAAGATGAATAAATTCATATAAAATAGTGTGTTTAAGAACGTTTAAATCGATTAAAATTCGAAACAACGTTACTACAAATTATTATGTCTTGACGATTGATGGCAAAAGTGAGTAGTTATATAATAAATGAATGTTTATTATTATAATTATGTTAAACTAAACTAGTTATAGTTTTATTAAATTTATATAGCAAAACTGTATGTATTTAAGAATAAGTAGCAAAAAGCGAAAATTTCTGTAAATAATTATAGGTAATATAATGATTGTCATACAATGCAGTAGGATGTAATCGTACTCTCTAATTGATTATAATTATTACGATTAATTGACTGTACACTTCTTTTCTCTGAAATTAAAAAACGTATTAAAAATCACGGATTTAATGAAAATAAAAAGTTGATACGTCAAAATTTTCAGAAGATAAATTCTATAAAATAGCTATCTTTACATTTTTCAAAAATAATAAAATAAAGTTATTTTTTAAGTTTTTTATAAAGCATAAAACATTAATTGCAATATAAATATTTTCAATCCTAATCCCCGTGAGTCATGTAAAAAAAAAAAAAAACAAAATTTGAATATCTTTATTATCTCTGGAGATATTAATTGGGTATGTATATCTTCGTCGGACACTTTGTATAATAATAATATTATCATTATCAGCATTTCGTTTGTTTTTAACCGTCGAACAGTGGCGCCGAACCCGGGGTATCGATTTTTGGGGTGGTGGTGAATGGTGGTGGTGGTAGTAGCTACTTTAGTGGTTGCAGAATATATTATGCAATATTTTTTATGATTATATTATTGTTTCATAACGTAATGACTAATACTAAATTAATTCAGTTAGATTTTTTAGAATATAAGAAACTGTTAAGAAGGAACCTCTCTAATTCACATACTTAATAGAATTTAGTTTTAGTAAATGTGATATACTCTATACATCATGGAGCAAGATTTGTTTTCGATAAGTTGTTTACAGACATAAAAAAAACACACACACATCATAGTAAAACCAATAAATCCCTCGATACACTCTATATTTAAAATTAGTATACTAAATTGTTGAATTATTTGATTCTGAGTATAGCGAAGAATGTATTGGTTTTATAAAGATGTTTCTTTTAGATTTTGAGTGGAGTGAAGAACCTTATGCTTTACAAAGTTGTTTTTTTTTTTTTATCTGTCGACATCTTTTTCACCAGAGATCTTGCTTCTGTTTTAAGTGTAGCACCTTTTCTGAAAGGAAATCAGTGTGGTGAGGTACTATAGGGAGGTCATTTTTAGATTTTCCAAGAGTTTTATCATCATATGTGAGAAAACGAAAAAAAAGGAGGAAAAATGTGAAAATGTACGAAATATATTAGTAAAAACCTAACTTAAACGTAAAATGTAACTTTAAGTTTCAGTAGAATTCTCTTGTTATACAAAACACCTGAACTTTTATATTTTGAGTAGAGCAAAGAAGCTTATAGTTTTACAAAGAAGTTTATTTTTTTTCTGTGAACAACTTTTCTACCAGCAATTTTGCTCCAATTTACAATATTAACATCTAAAAGGAAATCTGACTAGAAAGGTACTTTAGAGAGGTAATTTTTTATTTTTCCATAAGTTTTTTTGACAAATGGAAAAAATTGGGATAAAATGGAGGAAAATGGGAAAATGTAAGAAATATATAATCTATTCCACGAGAGATCGGGCTGCTCGCCGACCTAAGCCGGTCACTGCCACGCATCTCTACGCCGTAACCTTGCCCGTTGATCACCCGCTTGTCGACGCTCGAAATCAGTTTTAATATTATACATGCATTGAAGTGGTGATAATGGGGACGGGTGCAGCTACTGGTGTAGGTGTGATGTTGGGAAGGTAGGATACAGATGGGAATTTAATGTATATCAGTATTTATTATTATTGTATGATCAATAATAAACCATTGCTTACGAAATAACTATTCTGAGCGGAGTTCAGTTGATAGTTATGCTTTGTCAATAATGTATATGCCATACTGAAGTAAAATAATTAAATAGGTTTAATATATTTTCTTTGACAATATTTGTTTAATATTATACTGGTTTTCCCAGTTTGCCTACGTTTTCGCGGTTTTCCATGTTTTATCCTGGTGTTTTACATTTTCTGGGAAAACTGTTCAGAAAAAATCTAAAATTGATATTAAAACTGAAATTTCCTTTTAAAAAATATTGTTCATTAAAATTTGGAGCAAAATTGCTGGTAGAAAAGTCCGCAGAAAAAAAAATAAAAATAGATTTCTAGTAGAAATATTGAAAAAAAAATATATATATCTTTGTAAAACCATTAACTTCTTTGCTCCACTTAGAATTTAAAATATGACGGACTTCTTTTTTTTGTATACAACTTTTCTACTAGCTAAATTTTGTTCCAATTTATAATGATAGCGCTTTTTTCAGTTTTTCAGTTTTCACCGCTGGGAAAAACAGAAAAACCAGGATAAAACTTAAGAAAAACGAAAAATGTATAAAAATAATGCTTTTATTATTTGCTATAATTCAGTTAAACATATTCGTAGAGACTTGAAATTTGGACAGAAAACTTACTTTTTATAGACGTGGTCAAATTTTCAAAAAAATGTAATCATTTAATTTTTATTGGATAAATAATCCGTAAGATAATAAGACTTAATTTCTAGTAAAAAAAAAAAATTGAACTTTATGTATTATATTTTTTATAACGCAATTTTAGAATCAAATTTTGACAAAAATCATTATTTAAGTGTATAAAATCTAATTTTTCAATCTTTTGTTTTGAACATAAATTATGTATATAGCCGATTTAAGAACGACGGTGAAGTCAAAATTGAGTGTACTGACTTAGTTTCGAAATTATATAGTTTTATATATAGCTTTTTAAAGATCTGATACTATACGAATATTATATGTTATGTTAAATAACTATCTATATTGTCAATTTTAAATTATGTCTGTTGTTGTCACTAGTCTGGTGATGCTACCTTCTTATTGCCATCTTAGAGGTCGCGAGTTCAAACCGAAAAAATGCGTATATTTGTTTTTGTCCTTGTTTAGGTTAAAGGGAAAAAATAAAGGCATTTTAGGTGTAACTAGAGACCAAGCCATCGTTCGATTGAACTATTTTAATCAAAAAATACCCCTTAACTTGTTATGTAAAGTTTTCTACTAGAAATCTTACTCCGATGTATCAAATGTAGCATCTTTTCTGAAAGGAAATTTTATCTACATTGTACTTTAAGAAGGTCATTTTTTGACTTTCTCAGGAGTTTTCCCAATAATTGAGAAGAAACTAACGAAAAATGGAAAATAAACGAAATGTAGGTATTAGCTAAATATTAGGAAGAAAATATATAATGCCTATTTAATTATTTTACCATAATATGACATATATATTGTTGACAAAACATCACTATCAACTGAACTCCATTCAGAATCGTTTAAATACATTAAATTACCTATAACAGTGGCTACTCCCGTCCCCATTATCCTAGGACAGCTTTTTTTAAATTTAAAATTACAATTAATGTTCCATTTGTAGAATAAAATTTTAAACATAATTTTTCATCTCTCATAATCTACATAATTTATAAAGAATTTTCACATTACTTACCTATATTAATGGAAACGAAATCACAAACCATCTTTTATCACTAATTGGATAGCGAAACTAAAAATTAAAAATATTTTGCCCCCATCCATTAGTAAATTCATGCATATAATTTCGGTTTCTATTAATAACAAATATAATTCACACATTTTTCTAACATAGACTGTAGACTGCATGCCGTTTAACCAACCTATAGATTTAGTCTTGGTATTGTAGTACTTATTGTTAATTTTGTTTATACTAAACTGAATACCTACTAATAACAGAGCACGGGTTTTAACAGTTGCAGCGTCAAAATTAAAATGGAATTTAATAAAAACTTATTTTATAAACTAATTAATACTATTATATAGGATATACGTCGTGTGTTGAATTTCACTTGAAATGTTGATAGAATTGAAACGGAAATACGATGTAACACGGACATACACACACCACACGAATATTATAATGATAATAAACTTCAATAATATTTTAATTTCTCATTTATCTGAACAATTTTTTTTATTATTAGAACGACAGACAGCCACCACGCAGGCATAATAAGCTTCCCCTTGTACTCATTATCTATGACAATGTACTCTCCGACTCCCGCCAACAGTGGCGAATGGGTTTTTTCACGCCACGCTGATGTGTGCCTATCAGTACATATTAAATCAATGCTATAACGGTTAAAAATAAAATAACATATTATTATTATACAGCCAATATTTAAAATCATAAGTAATGTCAAAAAAAAATGTATTTTAAAATATTTTTTTGTACTTATGACATATTTTAAATTCCATTTTCAATTTGATCAGAGTTTATGAAACCTTAAAAAAATATGCCCTGGAAAATTTTACACCAGCGGATAAATCCCCACTTTCCCCACCCTTAGATCTGGCCCTGCTTCTGAAAGTCTAGTTATACTATCAATTTCTAAGTCTACGCACCAGGGGTAGACTATGTGTAACGAGGCTTTAAATAATGTAAGGTAGTATAATCCTTTAAAACTAAGCCCCCGGTGAAATTATTACATTTGAAGCCGGTAATTCAGTTAGCAAATATATAATATATATAGTATAGTAAAGGGACGCAGTTATATTATAGTATATTATTATTATTATTGTTATTATGGTGATAGTGGGCGGAACCGCTTTCTATTATTTTCTCTTCCTTTTCTTGCATTTTTTTTAACTATACCATTCCTTTCATCTTATACCCGAAAACTGGTAGAAAGGTTTTATGGTAAATTTATAGAACTAGCCATTTAGTGCTGTCATTTACAAACTTTTGTTTGCATATTTATTTATTTTTATATACCTATACAACCGATTTATGCAGAATATAGTTAAATATCTTATTGTAACAACCAACAATAATAATATTTATTCAATAAAAATATTGCTATTACGAGTATTATAATAATTGTAAATTTTTAATAATCATTTAATATATGCATTTGGGTTTAAAATGTTTATACTACAAAGTTTTTACGAAATAAAATAACCAACTATATATCCAGTGTTGGACAGGTTCCTTTTAAAAAGGAATTCGTTCCCATTCCTCGTTCCTTTTTTAGAAAAGTTAATTTTAAAAATAATGAATTTCATGCTTTGTTCCTTCCCAACACTGTATATTATATCTTGGCAATAATGTTTGGTTAGATGCAGTCTACTATTCGAAATTGTCAACATTATATTTATATAGCTAAATATTCAATAAATATGGTTTTTATGAGATACCTAGGTAACTATGCCTACTACACGATGTTCGACATGTAACTAATACTTAAACACCACTCATCTATTTAAAAAATAAAAATTAATACGTTGTACTCGTATAATCGATTATCTCGTTGAATGCGTATATAACATAACAACAAACACAGCTGAAATAATTGTATATCTGAAGCTTTTAAGTATTGATTGCTATTATACAAATAATGGTAACATAAAACTATATACAAAATGTTTAAACTATATACAATTTGACCGAACGTATCCTAATAACACACACACTCTTATAGTCGATCAATCAACCATTGTATAGAATTACAAGGGGATAAAACGAAATCTTTATAATATAGAAAGTAAACAGTAGAGAAATGAAATATGATTCACAAGCACTCAACGTACTAACAAAACAGCTAATATTCAATTAAAGTAGTTACCTATTATTGTATATTATTTAAAATAATATATAAAATTATCTTAAATTAATTAATGAGTAATAGGCTGTTATTATAGATACGTAAACAAACCATTTGTTCAAATGTAATTTTTATATTATTAAGTATAGGATTACCTAAACATCAGGTTTTTTCCATTATGAGTTTATACTGAAACAAACTGAGTTTGAAAGAAAAAAAACGATTTATTTAATACCTCTTAATATAATATATTGACCTATCAACCGTAATTTAAAGTCGCTGTAAGAATGACGAAGTGATGAATGACGCGAATGAAGAAGTAGAAAAAAGAAAGAAAAAGGCATAATAGAAATATTGTCATTAGTAGGTATTCAGTTTAGTAAAAACAAAATTAACAATAAGTACTACAATACCAAGACTAAATCTATAGGTTGATTAAACGGCATGCAGCCTACAGTTTATGTTAGGAAAATGTGTGAATTATGTTTGTTATTAATAGAGACCGAAATTATATGCATGAATTTACCAATAGATGGGGGCAAAATATTTTTAATTTTTAGTTTCGCTACCCAATTAGTGATAAAAGATGGTTTGTGATTTCGTTTCCATTAATATAGGTAAGTAATGTAAAAATTCTTTATAAATTATGTAGATTATGAGAGATGAAAAATTATGTTTAAAATTTTATTCTACAAATGGAACATTAATTGTAATTTTAAATTAAAAAAAAGCTGTCCTAGGATAATGGGGACGGGTGTAGCCACTGTTATAGGTAATTTAATGTATTTAAACGATTCTGAATGGAGTTCAGTTGATAGTGATGTTTTGTCAACAATATATATGTCATATTATGGTAAAATAATTAAATAGGCATTATATATTTTCTTCCTAATATTTAACTAATATATTTCGTACATTTTTCCAATTTTACCATTTTTTTATATTTGATGAGATCACAAGAAGAAATCACAAAGACAGTTAATTTTAATTTAATTTTTGATAATTTTTCCACGATCAAAGCCAGAAAAATAAAGTTTTAAATATTAAAATTAGCTAGTTTATATTTAGAAAATTTAGAATGTAGATATTTTAATACATACATTTAAACCATGAATATAATGTATTGTATTTATTGTATTACCTTACAATTTTCAGTATCTAGTTATATTTTTGTTTCATTGTACCTCTTCTGTGCCTAGATACTAAACATTTTGATTGTAACGGATATTTAAAATGTGTAAAAATTGTTCATTTACATAAAGCTTTTTATATTCAAAATAAGAATCAAATACTTTAGATTCGTTAATAAATAATTCACATATATTATTATTACCAATAATATTTTTTCTAAACTTGAAACTTAGAAATAACATTATTGTGTAAGTGTGCTTGATTTTTCGTAAAAACAAATACTAACTGATAATTTCCCTGAAATGAGAGTAACTTTTTCATTTTCCCCGGGTTTTAAAATGTTAAGATCCGGCTTTATTCAGGAGAATTTACACTCGAACAGGAACCGTACAATTGACCGTTATGCCGAACAATACGAATTGGTGGTGAAATCCTTTTAAATGCAAAATTGATCGGCTTAAAACTTAATCTTTTATTGCATTTAGAAACATTTTAGTCCGATGTTATTAAATTACTATCATATATTATTAACTGAAATAGAATTATAATAATAAAAGAAAAATTAAAAAGACGGATATACTTCGTACGTGGGTGGGTCACTGTTGTAGGTGAGAAATCGGGAAGGGAGTAGAGGAGGAATTGAATGTATATCTATACGCAACGATTAACCATAACTAACGAAAAAATGTTTCTGATCGGATTTCGGTTGATAGTGTTGCTTTGTCAACAATATATAATATGTTATATTATGGTAAAATAGTTAGATATGCATTAAACATTTTCATTAATGATATTTGTTTCATATTGTGCCTATTTTACCTTTTTTTTTACGTTTTTTCCCGATTTTCCTATGTTTTTCCCATTTATTCGGAAAATTCTTGTGAAAATCAAAAAATAACCTCCTAAAATATCACTCCAGTCAGGTTTCCTTTCAGAAAAAGTGCTATCAATTTAAATCGGTGCAAGATTGCTGGTAGAAAAGTTGTTTATAGATGAAAAAAAAATGAACATTCTAAAACCAATACATTACTTACGCCACTCACAATTTAAAATTAAACACAAATTAAATTTTACATACAAATATACTTATATATTTAAAAGTAAAACAATCCGTTCTAAATTGGATTCTTGAAAATTATAAATAGAATCCAAGTTCTAACTTATTATTTTACATATATATTTTTTGTTAATAATATTTATATTCCTTTTAATCTTAAGTATGCATAACTATTTTATTCTTTATTTTATTTGTAAATAACAATCTATTGTTCATAATTGTACTATAGTGTAATTACTGTGTACCTTTGTGCCTCCGATACAAGCATAACTTAAAGGAAGTATTCATAATTTCATTTTTATTTAGAACTAATTAATTATACATTATGTTTTCTTTGGAAAAAAACAAATATTTGTTTAAATATAAAAACAATAATACTGAAATGTATTGTCCAAGCACACTTTCACGTTGTATCTTATGTACTTTTAAATAATCTACACAATTAAAATTATTTATAAGTAGTTAATTCATCTGAATACCTATTTAAGCTTTAAAATATTTTAGTTGAATATTGTGCTGGGAAAAAGTCCAAAAGTAATAAGATAAATTTTTACCACGATTTTATCTTAGGAGGTTAAAAAAAGAATTTCCAAATAAACAAATTCCTTTAATTATAGTCATAATTTTACACGTCAAGATTAATAATCTTCATATAATAGGTACGTATGTTTAATATTTGTCAAATCATGTTATTTGTAACTGAGAACAATATACATTGTTTATTAAACAAGACTAAAATACTTGGACAAATAATTTTTATAATTTAAAGCTTTAATAATAAATAAAATGTAAAAAAAAGACTAAAATAATTCTGTGCAGACAGAGTTTACATCATACCATATTATTTAAATATATTGATAAATTGGCAACCATACATTAAATAATGATACACATCTGTTATTTTGTAATAAATGACTTAAAAATATAAAATTGAACATAGTGTAGTGGATATTAAAGGGGCAGTCTGGAAGATTGGGGGTCCGGACTACAAGAATCCGTGTAAATATACCACTGGCATTTAACCTAACTTAATAGAAATGCCGATTTACCGGTAAACACCTAAATTTTAGATTTTGAGAAAAAAAAATTCTGAGCAGGCGAGTTGTTAATTGTTATAGAGTTATTAGTTTTAAAATAATTTATTTGTATTTTTATACACAAATCGAATTATTTACTAAGTTGAAACTGTCAAAATATTTCTTATGGATGTTTTATGTAGGTTTATATAAAGAATATTAACCAGGTTATATTTTGAAATAGTGTTTAACAAGTGCGTGTACAGAGGGAAATTTATGGAATCAAACCTCACGCAACCCCGCTAGAAATTTGAAAAACGCATCATAAACTATATTTCTATAGTTTAAAATGGTTAATTTTTTAGATTAGGAGCATAATGAGAGATCTATTGGTATGCACTGATCTATAGAGCATAATACATTTTCTGAAAGGAAATTCTGTATAGTTGGTGCATTAGAGAGATAATTTTTTTGACTTTCCACGGGATTTTCGATATAATTCGAACCAAATTCATTGTTTTTATTTTTACACATTATTGTTTTTACCAGAAATCTTATTCAAATTGAAAAATGAAAAGAGATCGATTTTATTCCTATTAATATACAGCCACTTTTAAAGAAAACAATTTTTTGATATCTAAAGTATTTTTTATAATAATTTGGAAAAATAAGAAAAAAACGATTTTTCCAAATTATGGCACAACGATTTCATTATTTTTAATTTTTACGGATTATGTTTCTATAAAAAATATTGCTGTAATAGAAAAACGATAACCACAGAACCACAAAATATCCACAGAAGTTTGAAATTTGGACGCTCTGCTGTTTTTATATGTGGTAAAATGTTCAAAATATTTGGCCCATTTTTGGACTATTTATAGACATTTTAATTTTGCGAGTTTTGTACGTTATTTTTATTTGGTAGGTACTCTATGAATAAAATTGTTAGACTAGAACATAAAAGCTTGGAAATATGACCGGAGGTTCATTATAAGTTGTACTTAGTGTTTGAGTGTAGTATTATAGATTACAAGCGTAACGAGGGAGTTATTGGTTTTACTAAGATGTTTATTTTATTTTTTTTTTCTGTGGACACGTCTTTTCCTAGTAAACTTACTCCAATTTTTAGCAATTTTTTTGAAAGCTCAAGTTGTCTAGATGGTAATTTAAAAATGTTATTTTTTGATTTTCGCCGTCGTTTTTTAAATAAAAGCACTAAATTGGGAAAAAAATGTAGGAAAACGAACAATTTAACGATTTCATTATTTTATAAAAACATGGACGACGTTTTCTATCAGAAAAAAAAAATTATTTCGAAAAATCACTAGATAACTTTTTTGTTACCTTTTCGATTAGATTTCTCACTGTATCATTGCAAAAACTATTGAGCCACTCTTGAGCTTTTAAGGAATTTTAATTTTTGGAGTTTTTTGGTGTAAATACACGTAAAGATTTGAAACTTGGTAATAATACTTATATTGGACTTACCTAGACAAGGCATAATTTCCAAAATCATCGGATGACTTTATTTTTTTTAAATCAAATTTCAATTAAAACTGCAAAAAAAAATACGGCACTTCAAATTATGTATTGCCGAACTGCACTCGGAATCGTCTTTTGTTAGCAATGGATTTCGTTAGTTACAAGTACAATAAATTACTTTATGTATCCCACCTTCCCAATTACCCACCTACAGCAGTGGCCGCACTCACTCCCATAATCAGCTCTTTTTTTTTTATCTATGAATCTCTCCAGTCTCCATCATTTTATTTTGTGTGCGACGTGTCTGGTATTTTGCAATTTTTTCAAAATTATAGTAAACTAATGTGAAATAAACATAAGTAGGTATCCAATATGTATAATTATAATATAATAACAATAATCCATTTTTAAATTATTTTTTTTATCATTATGTCAATTTGTTTCAATAATATTATAAAATACTGCAAGAATCTGGATTATGTCTATGTCACAAACAAAAGTTGCAAATTGCGTGGTACCTATCTATTTTATGTTTTTTATTAATTATTATAATTATTTCAATGTGCATACATGTATAATACCTACACTAATTTTATAATGAGTACAAGATACCATTGTTTACGCTGTTATGCAATATTATCGTCTCGAACACTTTTGCCAACGAGAATGATTTTATTGATTTTGTTAATATATTTTTAATCAGTGCCACTTTTAACCATAACTATTTTTCTTGTTATTAGATATTTTATTTGAAACTAAGTCCATACATGCCAACGATAAAAAATAATTAATCTTACCAGAAGACGATGATGCAGAGGCGGCTGCAGCCGCCGCTGTAATTCTCAAAAATGCAGCAGAAGCCAAGTGTTGATTGTGATGATCGGTATCGAACATGTTTTGTTGATGTGAAATAATTTTCCCTCCGAATCCAGGACTCGACCCGTTACTAACATTACTTCCTGTACTACAGTTGCTGCTAGTGCTATGACTACGACTATTAGAATACCCTCCACCACTGAGTATCGCGTTTACACTGAAATTTAATGATGACACTGGTGTAGTTGACGCTGACATAGGTGTTTGAGTCGATACTTGAGGGGTAGATTTTTGGTGTTGGCAATTCATGGTTGTGGATAGATATATTGAAATTGGAGGTGGTTGTGTTATACTTAATGATTGAATTTGTGACTCTTCTTCTACGTCCATTAATAACGATTCTTTATCCACTGTAAACAATTTAGATAAAATATTTATATAATAAAAAAAGATATTTTTGTTTTTGTATGTAATGTACAACTAAATTTGACACGCAAAGATGTGCAATTTTACACATAGGTCGACAGTCCGACAATACCCTGAAGTAGGATTGTTAAATTTGAATAGTGATTTTTTTTTTAACGTGAATTAATAAGACATATAATGCTATGTAGATTATAGGTACTAACATAATAATAGTGTGTCACTCCCCGTCGAGCGGAATTGCGAAATGCAATTTTAATATTCTATCAAATTATAAGATATACGGTATTTTTATTCGTGTCTAACAGAAAAATAAAAACAAATACACTTATGGCATTTTAATATAATCCCATATTATATCAATTTTAATAAACAAATTTTTATGTAGTTGTTAAATTTGAAATTGAAAACGCAGAACAATATGTATTTAATGTACCTCTATATTAATTTAAACTAAAATATTATAGGGTAATTAGTACGGTACTTTATTTGCATATAATTACATTTTAAATTTTAGAATTCATATCAAAAGTGCCATAACAATTATTTTTTTTATAGAAAATGTATTTATTTATAAATATTTTAAACAGATAAATATAGGTAATATTGTTATTCTATAAACTTACTAATTTTTCGCCGATCTAAGATAGATAAAATATTTATTCAATTTTTTTGTTACATATATATGTATATATGTAAATACAAATTAAAATAGGTATTATTTAAATTATTATATTGTATTTATTCAAAAGAATATTAGTATACAGCCGTATAGGATAAAATATGTAGTTTACATTGACTGTATTTAAATACAACTGAAATATTATAATCCTATATCTGAGCAATAGACTACCAACACAATGTATTAAATCGGAATACCTACAGATATTTACATTTTATAAATATTTTAATACTTGTATATTGAATTCTTACTAAATCGAATAACATATTAAACTAACGATCTACTAATTGTGTTCCTACTAATATCAATCCTAATGTTTTTAATTTTTTACTGCATTAAAAAGAAATATATTAATGATTTTCTTACTTTCTCTTTTGTCATTATCACTGTCACCACTAGTATTTGTATTGACGATGTCTTTTATCTTTGCAGTCCTTCTCCTAAAGGGAATGGTGCATTTTCGTCTCTTAATCCTATAATGGTCCGCATTATACATTCCGTTAACATCTTCTTTTTCTTCTTTGGAATTTATTACCGGGTACGATGCGTGTATCATCTCTTGTGGGCTACAACTTCTACTTTTTCCAAGTTCATCATTATGATTATCTTGTTCAACCAGTGGAATTATCGGCGGAGATTTAGCTATAGGTATATCGTTAGCGTCGTTGCCAGTACACGATATAAGTAAATTATGTATGAGAAATGATGTCGAGGATCTGGATCGAACACTGCTCGTACACCACCGGCCATTACCTTTGTCTTCTATGTCTTTTGTTCTTTGTCTTCTCTGGTGCTGTTGATAGTCTTCTACGTTATCCGCATTTTTTAATTCGTTATTCTTACTCACTGATTGGTTATCAAATGATGTAAAAGATGTAGGAGTTATATCTTCCATATGTAACAAACAGTAGATAATATGGTAGGAAGGTATCGATGAGTATATTATATACTATAGTTCTAACTGTCACAAATCTATTTTAATAATGAACACTAAATATAATTGAAGATAATTGTTTGGTTCTGTTACCACCGTAAGAATCGCGTGCCAATACTTATGTTTCGCAACATTTTCACACGTATTTCACAATATAATATACAATATTGGTATTATATATTATATAGCGGTGGATAATATATTATGTACTGTTGTAACATGTACAAATAAAAATCAAAAATAAGAACTTAGAAGAACCTTTTATTTTATTTCCCGGCTTAGGTATATGTCCAATAATTCTTATTTTAATCACATAGGTAATAAACACATATTCATGCCATTGTAAAACTATATTATAATATTATTCTAAATGCACACACAGCTGCTATATAAGCAGTATTTTAAAACTATCCACGGCGGTTTTATTATTATTATTATTATTAGGTAAATATTTAAATTATTTGTTTTCGTTATTATAAAAAAAAAAAATGAAATAATAATAATTGTAGATGATAATACAACAACGACGGCTGATTTCGCACTGATTATGACACCGGCTTCTCTCGGCCTTAATGTTTTCGGCCACCACCATCATTGTTTTTCCTCATAGTCAACTCACTCCTGCGCCCCAAGTGGAAGGGGATGACGCAGGGCAGAGTAGGTCGAAGGGATGCTGTACCGACGATAATTGTCGAGTATGGTCGGCCATTGCTGCTATCGCCTCTGTGGGCGTGTTTCGGGGGAGCAAGTGTCACGCCCAGCTATAGGTTACTCCACCGCACTCAGTTAGCTACCCTTCGTCGTCACACGGCCGTTGACGGAAAACGAACGACGATAATAGCGAGAGAAAAAAAACAATGGCCTTTACAACAATAATGAGATAATATGACCGAGTATAAATATATAAGGTACATAATCGATTCAAAGATTAGGGATAAAACAAATTAAAAAAAAAAAAACCACCCCCGTTAAACCTCATGAAAACAGTGATTTGTGCCTGTAATATAATTCAACCGTTATTCAGTATTGCGTTTCGTTGTTCTAACTTCTCACGGGATAATTTTTGTCCCGCTTTACAAACCACATCAATATATCCCGGCAATTTCTCCTCCAAATCAACCATGTCATGTAATTTCTAAACTATCACTTATGCTTATTATACACTACATTATTGTATAGATTCTATAAAACAAATAAAGGAAAAAATATTATAACAAATGATAAATATTCTCTATCTTAATGCGTTTTGACTTGTTTAACGTGTGATATCTACTCTTATTATCAAGTGGCCCAATGCCAGCGCGTTTTTTGGCTCAAAAATATGTCTTACAGGAAAAGCACTCAAGCTTCGTAAAGTGGTCAAATTATTATTATTTTAGACGGAGAAAGACTTCTTAAAAACCTTCACTGAATTCCGGTTTTAAATATTTCCATAATAGGTCCATTAAAATAGGTAAATTTTAATAACTTTTTTTAATCGACTCTTTTATACCATTAATTTAAATTAAGTGAAAAATTGGAGTTTAACGAGGTCTGTAGAAAATTATTTTCATACAAAAAAAATTGTTAGAAAAATATAATGTTAACATTAAGTGTAGTAATTTTCGTCTGTAAAACAAGTACTTCCCTCTAATTAGGCATTCAGTAGCTACTTGTAGTGGAAATAGCAGAAGTCTCATCTTTATCAAGGAATTACACGTTCATATTTTTATTGTTATTATGATGAACATTCGATTACTCTTTTTTCTTTATTTTTTTCTAGTATATTAAATCATCACAAAATAATACAAATATAATTTAAAACGTCTAAAAATGACACACTTTTTATCTTATTTACAGTTCTTATAAAATTAAAATGGCGAGTATCCAATTTTAAAGAATGTGGCGGCCGACAAAATAAGAAAAGTTTTTACCGTTTAGTTTTACATATTAGCAGTGCCATGACCAGATGATGACACTATGGAACTGGAGACGTGTTTTTCCTCCTCCTTCCCGAAATCTTTTGATTGATTGATTATTTCAGTTATTTTAATGTAATTCTATGTAATCTATCATTTAAAAAAATTGTAGGTAATAAATAATAATAATAAAAAAAAAAGAGCTGATAATGGGGATGGATGTGGTCACAGTTATAGGTGGATAGAAGGTGGGATACATAAAGTTATTTAATTTATATCCGTAAGTAACGATAAACCATTGCTAATGAAAAACAATTCGGAACGAAGTTCAGTTACATATGTTTTGAAATGTCACAATATTTACGATTTTCGACAAAATTTGATTTTAAAACTTATATAAAAATAAAAAAAAATTACTAAAAAATATTCAACATTTTTTTTGCTCACTATAAGCATGGCTTATAATGAACTTCCTGTCAAATTTTCAAGCATTTCTGCTTAGTTTAACAATTGTATCTACAGAATACTTACCAAATAAAAAATACGTAAAAATTCGCAAAATTAAAAAGTCTATAAGTAACTGAAAATTATTTTGAAAATTTAACCACGTCTAAAAAAAAAAATAAGTTTTCTATCAAAATTTCAAGTCTATGAACATCTTTAACTGAATTATATTAAAAAAACGAAATTTAAAAAAATTTAAGAATTATTTCCGTACATTTCCCCGTACTTTCTACGTATTTTTTGGTTTCGCTCAATTATGAAAAAAACTACTTTCTTGAACACCAAATAGATTAAAAATTCAACAAATAAAATCTTTTTTATTTTTCTATTGAAGCAATTTCTGAAAAAAAAAAACAGAAAGCGGACAAATTTAAAATTATGAAATCGTAACACCGTAAATATTTGTTGTTTTACCAATAATTTTCTTTCTGGTTTTTCCCAGTTATTTCGAAAACCCCTTAGAAAATTAAAAAATTACCTCTTTAACGCATCAACTAAATAAAATTTCCATTCTGAAAAAATACTAAACTTTGTACATTGGAACAAGATTTCTTTTCGAAAACTTGTTTACAGACAGAAAAAAAACACACATGCATAGTAAAACCAATAGATATCCCTCGATACGCTCCGAATCTAAAATTGGTTTTTGTTTACGGTACTGATAGATATATACAAAGTAATGTAATAACGTGATGAAAATCTATATTTGCAATTAATTATACGGGGTGAGATTAACATTTTAAAATTGCTACTATTGTTACTTAATTATGTTTTATTATTTATACGAAAAACGTATATATACTGCAACTGCTCGTTTGCGTTTAATATGAAGTGGATAGTTCCACTACTGTTGGTGCAAAGAAAATAGTACAAATCATTATACGCAGTTATAGTAGTATAATATATTTTAAATTCTGAGCATAGCGAGGGATTTATTGGTTTTACTGTGGAGTGTGTGTGTGTGTTTTTTTATCTGTAATCCACCAGAAATCTTGCGCTATTTAAAAAATAATAAGTGACCATTTTTGTTGTACTTTTGATCTAGGTGATGCATTAAAGAGGTCATTTTTTGATTTTACAAACAGTTTTCTGAGTTTTCATAATAATTGGGAAAAACCGGAAAAGTTTACGGCATTAAGAGTTCGATATTTTCGATTTTGGTTTTTCGTTTTAAATTTGTTTAAAATTATTAAAAAGTGCTAAAATGTTCACAAAAGACTTAGTAGCTCTTTCTAGATCTGATGAAATTTCCAAAATATTTAGCAATTTTTTTATTTTATAAGCATTTTAAGATCAAATTTTTACCAAAATCGTAAAATTTAAGGCCTTTCAAAATACGAATAAAACTTTTCATTTAATTACTGTAACAACTAATAAATGACTTGGTACTCGTGTGAATACACCTACATAATAATATATGATGGGAAATTTGTACAAAATTTAATATTCCCCGTAAATATTCGCAATCATTTTTTATTTATGAATTTACAACCTTTAACAGCTAAGGCTATTAGTCAACGTTATTTCAGTTATAGCATGTTATACCATGTTCTATATTTTATAATATTAAATTCTGTGACGTAGATTGCATTTAGAGATAAAGAATAAATGATTCTTGTAGCTTCTTCTTCGTTGTAGACTTCTTGCATAGGAATCATAATTATGTTTGTATAATAGATTGGTATTTTGGATATGCCTCGAAAATGTGTTTAATTGTGATTAATATATCGTAATTATTATTTGTAATTTTAAATAATATTCTATTATAATATATTAACATGTATATGGTTATATTAAAACAACCAACAAGTAAAATATTATTGCGCCGTTAAAACGATATTATATTCGAATCGAGGAGGAACATACGTAGGAGTGTGTACCTATATGCTGCAGTGCCTTTGGTTTTTCTCGAACGTTGGCTCGATTGTAGGCCGGCGGCGAAAAGACCGTGCGTGACAGGGAAAAATGAACGAAAAAAAAAATACGACAGAATCGCGTGATATTAGAATAGAGATTTAGAATAGAAAACTGAGGTGACGCGGAAGGACGCTGCACGGGGACGGAAGATTACGCTGCTGTTTTTGACGCTATACAAAAAGAGAATTCGAGGAAGGGGAAAACCGATAAACGGCAGTAAATGGACAAAGAGGGTACGAGACGGGACAGGGAAAAGAGCAGCATTGCGTGCGCATGACGGCAATATAATATAATATAATACAAGTGTATACTGTACTGTATAGTATTACAGTGTATAATAATATAATACTGTAACGCGGGCAGTATTATATTATGGTGATAAAAATCATTTTACAATAAAAAATATAAGGACCGTGGTTATTGATTATAATACAGACTCTAGAGCCCGGAATTACGTATAATATACATTTAAAAAGTGACGGATACGACGAGAATTAATGCTAAAAAAAAATTTGCTATACACGTTATATAAACATACATCTTATTATTATGTTAGATATATTGTTGTACTTAGTAAAAAATGATAAAAAAAAAAAAATCAACAACAAAATTACTTTTTACACTCGCAATTTTATTTCAGTATCTACTCAACGTCAACGGAAACTTAAATACCTATGCCTATATAATCAAATAATTAAATCATATTATTACGAATATCTTTTAATACTATATAAACGAAGAAAGTTTAGTAGGTAAAAGGAATTATCGAAACACAAAAAATAATTATTCCGTGTTATTCACTGTATATGTGTAGGTATAGGTATCACTACATATTTTACTTCTTTAAACTTTAAAATTCGTGGTGTAAAGTGGTGTATAAATCATAATATACACTTGTACAAAAATAATAAATTACTTGTTTAAATAACTTTAACATTCATAAATAATAAGTCAAATAAATTATATAAGTTACCTATACATATGTTATAAACCTATGCTAAACTTATATCAAAAGTTATATTCGAATGTTAATATTTTCTAGAAAGACATTTTTGTTTCGCTGCTGTCGGAAATTAAAAATTATATTTATAAACGTGGAAAATGGTTTTGTTTTAATCATTTTTAAAAGCGTAGGTATAAATTGGAGATAACACAAACTAAATGAATAATGACTATACAATCACGACGAAGTACGATGTACATATCGGTTACGGGCACCTCTCTCGTCAATCGTGAAATGTATAACATTTTAGTAAACCTAATTCAAGTTTTAAATTTTTAAACATAAATGATTTTTTTATTATACGAATACATTATATATTTATATACTATATAGAAAAAAATATATAAAACAATAATGGTTGAAATTCCATAGTATCTATATAATTTATTTTATAGCATTGTAAATTGTAATGTTATTTTATAATATTATAATCCAAAATTGATTCTAGTCATTTTTTTTTTTTTAGTTAGCCAGTTTGTCTAGAAAAGAAGAAGCTAACATTCGCGTAATACCAATATTATCTTGGCTTCGCCTTGAAACTCTAAATATAGAATATGTTCTAGTTATCTATATATATCTGACAGAAGAAATAAACAAATTGAATAAGAATAACGACCAAGAACGCTGCTTTTTCATTTTTTTTTTTTTAAGAATATGGAATATTATATATGTACTAAGTGCTTACGTATGCAAATTAAGTAAAACTTATATATCATATTATTATATATGATTTTTTTCTTTTACTATGCTAGTATGCTTACCCGTATAAATATGTAATGTAAGAAAATTGTACCAAAAAGATAATTTGTATCAATGTTTTCAATATTATTCGAATCAAATGATTTAATCATTGTATAATATATTATTAAAGTTTAAATATATAAGACATAAAGAGTTGACAAACAAAATTTATCTTAAATGTAAATGATCGAGGTTGAGCCACTTTTTGAGGGAAAATAATTTTTAATTTTATATCAGGGTCATTTTATGTCACTTTCTTTCTTTTAATTATTATTTTTTTCTTAGTTTCTTAAAACTTGATTAACATATCCGAAAAGTTGATGATTTTTCGCGATGATCTTTGAAAATCGTATGAACATTAAACATGATTATAGTCATCAACTAATAAATATTTCATTCAAATTTTGTTATTAAAATTCTTCGTTTTTGTCTGAAAAATTGTTACAATATTAAAAAAAAATATTTTATTTAACCGCTGTAAATAAAATTTTAAAACAAAAAAAAAATTTCTGATGGTATTAAGCCAATTAAAATGTATAGATTTTAAAAGAAAGTTAAATTTCAATTGTAATTATTAAAGATAATTAAACATAATATTTGTTTTTTTTTTTTACTAAAAAAATTGTTTACAGTTTGTTTCCAATCATCCGAAAATGCTTAGATGTCTCTTTAAAGATAGTGTCAGAAACCTTATTTTTTTTTTAACTTCAAATAACCGACAATTTCTTAACCGATTTAAGAAACCAATTTATTAAGCTATTCTACAATTTTTTTAAAGGATAATGGAGAATTATAAAAAAAAAATGATGTTATATTAAAATTCCTATAAAAAAATTCTCCATTACTCGCAAATTAAAATGTCTATAAATAGCTCTAAAATGGCTACAATGTTTTGAAAATTTGACCACGTATAGAAAAAGCAAATATAAATTTTCTGATCATATATTTAACTGAATCACAACATAAAACAAAATTGAAAATAATACATTTCGTAAATTTTCCTGTTTTTTTTTTTACGTTTTTTCCTCATATTTTCGAATTATTATAAAAACCGCTTGAAAAATCAAAAAATGATTTCCTTAAATTACCAGCTAGGTAAAATTTTCTTCCAAAAAAAGTGCTACACTTGATACATCGAACCAAGATTTCTGATAGAATTTTTTACAGAGTATAAAATATCATTGTAAAACTCACTTTGTTCGGGATAGTAAAGTATGAAAATACAATACATTATTCGTAAATCATAATATTGTCTTTCTATGTTTGATATTATTTAGATACCTAATACAGAAACATATTTTTAATTTTTATTATTTAAAATGTAATATATTTTATAAATATGTATAATAGAATATATATTATTATAGACACACAACTTTTTGGGTTATTCAAATTAAATTCACTTAACTCAACTATATGCCCAATACTATAAATAATGTTGAATATAACTGTTTAATTAAAAAAAATAGAAACTATTCATTGAAAAATATCAATGAAATACTTAATTAATTTTAAATATTGTTATTGAATTCAAATATCGTGTTGAAATTTAATACAAATTGTAATGCAATTTATCATTTATAAATACACATAATATTGTTGTTTGTTATAAATAATAATAATGATGACTAACTATCGTAATTTTAAGCATTTCGTACAATATTTTATAAATAACTTTTATTCATCTCACCCAAGGTTGATTTTTTTTTTTTTATGATTTCGCGAATGTTTGCAACAATATTACTATTGATATTTATAAAAACACTTGACACACATTTTTGTCTCTCGTATATTTCATATTTCGGGTATTTATATTATATTGTTTTGTTTATTCGAACTTTTTTAAATATTTAATGCGTACAACATAAATATTATCAAGAGGTGACCTAGTTTTTGTACTTTTCACTTAAAAATACTGAGGAAGTTATAATATAGCTATACGTTTTCAATACCTACGAAAACCACATAATCATATAGATAATAGGAAGAATGCGACTTGTTCATATCGAGAAATAAAGAGGAAGACGAATCCGTGCAATAGAGAAACATATTATTATGATGGGAAATTGGTGCAAATAGCCAATTCTTGAATCGAACCCTGTAGCCGAAGAAAAGGAACAATTTTTCAACGCGTAAATTCGTGTAATTCTACGCGTATTGCAATTATTAATTTTGCATGCACAAAAAGAAATACACGATTGTATGTTATAAAAAATAAACGTGTCGATCATTGCCATTGCCAATATAATATATTGTTTAACTTAATTATACATTCATTTAAATGGATATGACTTATATATTTACGCACTCAAACTCTCACTCGTTTCCTTGGCCTTTGTTATACGTATCGCATACGAAAAAAACAGCCACGGCTGTTAGATATATACGAATACTATTCTATTAATAAATCCACTAACGGGCGTTATGCTACGAACGATTAGTCAGCGTCTATGGGCGCCGAGTGCACACCACTCGACGGCGGGCTAAAATCCCCCTCTTGTAACCGCGGTGTGTTTTATATAAAACACTATTTTTATTTAAGAAGTTTTAGTGTCTACAGTACTTTGCAGGCATCAGAAATTTTCCAACGGCTTAACAATCCAGTTCTAAATTGACTGAATTTTTTTCACCGGACGCAATTCAAAACATAAACAATAAATATGGTTTATTCTTCAGATTTCTACACTTCCCGCAGGCCTGCGTACTACAAACCGGCTAGTTCTTACTCAGTAACTGTAAGTTTTTTTTTTCTACCATCACTTTATTAATATTATGATTATAATACGCCTAATTTACTTTAGAAATAATTATTAATATAGTAGAGTTTAAACATTTAACCGTTAGCAATTATTGACAATTAGCTATTGCAGTATCTATATAAATTAAAATGATTTTAAATTACTACCGGATACCAATTACCGTAATCATCGGTGCTGTCTTAAGACTTGGTTTTAGCAGAATCCAAAATTATTATTCACGATTATTATTTTTTTTTTTAAGTTACCCATCAGCAAACAATAAATTCCATTGTTTATAATAATACCTACAGTTAGGTATATATATTTATTAAGTGTATACAGTATACCTATCAAATAATCAACAAGGGTGTAATATTGGATATATATTATATTAGATATTAGATTTCGAGTCGCTTGAAATTCTTACGACAGCACTGACTTTAAATTTCCTTTAACAAAATTAATTTTAACAATACATTTTTGTAGCAAAGACAATATACCTAGCTTCTATCGCAAACGGTTTTATTATATTTTCTAAATAATGTACAGTCGATGGTGTAACATAATATTACTATAATAATTATAAATTCTTTGCGAGGGGGGTATAATATTAAATAGCCGCATTGAAAAAAATAAAAAATCAATTACATCTTATACTAAAAATAAACAATAGTTAAACAATATTTTGCTGATAAATGTATGAGTGTATTGCTTATAATATACGAAAATACGCCATTGGCTGTAGTGTACTAAAACCGAAAGAAAATATATTAATAAAAATTACCTACCTAACATATTATTATACCTAAATGCCTATATAGTGTGGTTATAATAACTTGTACCTAGTTAAGTTAAAGTTTCAATAAATCAAAAAACAATTTTTTTAAAAACAGTGTGTGCATGTTAGACAATGATGACGACCATATCGTATTATATATTATTTAGGTTTCATACAATTTTAGTTAATTTACAAAAATACATAAGTACTCAATAAATGCTATGATATTATATTACCAACACCATTAAACCATTTCAACATTTTTTACGAATTTAATATTTCAACAGTTAGGCAATAACTATAAATGTATTTTTACATGTATATAATATGTTTATTTGTATTATGGAATGTTCTCGAATGTGTAATTTATGGCTACCAATATTTGGCTACTTGACCATTTCTGGGGCTCCGCATTTATTAATAACACGAACATGCCCATCTAAATTTAAATCTGTGAATTCTCCGAGTTGTTCCTTCTTCCACACGATAATTATTAACTAAATCATCAGTTAATTATAATTTGTGTGTAAACATTTGAATATACGTACTATTTTTTTTTTCTGTAAATGATCTTTATTTGTTATATATTTGCCTATGTCGATTTGCAACACAATCTCGACTATATATTTAATAATTAGACAAATCATAGCAAGCGTGTATAAGATACAAAAATAATTTTAAAATATTGGAACCTACCTCGACTTTTTAGGGATTTTTTTCTTTTTTTAAATTACTTACTATTAGGTATTTTATAGTTCAATGAATTCAAGTTGATATTTTTTGTACATACTTATACTGGCTATACTGTTTAAACGATATTTTAGATTCTGCGCGTAGTGAGAAATGTATTGGTTTTACAATGATTTTTATTTTATTTTTTATATTTTTCTGTGGACAAATTTTCTACCAGCAATTTTGCTCCAATTTACAATGATAATACTTTTTCTGAGAGGAAATCTTACTGGGGTGGTTAGATATAAATTAAATTTCTCCTCTACATTCACAACTTCTCACCTAAAACAGTGGCCCACCCACATGCGAAGTATGTCCCCCTTTTTTATTATTATTTTGATTAGGTTTTTTTACTTTTTATTACACAAAGATAGGACTTTTTCAGTATAAGTAATATATTTTATAAGCTCATGACGAATTTTGAGCGGTATATTTTTTAAACTAACAAATATTCTTATTTATTGACACAATATATACGGGTAATAAATACAATAGTTAAGATGGAAAAGATTTCAGATTGATTTTAAGTGCATTATATCCATTTTTAGTTATCTATATATATAAGACACATATTTTTAATTACGTTTAAATTAAATATATTTATATTAAGCATACGATAGGCAGATGCGTAGCCAGGGGAGGTCAAGAGGGATGTTATAGCATCTCCCATTGGCTATGTTTACGTATACATATTATTATACAATTTAATTGTTAACTACATATAACGACTTGGTACAATTATTTCTTTTACTGTCGAATCCTGAGAGAATGTATTTTATGCTGAACCATATGAAAACGTATTTAAGGAAGAGCATTATGTCAGAAAACAGACTCAATGGGTCGAACATGATTAATATATAAATAAAAAAAGAAGACATAAATGAAAATTGTATAATTACTATACCTAACGTCTTTGCTTGAAATTCTCCTGGTTGTTGAAAGGTGTATATTCTGTATACTATAGTATATTGTTATTTATTATAAGATATGCCTAGGCATTATATTCTCTTTTCATTATTAAGTTTTTTTTTTTTTTAGAGCATTACATTTAAATGCATATTGTCGAAAATACTTTTCTATTTTTTTTTTCGAGGGGGTGCTTACCTATATAAGGGCTTGCCCATGATTCGAGCAAAAACTTATTAAGCTCCCTCCCCCAGTACAAAACCCTGGCTACGCGACTACGGGTGTATAGGTACACACGCGCGTGTTTGGTTATATACCTTCTTTCCTCGCGTATAAGATTAATATAATACGTAGGTAACAACGGACGTAAACTGCCCAATTTTCCCATATTATAAAATATTGTACACGGGTAGATTGACTTATCAGTGTGTGTGGGTGTATGTGTGTTATAGCTAGAGCAGCACCGAGAACACGGGCAACCCAAACCGGCCGCGTTTACCAGAAACACGGTCCGTGTCCCGTGGCACAAGGTCCCCAATGTTCCCCGTCCTAGTCAGGTCGCGTTACCTTATCTAGTATTCGGTCGAAAAGGCGATATAAATCAAATACAACGGGAGTTCCTCGGCGCCGGAAACGAGACGGACGTCGAAACGGAAACGAAAGCGTTGATTAAGTCTGCGCTGGCTCGCCGGCACCTGCACGAAACCGAAACCATACCGTCAAAGAACCGTCTGAACCACCACCGCGTGGACACCGAAGGCCACGAGGGACACACTCGCAGGAGAATCCTGTTCAGCTCGTTGCCGCCGACGTACTATCGTTATTGACGGCCCTATATACATAATAATATAAAACGAATACACGCACAGAATACATTTTTATAATACCTATATAATTATTATAAACCGTAAATGCATAAAACAATCATAATTTTTATTAAAATACCAATTTTCAAAAATATCAAATAAGTTTGTTGACATAACGTTATTATAGTTTTCACGCGGGGGTAGGGGACTCTAATATTTTAGTGTATAATGAAACCATTACCCATTTTGTATGATATACACATTGGTTGATGGTGTTGGTAATATTTATTTAATACGCATCACGATTAAGTATACGACATTATTTTATAATCGAATCGGTCATTTGAACAAACAAAGAAATTCACCGTTCTTGATAAAACGGGATTATGATGGATGTCTCAAGATAAATACGAGTTTCCGGCGGGGACACAAGTCACTTAAAATTAATTTTTGTTTAGAGTACCTTCTATAAAAATAAACTTGTCAATTTCTTAGCCGTGTTCGACTATTTGAGCTTATTTTCCACACATTTTGTAATTATTATCATTCAAATTTGGTTTCTCAAATGGCCGATTCAATTTATTTACGATTATTAAGTTATTACTTATTAGCGCAGATATGGACGTAATACCAATAATGGCTATTATTATATAATATTTATAGAGATATGAGTGTTTATGATATGGTATCGAGACAAGAATAATTGTTTTTTTTTCTTTATTTATTTACGTAACGTTTTTCGGTTATTTTACTTATTATTTTTTTTTTACTAATAGATATTATAATATAATATAATCGTATTATACCTATTAGTGTTACAATGTATACATTTTAAAAAGACAGTATAAAACAAAAAATGCGTGCGCGTTGTGTTTTATATGTATATAGACGCCCAGCAGATATTCTGTGACGTCGTCGTACAGTACGCCTGCTCCGGTCGAAAGCAGAAGACAATACGAATATCACACCGAGCAGCGCATCGAATCTTCGGGGCGCCCGGGCTCTAACTATACCACGGAGAAGACGGTCCGCACTAGCTCGTCGTCGGACGGCCGTCCCGGCGGTTACCATTCTTCGTACTCGTCCACCACGACCGGTCGGTTGCCTGGAGGCACCCCGACTTTCCGTCACTACTCGTATCGCGTCTGATCGGTTGACCGGCGTCGAGCAGAGAACCCCCCCCACCCCCCGGGACGCTGAAAATGAAGAAAAAAAAATTTAAAAAAAAAAAACCCATCATAATAACGATATTATACGCCCGTCATAAAATATATATATATATATATAATATAATATCCAAACATACGGCCCATGCCCCATACGCACGATATAGTACGCTCAATGACGTACATAAAATTATTAAAAACCATCACCTATACCTACACTAATCGGATATATTATTTTAACCGGTATAATATTATGGTCGATACTATTGTTGTTATACACACAGTGTATAACGATATTTTACACAATACGCACGCACGCATTTTTAACGATGAAACTATCACACCGATAGCGTATTACCTATATGTTCGAATAATAATATTACAGTCATTGCTCGTAAACAATACGTACACCAAAAAAAGCAACCAATATATTATATTATATACCTATAGGATTAATTTATATAACATTTTAATATTGATACCTATACACCTTAATCTCGTATAACAAAACGTTCGTTACCAATCACTAGTACCTATATCTATATATTATTATTACCTATGCTACCTAATACAAAAAAAAAATAAATATTTGCTATAATTTATTTTTAAAGGTAATATAGTATAATATAATTTATTTCGATATTGTCGTTATCGTAGTTATAATAATAATAATGTGTATTGTTGATATTGAAAATAAATATAATTTATTGTAAAAAACAAACTTAATAATTTATGTGTGTTCGTAATTAATTTTCGTTCGACTTGGTTCCTGTAATATTATATTATAATTTATAATGTACCTATACAAATGAAAATATTATTTTATACTTACAGCCACTATACTCGTCCGATGGTTATGATTTACCGCCTACTTACTATAAGGTAATTTTATAAATATTAAATATAGATAGGTACATACATAAGATACATATCCGTTCCAAAAATAGTTGTTTTTTACTGCAAGTATAATACAAAACACTTATATGTAAGACGACTGCAGCTTCTGTAGAATTTTAGATAGGTACCCAATGAAATAAGTTTTCCATAGGCATTATCAATTCGTACTTTACCTAATAACTGATAAAAATACATTTTAAATAATATACTTTAAGGGAGACCCCCTTCTTTTAAATTGCCACTGAGTTATACCCAGTAAAGTAGGGAATCAAGAGAGTACGTAATATTTACATAAATATAATATATGTTTAATGTTTTTGTATTATATTAGTATTTTCGAACTACCTATTACTTTAAAAATTTAAGAAAGATATGTAGATGAAAAGTTACTTAATCACCTACATAATTTAAGCAACACCATTCAATTTAATTTTAATAAGTTAAATCAACATTTTATTTGATAGGTAGTGTTAAAATAATTATAAAGAAAAACAAAAATATAAATATTTTTTTCCTACAGTAACAACCTATCGAGATATATTATAATACGTTACAAATTTAAAAAATTTAAAAATTACATTATTGTATATATAAATCACTTATAAATTGCTACTATAAATACCTATGTATTTATAGTAGTGTCCATAGTAATGATCACTGATCACTATACACTTAGTATATTTTGAAGGGGGCTTATTTCTCTGTTCTTACGGTTTGAGGCGCTTAGTCCCTCAAGTCCCTCATTTTCGTCTATGGCTTGATTGTTATTGAACCATTGCAGTGTAGGGTGAGTGGGAGGCGAAGGGGACGACCATTCCCCCCTTAAGTCGTGTGATGATCTTTTTTATTATACAAAATATTCATAATTCTTAAGTACAAATAAGTAAAAATGCAACTGGTTCCATATGCCATAAAGATGATTCCCGGACCTTGGAAAAACTTTGATTGAAATAAGAATGACACACATCTCATTTATACATTTTAAAAAATATTCTCTCAAAGGTGAGATAAAATTATGGAAAATTAAGTGGAAACAATCAATTTGCAAAGGTATAATAAAATAATATATTTTCAGAAAAAAAATTGGAAATGATTAATTTAATTTAAATTTTAGATTCCGAGTGTAGTGAAGAATGTACCTATTGGATTTACAATGATGTTTTTTATTTTTTTAATACTGTGACAAAAATTTGTACCAGATATCTTGATTCAATATGTAAGTGTACCACCTTTTTTGAAAGAAAATGTTGTCATAATTACTAGAATGACTAGATGGTAGTAAAGGAAGGTCATATCAGGAAACTCAGGATAAAACGTAAAAAGAATGGGAAAATGTACAAAAATAATGTTTTTACAATTTTAAATTTTGTTTTTTATTGTAGTTCACTTAAAAATATCCGTAGAGACTTGAAATTCGGACAGAAAACTTATATTTGCCTTTTCTCGACGTGGTAAAATTGTTGAGCAATGTATAGACATTTTAATTTTGCGAGTTTTGTACGTAATTTATATTTTGTAGGTACTATGTGGATAAATTTTTAGACCCAACAGAAATGCTTGAGAATTCAATATGAAGTTCATTAAAAGTCATATTTTGTGGTAAAAAAAAAAATTTGATCAGAGACCTAACGTTTATCACTTTTAAATATTCATCGAAATGAAAACATTAATATAGAAAATATTGATGATAAAACTGCTCGAAATACACTGTTCAAAATAAAAGTATTTTGTACTTGGTCATCTAACTTATAATAATAATAATTATTATTATTTTAGATTCCAAGCGTAGCGAGGGGGCTAATAGTTTTACAATGCTGTTTATTTTTTTTCTTCTTCCTCTTTGTTCTAGTCTGTGGACATGTTTTTCTAGTAAATTTGCTCCGATGTACAAGTGTAGCACTTTTTCTGAAAGCTCAAGTTGTCTAACTTGTACTCTTGTACTTTGAAGAAGTCATTTTTTGATTTTCGATGCCATTTTTTAAATAAAAGCACTTAAGTGGGAAAAAACGTAGGAAAACGTACTATTACACAATTTCATTATTTTATAAAAACACGGAAGACGTTTTCTACCTGAATAACGGCCGTTTCCTGTTATATATTATCTTTCAACGTTTCTAGGATCCGCGGCTTCTCAATATAAAATCTAGACTTCAAATAACTGCACAGTAAAGAGTCTGGAGGCGTTAAGTTGGGTAATCGCGGAGGTCAGTCAAAATCATTATTTTTTGAAATTAATTGTTTGAGAAACAAAGGACGCAATGAAGCGATCATGGCTCGAGCTGTATGACCTATGGCGCCATTTTATTGAAACCAATAGTTGTTCATGCCATTATCAGTCAGAAATGAAATTAAAATATCCGTTATCATGGCCCGATAACGTTCTCCATTGATGGATACGGCAGCTTCAACATTTCCTTCGAAAAAAAAACGGTCCAATGGTTGTTTTCGCAAAAACTCCTGCCCAAAAATCACGCGTTGATTGTTAAGATGCTGTTCGTAGATTAATTGAGGATTTTAAATGGCGTAGAACCAACATTTTTGTTTATTTATGGCCCCATTCAATCTTAAATACTTCGAAAAGTGATAGGAAATTCCGAAAAACGAGAAATGCCATTCGCTCTGAAGGCGACTATTTAGACGGTATAATTTTTAAAAAGTGAACAAATTTCCAAAATAAACGAAAAATTGTTCAAAATTAATAATTTATGTTTTATTTTATAAAATTATTACCAAAAACCATCCTGAAGATTTAAATGACCTACTCTGTTTAATAATAATAACAATAACAATAATTTATAGTCTAAGAGTAATTCTTCGAGTAGAGTGCCTCAACATTAAGCACTGACTCTGGTTTAACTTCAATAGTTCAATGTCTGTATGTATGTTTAAAATGACCATTCCATTATGTTTCTGCTGTCTTGTAGTATTTCTTAAATACGTTTTTAGCCTCCTAAGTGTAGAAAATAATATTTATGATGATAGTTGTTATCACTTATTCATACACAATGTTAGAAAATTATGTTTCAAACCGGTATGAAAATCATACAATTACGTACTACGTAAAATTCTTAAAAAACTAATAAACATATTTCGGGGGGGTCATAACCCCCCCTCCTAGTTGTGCCACTGGGTCAATTTAAAAGTTTATAAATTTCATGAAATTGAATACCTATAAATTTAATCTATTATGATTATAATTTAGTTAAATTTAAAAATAAATATTATATTCAAATCGTTAATATCGTAATCGAAATGTTATATTGTACTCATCATCAGATTACAATTTGGGGGCACGTAAAATATTAGAATATATAGGTGTACGTATGTATTTATATGTATATTATATACTATGCGGTTTCTACAAAACACTAGGTAGTTTAGGTTAGGCATAAAAGCGATAGAAATAAAATAATAATAATATATAATGCACTATTAGATAAGATAATAGATACCTACCTACTTAAATCCTCATTCCTCGTACATTACTATTATTGTTTTAAAACGTGCTATTCATCTTTCAGATTTATTATTGATTATCAACCAATGATTTGTTGGATTTTGTTTAGTTAATTAGTTGTGAATCTTAATACATACAACTAATTTTCTATTATAAAAAATGCCGCCCCAGTTTTATTGAATATGTTTCCGTCTTTAAGAAATAGTCTATCCTGCTTGTGCCCTAGCAATGCCCCCCCTCCCATAGTCAAGATCTGGAGATGCTCCTGTTGCAGTGATTGGTGAATGTTAAAATACCAAAATAGTTAATATAGATACTTAAAATATGAACCTATATATAATTACGGGTGCGGCAGTTAATTTAAAATATGAAATGTCTAAAATTACCCGTTTGTATTCTGTAGGTATTGAATAGATAAGTAGGTATATTTTTTTTTAAATAGTAATAAATTAATATAATTAGGCGCATCAAGTGTATCAGACGTGTACGACACCTGCTCCGTTCATTCTAACACCGCCATTATCAACCGGAAAACCTTCTCCAAATGTTTTGCCTTATAATGGATATCCGTATTATCATCATCAGTACACACCGTTGCATAGAAGATCTGCAGCTGCAATTCATGGTGTATTAGATAGAATAGAGCATCGTCCGAGATCACATCCGTCATACGATCCCACCGACGAATTCTTGAACTCGAGAAGCGCTACAGTAAGATCCGTAATTTATACATTTATTATAATTAAATAGGTATTTAGTAATTATTTAGTAGACGTATCTATTCAGACAGTAATATAACGTTGTTTAAAAGTTTAATATGAAAAAAATACATCGTAATTTTGGCAGTTTTAATGTTATTAGACCTTTGACGACGTAAAAAGGGATATAAGGGCACAGACCGCTGGATTACTTAAACAAGTATATACACCCACATTCAGACCGAAAATGTCTTCAGTATCGAATACCTATAGTGAAATGCCTATAGCACAACGTATAGAATCTGATGCTTACATTGAAAAAATACTCGCTGATTCGGATTCGTATCGCCGTGAAAACAACATTGGTATAATATTATTTAATTAGTAATTACTATTACATATAAAAAATATTATTAATATGTATTACATAAAATTACTTAATATTCTATAGTTGTTTAAATATATATTTATATTTTTTTAAGGAAAAGGACATTTAGCCTGCGTTTCATATGCCGGTGGCAAAGCATATCCAAGAAGAAGACCACATTTATCAACAGAAGTCGATGATAATATTACTATGTTATCGTATTACAATAAAACGAGAGAGGCCGCTGCTGCATCTTCACCACGTTCATCAGTAAAAATAAGCAAAGCAGAAAAACAGTATGACAAAAAACCATTATCAGAACAAAGTGAAAACGAATCGGTCGAAACAGTTCGGCTAGCTGCAATAAACGAAGCAGCAAAAGAAGAAGAAGCTCGATTAGTTGCTGAAAAGGAAAAAACTGCAGCTTTGCTAATCGCTGAAAAAGAAGCTGCTCGGTTAGTAGCTGAAGAAGAAGAAGCGAAAATAGAAGAACGACGATTGGCATTAGAAAAGGAAGCTGACGAGAAAGCTCGATTGGTAGCTGAAGAAGAAAGGGCAGTCCAGTTAGCATTGGAAAAGGAAGCTGAAGAGAAAGCTCGATTGGTAGCTGAAGAGGAAAGGGCAGTCCAGTTAGCATTAGAAAAGGAAGCTGAAGAGAAAGCTCAATTATTAGCCGAAGAGGAAAGTGCAGCTCAGTTAAAGGCTGAAAAAGAATATGCTCGGTTAGCAGCTGAAGAAGAAGAACACAGATTAGCAATAGAAAAAAAGGCTGAAGAAACAGCTCGATTGGCTGTTGATGAAGAGGAACGCAGTTTAACATTAAAAAAAGAGACCGATGAGACAGCCCAATTATTGACATTAGAGAAGGACTCCGAAGATCCTGACAAATCTGAACAAGTGGATAATGAAATCACTTTCGAGGAAATAATTGAAGTATCGGCAGTGAGTATCTGTGAATTGGCTGAAAGTACACCGGGAGATATTGATGAATTAGAAATCAAAGACACTAATAATGAAGAATTCGATACTGAGCCTGAAGAAGTAGCTCAAGCGGAAGGACAAGAATCAACTGAGGAGGAAGACGAATCGGAAGACGAAGACGATTAAAACAAAAAAAAAAAATTAATCACACTATAATATATTTATATTTATACAATTTATTTAAAGATAAATGTTTATTTAAATATTATTATAATTTGTAGATTAAATTTCTATGTGGTGTGTTTTCGAAGTACTACATAAAAATTAATTGTTTGCAGTAGACTTAAACAATTATTGGCATTTAACAACATCATAGAAATTAAAGTATTCTGCAGTATCTATACTATCGTCTACTTGTTATAATAATATTCTAAAATGTTTAAAATATTTAAAAAAATAATAACAATAAGATTGAATTACGAAAATAATTTTAATAAATACCATCCTATGGTTTTTATATGCAATAATTTAATTTTTGAGCTCTGATTATATTTTAATTAGAAATCAACTGTTTTAAATTAGGCATTTTCAATAAATCAACGTAAATATTTTAAATTTGTTTTTAGAATATATATCATGATTATTAGGGCTAGGATTTATATGCAATAAAAAATGATTAAATATGCATTTGGTTTATTAAAAATATGCAAAAATAAGCAATACAAATATACTTAAATAAATAAAATAAATATTATTTAAAAAACACATTTTTCATTATTTTTTTTAAAATACCAATTAATAAAATTAAATATGTTAAATGCAAAAATATATGATGAAATAAACACTTAAAATATAAAAACATTTTAAAAATATTTCTAAAATATTAATTAATATAAAATTGATAAAACTATTCAAATGAATTACATGAAACAATTGCATGATGTTTTAAATTTTCAAAAATGCTGAGTTACTTGAAAGCGCTTATTTGATGAGACTGCCTGGTCACAAATATTACAAAATAGTGTTTTACCATCGGTTTTAAAACCTGTACTAAAAAACTCTTCGACATACTGTCGAAGTTTTGCAAAGGTATTTTGTATTTTTGGCATTTTATAATTGAATGTAATTCATTATAATGAATTTTACATAATTTACAGTTTGCAAATAACACGGCAACGTATCACTACACACGGTATACGACGATGACTGTCAAAACACAAACTAACTTTCAGCTGTATGCCTGTATGCTTTTATCCAGTAAGCGTACGAATATATGACAGTATGATAAGATAAAATTACATTTGGGTATTTTTGTACGGCGATGAAATGAATTGTAACGAAATATAATATAAAACATGCACTTTTGGTGTTTTTGTAGTCGAAATGTATACAAATATTAATTTTGTTCAAAATATGCAAAAATATGCATTTTATCCAAAATATGCAAACATATGACAAATAAAAATACCACCATTTACCTCAGCAAGAGCTAATTCGTGTACATTACTTACAAAATAAGTAATCAGAAGTTGCAAAAAAAAACATACCAATGCATATAAATCCTAGCCCTAATGATTATATTGAAAAACTATAATTTTAAAATTCAAACCGATATTTTTTTACTATTACAACTTTTCTACTTTTCCATTCAACTTCAAGGGTGGTTTTTAATAAAAAACGTTGTCTTATTGGTGCAATAAAGAAGTTTATTTTTATTTTCTTTGTAGATTTATAAATAATGGGGAAAATCCACGAAAAGGTAAGGGTCTAGTTTTCATATGTTTTAGACCAATAAACGATGGTAAATTAGACATAGTTCCCGATGTCTTGTTTCCCGAGTTTTATATAATTATTTGAAATGTTCAAGTTTTAGATTTTGTGAGCAGCGATGAATAGATTGTATTGGTTTTACTAAAATGTTTTTTTTTTTTGTATTTGTAATCTGTTAACAACTTTACTGCAAGAAATCTTGCTCCAAACTTCAAGTGTGAATAAGACTCTATGGTTGGTGCAGGAGCTCAAATATGATGAAGGATATGGAAGATCTTCCTCAATGAACTGTAGTTATATAGTATATTGTTTTTTTTTTTTATACAAATTAGAAGTTTTAATGCAAATTTTAAAAATTATTACGAAACTAAAAATTTTAAATGTTTAATTGTATTAGTAGGTACCAAAATATTCGTAGTTTATTATTCTTCGAGGTAAAAAATATTCTCTATAGTTGATGTTAAAATAAACGGTAAATTTCACTTTAAACTGATTACACACTATGCGCGCAGACCTCCCTGAGGGGGGGGGGCGAGCAAAGCACCCCTCCATGGGCTGTGTGATGTTTTACAAAATAATCTTACAAATATAACTGGTTCCAATTAATGCCATAAAGACGTCTATGGATCTTGGAAATACTTTGATTGAACCATTAATGAAGCACTTTTCATTTATACATTTCAATAAATATTCTTTCAAGGGCGAGATAGGCTTATGGAAAACTAAATGGTTCCCAATCAATCTTGATTGTTCCAATAAATTTGCAAGGTTTAATAAAATAATATATTTTTAGAATCAAAATATAAAATGTTTAATTTAGTTTAATTGTTAGATTCTGAGTGTAGTGAAGAATGGGTTGGTTTTATAATTATAATAATTATTATTATTATTACAAAATATTACAGAATATTACATATAAATGTCATATAATATAGTATATATAATGAGCCCCACTGAATAAGTTCGTATGGGAGCCCATGAGACTTAACTATAATAAATTACAAGTTACTAATAATTATTAATAACCAGCAGCTTGTTGTAGAAATCACGCTGTCAATTTAAATTTAAATATAACATAATCGAGTAATTCATATGGTAGTTTATTATAAATATTTGTACCAGTATGATATAGAAAAGATGATTGTGTAGTAGATTTGCATATATTAGGAGTGATAGTGCTATACTTTTTACTTCTGGTGTTAAAATTATAGGATAAAGGTTTAATTTGATTATTTTAGATTCTAAATGGAGCGAAGAATGTATTGGTTTTACAAAGATGTTCATTTTTTTTTTATGTGAACACTTTTTCTACCAGAATGATTCAATTATCAAGTATAGCACCTTTTATGAAAGGAGAAAGGAAATGTTCTCTGGGTGGTACTTTAGAAAGGTCATATTTTGAAATTCTCATTAATATTCGAGATAATGAAGAAAACCTGGTGCTTTAGGTTAGAAAGAATTTAAATTAATATTGTCATTATTTATTTTTTGATATTTTTAAGTTTTTATTATTTTAATATTTTTAAACAATCATTGTCGTCATGGAAACACACATTGTTGTTATCATTTCACAATAATATGACATATAATATATTGTTGACAAAGCAACACTATCAACTGAACTCCACTCAGAATCATTTATTTGTTAGCAATGGTTTATTGTTGCTTACAGGTATACATGAAATTCCCGTCTGTATCATACCTTCCCAACTTCTCACCTAGAAAAGTGGCGGCGCTCACATGCAATGTATTTTTGTCCTTTTTTACTGTGAAAGTAACTGATGTTTTATAAAAAAGTTGATTTACTGTTAAAATATTTAGTTCCTTATACAAGTTATCAGTATGGAAGTCTCTGATTTTATTTAAGATTGTTCTTAGAATATTGTTTTGCATTATTTATAGTTTATTTATATTTTTTTTTATTTGCTGTATCCTAAGCAATATTATAGCATAGAATAATGTTGATTCTATTAATGCTTTGTATACAGTTTTAACTTTTTTAAGTTAGTTTTTAATTGCAAGAGCATGAATTAAGGGTAGTACAATCAGACAAATGTAATAAAATGTGATCAATATTCGGAAATTATAATTTATTAGGTAGTGGAATAAGATTAAAGTGATAAAATGGTTACTAAAGATATTGGCTATTTTATTTGTGTCTTTATTTATATTTAAAGAATGACTATTTTAGTCTTTAATGAAGTGAAATATAACAATACAATAAATGCATTTCTAAGAAAAAAGAGCTAAATACCCAACATATGTAAAATAAAATACAATGCCTTAAACTCCAAGAATTATGAAACAAATTTCTATATTATTTAGTTATATTTTGAATGATTATTGAAAAGTATGAAAACTTTCATAAGTCTCTAACCAATAGCCCTAATTATAAGTAATGGTTTAGTTCTAGGTATCTAGATTCATATTCAACAAAATGAATGCATCAATTATTTATATTGTGACTACTTATTTGATTAAAATATGTATTTTAAGCATTTATGAACAGGAAACAAGACTTAAAGTCTAGTTTGCTATTATTAAAAATAAATTATTACTTCTAAAAGTTGATATTACTTTAATATTTACCTTTACAAAAGAAAATTTTCCAATCAATAAAAATGGATAAAAAACATAAATAAATTTCACTATTCTACTAATTTAGAACATAACAATTCAAAAATTTCTACTGTATGATGTTTTTGTGGAAAGAAACATAATTGCATTATGAAAGAATCTGTGTATTCATTATCAATAGTCATTGTCCATAATAAGTAATTATAGTTTTTCCAAAATAATACATTTTTATTTAATCAATACTTAACAGGAAAGTAATTAACTTGACTGTAAATAGCTGTAGCCTATGGTCCCTATAATAAGTCAATTCATTTCATAAAATATTATTTAGTTTTATTTTTGATACACAATACACTATAGACATAGTCTATAACTTCTCTGTAGGTATTTTGACTTATCTCTCATAACATTTATATTAAATTCAATACTTAACTGATGTATTATTTAAACTAATTACTTAACTTAATACAATAACATCTAAATTACACAGTTAATAATCTAAATTAATACAAATCTTTAAAAATGTATGTAAAAAAAAAAATGTACAAAATTAATAATACTTAGGGTTACAAGGGGGTATATTCTCTAACTAATGTATAATGTAAACTCCCATTTTTATATAGGTTGTAAATTGGTAATTTATTTACACATTGTTCACTTTGGTCTTTCATTTTATCACATACAATTAAAGAATAGATAGTGGACATTGTTATTATTAACAGAGAGATTTTAAACCTATCATATTTTTTTCCAAAATTTCAATATAAAAATAATATAATTAAAACAACTTACACCAAAAATGAAGTGTAATGCATTTAAATTTGTTTGGTAAGAGTTACAAAAGTAAATAAAAAAGTTGAAAATTAATATTGCTCTCAGAGGTATATATTATAAGTTTTATTCAATATAAAAAGTGATCACCTGACATTCCCCTACAGAAAATCATCCTACCACATAGAAATTACCATGTTATCATACTTTTTGATTAATTATATTATACTATATGTTACTACTTTATTATTTTATCCTATTCTTACAAAGTTTATTTGTTAATAATTTTATTGAATTGTAACGCTTGTAAATACCATATGATAAATAATAATAGTACAAAAAATAAAAAATAAATTAAATATTACAATGATCTTAGTGAAAATTAATAGTACATTCATTATGAAGTCTTGTAGTATCAATGTCATTAGCAGAAGCCTTATTAATATCATTTGTTTTGTTAATATTTTTATCTCGTGTGGTTTCAACAAGAATTTTTTTTTGTTTTGTTTATAACAAATGTATAAGATCAATTATTTTCTCATTAACTTTATAAGTAGTATAAAGACTACAGATATGCTCTACTTTATTAATAATTTGTTGAATGGTCTCAATCGTATTGTAGTCCATAAAATATACATAATAAAATACACCAGTCTTGGCTTAACTTCAGAACAATTTCAGAATCGTTCGTAGAAAAACCCAGAACCTCTTATTTTACAACATAATATATTACATAAACATTATTATGTTAACCGTCATCATATAATATCTAGTTTCCTATCATCTGAATTTAACTTTACATTTTAGATTCTGAGTGAAGCAAAGAAGCCTATGGTTGTACAAAGATGTTTATTATTTTTTTCTTGCTACGATTTTTACGTGTAGCAAATTTTCTGAAATGAAATCGATGTGAGGAAATACCTCAGAGGTCATTTTTCAATTTTTCAAGAGTTTTCGCATCAAAAGCGAAAAACCAAAAACACGGGGAAATGTACGAAATATAATAAAATATAAATTACGAGCTTACTAGAAGTAGAGAACTGTGGCCATAGATACGGTTAATCAATTACAAAAACGATAAACAAGTTTATTCTACAACTACTGTAGTATAGGTATTTTCGAAGTGGATTATAGATAAAGTGGAATATAATAATTAATTTATATTACTTCACCTTTGGTACTATATTATAGACTATCAATGGTATTTAATATCTATATCCGTGATACTGATAGCCGATAGGTACTCATGACAATTTATTGATAACATTACTCTTATCATTTTCAAACCACTACCAGATTCCCTGTCCTATCACTTGTATACATTTGCAAATGTGACATGATTTCCTAAACAACTAAAATATAACCTTAAAATGTACAAACGTAATTGCTAAAGCTAACTCATCAGTCGCATGAGTGTATTTTACTTGATTTTTGTAACGTATTGAGTATCGTGTGTTAGTTTCAGTGGTAGTTGACAAATACAAAGTTTGAAAGTTCAATTATTGCAATGGATCAAGACGATGTAAGTAAAACATTATAACAATATGATAGAATAATCATGAACTTATAGAGATCTTTAAAAGTTATTATATAGGATTCATAGTAGGTATATTCTTTAACATTTAACCCCTTGAGTCAAAGTGGTATTTTATTGAAACCACCGTTTAAATAATGTGCCAACATAGATGTTTTGATGATATATTATAATATTTGAATAAAGAATAAGTTTTATATAAATAAATAAAAAAAAATATAATAATTTTTGTATTATAAATCGGTGTAGTACCTATATTCAAATATTTACTACCTACCTAATATTTTTGTTAGAAATTTTGTTCAAAAATATTTCTTATATACCTTTTGAAAATATGACATCCTATTTAATGTATCCAAGCAAAGGTTATTTTATTATTATTATAATTATAGTTATTTTATTGCATACATTTTGTTCTTTAAAAAAATACGGACTTTAGTTATAATAAAAATCCAGGTTGCATACAAATTATCATTAAAAAAAAATCCTATTTTATTTTTAATCCATTTAGGATTAATTTAATTTTAATTTGTTGTGATGTATGTTACGATAAATTATTTCTAAGAAAACAGTTGATACTATTTTGAGTGAAGTTTGATTGAAAATGTTTTAAAATGCTCTTATTTTAACATTTTCATTGTAATTTGAAATTGTGATGCTCATAAAAAAAATTACTGCATTACGCTCAACTTATTTTGTAATATGAATTGCAATTTATTATTAATCTCATATAAAATTATAGAATATTTCTGATTGATCTACAATTTTATCGACAGAAAACTAAAAAATATCAAATAATTTCAGAAAGTTTTGAAAAGATGTAGAAAAGTTTTATATAAATAATTTATGAACATTTTAGTTCTTTACTAATATTTTTAACTGAATTACAAAAAATATGAAACTCTTGTTTTTTCCAGTTATTAAGGAAAATTAATGTTGTAGACATTTTTTTTAAAATTAGTCCAGTTTGAAGCTACCTTAAGAATAAATTTGATTCATAATACATGTAATTATATTTAGTTTTTTTAACCTTTAAGTGGCTGTTATATTGCTTTATATTGCACTTTTGAAAAATTTGGGCTCATTAATTATATGATTTATACATAGAAGTCTATTAGTTTATAATCCTGTTAATTTATAATACTATCTTATTTAATGTTTAAAAGGATTGGTACTTGTTTGTTATCAACCCGCCAAATAATACAAAATAAAAACAAAAAATAATTAAATTGTTTATTATTATAGTATAAAAATGTAAACAAAAGTATTATAATTAAATTAATAAATTGTATATGACAATAGTAAAAATGATATCGCATGATATAGTAAAAATTAATTTAAATTAGGATGGAAGCCAGAACTCAGAAATATCCTTTTAGATAGTTTAAAACGCATTTTGTTCTCCAAGTTTTATATTTCGCATTGTTTGGCGGGGCGATAAAAAATAAGTATCAAGAGATTTTCTTTTTGAGTGGTATCAATGTGAACATCTACAACACTTATAGTTGGGATTGCATTATACAAATTTGAAAATTTATTATGTAGGTATCGGAAATAACTATTTAAATTACCTAATTAAAATTCTAAAGGAAATATTTAATCTGGTTTATCTGAAACATAAATATCATAATTTAGACTTAGGATTGGCCTGCAATTAAAAAATTTAAATTCCTTTGAATATGATATTTTAATATATAATTTAATACTGTTTCTTTGAAATATTTATACCATTATTAATTAGACTAGGCATAGTTGAACACTACCCTCTCCTCTGTTTGTGCCAATGATTAGTAACAAATTATATTTTACATTATTTTCATTATTTTATTTCAGATTGTTTGGTCTATTATTAAAGATACATTTTGCTCATTTAAAATCAAGTAATTTATTATACATTAAGTTATACCTTCCAGTTAATTTTAATGTCATCTACACATTTTTTTAGGACAGACACAACAAGTTTTTGTCGAAATGAATATAACCTATCAGGGTTATGTAACCGCACTCATTGTCCAATAGCTAACAGTCGATATGCTACTGTAAGAGAAGAAAAGGGTATTATTTATCTCTTCTTAAAAACTGCTGAAAGGTATAAATTGTTGCATTTTCTTACTAATTAAAGTTTTGTTTTACTTTTTATTTTTTTGTCTGTAGATGTGCATATCCCAAAAGACAATGGGAAAAAATAAAATTGTCAAGGAATTTTCAAAAAGCAATACAACAAATGAATGAGCACATGTTATATTGGCCAGGCCCATTGAAATCTATGTGTAAACAGCGGTTTGTTCGAATAACACAATATTTGATTCGAATGAGAAAACTCAAACTTAAAACTCAGTAATTTTTCATTTAGAAATTTATCAATGTTTAAAAATAATCAATTACCTAAATATTTTAGGAAAGAAATAGTTACTATGCCAAGAAAAGTAGAAAAACGAATAAAAAGAAGAGAATTCAAGGCAGAAATAGCTGCACGTCTAGATAATGTTATTGAGAAAGAGTTAGTCGAGAGACTTAAAAAAGGAACGGTTTGTGAAAAATATATATTTTTAGTATTGCTTTGATTTAGTACAAATATCTTCAAACTTATTATCTGTAAAACATGTTTTTGTAAAGTATAGTACTAAAAGTAAAGTACCAAAATTTTCTTAGTGATAATGATTTATTGTGTATTAATGTATTACTGTTATTAATAGTAATACTTACATTATTTATTTAAATAAGGGTATTTTAACCAGTTTTTATTTTGAGAACCATTTGTTCATTTATTACTTGTTCCTCTAATACTAATTATATCTTCAATGAACATGTTTTCAAATATACTTATGTAAATATAATAATTGTATAAATATTTCTTGTTGAGATATTGACATACAATGTCATCAGTATCCATAAAGTGAGTGTTGCACTCAGGCTAAGACTGCTTGAACCAAATTAATAATTTTATTATTATTGTATTTTTTTTGTTAGATTCTGAGTGGAAGGAGAAATGTATTGATTTTACAATGATGTTTATTTTTATTTATTTATTTTTTTTTTTTATGTGAACATTTTCTACCAAAAAGCATACTCCGATTATCAAGTATGGTACTCTTTTCGAAATTAAATTTTCTCTGGGTACTTTAGAAAAGTTATTTTTTGAATTTCTCATTAATATTCGAGATAATAAGGAAAACCTTGGTATTTAGGTTAGAAAAGATTGAAAGATTAAAAATAATAATGTCATGGGCAACTGTTTTTATTTATTTTTTGTTATTATTTTAATCTTTTTTAAACAATCATTGTTTTCATGGAAACGCACAGTGTTTTAATCATTGTGCCATAATATGACAAAGCAACATTTTCAACTGAACTCTGCTTATAATCCTTTTTTGTTAGCAATAGTGTATCTTTGCTTACATATATACATGAAATTCTTGTCTGTAGCCTATTTTCCCCAATTCTCTCCTACACCAATGGCTGCACCCACATGCAAAGTATGGCGTCCTTTTTTTAAAATCTGAAAGTTATTACTATAACAGTCAAAGATCTTTAATAATACATTTCAAAGGTGTACATGAATACTTGTGGTGTATTAATAATTGTTATATATTAAACATATATTTTTTTTACAGTATGGTGATATGTATAATTTAAATCAACAAGCATTTGAAAAAGCTCTAGATAAAGAGGGAGAAGAAGATGATGTGAGTATTTTGTAATAAATAATTACTATTGATTACGATTAGATTATGCCTACATTTTACTGTCATTTTTTGGTCAAACATATGATCTGCATTAGATGGAATTAATACATTAATTATTGTACATAATAGGGTGCTATTTATTTATATAAAGAAAGCATATTTTGAGAATTCCAGGTAAAGAATTTATTTTACAAATTGTTCAGTATTATTGTAGCAGTAATTATTTCCTAAAAAAAGAAAAAATTTGTATAAATATATTTAAAAATAATCCCATTTTAACATATGAGTATATATATTTCAATTTTGCTTTTTTGAATAACATTTGGAGTTTATATCTTTATATGTTAATTATGTTCCAACTATTTGTAATGGCTGCACACTTCAAAATTATTAACAACAACAAAATAAATGGCACTCTAATACATATATATTAAATAACAAAAGTTATTGTATTTTATGTTTTATTTTTTGCTAAACATAACTTGTGAGATTCATAGTCTGCATTTAGATTTGAATGCAAATATTTTAATACTATTAATTCACATAAGTGTAGTATTTTATTTTATATATAAATCTATGTAACATTAAGCATTTTCTCTCCATTTTTATGGTTCATTTCTCGTATATTGAAATTCTGATTTTTGAAATTTTGAAGTGTTTTAAATGTCCTTGATATGTATCGGAATATTGTATTTACATGTATAGATCTGGTCTCATTCCATTTAGTGTTTTAAATTTGTACAATAACATTCAGTGTTCTGTGTTCAAACTCATCCTAGCTGGAGTTTGCAACAATACATTTTTGATTGACATAAGCTTAAAATGGAAGTGTATGAATATGTTAGTTCATATTTCCTTATCCTGATTGATAGAAATTAGGGATCAGATGTGTGAAAGGACCTTAAAGCTGGTATTTTCGAATATATATAGATTTTTTACTTATAAACCTATATTAAAAATTCCATAAATAGATTGAGTATTATTTTGAATAAATTCTGGTTATGATATTTTTGATTTCTGTTAACCCGATGAGGATATATTCCACTTTAAGCTTGGATAGTAGAGGAATTATGGTGAATTACTATAAAACTGCCACTCACTGTTCTACTACACAAATTATGCTTTTTAAATGTTATCCTCAGTATTTTAAATTTTTGTTCAAATTACAATTGCAATACATCACAATTATCTGATTTACAATATACATTAAAATTTGTAGGTTTTTATATAAAAAAAACCAAGTTAGGTATCATTACAAAATAGTTCTTAAATGTTGTAAAAATCTAAGTATTTAAAAATATCTTTTACCACTTAAAAATACCAAAAATCAGAATTTGAATGCATACAAAATGTAATGATAAAATTGTGGTGAGCATGTTTAATGAGTCTTTAATCAGTCTGTTTGTTTAAATACCCAAGGTATCTTATTAGTTTTAAATTATACCGGTGTCCCACCATATTTGACAGATTTTTCTTAAAAAAAAAACATTTATTTAGCAAAGAATTTAATTTTTATTTACACCCTTTTTTATCCTAAAATAAAAATAACTATTTTTTCATTATATAAAATATGATATTTTAAAAATTTGAATTCATCATACATCATATTTGATCTTTAGCCAATTGTTATGTAAATAAACACATGGGTATTTTTTATATATGCATAGGATATTGATGAATACACAGCAGCAGAAGAATCTGATATTGAAGATAATGATGTTGAAGGTGAAGAAATTGTTGACAGTGACATGGAAGGTGAATCAAACACTTCAGATTTTGTTTTCTCAGATGGAGAAGGACAAGAAATTGAAGATATAGAGGTATTATTAATAAAACATATTCAATATATCTTAATAATGTTATATTTTATTTATATATTGTTAATAGGAAATTGCAGCTAAGAAAATTAAAAAGATCAAATCTAAGAGTAGACCTCATATCGAGATTGAGTATGATAATGAATTAAATGAATAATTAAATTTAATTGATCAGCATATTTGTTTATTTATTGTAATCAAAATGTTTTTCAATAAATGTTGTATAACTAATAAATAATGTGTCTAAGTAATTATCTTAATTATTTTGGTATATTTATATGAAATAGAGCTAATATTCTAAAACAGTTCATAATTAAAGACCAAAACATTTTTGTTTGGCTAATATATATAATATATAGTTTAAACCAACCATTAAATTTTTATTTGAACATTAGAGGAAAATACTATATAACATTAAAAAAACATGGAAGTTAAAGCTTTCTAAAAGCAATTCTGCAATTCCTGGACACTATTTATATACAGGTCTCTCACAAAGATTTAGCAAATACAATAACTTGTTATAGTGCCAAATATTTTACAATTTTTTTATGCTTATTGCTAAACTTTTGCTTTATAATTATTCTTGTTATATTTTGAAAACTAAAAATTAAAAAAAATTTCTCACAAAATTCAAAATAGCTGTTTTATAAATCTATTTTGAATTTTAGTATTAAAAATGTTTATTACTAATGAATCATTAGTTAGAATCATTAGAATTATGTTTTTACTATTTTTTGAAGTTTGCAAAAAAAAATGTATATTGACAAATTGGTAAATCAATTGATAATATTTACTATTTAGTAGTGGCAATAAAAACATTTTAAACTAACTTAAACTTCAAAATCCAATATCAATTTGATTAACATATTTGAATTTCAATAAAATTATGAAAGTTTCCTCATTAATTAATACTGTGAACCTTGGAATAGTAGACACTCACAGAACCATCAGAATTATCTGCTAAAATAATAACAATAATGTGTATGTATGTATGTCTGCAAAATTAAGTCTTATTGACTTTTTAAAAAAAATTTTAGCTTAGGTATACTTATGCATATTACAAAGGTACAAAAAGTTAAAAATTTTAGTTTTGTTTTTTCTTTTATGAGAATTTGTTCAATATTATACTGGAGTTGACTAACCAATGATGAAAACTACATTTGAATAGAGATAAAATACTAAAATGTAGTACAAAAATTATTTTTCATTTAATGGCATGACTAATGACCAACTGGTTATGGGTGGTAACTGATAAAATTAACTATAAATAAATATTTTTTATGGAATTTAACCAGTTTTGACCTAAAATAATTTTGCTCTAAAAATGACAATCATTTACTATTTTTAAGACATTTCAGAAGAAGCCTGAATGCTTTTAGGATCATTATATAATATCTTAGATGACAGATCGTTTAATTATATTTTGGAATGTTGTTTAGGAGATCCTGTATACAAAAACTATACTAGTTTTATTGGGGAAATGGCTATGAGTGTACACATATTTTTATTTTTTTTATGTATAGTGTTGTAATTATTAAACATGCCAATAGTTTATCAACTAGTGTGTGGTAATATACCTATGGATTTTATAAAATAACTGAAATTAAACATATTTTTTTGTTTAGCAATCAATTTTTGATACAAATTTATCTGATACCAACATTTATATTGTCCATTTTTATATTTGATTACTATTTTAAATATTTATTCCAGTTCACCAGATATAACATAATAAATTTTTAAACTTGTTCATAATTTCCCTAATTATAAGCACTATTAGCCTTAACTTGTCATTGTGGTAGGTTAGGTTAGGACTTATGTTTAGGACAAGCATGAATGAATATTGTATGAAAGCATATAGGCATATACCAGTATATTATATAGAATATGATTTTGGGTAAACAATAAAGTAACAAAATAAAAAAAGATTATATACAATGTAGTTTTAATTACATAGTATAGAATATAATACACAGTAAAAACATGTAATTTTTGAGTTCTAGTAATAAATCATGGATACCGGAAAACATTAATTAGAAAATACTAACATACTAAGAGAATAATTAAAAATATATACATTTTCAAATAAGTAAAATTAGCAATATTCATTATTTAATTTACTATTAATAAATATATCAAAACAACATCAAACATCAATAAAACAGATACTTTCATTTTACAGTATTATTCACTAATCATAAAAAAATCAATAATAATAATAATCTCTAAAAAATTAAAAGAAATTTTACACATTTTAAACATTAATTTTCTTTTTGTACAATTGTTTCTTTATTGGTATCCTTAGTAGCAACAATTGTACTAGCTGTAATGCCAGAAATAGTAGCCATATTAAAAATACTGTAAGAATATCCAGTTTCTAATTGTTTTATGAGGCGAAACAAAGCTAATGCTTCTCGGATCTGAATGAATTCAATGCAAAAGGCTTGAATTTCAATGATTAATAATTCCTATAAGTGGCACATAAATTGATTAACTAAAATTAAATATTTAAAATTTTATTTAAATAAAGTAATAACTATTATACAAATAATTTACCTGTACATTAATTATTCTGTTTTTAATAAGAGATTGTAAGAAAACACACAATAAACGGACAAGGCGATATTGAAGACATTTATCTTTAATAGACTCGCAGGCTACGATACAATTGGAGATGTATAAATGTACAAATTCAATTGGAAGATCAACAAAAGCAGTTAATCTAATACAACAGTAACACTTTATTATTCCCAAATTGATAAATAAAAGTTAATATTATTTTTTTTTTTAAAAAAAAACATACCGATTCACTACTTCCAATGAATGTAAAGACATTTCCATATTTACAAGGGCAGAGAAGTATTCAGTTATTAAATGGGACTGCACTAGTTTTAATAATACTTCAATAGCTATTAAAGGATTATTTTCGACCAAGTCTGGTAACTAAAAATAAAATAAATATTAATGAGTACCAAATCTGTAGATAACAACTTACTTTACAAGGTGTCAAATCTATGAGGTAAACTAATTTTGGATCCTTTCCAAGTTCAGCTAAAAGATGCTGTTGTTGCTGTAAAGTAATTGGTGCTTTCAGAGCTTTAATCATAATTTCTCGTGCTTCAGTAACAGCACTGGTAGGAACACACATTGTTTTATCATAGAGAATCTTGTGATTTGATCTGCAGCTCATATTTAACCAAACCATCTATACAAGTATTAAATTACAATAAAAAGTATTAATATACACACACTATTTATATAATTCGCTACAAAACTAATAAACATATGATTAATTTTAATCAGTTTTAAAATGTACAAAAAACTATTTTAGATTGAATTATTAATTGTAGAATGTTAATAAAAATATATATTATTATACATAAAAATTTCTTAAATCTATAATTAATTACATTTTAAAGCAAAAAAAACTATATTGACCATAATATTTTGTCAAATTAATTAATTTAAAAATAAATATAGTGGGGTTTGAAAGTCTCCCTCTAAAAGATTCAACTATAATAAATTTTTTTAAACACAAAAATTATAAATGAATATTTTTTTTTTTAAATGTACAATTTTATTTAAAAGAAATTATTTTGATTTAACCATATTTGTAGTATTAGGGAATTCTATTTAATAAGTTAAATCTCTTGGATGGGGAGTTTTAGCCCTTATAATTTTTACTTTTTCAAATATTTTTTTTTTTTTTGAAGTTTTTAAGCATCGTTTTGTGGATTATAAGAGAATATAAATTCAGTTTCTAATTATTATCAATAAATCAATAATTATTTATAAGTTCCATATTTGAATATAAAAACTATCCAAATATAATTGAATAATCTGGATTATGTGATTAGGATACATGAATATATGCAATTGTTTTAAAGGTTACTAGTTCCTGGTCAACCTTTTTCTAACAGTTAAAAATTAACTTTGTTACTTAAGAGCAGTGAATCCTAACCTCTTTTATTCTTCAATCTTTGTACATTTTAACAAAATCTCGCCTCCACTCTTAAACATGATGAGCAAATTTAAAAAGGCCATCAAGGTCATTAACAAAATGATTCCAATAATATAATATTTGGATCTTTACAATCTTTATAAAAAAATTAAATCGCCCCTATCTAAATAAGGTCTGCTTCTCAACCTCCCAGGTTGGAAACACTGCTTAAGAGTCTATAGTAATTGATTTTTAATTACTATGGTAACACTTATATAATTTATTTTTTCTAGTTTCCATAATTTGAGGGGAAATAGTAGTAGTATTTAATTTTTAAGATCATGTATATTATTTAATACTTACTTCTTGTTTGCAGACATATAGTGGTGGTACAAGTCTCACTATTTCTGGTTTAAAATTTAGTAAAACAGAAGATTTAGGTCCTTTAATAAGCTCACCTAAAATTTGTTTTGCTTCTTCTGTGCTTCTATAATATACAAACATAATACATATTTAGATGTTAATAGTGTCATGTATGTAATTTTAAAAGCTAATGTTTTTTAAGACTATACTCAGATGTTTGAGGATCAGATATGATAACTGAAAGTGAACTTTTTGCTGTCCGAGGAAGATTTTTTCGATGTTTGATTATAGTATTTAGAATTGTTGCAGTATTAGCGATAGATTTGCTGGGATCATTTTGTGCTGTTAACACTTGCCTAGCAGATTTTCGTAACAACTCTTTAGAATTTTGTGATGTAATTAAGTCCGAGAGAAATATTTTTACAGGCATACTTAAAACTGGCAAATCTCCAACATATTCTTTTTTTCCAGTTTTCTTGTGCTGTAAAAACATATAGGTATAAATTGTAGAATTAATCAATAATTATAAGCATTAACAACTTAAATAAAATAAATACATTACCAAAAGAAGCATAAAAAGCGGTGCTAATGGATTAGTAGTAATTGGAATATTTCGATACAGTTCATAACATAATACTATAGCAGCAAGTTTTTGTATCTGATTGAGCAAGAAGTCAGAATGTTGAATCAGCAAGAGTAAAGTACACCCAACTATAATGCATATGGGATATAATAACTATAATAGGTATATTTTCTATATCTTTAAGATTAATATGTATATTTAATAATGATTAAATTTAAAAAAATAAAATAATTTATTAATAACTAATAAAAAATAGCCGATATTGCTGATATGTATGCCATAGTTGAAGGTCAGAAGTTGGTAAGGTAGAGTATACAAAGTTATTTAATTTCTATATATTATATCTAAGAAACAATAAACTATTGCTAACAATGTTTTTTGTGCATGATTTAAAAAATAATACTTAATATTAAGCCATAATATTTAATATTTTTATCAAAATTTGATCCAAAAATCATTCTAAAAATTAAGTACTACAATGTACTTGGATTTTTTTTCTTTGACCTCCAAGTGCAACTAATAATGGACCTTAAGTTCAATTTTTAAGCATTTCTGTTTGGTAAAACAACTATATCCACATAATACCTACTAAATCAAAATTATATAAAAAACTAGAATATATAAATTGCCTATGAAAGCTCAAAAATGGCAAAAATGTTTTGACTGTAGGGAAATATCAAATATAAGTTATATTAAAATTTCTCTCAAAATCTCTAAAAATATTTCCAACTGAATAACATACAACTCCAATATTAAAAAAAAGTATTTAAGGAGATATTAGGATATCTAGAATAATCACCTATCTTTTGCATGTAAAAATGAATGAATTTAAACAATGATTCATAAACCTAAACATTTTATTTTTAATGTTTGATTTATGTATAAATTTGTGATTTTTTGTGCTAAAGACTAGAAGTATCAACATTTCAATATAATGTTAGTAAATATCAACTAAAAATAAATATTATTCAATTGAATATGTGCTAAATACAAACCAATACCTAATTGTACTACTGTAGTTACAGAGTTTTCAGTACATAAAAACACACCACATATATACAACAAAAATTAGAAAATATATTTCAAAGATAGGTAAAAAATGTAAAGAATAGGAAATTTCTGTGAGCCAATGATGTCACAAGTCTTTTTTCAATTTTTCATAAAATCATAACTCATTAAATAATGTGAGTAAAAACGTTAAACCTATACCATTATAATTAGAATTGAACAGTCTTTTAAATTAAAAATAAACTTATTTTTGTGTCTTGGGCTCCTTTAACTGAAAAACACTCAAAGATGTAAGGACAAGGAAATTAAATATCATCTTAACTGACAGCAACTTGTAAATTATAAAATTAAAAGTTTTAATTTCCATTGTAGATTTTTAATTTAGTTGAGTAGATAATTTAATTAAGTGGGCAAATTTTACATTAAGTTTGAATTAATTAATTAATTAACTTTATAGTTAGCTAGATTGAATATAATAGTTACTTTTATAGTTCTCTTCTCGTTTGAAATTATGATGTAGTTGGAAAACAAGATATTCAAGTGGTTGATTTTCAACATTTTCTTCGCTAAGAATGCTGTAAAAATAAGTAATAAAATATAGAGTTGTTCCCAATTTCAATAATGTATTAATGCATACTTCAATAGAGTAGACAGTTTTTTAATAGACAATTCCATTTTTGTCAAAATGAATGATGATGTCTAAATCATACTTAAACAGACCACAAACATACAGTATTTAAATTTCACGGAGAAATAATAACATAAATATTTAGAACTATGTTGAAAATAACAGCCTAGCTACTATATAATCATTATATTCTGTTAGTGACCTACTTACAAGAAAATTTGAGACGCAAAAGGAAACAAACTGGCTCTGTTTAAAAGCACCTATCACTGGTTCAAACTTCAGATCACAAGTAAATGAAAAACGATCAGCTGATCTCTATTTTACTCAGACAAGATATCTTAGTCCAAATCATAAACATTAGAAATTATGTTTGAGGTTAACTCTGATGTACATTATTCATAGTCAAAAAATATCTTAGTACTTTATAATTATTGTTTGTTTCGTTGGTATGATTACTATCGATGACGTGGTTTGTCGTTGAGTGATTCTATACCTATGAAAGATACGAACGCGACTATATCCTTATTGGTCCAATTGGACCAATTAGATTTTACTAATTTTAAATAGATATCTTATCAATGATTATAACCATAAACACCTTACATAGACATAATTTAATAATTAATAATATACCTATGATTGAATAATATAGATATATAGTAGGTGTATAAAATATTATAATATGTCAGATGTCTATGATTGATATCTATGATGTCTATGATGTAACGATTCATCGGTGATGGTGTCTTACTTTTTGTATTATTTATCCTATCTTTGACAAAACAAATTGTTTATAGCTACAATTTTCATTTTTGTTTAACTTACGAATATAACAATTGATTACAATTATACGATTCGATTACAGTTGCAAATAATAATAAATATCGATTATTGATTTCATTCTTAAACCTTGGTCTCCACTATTCTCCACTGTCGGGATCGTTACTCCATGTCACGGATATAGATACAATATACGATATACCTATATTATATTATATTGTGTACGTATCTGTATCTATGGTTCACGCTACTTCCGCTGATGACGGTTCAACAGTAGGCCCAGTGAGGGCTCAACAGGAGCGACGATGGTACGGCCGTACAGTGTCTGTATGGCCCTAACGACGGTGTAGTGCGTACGGTCTGTTGCGTCTGAAAACCGCACACATATGGTTTCAATCTCAAAATGGTCGGTAGACAAAAACCGCACACTTCATCGGTTGACAGGTAGGTACATTGTATAGCCACATACCGCACATTTATAGTAGGGTAAAATTGTACGCTAATTATAAAATATAATATTATATAATATATTGTTATATGAACACAATATTGTCTGTCCAAATAAATAACAAAAAAAAGTTAGTTAATGGGCACATTTCAATATTTAGTAATACAACATTTTTTATTATATTGTGTTTAATTTTAGGAACACTTGTTTAAATGTTTGAAAGAATTATCGAAGAACGGAGATCGTTTAAAATTTCTAAAAAATTTCGACTATCGATTCTTACCAATAATTATATAAAAATTTTTTTTTTTTTAAATTTTAACCTAGTATTTTAAATTCTTTAAAAAACTTCAGATATTCGCTTAAATGTTGATCATTTTTTATTTGATTTTATATTAATATTTAACAATACTAATTAAGATACAATTATAATTTATTGATATTTAATTTTTATATATTTTTAGATAATTATTAATAAATAATAGATTATAATTATTATTATAATATGTGCAAATTTTGGATACAAAAATTTAAAAAATGTTCGGTTTTAACGTACTAAATGTGTGCGGTTTAACCTGTTAAAAGTGTGCGGTTTTCGGATTCATCGGTACGGTCGACGTCTCGGCAATTAACTGCTTGGTGGTGGGAGATGATTCGGTCCAGTAACGCTCAAACATTCAAACTTCAAAAACGACCTAATATCGATATTTTGAGATGAAGAAAATCTTAACCCAAAATAAATCTTATAATCATAGACCTATAGCCATAATTTTGAACATACTCACCTACCGGCTATACCATAGATGGAACAAGAGTGGCTCCAGAAACTTGGTTGGGGGAGACAAGTCATATTTTTCAGAAAACTGTACTAAATACATATTTTATAAGTTTATTTATACTTCGTATAGTATATAGCTTGTTGGTAAATATCTTCACACTTGTACGTGTCTGCAATAGTTGATAATATATAAATTTGTTTGTATAACTAGTTGTTTTTAACAAAAATACGGGCTTGGGGAAGGGCCAGGGCCCCTAGGTCCTCCTGGAGCTGCCCTTGAGATGGAATCTTAGACCATATAAACTAATAACTATAATTAGTTAATATGGTCTTAGGGTGGACCTATGTCTACCTTACCCGTATAAACTATTTGACATACATATTATAAACGACAAGTCTGAATTAGATGCATAATTGGCGAATGTATGTGGTGAATCGTCGCATAATTAATCGTTGGTCGTTGATTAATAGCCGATACCTTAGTGTATTTTTTTTAAAAATAATGTAAACAAATTGAAACTAAAAATATTATTATTTTATGTACTTTGAACAAATTACATACATTTATTAATACATTTTACAATTTGTAAAATTAGTTACATAATAATTAATATTAAACAAACAAACGACTAACACGTTAATTATTTTTTATTCAGTTATTGGTTTTTGTGTACAATTGAGGGGCTAGGTGCAAGATGGTCATTTTCTAGAAAAACGTGTTTTGAGATAACGCAGTTGAAGTTTTAAATGTGTGACGCTCTTTTATTGGATCAGCTCACATGATTATAAAATTTGTGTCATATTAAAAATCGAATCTTAAAGAAAATAATTCTGTCTTGGTTTTGTTTTTTTTTTTTGTGTCCTGTTCTATTCAATTAAAATGATTAAAAAACTTAAATTGTATGTATTTATTCATAACATTTGAATAATATGAACATAATAATAAATAAACAAATAAATAATAAACTATCGCTTAAAAAACAAAAATACAAAAATTACTAATATTTAATAGTCACGAAGTGTAATAAATTACAACGAAAACAAGAGAATACTGATAATAATTTAGAAATGGTTTTTACCAAACCTATTAATCTACAATGAAAAATAACAAGGCTATCTATCATAATATTATTTTTAAATTATTGAAAAATAAAATAATGTTATTTATAAATATAACGTAAATAGTATGTGATTCTATGCAAGAAAGTTATTTATATATAATCACATAAATGCTTTTACAGTTATGAAATCATTTACATATCATTTACAGTTTTATTTTTTTTTTCAATACATTTATGCATTTTTTTAATAGTATTTAAATTGAAATTATTTCTATGGGCTATATTATAGATAATATTGAGCTTGAAGACTAATAATAATTGCCGAGTAAACATTATGTTAACTAAGTGTTTAACTTAACAATTAATCTTCTTTATCGTTGTAGATATTTATAATATTATAAAACTATGTTTTACTTACTTTAGTTTTTTGTAGTTTCCATATCACGTCTTTTAAAGGTTTAATTATTACTAAATGAAATGTCACTACATAATTTTTTTTTTTTAAATTTAGATCTTTTGTACACGGAGTTATAACAAAATGTTTTTGATGTGATTAATATTACACCTTTAAGAGTTAAATTACTTCCACCCTCCCCCCCCAGATATGGTTTTTATAATATTAGTGATATGTACTCAAGTTATATTAAAACATCTTTATTGTATTGAATTGTACAATTTTTGTATTTATTTTAAATGAAATTAGTGATTATAATGATTATTATGTTTTTCAGATTAATGTACAACTTTGAACAAGAAGTTAAAGAAATAAATGTCCATATTAAAAAAAGAATTATAAATCATTGAAGGTTGTGTTTATGAGAGTCAGATTGTTATTGATTAAAGCTAATCCAATAGAATCTATTTTGTACCAAGAATCACATTTTGAAGACATATGTTTTGAATGCTTTTACTGTAGTAACTTGTTTTCTTCAAAATCGAGTTTAAAATCGCATATAAAAACTCCCAGTGTCAAAATTATACTCATGTAAAGTATGAGATAAATCATGTTATTCCTTATCTATATTACAAAATCACATGAAAGTTCATGGCAATGTAAAACTTCACAAAAGTGACATATGTGAGAAGATATGTTCTACAAAACAAGTTTTAAGCCGATAAAAATTAATTAATTCTGGAAAAAAGCCTTATGAATGTGTTTTATGTAAAACGACATTCAACCATATTTTGTACTTAAAATCTTATTTAAGAATTCATACAAGAGAAAAGCAATATAAATGTAGATTATATAAATTGGCATTTAAACATAATTCTTCTTTAACAATCTATTTAAGACGTTATACTGGAGAAAAACCGTATAAATATGGAAAGTGTAAAAAGACGTTTGCTACATTAATCACTTTAAATTGACATACTGAAGATACTGAAGAAAAGCCTAATGAATACAGTGTGTGTAAGGAGATATTTCTCAAAAATGCAATTTAAAAAAACACGAAAGACTCATACAAAAGAAAAACCTTATGAGTGTAATGTATGTAATATAAAATATTCTTGAAATCAATAATTACAAATACATAAATCAACTTCTATGGGAAGAAAGCCTTATGAATGTAATATCTGTAAAAGGATATTTTGCCAGACATCCCATTTTAAATTCCATTTAAAAACTCATCCAAGGGAAAATCCAAAACATGTGTTTTGTGTAATAAGACATTTAGTCAAAGATCCGGTTTAATAGCCTATTTAAGAATTTATATTGGAGAAACACTGTATAAATGTGGAGAGTGTAAAAAGACATTTACTCATAATAACGCTGTAAAGACACATAAAAGAATTCAAACAGGAGAAAAGCCTTATGAATGTGCTTTGTGTAAGAAGACATTTATGCAGAAATCCAGTTTAACAATCCATTTAAGAATTCACATTGGAAAAAAAACCACATAAATGTGAATAGTGTAAAAAGGAATTTAGTTATATACACGTTAAAGATCCATAAAAAAAACTCTTGTGAGAAAAGAGCCATGTAAATGTGATACTTGTAAGAAGACATCTTTTCATAAAAAAAACTTTACTATACTATGAAAACATTGTAGAATTTTTCTTCCTCGGCTTTGGTGTGCTTAATAAAATTTGTCCACATAGTGTCGTCAACTCATTCTATACCTTCTAATTATAATTTTTTCACGTCAGGTAATTTATAGGTTATGTTGTTCATCTTCACGTGATTTTTTACTGAAGACCACACCAATTCAATTGGATTTAACTCGCAATGATATGATGGGAGTCTTAATATTGTCCAGTTGTGTATTTAAGCCAGCTCATCATTTACATATTTATCATATCTTGGTTTGATTTGTTTAACCATGTCAAGTAATTTAGTAATTACCATAGGATCAATTACTTCACGTTTTTTTACTAGACTTCTCATTTCATTTAGCACTTCCTATTTTTGTCTACAAAACTCTCCCTCGTTCATATCTGGTTTGCTGGCATTATTCCCGTATGAAATATCCATACCAACATTTTTAAATAAATGTTTCCGAAATCGTTTAGTTTTGTTTTGTCTTTCTTGTTTTCCTTTGCGTTAAATTTCAATAGTTTTTGAGTTACTTTTTTAAACGGACTTTTTTTATGTTATGATTTAGGCAACGAATATATTGGACGTTTATTATTTTTACTTATCGTAGCTAACATGCACCTTGTGGAGTATGAATTTTTTAAAGTATAATTAACTCGTTTACCCTCTATAAATTTCGCAATTATTGAATTTAATGATTTAATTATGTTACTGTCAACATCATTTAATGGTGAACAGGACCTTAACATTTCCTACGTTAACAGGACCCCCATGTTTTAAAGTCACGCCATTCATCCAGCTCTCATCTTAAGAATCCTCAGTCTGCTGCTCTACCTCCAAAAAACTAGACTACGGCAGCATTTTGTCTCCCAACAACCAGCCATGCGCCCACATCAGTGAAGAACGATTGAGAAATATTTGCGCAATCGTGTATATTTGAATTGCCATCGAAATACATTCACGATTGCGCAAATTTTGCTCAATCATGTTGTAGCCCCTACACCTACGCCTCTCCTACAACATTATATATTAATAATAATACCTCGATCGATATTTGAAATATTTGAAATACGTAATAAATTTTATTTACATCATAAAATAAATTTTATTTTTACTTTTGCGTTGAAAAATATAAAGATACGATTTTAAACTGTTTTTTTTATATCATATCTATACAAAATCGATATACTAAAATATTAAATAGTTACATAAATACTAATCCAGGGTGGGGCGGTTACCCCTAAAATATGACCTTGGCTTAGGATAAAACTTCTGTGTAGAAATTAGAGATACATAAGGATAATTAATTAATTTTAATTATATATCTGTTTTAAATTTTCATTTTCTCGCCATTTCTATAAAAATGTAATATCTGTTTTATATTTAATTATCTTTTAAGATGATGTGACACATTATACAACATATTTAATAACTTATATAATAACATAATATATTTAATAACTTAAATATTAACATAACATATTTAATAACTTATGTGATGTCTCGTGCTTATCATAATCTTATGATAGTCTTATCATTACAACATCTCCTTCTTTAGGAATACAATATATAAAAACTTAATAAATATAGGTTCACAATATGTTATATGCTTACAAATTATAATACTTAAATATGATGCTTACTAACTAAACAATACAAATACTAATTACTAGTTCTTAAGATTCTACAAATTAAGTTTATTTAGTTTTTTAATTTGTNGGAATTTCAACCATTTCTCTCACAATATTCTTATTCAAGTCCCTAGGGTCTAAACACATTCTAAGTGATTTATCCGGTTTTTCAATTACTACTAAACTGTTTTGCCATTCACTTGGATCTTTACTTTTCTCAATTATTTTCTTAGAACATAACATTTTTAAAAGTTCCTTTAATCTCCCCATTAATTGCATGGGGACACGTCTGGGACTATTATTGGTACACTTCCATGTTTTACCTTTATCTTAACTTTATCTGGAAAACAGCCAATACTTGTAAATACATCTACGTTTATAAACTTTCCTGTGCTAACTTCTTTTATCTCCTTTAACTCATTAATGTAGTTCAATCGTTTACAATCCTTATACCCTAAAATTGGGTTTCCATCATATTCCACAACTTCAAATATTGTAATAATTTGTGCTGTCTGACCTACAAAAGCTACCTGTACTTTACCTAATGACTTAATTATTGTCTCACCAAACACTTTGATTACCACCTTACTGTTTTTATTTCAGTCTTTAATTTTTTATAAAACTTATTCGGCATTACATTTAATTGCTGTATCAATCTTTACTTTAGTGTTTATGTCATTAATTTTAACCTTTTCTAACCAAATATTATTATTGTCTTTGTTATCTATTTCATCTAATGTCAAATACTCTATACTCATATTATCGCTTTCACATTCAACCATGTCAACTTGTCTATTGTTTTTACATTTATAGGTAAAATTATTTAACTTTTTACATATCCTACACTCTTTTCCATATGCTGGACATTCCCTAAATTTATGTTGCTTACCACATTTATTACAATTAAATACCTTATCTTAATCATTCTTCCCGTTTTTGTGGGTTTGATTTTGTCTTCTGTCCTGGTTCTGCTTATTTCCTTGATTCCATGTTCTTTTCTTGTATTGCTCCATTACATCAAGTTCTTTAGTTTGATCTTCCAATAATTTGCTGTTTACCTCAGCTTGATCCACTGTTTGACACAATTGAATTGCTTTATCCAATGTTAATTCTTCTCTCAGTATTCTGGTTTGTAACACTTTGTTTGCTATTCCCAATACAATTTGTGTTCTTAGTAATCTGTCTTCAATTTTTCCAAAATTACATGTTTTAACCAATACTCTTAGTTCAGCATAGTATTTATTAAATTTCTCATAACACAATTGTTTTCTAGTAAAGAATTTAAAATGTTCCATTATCTCATTGCACCTAGGTATACAATAATTCTCCAAGTGCTTCAAGATTGTCTCAACTATTTCTTTTTCATCTTTAGGTCTTTTAATTGATCTGTACAACTTCAGCCCATCCGTGATGATTAAGTTAAGTAATCTTGCTACCTGTGTTGTTTGAGAATTTAGAATCGTCTCTGTTGCTTCAAAAAACACTGTAACTTCATCCTTAAATAGCTAAAAATTCTCTGCTATATTACCGGATAATTTTAAGCTTTCCGGTTTGTTGAATTCCATTTTTATCTGTTTCAATCTAGTTTTTTACAGATTCCTGAAAGCAACAACCGACTGCGCCATGTTTTATATTTAATTATCTTTTAAGATGATGTGACACATTANTAACATATTTAAAAACCTATGTGTTGTCTCGTGCTTATCACAATATTATGATAATCTTATCATAGTCTTGTCATCACAACAATATCAACTTGCATGCTTTAATTTTTTGACGGTAAAGGTCTTTTTGTTTTCACGCTGTAACGCCTATTTTAACTTATTAAAAGGTTTGGTTATTAAATAACGAGACTGCGCGCGCAGAGAGCATCCTAAAAAGGTTAGAGGAAAACCAAATACAGTGCTGGTTAACTGGAAGTGTCTATTATGCCAATATAAAATCGGGTTTTTGTTGGTGCATTAGTATTTTTTCTGTAGCGTTTAGAAACGAACAGGTTTTTTTCTCTTGCCGAAAACGACGTGTGACGAAAAACATGAGCAACGGATAAACGTACAATTTTCTCGTTAAACTAAAAAAAACTCCAATTGAGTGCTATAAGTTGTTAAAAGAGGCCTATAGCGAGAATTTCCTATCTCGGGCGCGTGTTTTTGAGTAGCATAAATTATTTTCTGAAGGTCGAGAGTGCACCGGAAATCAATTCAGTCGTAATCCAAATTCAAAACCATGCTGATCGTTTTCTTCGATATCAACGGCATCGTGATGACTGAATGGGTTCCAGAGGGTCAAACTGTGAACCAACATTACTATTTGACAGTTTTGGCAACATTGCGCGAATGAGTTCATAAGAAACGGTCGATATTGTGGAAAAACAAGTCGTAGATCTTGCACCAGGATAAAGCGTGAAGCGTTATTTAGCCGCTTAAGGCACTCCAGTACTCGAACACGCGTCTTACTCACCCGACTTGGCATCCTGCGACTTTTACTTGTTTCCGAAGATAAAGTCTGCCTTAAAAGGAATCCGGTTTGAGTCGATAGAAGAGGTGAAACAAAAATCAGCGGAACTCCTGAATGGTCTTACGAAAACAGACTTCCAGCACTACCTTGAGCAATGGAAGAAACGAATGAAACGGTGTGTGAAGAGGGGAGGAGAGTATATTGAAGGAGAACATTTGGTTGTTGAACAATTTTTAAAATAAAACCATTTTTCATAAGCAGTCTCTTTATTTAATAGCCAGACCTCGTATCTGTAAAAATAAAATAATTACACAAATCTGTCGATTACCTACTTCGAGACTGACGTCGAACTGATCAAAGGTCTATTATAATATAAATTATAATACGATTTATTTTTAAATACAATATAACTAATTCATACGATATAGTTTTATATTTGGTCTAACCAGTATCCGTATCGTTTGATTTTTGATCGCAGCGTGCAGGCCGTGGCCTCCGACAAAAATATTATGCTACTTTTGTTCGCGTATGCACATGTCAATAACTCAATTACAATATAAAATTGACCATACGCATTTTATGAAAATTCAGTCATTGTTTTGACAAAATTAAAGTTAATACATTTTGTCTAACTTTAATTTTCAAAAAAAATTTGAATTCAACAAAAAAATATCTATAGATTGTATGGAACACTTTTAATTTTTAATATTAAGTTTGATTACAATTATGAATAGATATAATCCATATTTTCAAGTTTTTACTAACAGTTCACAACAAAATAAGGTAACATTTTTCTAAATGTATCGTAAGATTTATAGGCATTTCTCAGCTGAATTTAAATTTTTTTTGAAAATTCAAATTGGACAATGTAAACTGACATTAATTCTGTCAAAACTTTAGGTCTTTTGAGCCAAAATTGACGGCAGTAGTAGAGCCCCTTAATAATGTTAGTTTAATATTGTATCGATTTTTCTTTGTAAAACCATAAGCTTCTTCGCTTCACTCGAAATCTAAAACATAGTTACCTACTTAAACAAATTGAACATATAACAGACCTTAAATTCAATTAATTAATCAACTAATTATTTTACATGAATGATTATTTATTAATAAGCTTATACCATCAGGGCTTATACATCATCCTTATTAGTAGTAGTATAAGAATGAAATACTTTATATCCATTTTTTATTAAATTTAAATCCATATCAAGCCAAGTTTCATTGAGTATAGTAATTTTAATTATTAAAACTTCAGGGGAACTTAATAGGAGTAATAAATCATTTATATTTTTTTTAAAACTACAGATATTCAATGAAAATATTGATATAGATACATTATTGAAATCAACAGTACTAATATCTTCAATTACACTGTTATTAATATTATCCACAGAACTTATGTCATGAATCAAGTAATTAAAATTTAAATCGATTAAGTGATATGTAATATAATAAGGTGAATATAGAACTAAAACATACACGAACAATGGCTTTTTAGGTACAAAATACATTTGTTTTTTCGGAACTTGAGTTTGAACTTGCGATTTCTATATAGGATGATAATAAGTACGCACTACCAATAGATTACGGCAGACATTCTATGAAATTGGTAATATTAAGTTATTTCATATAACATATAATATCCACATAATATTAAAACCTCAAAAAGCTAAAATTTTGAAACTATAAGTCAGTCCGCTCAATTTTTACTTCACCATTGTTCTTAAATCAGAAATATACATATGTTTAAAACAAATCAAATTTGAAAATTTGCATAGGCCTGTGACTAGATCTATCCCACATCAATTTTTACTTATCCGATTTTGTCAAAATTTGATATTAAACGTCTTATAAACAAAAAGCTATTCAATGTAACATGTCAAAAAGCATTTAGTTATACATTAAGTAGCCAAATGGAGGGTTTTTTTTTATTAAATATCCAACCCGAGTTTCGCACTCGTCATGACCCATACTTTAAACCCGCACACATCCATCGCCCAAAAATATTGTTACCCAAATGTGAACTAATGTCGGATTTTAATCGAACATTAACCCTCTTTTGTTAGCAAAACCATATCGAGTAGGAAACAGGAGACCAAAATAGTCACTTGTGGTAGTTGAGATAACTGAATTGTGACACCTGTAGCTTATCATATACAGGTAGTTGAGATAACCAAAAAAGGATACAACACATTAGGGCAGTTTAACCCACATTGCGACTCGTTTGGTCACAAAATTACTACACGTCCGGTCACTATTTATTCTGATATTACAACACATTTGGGCATTATAGTTAATAGCAATACTGTATATAGTTTTCAGGTACACTTTATAGTTTATAGGTACTCTATATAGCAGGGCTGTTCAACTTGCCGGCCGCATGCGTTCCACAATAGATTTTAATATGGCCTTCACTTCAATTTTCAAAACATCAATTAATTATATATAAAATTATAAGACAAATTTTTTTTAGATTCTGAGTTGAGCGAAGAAGCTTATCGTTTTTACAAAGATGTTTATTATTATTATTTTTTTTTTTTTGCTATGGATATCTTTTCTATAAGCAATTTTACTCCAACCTTTAATGATAGTAGTGTTTCTAAAATGAAATTTCACTAGGGAGGTACTTTAAGGAGGTTATTTTTTAATTTTCCTAAGAGTTTTCCCAGAAAATGTGAAAAACTGGGATAAAACATGGGAAAATCTGGAAAAACGTAGGAAAATATGAAAAATCGGTACAACATTAAACATATATTATTAAAGAAAATATATAAAGCTTATTTAATTATTTTACCATAAAATGACTGTTGTTGACAAAGCATCACTATCAACTGTACTCCACTTAGAATCGTTTTTTTGTAAGCAATGGTTTATTTTTAATTACAGGTATACATTAAATTATCTATAACAGTGGCTGCATCCGTCCCCAAATCCTATGATGTCTTTTAAAGAATATAAAAATACAAAATATTAAAAATTTAAAAATTTAAAAACTTTAAATACTACTTAATACTATATATATATATATATATATATATATATATATACTATTATATGAAAGTTTTATCTTTATTTGGATTCTATAGCGATAAATAAACTTATGTAACTAAAATAACAATATAATTATTTTAAAATTGTTTTCTTTTAATCATAAATAAATATATTTTTTCTTGTAATTATAAATAAAATGTAATAACTCGTCAAAATATTTCTACTCATTATTCACTATAGTAAATATTATAAATAAAATGTGTTAAGTACTATTAAAATTAATGTGGCCTACAATTTCTACTTACATGATGTTGCCCAGTCTTCACAAAACATTGAAAAGCCCTGCTATATAGTTTATACTGTTTATATGTAGGTACATTATTTTCTATATATATAAAGTATCAAGTCCTGACTGACTGACTAATTCATTGTCAAAATAATTTAAAATGTATCAAATATAATAGAACTCCATGCCATCTGCTACGGCCTTTTTAGGCCACTGCCGCCTCAGTCATACAATTGTATAGTATCTTATTCTCACAATTCGATTATTAGATATTTTATATCGACATCGATGCGAAGGCCATCTGTTTCGTCTTTTTATACCTACAAAATTCCAATGGTTTTTTTTTCATTCGAGAAGAATACATATCTGATATATTACTTTCATTAAGAACATTTGAATATGAGTCAAATAAAATTAAGCAATAGGTACACAATATCAATCGGCTCTTTGATGATACCGCCGTGTCGTCATCATTCTCTCGCACTAGATACCATTATAATTATTTCTATACAAATTTAAAATCTACATATAACACTATTGTTTTTTTATGGTTCACCTTTTTTTGGCTTATTTAAACACATAAAATGTAACGGTATTTTAAATTGAAAATGAAGCGTCTTGACTCCTCAAAAAATCCCAAGACGAACACTCTATCGAGAATCCTGTACACGGCAACAACTACGCTCCACTAACTTCTTTCGAGAATCTCTCTCAAATAGCTAGCTCCGACTTTTAGCAGCTATAATCACTCACTCGTTTTCGATTTATTTATTAATTTATTTTATAATTCAACCTTTTATTTTTCTAATTTAAAGATTTGCAGTTTTTATCTGAGTGCACACAGGTACAAAGTGTTAATTAATTAAATTAGTTTATCTTAATTAAATTGTGATTGCCGTCCAACGACTCCGAGATCACGTCAGGATATCTATAAGTATACACCCTAGCGTTCCAACACCGTGGGCAGGTAAAATAATTATATCTTTGTTTATTTATTGATCTCGTAACCATTCTCGGATTCACGACTCCGAATCCCCTTCAAACATCGGAAGGAAGGTAGTAATATAATTAGTAGACTGAACTTTTATTATGTTTAAAGATAAATCATACTTTGTAGTACCAAAAACTAGATCAATTACTTTATATTATACAGGTACATTTTTATACCTACTCCTCTATGTTTTATTCTTTGTAGGTATCTCTACGTAATTATTCTATTATTTTAAATTTTTTGTCTTCTATTACTATACATAGTGTCATAGTCATCTACTATCTCTCCCCCACAACTCTTTTTATTCTCTCCTTTTTTACTTTCTTTTTTTTTTTGTATAACTACAAGACGTTAGATTAAAATTCAGACAGAAACTGCATTAAACTTATATAATATAAACAAAAATCAATTATATTACATTAGAAACTCTTTTCTAACCTAATCTAACTGGAATGCTTATGAAAAAGGAAACATAAAATTAACTCATTATTTAAAAATTATGGGAATTCAAAATCAAGGAAATACAATATAATTATTATAATCATATAAGTTAATATATTATACTAAATAATATTACTTTGGATTACTATATAAATTTGACACGAGTTATTTTATTTATAAATAAATATATATATATTATATATATTTTATATACATTTTTCAATTGAATGTTCAGACCTGCTTATAGATTATTAAGGGATATTGATTATTGAGTGTCATTGTGTGGATTTTGAATACGAACCAGATAAAAGTAACCAAACGTGCTGCACTGACCAAAAATTAATTTAGCAATCATTTTACCAGATGAGCTAGGTACACTATATAAAGATAACCAACTTAATTTTGTGTTTAAAACACTTTATCTAGAAGAATTTAAAGAAATAAATATAGGAGTTACGGAATTAATAACGTTTAAGGTGATTTCACTCCTAGTATTCAGGGCGAAAAAAATAATTTTGATAGATTTTGATATGATTTTATAGAGCTTCTTGTTTTGTTGTTTCCTAAATTTTCTAATAAAAAAAGTTAATACTTTCTGAGATAAAAAATGTTTTGTCGAGACCTCCTGTATACAACTGAAGACCGACACGAAAAAAAGAAAAAAATACAATGTATTTGTTATTAGTGTAATCGAGTTCGGTAATGTTATGTGAACAATAATCGGGAAAAAATTTCCAAAAATTTTGGTACCGATAGTTAGAGCCAAGGGCTAATTATTTATTAAGCGACAACCGATTTGTGAGGGACAAGTAGGGATCCAAATACTTGGGTCTTTTAACCCAGTTTCTACTATTATTTCGAAAGGTGGTGGCATTTACAACATAGGCTTTCCCTAAAGTCCAGATGTCATGCCACCCGGGGGGACTGCACAAACCCTAAGTCCGGATATCTTGCCACCCTTCTTATAAAGTCATTTACGGAATCACCATACGATTGTGGCAAGCGTAACCTCGGTACCAACTGGCAATAGGAATCAAATCACTCGTATATATACTATACACAAATGAAAAAGTGAACACAAGCGAGCGTCAAAACTCGAGATTGAAGAACAACGCTCCTCTGCGGAAACTGACAACGTTTTGGTGACGATTACCTTTATCCTAGATGGCGCTGCTTGTCGGTAACGAAGTCTAACGCTGATATTCATATCGAACGACGACGACTGTTCAGACAGTAACTATTCTAATTTCACTTGTTAATTGTTATGTAAGTGCCACCGATCATATTATAATAATTTCTATTATACTGTTATATGAAATTATTGAGATAATTGTAACAGTATATGTTTTCAATGCACAATGTATTAAAATAATTCAATGGGTATTTTTTTCATAGTTTCGTTACCTAAACCATATTTGTCTACACATTTTCATAATTTATTTAAGGAGCCTCGAGTCTGTAAGCGAACTGTTTTTTGCCCAAAACATACTAACAGGAAAATTTCAAATGCATCATAGATTTGTCAGATTTCGATATTTTTTTTTCTCTTTTGAAATGAGGAAAACATTTTACAAGCCTTGAATTTTGAAAATGATATTTGAAGACGTTACATAATTAAAGTTTAAATATGACCAATTTTCATCTTCTTTTGATTAAACCTATTTATTTGTGAGTTTTGATTGTATAATCAAAAATTGAAATCCAATGAACCCCAAAGTGATTTTCCACTTTCCAACAGAAAAAAAAAATCGTAAAGCATATTCACAGCATAGGTATGAGAGTTTTCTGTAAATCATGTGACTGTGACATGTACTACTGTATATAGGACGACATCCTCCTGCTTTCATATTTTTTTTATATATTTTTACATAAAGCCGGGTTCCCATAACTAGTACAATTCAACGAATAGGAATTCGCTATTCGTTGATATTCGCGTGTAGTGAAATCGGAGTAGATATGAATCTTCGATATTTAGTATTCGTTATTCGTTACTCCATACTCGCCCATTTCGATGGATTGTCAGTAAAATAGACACAAATTAAAAAAATTGTTATTACTACAATAAAAATTGTGGTATCATCCAAATTCGTGGTTGCTAATTATTTGTCTATAATATTGGTCTATATTCATTAAATACATCAGTCGAAGAAATGATCTACTTGGAAATTAATGTTAACTTGCTGATTATTTAACTATTTGGGTAAATTCGTCAAATACACGCAATGTCGTTTTTAAGAGAAATATGATAGGGGTGATCGCCCCCCATCAATTAATTTGTGTAGGTATTTGCTGTATTGAATATACATCATATTATATATACATACAATAATTTAATATTGCTAGAAAAGTGTCATCAGACACAAAATATAAAAATAAAAACACTTCATGGTACAATAAGTAGGGTAGAATATAAGCTTTTGTATAATAATTTTAGTGTCACTACCTTCCCCCATAAAAATAATTTAAATACGTCATTGAATGTACAACAAATATATCATACAAATATAATCATCATACTCCTATTTTTGACTGCCAAGTTATTATTATTATATAAATACTTGTATTGTCAGTACCAATACAATTTTTATATAAATATTTTTCTGTTCATTATTAGTAGTGTGAGCCGTATTGACAGCATAAAGTTGTTTAATTGTCTATAGTTCATCATCATTTTTTATAATTGTTAAACTTAAAATGTTGTTTTCGGATTTTGATTGTTTGTATTACATCAATAAAAAAGAAAACAAAAATTTCCATTTTTACAGGTTTCCAGTGCATAAAAAGTCTACATAAAGATATAAAGTACGGGTTAATTTTTCTAAACTTAAACATTTTATACTAGGAAAAAGTTATAGAACTTGTTCGTCCCATTTTAATAGTGATGATTTTAAAGAGTCTTATCTATTATGTGAGCAAATGTGACACAAAAGTAGTGATCATAATTTGTATACCTTATTAAAATATAATGTATTTCCTTCTATTTACAAAATAAAGTGTATGGACCTTTCTCTTGCCTTACCGTCTACAAGTAACAATGACAATTACAAATAATTTTTATGTAATTAACATAATATCATTATATAAGCATATTATAATATAATATAATACACATTGTTGTGGACTATAGATAAAATCACGGTCTTAGAAGACCTTCTTCTAGAGACTGTGATTAAAATATTAAAAATCGTATTTTATAATTAATACAAAAAACAAATATCCTTGACTGTGATAAAATTGATAATGTCTTCAATGTGTGATAACAACTTGGTGCTGCAATTATTATTATTGTACATTGCATATTACTCTATGGATCTAAGACCGCAATCGACTGTATAATATTATCTATAGCCGCGATAAGGATTAAGAACCCAGCATTCAGTAGTTATAATTTAGAAGGCAGAATGCAGTATACAATTATCACTTTATCATAACCTGGTAAAGTTTGTAATTGAATCGTTACTGTAGTTTCTAATTTACATTTAAAAACATTGTGAGAACAATTAAATCTTGAAATGGCAGCCAGACAAAGACAATCGGTTCGTTTAATTGATGATTTATCACACGTGCATTTTGAGACTAGTGAAGATGTCGAAATACTTTCTACGTTCGATAATATGCATCTGCGGGAAGATCTTGTTCGTGGTATTTACTCATACGGTAAGTCTCTCAAACTGTTAATATTTGTGTGTACTACTATGGCCATGCATTACTAATATTGTGTTACCATCGATTCTCCCACCCTCCTCTCTCTTATTAACTTTGAAATACTACCCCGAAACACTCGCGGCTCAAACCCATTTTTCATCCCTCTTCATACCACCACCTATCTTAGTAATGAGTCTATAAGCCGCATTATAAAGTTTGCCAATTGTTAATAATCTGACCTTTCATTTGATTTAATTTTATATTATGTGTATAGCTTATTTAATTTGTATTAATATTTTTAATTTTTCTTACTTTATTGTTATATTGTACTCATTCGTACCTATTATATTTTACTAACATATTAGGATACTTAATTCATACAAAATTGTTCTGCTTATACCATTGTTAGACGCAAGTCTGTATATATGTTATAAATAAATAAATTTCAATGAGATTTCTTTGTAGGTTTTGAACGCCCTTCTGCTATACAACAAAGAGCTATCAAACCGATGATCAAAGGACGCGATGTCATAGCTCAAGCTCAGTCTGGTACGGGTAAGACAGCGACATTTTCAATTGCTATGCTGCAATCCATTGACACTCAATTAAGAGATACTCAAGTTTTATGCTTATCACCTACCAGAGAACTTGCTGTACAAATCCAAAAGGTATTATTTTAATTTTTAATGCATTCGATAAGGGAAATTTGACTACAACACTGGGAAGTTCAATGCAACTTATAAATCATAATTAATTTTATTGATTGTGTAGGTGGTTTTAGCTTTGGGAGATTATTTAAATATCCAGTGTCATGCTTGTATTGGTGGTACAAATCTTGGTGAGGATCTACGAAAATTGGACTTTGGTCAACACATTGTTTCCGGAACTCCTGGCCGAGTGTTTGGTATGTATACAATTAATTCAGAACTCAATATTAACACTTTTTTTTGTAAACTAAATTCTTTAATAGACATGATCAGACGTAAAACACTGCGTACAAGAAATATAAAAACACTAGTATTAGACGAAGCAGATGAAATGTTAAATAAAGGATTCAAGAAACAAATATATGATGTGTATAGGTTCTTGCCACCTGCAACCCAGGTAAAATTGCATTATTTTTACATGTGAATCAATTTTAATTTGTTGTAACTTTTTAGGTCATACTAATATCTGCTACTCTGCCCCATGAAATACTTGAAATGACAAATAAATTTATGACTGATCCTATTCGAATTTTAGTGAAACGGTTAGTCAGAAAAAAAATTATGTATTTGATTCTTGAAAAAATTCTCGATAATTAATTATTTTAATTCCATTATTTTAGCGATGAACTTACATTGGAAGGTATTAAGCAGTTTTTTGTTGCGGTTGAACGAGAAGAATGGAAATTTGATACATTGTGTGATCTGTACGATACGCTGACTATTACTCAGGCTGTTATTTTCTGTAGTACAAAAAGAAAGGTACATTATAGTGTCAATTTATAGGCTGGAATTAGTATGCGACTGACAGTTAGCGCTGGCAGTACGCACTGACCATGTTCCCCGATTATCAGCCATCACCGAACATTTAGTGCTTTGGCTGTCAGCCAACAATAAAATAAAGTTGTAATATAAATACATAAATATGCATACACGCGTATAGTTGCTCCGCCCAACATCAAACTAAACGCCACCATTGACGAAGGAGCCTGACCAAAGGTTCTTGTCAGTGGGATGCAGCTATATGTGTATATAAATTTATCAACGCTACACTGTAGTTGTTCATAAGTATTTATTGATATAGCTACATTTGACCATCGTCAGCACTAATTGTTGGTGGAGCACTAATTCCAGTCATATAGATCATTATGACATTTTGTTTAATTGATTATTTAGGTGAACTGGCTTACCGAAAAAATGCGCGAATGTAATTTTACAGTTAGTTCTATGCACGGAGATATGCCGCAGAAAGAAAGAGATGCGATAATGAAAGAATTTCGTGCTGGTCAAACGTAAGTATTTACAGTATATTTTCAATGTAAAGACTTAATAAATTTAATCCAATTTTTATTAAATCAAAGCTTTTAATGTTAGAAAATAATTTTAATTTGTATATATATATATTACAGAAGAGTTTTAATTACTACTGATATATGGGCAAGAGGTATTGACGTACAACAAGTTTCTTTGGTCATTAATTATGATCTACCTAACAACAGAGAATTATATATACACAGGTAATTTGTGTTTTCTATATTTTAAATAAAGTAATTGAACAAAAATCCTTGTTTTATGAAACAAAAAGTATTCATTATTATATAAACAATAATTTGAGCACAATAGACCATTATTGTAATGTTTTTGTCTCAAAATGCAATTTTATTTTAATATATAATATAGTTATTCAATTTGATTGTAGGATTGGTCGGTCTGGAAGATTTGGTCGAAAGGGAGTGGCAATCAATTTTGTAAAAAGTGATGATATTAGAATTTTGCGTGATATAGAACAATATTATTCCACACAAATTGATGAA